GAACATTGCCGGTGGAGAAAAAGAGGAGGAAAGGGGGGAGTGAAGGATACTAAATGGGGGGAGGGAAAAAAAAAAAAGAGAGAAAGAGAGAGAGAAAGGAAAGATTTTTTTTTGCCTTATTTTCTCTCAGTTTCTTTTTATGGAACCTTGTGAATGCGCTGATTGTATATTTATAAAAAAAAATATTTTTGTTTTACAATCGGAGTTTATACTGTTACCAAAAGCAGGTGTTTGAGGAATTGTAAAGTGATTATAACGAAACAGAGTGGTAGGCAGTCAAAAAGAGATAGTTTAAGCAGAAACTACCAAGAATAGAAGACAGAAGAGACAGAAATATAACCAAGGCTAAAAGAGCCCCCCCCCCTTTTTTTATTTATTTTTGCTATTCGGCTATAAGCATTGACTAGTATTATTAGTACTATTACTATGTAAAGGTAACCAGATATCTTCTATTGATTTCAAGGTTTAATTTTTTTTCTTGTACTTGATTTGTGTGTGTGTAATTTTCAAGAATTTGTGTCATTATGTTGCTTTGGTATCTCTTACTTTTATCTTGTGTGGCTTTAGTATCAGTATTAGTATCAACACCAACACCAACCTCAACCTCAACCCCAACCTCAACGTCAATGTCAATGTCAATGTTAATATCAGTATTAATTTCTTTTTTAATCTATTTTTCTTTTCTTTCTTTTCGTTCCTTTTTTCTCTCTCTCTCTCGCTCACTCGCTCTTTCAAGCCATTGTTAGTGGCATTTTAATATTTGGTATATTTTAAGTACCATTGGGTCGACAATCTCGAGCGTGGTTACCAATTTAGAAAGGTTTGGGAACACAAAATGTCTAAATCCGGAAAGTGCTTATATTTTATTTGTTTGGGGTTAGAGACGTCACACGATGAGGGGATGATAGTAAGATTTTATTGGATGCACAGCCGCCTGCAGATGTCATTTTTGTTGTGGTTGTTGTTGTTGTTGTTTTTTTTTGTTTTTTTTAAAGAAAAAAAGTATCTTTTTTATAGTCGTTTTTGTTTTTTTTCTTAATGGGTGTGTGTGTGTGCGTGTGTAGATTGCTTCTATATATATAGATATATATGCTTTTGTGAATTTTGTGAATTTTGTGAGTGAGAGTGGAGTGTAAGGTGCAAGTGTAGTTTGAACTAGCTGTAAGTGAATTGGGTTGATAAAAAACGAGAAATCCGGTTTTTCATTGTTTCAATATCATAAAAAAAAATAGTCAAAATTCGGTAAAAGAAAAAGAAAAATAAAAAAAACAGGTTCAATTGCCTTGCGTGTGTAGCGTGTAATGTGTAGCGTGTAGCGTATAGCGTGTAACGTATAGCATGTAGCGTATAGCGTATAGTGTATAATGTGTAATGTATAGTGCAATATGTAGTGTGTGCAATATGTGCAGTGTGTGTGATTTGTGTGATTTGCGTGCATTGTGTATATATTTAAGGTGAGTGAATGGTGTAAGGACGATCTGGTGAGGTCCGAAAGCCGTCTCCTCCTGGCCAGTCTTTTGAATGGAGTGGAGGGAGTGTTGGTGGAGTGGGTCGGGTCCACACTGTACTGTCTCCTCCTCCTAGGTTACTCATTGTGTGACTTGTCGACTCGTGGCTGGCCATTTCGTGGCTGAGAGAGTAATAGTTAAAGGAATCCATGGGAGATTGCGGGGGAGGAAGGACGCGAGCGGTGCTGTAAGTAGGGATAGCTGGAGATCCCGGAGGTGGTTTTGTGGGTGTAGGGTCTAGAAGAAGATTTTGCATCGACATCCGACCATCTGCTCTAAAATCGCGTGGCAGAAGGCTTTCTGGTGGTGGGAGAACGACAGATGATGAGTCTGGGTGCAAGGAAGACGAAGACGAAGACGAAGAAGAAGCTGGGCCTAATGCAGAACCTGATTGGCTTAGAATTGTCAACAGTCTCTTTTCAGGTGGGCCGCTTTCTGGGCGGGCTGAATCTCCTCCAAACGACGTTTCCCGAACTTCCGGATCTTGAAGCGACGACATCCGATCCTGAGGCTTCTCGTCAATGGTTGAATATCGCCGCTTACTATAAAACGCAATTAGTCTTCTTGAGAACCTTTTTTCTTTGCTTTTGCTAGATCTCCTTGGGTGTACGTAGATATGGGTTTGTAAATCAGGGACATACCTGCTATCTGCTCCACGCGCTTCCTTTCGTATCCGTACCCTAACGCCCTGATCAGAAAATGACCGCGTCAAAAAGGTAGACTCTGGATAGAAAAATGTAAGACAAGTGATTTACATACTTACGTACATACATATATGTATATGTATATATACAAAGAAGAATAAAGAAGTAATCAAATGCCAAAGTGATTTACCTGACATGCCAGGAAAAGCTACGCTGTGGATGAGTATTTTAAGATTATTTTTATATATATACTTTAAAAAATGAAAAGCTTAACGTACCTTTTGGAGAATAGACCTGGAAAGTCTTGGACATTACTGAGCTGAGACGGTGGACAAAAGATCTTAATTCAAAGTAGATTTAGTTTAAAGAATTATACTATATTGTATTGTATAATTTACCCTTTCATTTCAAAAAGTGTGAATTTGAGTTTATAGAGTCCTTCCAACCGGACGCTAATATCCGCAAATACAAAAAATCCGCCATCTGAAATATTATTTATAATATAAAAAAATTGACTTTTTTTTTTAATTTCTTATTTGTAATATATCTCTTGGTTTCTTTACCTTTGTTATCAACATCTTTTAATTTGTGCAAAGACTGGACCATTTGCCCAGCTGTTGTTCTGTTACCATTCATAAAGTCCAGATCTGTTTCGGTTTTTTGGTCTGTGAGGGTTGCATAGACAAAGAGATAAGGATTATAAAGCAAGGTTGGACTAGAATGAATGAATTAATGAATGAATAAGAAAAAAACAGCGACATTTGGTATATATGTGCGTGTGTGTGCATATTATAGACGTACTCGTCTGTTGGTGAGCTAAACACGAGCTGAAGGATAGGTGGAGGGTCTATTGGCCGTCTGTCAACTGCAATACTTGATTAGATTATAGATACATATATGTTGTGTATTTATTTATCTATTTGTTTGTTTGTGTATTTGTTTGTTTATTTATATTATATTATATTATTAGGAAGTTAAGAATTAGATATCTATTGTGTGCGAACCTTTCTCTTTGAAGCTACAGAGACGAGCCTTCTGGGGTTCCTGACGGACAATAATATGATATCTAAAGAAGAGATTTACAAAGGTAAATACAAATTACTATTAAATTTTTGTATTATACTATATCGTTATAATTCTCTCTGTTTCTTTATCTCTTTTCAATTTACGTTGGAGGAAGTGTGGGCGATGGCAATGTGTTGGTGGTCATCGTCATGATTCTAGAATGTAGTGTATCTGTATTGTTGTAAATATTTATCTTTTTATAAGTATCTATATGTTATTTATATATTCTTGTATATATGTATGTATTTGTTCTTTACCCAGAGAATAGCATACGAATAAAGAAGTTGTCTTTAGGTTCCTAGAGTGTAGGTTGAGTTAAAGAAGTGGAAGAATAAAACCAAAAAAAAAACCAAAACCAAAATAAAAATAAATAAAAAATTAAAATAAATAAAATAAAATAAAATAAAAAATTAAAATAATAGAAATTTAATACCAACAGGTAAGTAAAAATGGATAGATGAACTCTGGGATATTTTTTTATATTTTATTTTATTTTATTTTATTTTATCCCTAATATAATATAGTAGCATAATATAAATATATTCTTGATTTTAAAATAATAAAATAAATAATGAAGAATACAAGGAATTGATAATAGGCTGTCCCAGATTCACAAAGCAAGGGGCCCGAATTCTTGGGTACGGCCATTTGGGTTCCACTCAATGACGATGACGCTCAAGTTTCCCCAGGCTTGGATTTATGTATTTTTTGACTAATAACAATCTAATCAACTGAGTCACCCCACTTCTTATTTCTCGAATCCATACAGAAAATATTTCTGACTGCAGATCTCACAATCTGGGGTGAATTCTGTTTTTTATTTGTATTGTGTATTTTGCTCAATAGTAACTACATTCTCGGAATTAACCAATAAACTCCCCTTCTTTCTTATTTATCTCCCTTCTCCCAGACATTCGAGTAAAGCAAAAAAAAAAAAAAAAAAAGAAAAAGACCAGAATTATTGGGATGCCGTTATTGCCGCTGTCTCGACTTTTGGGATCTCGTTTTTATACTTTCGGTGTTTTATTTTCAGCTACAGCTGGTCTTTTTGTTACCTAGGCAACGAAACCCGCGGTCCGGGCTGATTATAAATAATAATAAAAAAGAAAACCACCCCCCCATAGTTACCTTGACACACTTGCCAAAATAAAATATACAAAAAGCATAAAAATACAAACCAGTAAACATTTAATTATATCTATTCTTTATATTCTTCATCGCGTGGCTATTGAGTACCCTATTTTGCTTTCTTATAATTATTTTAATTTTTTTCTTGGCACATTATGAGAAACAAGATCTGAAGGGACCAAATGAAAAACAATACCAAAAAACCAAAAAACCAGAATCCCTAAATTCAAATTAACATTTTCTGTCTACAATGATGTGACACCAGCATAAGTCTTTTCTTTTTTATTTGGATTTTTGGCTTTGTGCAAAAATTATTGTAGATCCATTGTTTGCCTGTTCTTACTCTTCTTTACATCTTTGGAATGATGTGTAAAGAAGTCGCTGCTATTATATTCTTCATCCTTATTCTTACAATCATAGTTACAATTACCATTATGATAATTATTCTTACTCTTATCATTATTCGTGCTGCTATTTATATTGATACTACTATTGATATTGATATTGCAAACACTGATATTACTATTACTATGGCTAGTACTTTTGCTATTGCTATTGCTATTGCTATTGCTATTGCTATTGCTATTGCTATTGCTATTATTATTATTATTATTATTATTATTATTATTCATAGTCCGCCTTGTTTAATTCCTATCATTATTTGGGAACAATTGTCGGTGAAGCCGGGGAGCTAACAAAAAGGAAAAGAAGAAGCCCATTGATAGGTACAAATAGGGTCAAATACGGACAAGGTTTTTTTGTGTGCGTGTGTGCGTTTATGTGTGTGTTTATGTGCCTAAATAATCGTCACAAAACTCTAGATCGAGTAGATAATTAACCTTGTAGGTTAATAATTCCATTTGATATTTTACCTGGTTTAGGCTATTTTTTTCTTCAAAAATAATATCTGTATGGATGTTTGTATACGCCTTTCATATTTTTCAAATCAAATGCATTCATTTACAAAATATATTGAAAGTTATTTAAAGATTTGTATAAATAAATGGCTGTAAATATTTTATCCCGGGGGGGGGGGGGGGGGGGGTAATCTAATTTTGAATATATGCTATTATATAAATGAAATATAAATTATATATGTGTATAAAGCTTCTTCCTTTCTATAAACGTTTATACCCATATTCTTTGTTGAGCCACGCATATAATGTAATGTAATTTAGCTTTGAATGTGAGTATTTCCTCACTTTCTAGATAAAACACTCTTTGCTTCAAAAGAAATAAATAATAAAATCAAAATCAAAATCAAAAGCAAGTCTAGCCAAGCCAAGCCAAGCCAAGCCAAGATAAGCCAAGATAAAATAGAACGAAATAAATTAAATTGCATTACATTACATTAAATTAAATTAAAGCAAAGCAAAGCAAAGGTTCTTGGCTAAAACTCTTTATTTCAATTGTTAGATACATCTTTACAAAAACAAATTTAACTTATTTTTTGATCCATGTATTTGTTTGTTTGTTTGTTTGTATTGAAAGAGGAAAGGAGGGGTGAGTGGAAAAAGGGCTGCTCTTGATCCACCCATTTGACTTCAAACATAAAGGGCCATGTTAATAGTAGTAGAATAAACTTTTTTTATACACTTTCCAAATTGTTGGTTCTCACGCTAAGATTTTTTCTCATTATATCTCGTAAATCCAACCATGAGTTTGTTGCTGCTCATCTTGAAGAGTCAACCGGAACTGATGTTCACATGAATGAAACAACTCCCAAGGTTGGTTACTTGGTTGATTATATGACACACACACAAACTAAAATAAGGTTATATTTCTTAAACTAGTATCTTGAAAGGGTTTGAGGACATTGAATACTACAAAGCTAGCTAAGAATACTTGCTTGTTTGACACAGTTTTTTTTAAATAATAATAATAATAATCCTGATAGCATATTTTGAGAAGCGTAGAAAAGGGTGATCGCCTGTGTATTCTCAATGATATGCACAAGAAAGTTATCCCAGAATATAGTGATAAGAAACTCATCATTTGTCATTGGGCAGCTGATGTAACAAAGTGACTTCTACAGAAATATGATAGTTTCCAAAGTATTCACATCAAGTATTTGTCAACTTGCAAGATTTATATACTATATTATGATAATAAACAAAAAATAGAGTGTTGAGTCTAACCTGTAGACAGAACTATCAAGACTAAGATGTTAAAGAACCCCTTGACTGGGTAGGTAAATGAGGACATGAATAATTTAGACTTTGGAAATAAAATGCGACTTTCTCGGTAAGTCCGCTTTTCTTAACATGAAACGCAGGATGGAATGGTCGAAAAAAAAGGGAATTGCTGCAGTGTTTATGGTACCAAGAAAAAAGAAAAGACACCCACTATCTTGGATCCAATCTCTGCGCCTTCTCTTATCAGTTGCAGTTTGAGACCCCCACAGGTACCTTCCAAGAAAAGAAGGAGGGTTGGTCATTGTGAATCTGTAACTAAAGAGATTGTAACCCATCACTGAATGGATTTCTGAAAGCCCAGTACTTGGTTGTAAATAGTATGCTTATTATTGATGTTATTATTTTCAAGACCAGTGATATTTCCTAGTCTAATCGAGTATCAAGGATATTGACACACTTGTATTCTATCATATTGAGCAGCCTTGTTTAGTTGTCAAGAAAGTTAAACACGACAGATTCTTGGTAAATTAAACGTTAATAACTCAATTCAGAAGATGTCCAAAGCAAAATAATAATAATAATAATAATAATAATAATAGTAGAATGCATGCTGTATTATATCAAACCCCCCCTTTTCTGCTGCTTCTGCTTCTGCTTCTGCTTTTGCTTCTGCTTCTTCTGTTTCTGTTTCTGCCTCTGCTTCTTCTGTTTCTTCCTCGTACTTTTCTTGCTATATTAAAATAAGCATCAATTAACTTTCACACCCTCACAAATAAGTAATTAAATAAATATAGGCATCCCTCATTGTGGAAACACATAGTCATTATATAGTTTTTCTGAAAAAAAAAGAACAGCCTTGTACATTTGTAGACCAATTCACATATGTACTTTAGGTTACAATATAGTACACCCAATGCCATATGTCCCTCAACCCTTATTACCCTCCCCCGATCTCCTTTTATCTTTCTATATTTGACTGTTTCATACGAGAAACTCATTCCACAAAATATTCACACTGAATCCAGAACATCAGATGCTTTTGATATTTAAGCTACAAAGGTAGGACAGGAAAGCTAGATAATGTAATGATCATCCTTACTGTGTACTTCGTCTCGTCTTTTGTACTAGTCCTTACATCATTTATTTCAGCTATTCTTATTTAATACACATACACACATACACATATACAAATATAATATTTTCTAGTTTATTTACATATGTATAAATATCAACCTATACCTTCATACATATGTTAACCACGTATATCAATAGTACTCTTCAGTAATCACGCTCTTACCCAGGCATACCAATGGTCTTTAGCAATACCCTTTAGCTTATAGATATCTATATATACAGAGATTACCCCGCTTTTTTCCCATTATCTCTCCAAGTACCTTTGGTTTTTTTTTTCTCAAGGCACAAACCAATCGGAAAAAGTATTGGTTTTCTTAGTAACACCACGAATTCCCCGAAAGGAAAACTTTCCACAGATACACGAAAAAGAGAAAAAAAAATATATAGGATGAGTGTATTCTCTTCTTCTTCTTCTTCTTCTTCTTCTTCTCCTTCTTCTTTTTCTTCATATTTTGTAGTCTACCGAGTAAACTGGTAATAAACATATACCTTTGGAGTAATAATGTCAAAAGAAAGCTATTATGTTGGTATTGATGTCGGAACTGGGTAAGTTTAATATATGCTCATGAAGAATAACCTTATTCACATCACAAACCTGCAAACCCATAAAATTAAATAAAAACAAAAAGCTCGGCGCGTGCCGGTGTGATTGATTCTCAAGGAACCTTGGTCAGTATAAGTGTCGAACCAATCACCACATGGAACCCAAAGCATGACATATATGAACAATCAACCGCAAATATCTGGGCTAACATCGCAAAAACCGTTCGTGAAGCCGTCAGATCAGCGAATCTCACCAGTGATGATATCAAAGGAGTTGGTTTTGATGCAACATGCTCTCTTGTGGCCCTGGACAACAAGGGCCAACCTCGTTCAGTTGATATTCAATCTGGGTTTCAAGACGACTCCCTCAACGTCATCTTGTGGGCAGATCATCGTGCCATTGACCAAGCCAGAAGGATCAATGCCACAAAACACAACGTACTCCGCTACGTAGGCAACACTATTAGCCCAGAGATGGAAATACCAAAAACTCTGTGGCTCAAGGAAAACATGCCACCCGCCAAGTGGGATTCCCTGGCTTACATAATGGATCTCCCAGACTTCCTTACTTTCAAAGCTACAGGTCACACTGCTCGTTCGACCTGCTCCTTGACATGCAAGTGCTCTTACTTGCCACCCAAAGTCGGCCAGGGCTGGGATGCCTCTTATTTTGAAGCCATCGGTCTCGGGTGTCTGGTAAAAGAGGATTGGAAACGACTCGGAGGTGAAACAAATGGCGGTGTTCTGCATGCAGGAGACAAGGTTGGTAAAGGTTTGACAGCCCAGGCAGCAGCTGAACTAGGCCTCAAAGAAGGCACACCTGTGGGCTCAGCGGTTATCGATGCCTATGCAGGTGCAATTGCAACCCTGGGCGCAACAGCCTCTAAAACTGAACGCGACTCGATGCTGCACGAAAGCACAAGCTTGGTCAGTCAAGGCAGTCATCGTCTGGCCATCATTTGTGGTACATCCAGTTGTCACATTGCCATGTCCCCGGACCCGATATTTGTACCCGGAGTGTGGGGTCCCTACCGTTCTGTTTTGGTACCAGACATGTGGTGTGCAGAAGGTGGTCAATCATCTACCGGCCAATTGATCGACCACACTTTATCTACACACCCAGCAATCAAGGAAGCCCGAGATTTGGCCGCCAAAGAAGACCTGAGTATATATGCATTCCTCAACCGTCATCTCGAAAAACTTCAGAGCGAACGTCAGTTAAGTCGTGTCGAGGATCTCACTCGCCATCTACACATCTACCCTGACTACCATGGAAACCGCTCTCCTCTCGCAGATCCCACCTTGCGTGGAACAATTGTGGGTGTCTCGCTTGACAAGAGTATCGATGATCTTGCTAGTCGCTACTTGGCTACGCTTCAGGCCATTGCGTGTCAGACCCGTCATATTATCGAGAGCATGAATCAAAAGGGGTACACTATTGATACACTGTGTCTTTCCGGAGGCCTGTGTAAGAATCCGTTGTTCGTCCAGACCCACAGCAACATTACTCAATGCCGAGTGATCCTTCCAGAATCTATTGAAGGTGCAGTTGTTGTCGGTGCAGCATTCTTGGGGGCCAAAGCGGCAACTGGACAAGACCTTTGGGATGTCATGGTCAGTTTGGGTAAGGCTGGTCGAGTAATAGAGCCTTGTAAGAACCAAGAATCTATTGAACAAGACAATAGACGTTACAAGGTTTTCTTGGCTATGCTGGAAGACCAAAAGAAATACCGACAAATTATGGATGGTTTAGTATAGATTTCCATAATTATTTTATTTGTAATATTGTTCTCTATTTATTTATTATTTGCTATATATGTATATAACGTGCTAGACCTTTGGATTACACGCTGTTAAAAGTACCCTCTGTACATACAAACACAAAATATAATAAAATTAGCTTTTAAACTTAACAATTAGAGACCCATGGGATATGTTAGCAGATGGTCTTTAAATTTAATTCAAAAGTTTCTTTTAAGAAAAAAAAAAGTCCCGCCACATTATTTAGTTTTGACAAAAGGAATAACAAGAAAATGGTTAAGAAAAGGTTTCTATTATGTACACGGATACCATTATGAATCACTGTAAAGAAGAATAAGAAGTAAAGGCTTGTCTAAAATAAATAAATAGAAGAACAAAAAGAGAATATAAGGCTTATTTACAAAGATAGGTGTGTGAGTGATGTTGAGAGAAAGAGAAAGAGGGAAAAATTATACGGAGGAATCTAGCCTACTTTTTAGGCTTTGAAAAGAGAACAAAGTGGAAGAAGAGAACCCAGCTAATGGTAGCTAAGATGGCATAAGTACCAATGTAGAGCCAATTGGCCAAGATTTTCTCTTGTGCCTTTGGTCGAGGATTTCCCAACTTTGTTTCTCGAAGTTTCCACACGGATTGTGCAGATTGATCCAAAACACTGTGATATATAGTCTTGTCGAGAATACTTAAAACAATTCCGGCTAGTATCGCCAATGATGCAATACCAATAAAGAAAACAATCACTCCATCGTATCCTTTATGAGGGTCGGCATCTTGCAACAGGCCAGTGGCAATATCAAAGAGAGCTGCACCAATATTGGTACCGGATTTGACTAGACCCATACCAGTACCCACCAAAGAAAGAGGCAGGATAACAGGCACTGAGGAAACTAAACCTACTGGACCAAGCGACAGACTGATACTAAAAATCAGCATGCCGATCACAGGTGGGATATAGGTGTACTGGAGCAAGACAAGAGATAGCAGCATAGAAGCTCCACTTCCAATCACTAATAGTTCAAATATTAATGAGAATTTTCTATAGTACACAGTAGCTCTTTTTTTTTTAAAAAAAAACTTACTCATCCATGTACGCTTTCCGAATCTATCAACAACAACCCCAAGAAATGGCATCAGGATGACAGGTAAGATTTGTGCGACACTGGCAGTGAATGCTGCATCACCTTCATCGTACGAGAATCGAAACTTAACATATTCACTGAAAGAACAGGTTACATTGATAAATGCAAATGTAAATATAAATTTTTGCTTGTTTTTGTTTTGTTTTTCTGTTTTTTTTTTACCTGTTAATATGTAAGAAGCAACCCCAGGTACCGCCCAGCAAAAATTCTATGGCTGCTACAAGCCAAAACGAATGAGGCAAGTAGAGTAGTTTGGACCAACGGAACGATTTCTTGCGCTTGATAACTTCGATCTGTTTTTTACATGTTGCGGCTGGATCAGAAATAGACCGCAACAGGATAATATACCCCAAGTTTACAAACATTGAAAGGACGCACAACAAGGCTGAAAACTAATGATATTTGTAAGAAACCAAAAAGAAAAAAAATAGTCGATACAATGTAATATAAAGCTTACCCAGAAAGCATAACCATACCACCCGGTCCAACGAGCAATTGGTACAACGATTGCTTGAGCGAGAAATGAGGCCTGTAAAACAAAATAAAAATTAGCAAATGAGGCAAATCAGATTTTTAATAATAACAATATCAAAAAAAATATGATTAAACAAATAATCAATTGAGGGACATAGTCCTTCATTCATGTTTTATAACCTTACCAGACGACTGACTGTGAGCATAAGTGCAACCACTGCAGCCAAGCTTCTTCCGGTAAACCATTGACTCAAGATTGTCTCTTGAACAATTACCACTGTACCACTTCCGATTCCATATAGAATGCGGCCTGTGATCATCATGGTTAAATTTGAAGACGATGTGGAAAGAGCAACAAGTGTGTTTCCCGAGGTAATGAGTAGTGTGGTAAGAATAGACCCAGGTATTGTGCCAAATGCATCGACAAAGATGCCACCAACAACAGGTAATATGGTATTTACAATGGCCACGCTTGATTGAAGCACGCCATATTGCGAATTCGTGATATCAAATTTCTAAAAATAAGTTTCAAAGGAAGAAATATTAAGAAAACAAAAAAAAAAGAATCATAGTACTGGTTCTGTAAAATGTCCTGTGTAATCATATATTAATTTACCTCTTTAATAGTGCCTTTCATGGCCCCCAGTGTGTGAGCAGCAAAATGACTACCAACTTTTTGTTGTTGTTATTAAATAAAATCAAGTGGTTATTAATTTATTTCTAGTCAAGAGAGAAGACGAGTTAAAGTAAAATGAAGTGGTGCTTACCTGCTAAGAAGAGTGCGCATAAGAGTGCAAGCATTTTATACTCCCAGGGTTGATCAACCAAATGACAGTAATCATCGTCATCGGCAGTGGTAGATGATTTACAACCTTGATCTGGCTTTGATGAACAGCAGCCTGAATTTGACGAGCAGCATGCCTTTTTCTTGCACTGTTTCACTGGTTTACTGTTTGGAAGGAGTGGTGTCTGCTCATTCGACACATTAGTTGACATGGCTTTTATCTGTTGTTTAGAAAATTATGTATGTATGTGTGTGTCTGCGTAGATAAAAATATAAAAAGGCAAAATAATGCTGAAAGAGGTAAAGAAAAAAAATCCCCCGGAAAAGGGTAAAGAGAAATAGGTGGAAGTAAAGCAAATAAAGAACGTAAAAGAAAGAAGGTGCTGTTCTAGCTTCCTATATAGAAAAAGTGAAGGGACCAACAAAGGCAACTGGAAGACAGGTAAGACCTAAAAGGCGGGGGGCTGGGCGGTGATTTGGTCATAAGAACCCAGTTATCTGATCAAAACTGGTAACCCTCTATCCTTTACCTATCGTTTTGTCCCTCCAAAATTCGTACCCTTCCTTGCTAACACCTGTGTGATTAGCTGAGACTGAGTAGGGCTCAATCCTTACCTCAATTAGTTTAATACATAAATGCTTATACAAGTATTCATAAAGCGAAATCATATCAACCTGTGGAAATGCATTTACCCTGTAGCTTTTAAAAAAAATTAAATAGAAAATAGGCATTGGATTGGATCTGGTAATGAAACGAAGATCATCCATACATATCTGATTAAACCTACCATTTTGGTCTCTGACATGGGTACGAAGGTTCACTTTTTGTATTACCTGACAGCCTGCCATATGCCACTATACAAAATAGTGAGATCTATTCCACCGGATCTACCCGATAATGTACAATAGCTTACAGGACCATGGTAATACTTGGGATAATAAGAAAATATAATACCTTGTTCATAATAAACGGCCTTGTTTTGAGTATTCTCACTATATTCTCATTTATCATTCAATATCGTTATACTGCAAATGTGTTTGTATGAGCATGTAAAGAGGCAGAAAGGTTATGCTTTCAATCAAAATACATTCTATTCACATGTATTCAAGGAAACGTGTGACTAATGTGCTGTATTTCCTGGGTTAATCACTATGTTTGGGGATGCTTTCAAATGAATTTGCTAGACTTGATCCCCATATTTTTTGCGCCACCTTAAATTACTGACTCAATAGAGCATAAGTTTTTGCTCATTAACAATCCTTCTACGCACATATAGATATATATACAAATAAGCTACAGATTTACCTTAAAACTGCTACCCATTGCCCACCTCTGTTGACTTTGTGGTATCGGTTCTCAAAAATAACCTTGAAATTAGCAATGTGTAAGATTAAAGAGGGGTACAAATACGTGCCAATAGCAATAAGTTAGAGTAACAGAGCACATGGTGAGAAAAACAGACGAGGCGAATAACATTTAACCAGAGGACCTCTATTTTTGGTTTATGTGTTCAATTAAAGTTATCTAGTGCCGATTTTCATTGTCAATTGTCTTAATGAGCAAAGTGGCTTTTAATGCAACCAGATTAAATATTAACCATATCTGAGATAAGGAATGGGAAAAAGGTCGTTAGGGACAGATTATCCTATGGGTGAATGAGCAAGCCAAGGTTTTGTGGCTAAACTTTTGGTAGTAATGTAGATGAATAGCAAGAAAAGTATCTAACAAGTTACAAAATTATTCAACAAATTTAGCAGCTGTAGGAAACACTACTATATTATACAACTTTACCTTGGGAGCACCATATTTACACCAAAATGAGGATGTAGATAGGATCAAAGGAGTTCACAACTTGACTATATGTGAGTATTTTTGACAGGTGCAAGGTTTAGTAATACCAAATATTTCTGTTTACAAGTATTGTTATATTGTAGCAGAAATACTATAATACTCTTAACTATGTTAACTTTAACATATATATATTTCTGTAAATTTCCACACCGATATTTAAAGCAAATCATGTACAGAATTTTTTGTTTCGGTTTGGAGGTATTCATTCGGACTTTGAATCTTGCTTTTTGTAGCACAAGATTCTACTTTATATTATAATACAACATATAATTACAATATTTTACAATGTAAAGGACAAACTGTTTTGGGAGAACTTAATATGCTCAGTTTATTCCTACTTCTACACCAAAAGACTTTTACCAAAATAACACACACATACACACACACATACGCGTATGTATATATACAGACAGGCAAGATATATGCGAGTTTGTCAATATTATCATCATATTAGACGTTCACCTAGTTGTGGTCGACCATATTTTATTTTTCCTTACTGTTTATAATATATTTATCTATTGTGAGGGACGTTCAAGTTATATAGTGTCTAGGTTTAGGCTACTAACTACCAAAAGTTTTATACCCTTAATGGAAACATGATAACAAGGCACAAAAACTACTTCAAGAAGACATATTATTAAGACAATAGATTTATATGCACTCCAATAGTTAGTACGAGTTAAATAATATTGAATTGAATAGGCACATGGAGATAGAAATCAGTTGTCAAAATGTGCAAAATGGAACAGAATATTTAACGAGGTAAAAAAGGCACCTCACAAATCTGGAAAGCCAAAATTTTGGACAAAATTTCTATTTGTCTGCCAAACTAAGGGGACACTTTCGTCCATTTTACGCTGCCTTCCAGCCTTCCAGCTTTCCAAATTTCCAATTTGAGGACAATATTTTTGCCACTAAAAAGGAGCTCTTTCTTGCTCTTTGCTAAACTTTCTCTGCTAGACTTCCATTGCCTTTTCAACTCTTTCCTGTCGGTTATACGCTTTATTTTCCTTTTCTCACCTCCTTACATCGCCTTACACTTATCAGTATATATCTTATTTTACTCATGGTACCTTGAAGAATACATTCTATTTGATTTCAAAAGCTTAAAAGGAATACAAGACATATATTATTATTTATTAAAAGTGAGTTGAAATTTGTATAACAATCTAACTGGGGTAGACAAGTTTACTGATAGTTGGTGGCAAATATATTGTCCTTAAAGTGGAAAGCTGGAAAGCTGGAAGGCAGTGTAAAATGGACGAAAGTGTCCCCTTAGTTTGGCAGACAAATAGAAATTTTGTCCAAAATTTTGACTTTCCAGATTTGTGAGGTGCTTTTCTCGATTTATTTAGTACTCCGATGAGAGGTGGTCGTCAACCACCACATCCACCTTTTCAAGTATTGCACTTTAGGGTTCTACATCTTTAAAGGATGTAAATGAAAACCAATCAACCACAATTAAGTGAATGGCTATTGTCGATATATTAGTTTTTGCTTAATTATATTAATGAAAATAAAGTATTGCGTTACAGTTTCTCTCACTGGCACCAAAACCAGGTTTTGCATTGTTACACTGTGTGACTCGATATTTTTTATCAGTGCATTTTCTTATGTCACAAATAAAAGTCACGAAAATAAATTACGATTGGCCACAATATTTTCAGGCCCAGTCAAAATATTTTTTCGAAAAACTATATAAACCCACTCTAAACTGGAAACCTATTTTTTCTTTAGTGACCGTACTCTACAGGATCTGTATGCAGTACATAACCGTTCTACGTTTTTCAAACTAGACACAATATTCAAGTTAGTAGATGAATACTAGCAGACCTTCTAAAGAGTGAAGTGTGTTGATTGTTTTTTCTTCGGAATTTACTTTCAGCAGTTGATGATCTCGTCTGTCTCTATTCCAGGGCATGACATGGAAGGAGCTGTTTTCTGATAACTTTTTTTAATTAATAAATAAATGAAAATAAAAATTTGCTTTAATTATTTTCTCATTTATGTAATGAGAGGTTATTTAAAATATGGCTTTATTTTTGACTGCTTTTTATGGTACAGAGTTTCGCTTTCAAAAATAGAGTGTATGGATTTTCTCAAGTTTGGATTATCTTTGATTGCAAAACCCTGTAAAATATATATAACTTTTATGAACATCTTTGAAAATCAAGTTGAATGCGTTAAGAGTGTTATTAATATGATCGATACTTTTTGCCACAATAACAAAATAAAAATAAAAACCTAGTGAAAGTTAATATTTTATCTCAAGAAGGATAGGAAAAGAATTAGGCAATAAAGGATCATAAGCTACGAATATTTGCTTTCATATAGAAAGTATGCGAATAATTAATTTTAACAAAAAAATCTATCACCAATTTAAAGAGTTGGCACTATTTTCGTTTTTTCTTTCTTATTTCTCAATAATACACCCACGACATCACAAGTATTCTTTTTAATTATATTGTTACTGGAACGTTATTTGGTCTTTTTATTTGTTTTGTAGTAAAGCAAAACTTTGTTCCTTTTTTATTTCACAGTGTTGTCCCTGAACTTACGACTACTTTGCTACAAAGATATTAACAGAACACAAAATTGAGAAAAACAATTAAAAAAAAAATTAGAAAAAAAATGTGAAAGTATGCATAACGTGTCTCTAGTATCATACCAATCCGGAGAAGCGCATTTTTTTTGCCTGTCATTGGATAGAATGATTAGACATTTCTGGAAATAATGATCTTGGACCCTTTTCTTTTTATTTATTAAAAAACTATGGTCATCGCCTTATAGTGACAGTACTCTCTCATTAAAGCTAAACCACATATTACACTGATACCATTCTGTACGTAGCATTTCGCAGTTAAATCAAGGCACTATTCCAGACTCATTTATCAATTAAATAAAAAAGAAAGCTCTGCGAAGATAAAGCGTATACAAGTCGACTGCGGTCAATAATTTCTTTATATAGAAGTAGGACTGTTTCCAGTGACGTCGGGGACTATAAGACAAGGAAGTTTGTGAGGAAAGATTCCAACATGTTAGATCATTCATTATGGTAAAACCAGGAAAGCAACCAAGGGTCAAAGGCAACATGAAGCCTGCGAGCAGCAGGTAAAATGATTTTTTTTGAAATTAAAGGCAATTTTCCTGTTAGATGTCAATACTGTGTTTGTCCTGCCTTGCCTTCTTTAACAGACTTGGTCATTCGATTTACTTGAGACTGACCTTTGGCTCCCACATCAATATATTCCTTTTGAAATCAGCCGAGCTGCAGAGCTCTCAGGATCGACATCGCTAAGCTTTGATAACTTGGGCGGATTCGCTCAATTTGCCAATGCAGGCATCCCAAATGCATCCAACAATACTTTGCATTCAAGCACTCCCACAACAGAAGATCACCTTGATCCCGGATTGTCCGTTATCTTGAAAAAGGTTGCGAAAAGAGATATGGTGACGAAACTTAAGGCACTTGAAGAACTTGAGGCATATCTTAAAGCACATCAAGAATCCATTCCAGCTATCCTGTCAACTTGGGTACATAATTAATTAAATAATTAATTATAAGAAGAAAAAAATACATCAAAAGGAGAATGGACAATTGATTTTTGGAATTTAATTGGTAAAAAAAAATACCCTGTGTTGTTTAGGTTACTATGTACGGAAAGCTCACAATGGAAGTTGATCGACGGGTGCGTTTAGCAGCCAACAGTGTCCACGCATTGGTGACCAGTCAGGCTGGTAAAAAATTGGCGCCTCATCTCAAAGATTTCGTAGGTCCTTGGATGATGACCCAATTCGACCAGAGTCGTGATGTGGCTAGGGCAGCCAAAACATCGTTTGAGGTAAATTAGAATACTAAAAAAAAACACGAAGAGCAGCTACGTGTGTGGGTGTGTGCGTAGATATGTAGTTACTAAAGTGTACCTTGGGCAGACTGTGTTTTCTGAAGAGAAGCGAGCAGGCGTGCTTTTATTCTGTCAAAAAGATATTCTTGAATTTATTATCGAAATGCTCCTTTATAAGACTCCCGAAACACTCAGTAAGCAGAGACACACCATTCTATACTACTTGAAGTATATCTAATTTCTAGATATTTAGGTGATCCTCGTTATGTAACCAAGGAAGACATGGACGCAAAGTTTGCGCGTGTCATTTCCTCAAATATTTATTGCATCTCTTATTTGATCGGTATGTTCCGTAGACAAATCAGTGCTCTATTAATATATGTGCCCTCAATGAGAAACCTCAAATCAAACCAACAAGCGCCTACTTATACATTATGGACCGACTGCTTTTCTTCATTTTTATTCAGGCCAATTACCTATCGAGGACCGTAAAAAGTCCAGCGACGTGTATGATAAGCTATTTGATGACCCTGTATTCTGGAAATATGTGAGCCATCAAAGCCCTATGATTCGCAATGCAGTATATAGCCTCATCAAGACCCTGTTACTTCTTTGGCCAGGTAAGACATAATACTAAAATATCGACAATAAACCAAATGGATACATATTAAGGGGTATTACTTATGTAGATATTCTTAAGACTCGCCTAGAGCTTGTCTGCCCTGTTTTCTTTGCGGCCGTTTTCAATGAAAAGGACGGGTCTACTCATTCTTCAATGTGGGATGCATTGTTATTGATTACTAAGAGTAAGGGCTTATACATAAAAATATACATGTATTTTTTATTCAAAAAAGGAGAGAAAGTTAAACTCATTTTTATTGTAATTTACCAGAATTCCCCGAATCTTGGATCGTTATTGCAAAGAAGAAGTCCGCTATTCCAAAGCTTTGCAACTTTTTACGATCAGGCCTGAATGGATCAGTTGGTATTTCCTATCCAAGTATATTGGCTCTTCTTGCCAATCTTCCTAAAGAGGTCAGTCACAGCACCCTAAATGCAATTTTGTAAACTTTAAAAAAGTATCCAAGTAATTTTTTTTTAACCTGCATCTATATCTGTGTATATACACTTTAGTTGAAGCAAGCACCAAACTTTTACAAGGATGTTTTTGACAGTCTCTGGAAAAGTCTTTCGACTGACTTTATTGATAGTTCGAATTCTCACATATTTTTGAATTCCTATGTTGAGTGTGCTGTTTATTTTATTGTCATGGAAAGGTGGGCTATTTGTCAGAGGGAGATGTTACTCAAGGTGCTAATACGGATTATGCTGTGTGTAGTAAAAACGAAGATGAAAATACAAAGCCAATAGTTGATTATTTAATTAACACAGTTCTCTGGAGACCATACGAACTATTCTTTATCGATGTGCGCGGTGTCAGCGGTCATGAGAAGCTTGATATTAAGAACTACTTGATACTTGCAAAGCATCTGTCTGTGCTTGTTTCTTCTGATAGTGTCAAAGGTGTGTCTTGTCCTCTAAATGAATCATCGCTAACTATTATTTTGTTAGACCTTATGGAGCCATTCTGGACTTTACTTGATAATCTGCTCAGCCAAACTATCACAGACTGTAGTACTAAATTATCCAAGTCAATTGATCTGGAAAATCTGTGTTATAAGGCTGGAGGGTTTATGATGGAGCTTTGTAATGAATTGAATAAGATTGAAAAAAGTGGTAGTAAAGATGCAATGGCACATGCTAGTAAGCTAGCAAGACGCCTGTTACTAGCTTCTATAAAATCTAGCATAACGCACAAAGGTAAATGAAAAACTGGTTATAAATTATGTTTGCCTAGTACTTTGCAACAAATGTGCTTATATTGTGTAAAATATATAGATCAATCCCACGCACTTTTGATACTTGCCGATCAACTGTTATCAAGCTATTCGAATGAATTGTTGGATACAGATGAGCACTCAAAGGTAATATATATTAAAATACATAGTATAAAAAAGCTAATAAATGTATTTATTTTAATAAAGGAAATATTGGTATCATCCAAAGAGCTCTTAACTTTGATTACACAAGGCCCACAACAGAGCATTGGGTCATTGGTTGCATTCTATACAAAGCTTGTATTTTCTCTATCCGAAAAGCCCTCCAAAGAGTTATGGAACTCTGTTATTTCTATGCTAAAGGAATTGAATGGAAAAACTAAAGATAGCCAAGCTGTACTTTGTCAATCCCAAGTGATGCTACTGCTACTCGAGCAAATCAAAAAAGAAGGAGCCTCTATGGATTATAAGAGCGAAGAACTCGATTCTTTGGTTCAATCATATGCTTCTCAATTACTTGATAGCGAGAATACTAACGAATTCTTAGAAGTACCTGTGATCAGAGAGACACTGGAACGCATTCTTGCCTCAACAATCTCCTTGAATTCAGGTAATCATTATTAGGATTTTGTATTCATATTTAAATACACAAGTGAAGAAAACAGACTTACTAATACTATTTTTTTTGTAAAGTGCATCCTGTTGTGTCAGAAGACACACTCAAAAAATTGATAGCCAGCCTTCAGTTAACCCTGAAAAATTTCAATGGGTTCCAATACATCATCAAGAGTAATTCTTCTGAACCTTCAACCAAACTCACCCAGATCACACTGTCTTCTCTCAAGGTGCTATATGATACTATCACAGCATCTCCTGTAGATACGCTTCCAGCAGAAGTATTCGAATGTCTTCCTGGAGAGGTTTTCGATGCAATTTTTTCCAAAAATTCTGTTATTGATCCTGAGGCTGCACCTATTCAAACTGTAGCTGATATGGCTTCTCTTGTGTGGGATATTATGGTGGCTAAATCCAATGGAAAAACATTGATTCAGCCTATTCTTAAACGTGTAAAGTCAAGTATTAACAATATCAGTTTCTTTGCAAGGTAATATATACGTTTTTTTGTTTTGTTTCAATAATAATAATAATAACAAAAAATGGCGTTTAATTTGTTTCATTTTTCTCAATGTGATATACATGTAAATTAGTCCATCTGATTCTGCAAAGAGAGTCCAGAAATTACTTTCTAGTGTCAATGACAATATTCGACAAGAAAGCATGGAATATTTATTTGGTACTCGTGAAGAATGGAAAAGCCTTGCCCGACCTTTTGAACAGCACACCCGTGTGTTTTCTACTCTTGCCATCCAAGATCCCCTTGCTGGACTCGTAAACTGCAGCCTTGTAGATGACGATGATGAACTTCTTCCTGTTTCATATGATTTGTATGGCTTGAGCGCATACGGTCGTACTGCTTTATTCGCTGCTGAATACATTTTCTCCAATTCTACAAATTTGTCTAATACAACCGATTGGATAATGATTGAGCTAATGGTAGCTCGCCTTGCATGTCAGTCAGGTCTTGAAGTCCCAGGATTGTGCCGTGTCTGGGACAACAAGATTCCAGAAAGCGCATTAGGAATACAGGCCTTTGTACACCAAATGGACAAACTATTTGTAAAGTGGATTGACGATTTAACTACGAACGCATCCTTTAATGCCTTGAGTTTACTGAATGATTTGAAGCAAAAAGTCAAGTCTGAGTACGACAGTCGTCTCAAGAGTGTACTGATGGAATTGTTGAGCACCCCTGCATTATCCGTTGCAACAGATTTCTCTCCTAAAGATGTCTATCTGGCTAATATCTTGGAGATGGTTTTGCGACTTTCGTTGCAAAATCTGGAATGGAGTACCGATGATGTTGCCCCATGGACAAGTGTATTGAAGGCTGAATCAACTGAATGTAAGTATGAAAGTGCTGATTTACTGTATGTACTAATATCGGTGTTTTCTCGATCGTTTGATAGTGAGCTTGTTAGGAAAGGTAGCCACCATGATGGCTTTCAAAGAAACTATGGGCGAATCTCCTATGTTTAAAAACCTACAGAGTGACCTGGTCAGCAAGCTCTCTTCTATATCAAATTTGGAAGATTTCCAAGACAGTCATAAGAAACGTAAGTTATTATGCTTTATGCAATATATAACGATTAGATTTCTCATATACTTTTATATATCTATGTATCCTGGCCTGTTACCCAAAGCATGGAGTTTGTTGGTCCTCTTAAATATTTCTTCACTCAAGTTCAAGTACATTTCTATTCCTACTCAGCGTTTGATGCATCTTATGCTTGCAATGCGAAAATGGTTTACTAGCAAGTCATCCCCTGATACTGAACAAGCCATGATGCATGTCCAGATTGCACAACTGTTCTCTCATCTTGCAGAGTCTCTTCAAGATGTTTCTGGTGGCCAATGGAGTCTTTTCCTTGGGCAATGTTATGAATGGGTTGCAGTACGTATATCTTTTTTCTTTGTTTATTGGAGATACAAGTAGGGCTTACTAAAACTATGTGGGTTGAGCAGTTCTCGGATCCAACGGTACCTGAAGAAATCACATTGCTGTACTATGCACTTTTGTTCTACAAACAACTCGAGGAAATGGTATCTGATGGCAACTCAGAACTTGAAAACATTATCCAAGAGTATGCACCTCGCTTCTCAAAGACATGTCTTAAGCTTCTTACCTTAGAGAAAGGTAGCTTAACTTAAACAAGTATCCGCCATTTGATGCATATATTAACTTTGATTATTATTAGGAGTGAATATGTCCCACCCTCGACAAAAGTATCAGGAGCTATTAGCAGATCTGCATGTCCAAATCCCTGATAACATCTTGTTTGATGCACTTTCATTTACTGATGTAAGACTTGGTTTGAAATTTGGCGTGCCCAGGATCGCATGGATCTAGAAAGTTAATTTATTATTTGACAAATCTTAATGCTGTGTATCTAGATGTGTCACTTGCTCAAGGCGCCAACAGAACAGCTCCAAAAGTGCTCATATGACTTACTCCGGAGATCAATTTCTCACACTGTAGAAGAGCTCTCTGTTCGCATGGAGTTCACTGAGACGAGTGGTAGGAAACCTTTTGCTTGTATTGAGTAATATGATACACGGATAAGTTAACAGACAATCATTACTGTGGTACGATCAGAGGGAGACACGGACTTCTCGATCAATAGGGATATATATAAAAGTCTTGTGGGCGCTCCTGATATGTCCACATGGCATTCGGCTAACCTTAAAGACCAGGTATAAATTTCTATTTAAAGGCAGCTTATCAGTACATTCTAACCTTATTGTGTGTACATGTGTGCAGCCTTTGCATGAAATACTAGGATTTTTGTTGTCTTGGCTGTTGATGTTTGACCATTTTAATGAAATTGTAAGTATTTTTTTTTCTTATCACACTTGCAACCGGAATTGCATTATATTATTTTAGATGCGCCAAGCTGTACAATAAGATCGCCACAATCTAATTGATTGGTTTATGAATAGACTTTCAAATTGAAGCAAGAATATACCTCTCAGTTGAAGGATGCCGACTTGATATCCACTCTCCTCCCAGTACTCTTTAAGATATTAGGCACAGGATATACTCAGGACATCAAACCATTTGATCTGGCTCCCTGGGACATTGACTCATACGATCTCGAAGGTTTTTAAAGCACACATTGTGTATAGTATCTTAAAGTACTTGATTAAGCTTTTTGATGATTAATGTAGGCTTCGAGTCGACTTCAGAAATAAGTTATCTGATTTTGGCTTCCCACCTTTATTTCCGCGCTTTGAAGCAAGTTCCGTCACTTGTCAGGTACAGATATTTTAGTTTCTGATTATATTTAAAACAAACGCTTAACTACATGTACATATTGATACATTTTAGAGCCTGGTGGGTGGGATGTAAGAATCGCCAATTGATTCTCGGTGTTGAAAGGTAGTATATACATATATTTAAGCTACTTATTATGGCCAGTAGCTAACGATTGTTATAATTAGCTACACCGAAAAATATTTCAGTCCTCGTTTGATCAACAATGAACTTGATATGCTCAACCGTCCTGATATCATGTCGGATTTGGCGGATAATGGCGATAATACATTTACTGTCAAGGCTCTCAAGTCTGCCAATGAAGTGATGGCCAATTATCTGGTGGATGATCAAACCTTGAGTGTTTGTATAAAATTACCAAAGACCTATCCTCTGCGCCAGATTAATGTTGAGGGTGTTGCCAAGATCGGTGTGAATGAAAAGCAGTGGCGTGGGTGGATGTTTGCCGTATCTGCTGTCATTGGCTTCCAGGTAATATAGATATATCAAATGTGGATTTTGACGGAGAATATAAGTATTGACTATTGTTTTTTTTTGTAGAATGGAAACATTGCCGATGCATTAACCGTATTCAAACGAAATGCAAACCTTCATTTTGAGGGTGTAGAAGATTGTACCATTTGTTATTCTATTATCAATGTTATCGACCGATCGATACCTAACAAACAATGCCGAACTTGTAAAAACAAATTCCATTCAAACTGTCTCTACAAGGTAACCTAATATTTATCCTTTTTTTTTTACTATTTGCATTTGGTAATCAAGCTATTCTAATCGTCAATGTATAGTGGTTCAAATCGTCCAACTCTGCCAGTTGCCCATTGTGTAGAACAGTATTTTAAGAGCGTGTTTTTTCTTTAATATGTATCTGTCTTTCCATCTCTCTTACTCTTACTTTATAATAATCAATTCATAAGTTTATACACATTTCTGAACTTGATTTACTTTGTTCCTTACTTTTAAGTATATGGATGGTGGTCAAATCTCACTAGGACTTATAAGCAAAATAGTGTCTTTCATATACGCGTAAATGCAAATGACTTGCTGCTTTCCTTAAGCTCTTCCTTTTCCCTTTTCCCTGCTTTTTTCCTTTCCTTTCTCCTTTCTGATTGCAGCAAGGTTGTCTCTCATATCCACGTCATCGTCTTCTGGATCATCCAAAGGTTCTGGCTCTATCAGCTGAACGTCTTCCCAATTACCTACAGTCCCAAAACAAATCAACGGACATAGAGTAGTGTTAATAGACTGTTTATTGGTACTAACAATTCGTTATATAATGTGAACCTGCCTCGATTGGAATCAAAAAATACAAAATAAACTAATGCATCATTGGAAAGGTTTGCCTTTGACATTGTCCATGCGTCTTCGAGGAGATCATATTTATTATCCCATTGAGTAGGCATCAAGAGACGGATATTGTCTGGGGTCTTGTCAAGCTTGAGAGCACCACATAACTTAACCTTGACATCAGTCATTGTGTCTTTTGGGTCAATGCATAGGAATAAGTTTGTCTTTTCGCGCCTGAGGCGAATATACACAGGCTTCAAAGGTTGTGCTATCTATGCACACACACGTTGAAATTATATAATCTGTTTTTTATTTCTGTCTCTGTGTGTATGTATGTATATATACTGAATTATTTTGAAAATGATTAATATTGGCCTACCATTGTAGATTGTTGATCAGGTTAATAAGAAAATAGAATCAATGAATTATATATATTTATTTATTTTTGCAACCAGCTCAGCGTTTACGCATTGTGTGCGTGCCTGTGTACATGTGTGCCAAACATTTACCCTATTCCTTCTCACACAAAAATAAATAAATGACAGTCCAAAAATCAAAAGGAGACAATGAAAGTCAAGATTCTAAATTGAAGCTGTTGGTTGTAGCCATTAGATACTACATTGATAATAATCTACATATATCTTTTACGCTTTACTCTTATATCTGACACCAATTCTAAACTAGGGAAATATAACACCAGACCAGTTATGTGTATCATCAAAGCCATAAATATATTTTTATATTTAGCTGTAATTAGGTAGAAAATACCAAAGAAGGAATATATGGGCACTCAATTGTATGGTTGTAGAACTTGCAAGTGAGATTTCAATACAAATTTAACTGTGATAAATCATATATACACAATCCAAAAAATCGGAAACTCACACTAGGAAACTTCAATATCCTTCTAGAGAATTTTATACAAGGTTTCTTTTTTCTGTTAGGATTAATAATAGTTAGGAATAATTGACTAAAGCATAGGCATTTCTTGAAATCAATTGATCAATTAATAGCATTCTAATACATCCCAAAAAATTTTACTATCCTTTTTTCTTAAACATAAAGGATAATGATATTGATCTAACAATTGGTGGGCTAGAAAGCATAGAATTCTCACGGCACTGATTGCTTGTTGAACAACATTTTACTCATGGACTCTTTATCAACGCGCGCTGACATCATCAAAGCAAACATAATTTTTCGTACAAAAGGAAAGAAACATAAGAAGCGAACCCCCCCCCCCCCCAACACCTTTTGGGGTTAATCAAAGTAAAACCATAAAACCATAAATAAATCTTCCTAGTGCACCAGTGATCTCTTTCTGTTCAATAACTCAATCCTGCCTCCGACGAATCAAGAACCAGAAGCCTCATATTCCGAGAATGGAAATAAAACTTTAATCCTAGACTATAGGAGAAATGACAGGTATCCTTGACAGCACTCTGCGTATATATTTGTGTGTATATTTCTATCCCTTGGATCCAATGTAGAGTCGATAAAAATATTCCTTTATCAAGCACCCATGCAAAACAAACATACTCAATATTATGATATCTACCTTGCAATATATATATATATATTATAAATGAAAATCTACTGATTTATCAAACAATCCATGTACTATCTTTTAATTCTCATACAATGAATTCTACTGATCAGCCATTGGTCTAACCATCAATTGATTATTAAAGTCTTTGATTCAATATGAAATAATCACTTTGCTACTTTTAATGTCTATTGTAGAGATGGCCCAATAGTAATTGCTTTGTATTGTGTCATTTGAGCCAAAGAAACGCTGGTATTCATACAATACATATATCCTCCGATGAAAAAGAGGATATCATACCTGAAGCTAGTAGTAGCTTTCTATCACAAAAGATAGCGCGAGAATATCCTTCGGCTATCGATTGTTCAACGCAATGGTTGCGTATTTCTACCCAAATAAAAGTAAGATTGATAAGCTAAAGGGTGAAATCATACTGCCCTGGAAAAGTTACAAAATTTTAACTGACTTTAAGAATACGGAGCTTGAAGTATCTACCATTTACACATTTTTTTTTAAAAGTCTGAGTTTCAAGTTTAGTTCTTCCAAAATTCACTCAACTTTTTTTCTTTCTTTTTTTTCCATGTCAGGTGGAATTCGGTAATGAACCTTGAAGTTTAACTGGGACAAACTAAATGAATAGATCTTATTTTCTTTTTATTTTATTCATTAAGTTTGTGCGTGACGTAATATGCGAGCCAATCAATGTAGTACTATAATTGCATAAATATATAAAGGTACACCAGAGAGCAATCCAAAAAGTCTTTCCCATCCGTTTCTTCTTCGTTTTTATCTAAAATATAATGTCCAACTTTATCGTCGAAGCAACTACCTCCAAGGGCTACAAGATTAACTGTAAGTTTTTGGCTTAAAAAGAAACAAATATAGGATAATAAAGTAACACCAAATCAAACACTTGTTTTCTAGTGAACACTGGTTTGTTCATTAACAACGAGTTTGTTGCTGGTGCAAACACCATTGATACCATCAACCCTTCTACTGGTGAATTGACTGCCAAGGTCCAGGCTGGTAAGTTTGTACTATATATAGAGATCAAGTATTCAAGTGATATTCTCTCATACTTACCAAACAATGGATTTGTACATTAGCCGAAGCCAAGCAGGTCAACGATGCTGTCAAGGCTGCAACTGATGCCTTCAAGAATGGCTGGAAGCAGACCAAGGGTAGCGACCGTGGTGCTCTTATGTACAAGCTTGCCGAGCTCATTGACCGTGACAACGAAGAAATCTCTCAGATCGAAACTCTCGACAACGGCAAGGGTATCACCTTTTCCCGCTTTTTTGATGTTAAGCAGCTTGCCGTAACCCTTCGCTACTACGCCGGCTGGGCTGATAAGGTCCACGGTAAGGTCATTGATACCGAAGGTGCCTTGTCTTACACCCGCCACGAACCTCTCGGTGTCTGCGCTGCTATTATCCCCTGGAACTTCCCCTTGCTTATGTTGGGCTGGAAGTTGGGTCCCGCCCTGGCCACTGGTAACACCGTTGTTGTCAAAACCTCTGAGCTCACCCCTCTCTCCGCCCTGCGTGTTGCTGCCTTGGTTAAGGAAGCTGGTTTCCCTCCTGGTGTGGTCAACATCATCACTGGTTACGGTAACATTGCTGGTGACGCTCTTTCCCGTCACCCCGACGTTGCCAAGGTTGCCTTCACTGGTAGCACTGCTGTCGGTCGTATGGTCATGAAGGCTGCTGCTGAGAGCAACTTGAAGAAGGTCACTCTTGAATTGGGCGGTAAGTCTCCCAACATCATCTTCAACGATGCCAACATCGACCAGGCCGTCAAGTGGGCCCACAAGGGTATTTTCTTCAACCATGGACAAACTTGCTGCGCTGGTTCGCGTGTATATGTCCAGGAGGGTATCTACGAAGAGTTCATTGAGAAATTCAAGGCTTACACTCGCTTGACCAAGCTCGGTGATCCCCATGAGGATGATACCTACCAGGGTCCCCAGGTTTCTCAGGTTCAGTTCGACCGTATTATGGGTTATATTGAGGCTGGTCAGAAGGAAGGTGCTACCCTTGCTTTGGGTGGCAAGCGTTGGGGCTCTAAGGGTTACTTCATTGAGCCCACTGTGTTCACTGATGTTAAGGAAGATATGACCATTATGCGTGAAGAGATCTTCGGCCCCGTTGTTGCCGTCTCCAAGTTCGTTGACGTTGATGATGTTGTTGCCAAGGCTCACAACACTACCTATGGTCTCGCTGCAGCTGTGTTCACCAGTGATGTTGCACGTGCTATCGAAGTATCTAACCGCCTTGAGGCCGGTACTGTCTGTAAGTATACTTGTATATTTGGATATATACTATTGCTTTTTATTCTTGATTTTTGCAGCAAACTAATTTTCTTCTGTGTGTTTAGGGGTCAACTGCTACAACGAACTTGACTACAACACTCCTTTTGGTGGTTACCATGAGTCTGGTATGGGCCGTGAGAATGGTGTTTATGCTTTGGACAACTACACTCAGGTAAGATTACGAAAGCATTATGTGGGATACATAATCGTGAGAGTGTATATATATATATATTACACAGCATGAACTTTTTGAGAGTATTACAAACTAATGCATAAAAATCCGCCTTTATATTATTAGATTAAGACTGTCAAGATTAATATCAACCGTCAGGCTTAGATGTGAAGAAAAACATAATATCATCGCCAAAGTCCAACATTGCATACCACTTACTTTTTCCTTTCTGTTAATAAATCTACAATTTTTTTTTAAAAAAAAAGAACCAGTAAAGCTTCAAATTTATATACAAGATTGCTTAGTCATCTTACTAGTATTATTGTTTTCATAGCTTAAATTTTGTATTATAGGCCTTGATCTGGCCGCCAAGTTTATTTTCTCCATTTCTCCCAGGCTGTGTGTGTACGACAAATGTTCTATATGCGGGAGGATCTGACCCAGTTTATTGTTACACTCAATTCACTTATTTTTGTTTATGAGAAATTTGGGGGGAAGGGTTTTTTTGGAGTGCACTGAATTTGGCTAATTCATTTTGAATAAGAAGATGTGTGTTACAAGAATATCTTAGTTTGGTTTCACCAGAGCACGCGTTTTCTCTGATGCACTTAAATTTTTTTTGGCCTTTCTTACTACTAAAAGTCTAAAATTCTTTGCTGCAAAGGATGTTTAAAAGACAAGGGAACCACTGTGATAAGAATGCATTGAACAAATCAATGTATACCAAATATTGATTAAAAATATTTAACTGCCAAAGGAATAAAAATAAATAAAATAAACAAGTTGTAGTAGAGCAGCAGGTTTTATCCAAGCAGCTTACTTGGCCAATGTAATGTAATGCATTTACGTGGTCAAAAGCCTACAAAATAAAACATAATAGCCTATAGAATTATATCTATTTATTTATGCGTTAAATTGTTTGATTCATGAAACCAATATTTAACTGCATTCTTTTTTTTTGTTTTAATAAAAAGATGTTTTTCTGTACCAAAGAATGGGACAGAAAGAAAGATATTAAGTATTTGAATCTCAGAACAAACAGGTGTATATTTATACAGTGCTTCCAACAAGCAATGTCACAGCCAATCAAAATTGAAGTCACGAGAAAATCAAAAATGCTTTTTTTTTTATTATGTAACTGAAGTTTTACCCTTCATTTGTTTTTTTTTTAAAAAAATCTTTTAACCCCCGTCGTGGCTTATGAGCACTTTATTTGATACTGGTTGCAATGCTACTGCTGCAGATGCTCTTACTGCCTCAATTTTGACCACTTCCCCATTTCTTTAAATCTTCATTCTCTTATGAAATCTCGAAAATAGAGCTTAAACTATTTCTTGCATTGGTAGAAGATGACGCGTACGAATATTTTAAACGATGATTGTGACCTGGAGATTACAATGGCAAAGCATCATTCTTCAAACTTGGACTGCAGAGTGAATGAGCAAAAGAAAATTCGCATCACTATTAATCGCAACAGACAACGTGGTCATGTCCAATTGTGTGAGGATTATTTCAATCCTGAATCAACCTACACTGAAGAACAATTTCGCAGGCGATTCAGAATGAACAAAACCTTGTTAATGCGTGTTCTAGAGGGTGTAAAAGGGCACGCCAGCTACTTTGAGCAGAAATTCAATACTGCTCGTGTACCTGGTTTCTCTTCTCTACAGAAGGTATCTGTAGCAATCCGTATGCTTGCATATGGACTACCAGCCGATTCCCTTGACGAGTCATTCAGAATGGCAGAGTCGACTGCTTTGGAATGTGTAAAGCGTTTCTGCTCTTCCGTAGTTGCTGTCTTTGGTGATGAGTACCTGAGAGCACCCAGCGAAGAGGATATTGAAAGACTTTTGGAGGAAGGGGAATCCAGAGGCTTTCCTGGAATGTTGGGCTCCCTTGACTGTATGCACTGGGAGTGGAAAAACTGCCCAACTGCTTGGCATAGGCAGTTTGTTGGAAAGGAGAAGACGCCAACGATTGTGCTGGAGGCTGTCGCCTCATACGACCCGTGGATCTGGCACGCGTTCTTTGGCTTGCCTGGGTGTCTCAATGACATAAATGTCTTAGACAGATCCCATCTGTTTAGGGATCTCGCAACTGAGAAAGCCCCAGTTGTCAACTACTCCGTAAATGGCAACAAATACAACATGGGGTACTACCTAACAGATGGGATATACCCTACATACGGTGCCTTCGTCAAGAGTCTCAACGATCCTAGGACACCGAAAGAAAAGATACCTTAGTATATATCACGGTCTTTCAATTCTTTTAACTAATCACCTCTCTTTTTCAAGAATTTTGCAAAGGCACAGGAGGGAGTAAGGAAAGATGTCGAGCGTCTATTTAGTGTCTTGCAGGCGCGTTTTCCATATTATACTGTGAGCAGAAAAGCAACTTAAAAACTCATGCTGAGCACGCTCATCTCCACAAGATATTCTTCGATCATAACGAGAGCACTTCAGAACCAGTCAAAAGAGGGAAACTTGTCTCGATACCTGGAGAGCGACATTTTTATACATTTGCGGCTTCTGACAGACAATGTGTTCCCAATTTACCCGCGTTGTCCAGCTTATACCCCCACAGGGGGTTTTTTACGTGCTCTCTTACTGTTTCGCTGGCTATTCACCTTTGCCATGCCTTGTCCAATACTTTTTTCTTTATTTTCTTTCATTTTTACCTATTTTTTATTCCCCCTCATATTTAGGGATTTACTTTTATTAATTTCAATTATTCCCCAGCTCTCATCGGGTAGCCTAAATGCTAAAATGCGCAAGGCCTAGTACCACCCACAATAAAATATTTTCACCTGTCCAGTTTATATTGACAGACCATGCCAACAAATGCAATTGCCCAATTGAATACACAATCAAAAGGGAACGTACATTTTGGATTGATCGTGTATTTCCTTTGCTCCAAACGCTTGGTGATAAGACCGGCTTTATTGGCTTCGAATGGTGTGAGACGATTGCAGACGAGTGGATGGAGTTCAACACTGTACCAGAGTGTTGGGTCCATGGGAATGTTCGATATCTTGATGGTTTCTGCTACTATTGGAAAGGACGAAGCAAAACTGTGATGAAATATTCAAGCAGTCCAACAGCAGAAAAAATGGGCCACACGTTGAATGACACTATCAAAAACATGAACAGTTCCATTGCGTGTTGAAAGCGGTGGATCTATAGATATAACCGAGGAAGAATATGTCTGCACAATTTTATCGAAGTCGTCAACCATCCCATCTTGATATTATTTTCTTTCTTTTCCGTCAAATTTCTTATTACCATAAATATACCATTGAAAAGTATAAATAACCAAGGCAAAAGCATGAAAATAAAACTGTAACTTGAATCAGTGTAATTTTTGAGCTTGCCAACTGATAAAAAATAAAATGCCTACACCCATTTATTGACACCAGATAAACCGAAAAGTTGTTATAATGATGGACGTTGCATTTACAACCTCATCTTTTCAACGGTGTTGATGACATTGTAAGAGTCAGTGGCATCTCTAGCGCCGACCAAGGCCCTAAACTTTGTCCAAGGTTATTAATTTCGGAAACTCTGGCCAATCCGTATATGAAAATCCTGAACAAAGTTTAGGGCCTTGGTAGGTGCTTGAGAAGCCCCTTACTGACATGTTTGTGCTTAAAGCTACACATAGCCTGTTAGCTGATAGGAAAATCAAACGTACAAAGAAACTTGGCGATGGCGGCTCAGATATCGTATTCTTTTTGGAATCCAACAGTCTAAAAAAATAAAAAGAGAAGCCAAATACGTTGATTGTGAAACTGTTTTTATATCGCAGAAAAAGGTCATTCAAACCCTGCGTCAATGTTGCTAATGTTATAGATAGTGCTCAAAGGGGTTCTAGGCCTAAAGTACTATACTCACCTAGTATGTTTTATGATTAGTTTTGTATAGATCTATCCTTGAGTTGGATAGAAAAAGAGTCCATATTTATCTTGCTTGTATCTTGAATACAGGGGGGTGATGCTCATCAAACAGACAACCTTTAGAATTTGTAGGGATAATAAGACGAGGTATTCCAACGATTCATATGTCTACTACCTACCTAATGCTGAGAGAATATACCATTAATTTGACAAGATCTTATTTACTATAGCTTATTTAGTGGATACACTGTATAATCATCCAGCTTATGTGAAAAAAAATTCCTTGAGAGTTTGTGCATCTTAATCTAGTGATAACTATTAGGCTTTTATTCCTATAGAAAGTAGTTCCTGTAAAGAATTAATAAGATTATATAATTCTTAAAGTTATACAAAACATCCTGTGAAATTTGAACCTCTGGTGATATTTCCTATCCTCATATACTCATTACACACAAACACATGCGTACATACACGGGTCAATATAAAATTCAATATGTTTGAATTATGCATTGTTTTACGGGTCATCAAGTTACAGACTCTCTCACATTCTTTTAATATATATAGACAGCTGTTAAAAGTTTTCTAAAAAATAGAAGCGTTAGTTTCTTATGACGTTAATTATATAGTTAAAGTGCCTTTAGACTTTTTATCCATGATAAGTACAGAGTTGAGGAGACTTATTAAGCCAAATACTGTCAAGAAACTTGTCATAAAATATTTAGGCTATCGATCTTGCTTTGACTGTGTTACTTATTAAACAACTAATTTATGTCCAACAGAAAGTGAATTCAGCTAGAGTGATGATGACTGTAATAATTATAAATGATATATCAAATCTAAACCAGTCTTGAAGTAATGTAAAGAAAATATCGCAAGTCCCAATATGTGTGATAAAGAGCACTAGCAGTAGAAATATGTTAAAGAAATTATTCTCTTTTATACTGGCAAGTTTAGCTTTGCGGATTTGGTAAGTACAATATCCTGTTACTTGATTCATTGTAAAGCTTTGAGAAGCACAATATATTTATTTGTTTTTCTTTCGCTCTCTTTCAACCTTGGGTTATCTTTCACTCTTTACAGAAAGCACAAAGCCTACAAATTAGTCTACTTTGTTAATTTAAGTCTGTTTTCTTTTGTAATACGTATAAAACATATTTGAACTTGGTATATTACACAAATAAAAATAACACAGATCATTTTACACTAAGTTACAGAATCCGTACCATCCAATAAAAAATAACAAATGAGATCTCGTGAAACCGTCGAGGATGGTACATGCACCACCGTATGCTATCTAGCCCACAGCTCCCCCCCCCCCCCCCCCCCCCCCCCCCCCCCCACCAAAGATTAAGGCTATTTCTTTTTCTTTCTGAATATTTTCCTTTACTGGTTTGCTTATACCCATCTTTCATCTTCTAACTAGCAATGTAAATACTCTACACATCGTTGGTTTGATAAAACAAGAGTCAACCATTACAAATTAACTTTGTACACAGCTTTACTTAGTAGAAAAAACACAAACGAGCAATAACTGTCAAGTAACTTTTAGATTGTGGATCTTAATGTGTTTAAATATATTAAGCGTTTTTTTTTGCTTAGCCAATTTGCCTTTATAGTTGATTTTTGGTATTTAGTTTGCCATTTTGATCACAATGATCCTTTTAAAAAAAGTTCTTCAAATTATAATAATTATCTGTTTAGACTAAATATTCTTTAAACGCTATAATGTATCATTAAGTTAAAGTAGGCAAGCTAAGCTTTAGAAGTTAGAGAGGCGTTTATTCTTAATTTATTTTGTGGAATATATAGAATTTACGATGACTGCTGATAAGTCTATTTGGTATTACTAAAAGAAAGACTAGGTGCAGAGTAGTTATTATAACGCTCGGCTTAATGATAATAATATGAGCTTGTATGAAAAGAGCAAAACAATCAGAATGAACTTAGGCAATCAAGTTAAATCGTATCTGTCTTTTATTATTCAGAATACATTTTATAGCTAAAGGCGTATTTAAAGCTCCATTTTCTTAAAAAGCTATAATTACTTCTTTTACTCCAACTAGAATACACTATAAAAAAATGGATCATAAAACTTTCCTAAGTGCATTAATTAAAAATTGTATGATGATTAAGCGAAAATACGGTTTAAGATTAAATAATCACACTTCAAATATGGGGTCTTTTTGAGAGATTCTACAAGAAGACCTGCAACAAGTTATTGGATACCAAGGATGTTGATTGAGAAGTAAAAAAAAAAGTCTCAAAAATTAGTGAATTTCCCTAGATTATCGGAATACATGCTTTATATATATATAATATTATGCTTTGGGTATGGATAAATATCAAGATCTTGGTTTTTTTTCTAGACCTGTTGAACTAAAGTCTATAATTTCCTGTCAGTGCTTAATTGCTATGTTTTTTTTTTTCATTTTTAAAAAAGATACAAATTTCAAAATTCTTGATTATAAACAAAATGCACAATAAACAGATTCTAATTACTTTTTCTTTTTGCATAATTCTCACAATATTTTGTATATTTTGTATTATACATTTCAAAACTGAGTACAAAAAGCAATTAATAGCTATGCACATAATATACGGGAAACGGGTACTAGACTTTCAAATAAAGTACCTGGCCATTTTATGAGTTAAAGGGTGATCCGCTTTAAATGAGCTTGAACTCGACCTTTAATATTATTAATATTATTAATTATGGCTTTGCATATTTATATATATAAGATAAGATAAATAATCTTTGATTAAATAAGACTTGAATTAGTTTCTGATCTTTCTGTGTATTTATCCATACCAGACGGATAATGTCCTGTATATTATAAACTTTTTTGTATGTATAAATCAAGGGATACCAATGACATTTTCTTTTTTTTCTTTTGGTATGCGTGTATGTGTGTATGTATCTATGTAAGTGTGTGTGTGCGTGTTTTTGATATATATATGCGTATACATATACGTGTAGACAAGGAATAGAGAGATAGAGAGATTGGTCGTGCAGGCTGTATGTATGTGAAGTTGTTCTGTGCTGTGCTAAGGAAAAATGGGTAAAGGAAAAATAAACAATAAAATAACTTCATTTTTTTGTTTTACAATCGAGACTCCTTCAGTGAACAGAAATCAAGGTCGTTATTTTCTGTGCGTTTTGGTGTTTGGTGTTTGGTTCTTCGCGTCTGTGCTTTTTGTTGTTGTGTGCATATATGTATTGCTTGTGAAAATCCTCTGTTGGCTATTTAAAATATTGTTCCGTAAGCACAATATATATAAATTTATATATCTGTAAAAATCATTTTAAAGGTTTGGGTTAATTATCTTACCTTATACACAATTTTTAAACTCTTATGCTTTTTCAGTATGGTCGGTGCGGAGGAAAGGATAATACGGCGCTATAACTTAAAGTGTTCGTTCACTACTGGGCCTGGCCAGTGTTTCAATTATTTCTACAACAGAAAGTTAACATTAGAGCTGATCTTATAAGCTCGGTATACCCAGTATTTACCGTGTAAGAGTTCGGGATCCTGATGTAATGTTTGACCCCATGTGGTATCTTTATCAATAGGAAAGTCCTCTTCTGTTATATGATAGCCCATCAATAGACACGCAACAGCAATCATTTGTGGATCGTACAACAAACAGATGGGTCGCCTTAAACTATCCAAGCATATCAACGGTAAAAACCTTGTATTACCAATGAAGACTCTACTATACCTGTCATTTGCAAAGGTCCACCCTGCCTGGACTGCATTATCTGGTGCTAATAGAATATTAATATATGCATACATAAGCCTGTATTCACTATCTCTTTCCTTTTTCTCACTTTATCTTTCCAAGTTTAATACCTTCCAAGCCCTCTTTACTCAGGCTGTTAGTGGCCTGCTTACCTCTGATCTCCTCTGCTAGTTCAATCATCAATTGATGGGGATTGTCGACTGTTAAATCAAAACACAGGGTTTCTAGCAATATAGTCTCGTACACAAGAATCATATCTCGGCAACGTGTTTGATACTATAAAGAATCAAATTGGTGTACCCTCCAGAAAAAAACAACACTATTTACCTTGGTCTTCTCTTGGGCATGATTTGTCTGATTAAACCGACCATGCGTCAGAGCTGCCACAACGTCCGTCAATTTCCGTGAAGACTCCTCTACCTTACATGCCAAATATATACACGTTGCTGCCATATTCTTTACACACACACACACACACACACACACACATCAGATCAAGACACAATATACTAGCAAAATATGTATATGCTTTAATAAGTATAAATCTTACAGTAGCATCGTAGGTTCGAAAGGATTCACGTGCATAGAAGCGGTGGAAATAGACGCAAGCAGTTGCTACTGTGATCTGAGGTCTAAGGACGACATATGATATTTATATACAAAAAGTTTGTATTGTAATATAAACTTACAGTTCAATGCGACACCCAATGGTCTGGATTAGTTCTGAGCCAAACTCTCGCTTACGCAGCTCATCAGCAACAGTCATTCCATCATTGACAATAGACGGTACTTGCATCAACTCTTCTCGTGTAAAGAGCCACTACATGCACGCACGCACACGCAGACATTTATATGTACAATTCAGAAAGAAAGAAAAAATAAAGTAAAGAATCTTGTCAAATTAACCAATGGTTGAAACATTGAGCTTTTGTAGTTCATCACTTGATAATACCCGCTTTCCCCAAAAAAAAACAGGTAAAATACAATGAATAGTAACAAGAGAAGAGTGTATTTGTGGTTACTTTACCTGGTTCATTATATGTCTGCTTATTTTAAGTATCTATTTTATAATCTAGTAATAATAAGAATAATATGCTAATATAATAGTATATATTGAATAGTCTTGCTTTTTAGTTAGCAATGTGCTTTTGGACTTGAGAAAAGAAGTGTGCGGGAGGAAACTTTAAAAAAGAACCTTTGAGCGGTCTCTATTTTCTTTTTTTGGTCTTGTCTGGTTTCTCAAGATTGACGGATAAATAATTAAACGTAAATATATACATATATATACATATATACAAATATATATATAAGTACTTCATCTTGGCTTTACAATCTTGTATTGATTGAAAGCATAATTATGTGGTATACCATAATCTTTTTTGGAGAACTTCAATTAAAATAGCTGTATACAAATCGTATTTATTATCATTTATAGTATTTGTTTTTCAAGCATAAAAACAAATAAAGGTAAAATCTGTCAGCAGTGATAGAGTACATGGATCGACGTTGCACGTGTAATGATTGGATCGCTTAACTTCAATGGTGGTCTAATAGAAATCATTTGCACTTGCTTTGAAAGAAACATATAGTCTGATCTGCGGTTTATTGTTGTCATTATTATGCAAGGGTTAGTTGCTCTTATACTCAGATAATTAAAAAAAAAACATGATCATAGTTTGATAGTGGCTTGAATGCTGTCCAATGTTATGAGATACAAGGGAAGTATACCCATGCCAAATGATATCAAAGCTTTTAATTCGATATGTACTTCATCAAAAAGAAAAAAAAAAGCAGCAATAAAAAATCCAGCATCAATTCATATTTCCTGCCTTGTTTCTCTTACATATTCCTTATCTTGTTTCTTTAAAAAATAATAACAAAATATGCGCGTACTTGGCTTGTGTTTTGCAGCTCTGTTGATCCTACAGAATGTCAGTGCGGACAAAGATAAGCCAGATTTCCCCAACGACCTTTATTACCATCATCATCCACACAAGGTTAAAGGCCATTATGTGGATACTAATCAAAGTAAGAACATCATACTAGGTCCATTGAATTGATTACTTATATATTCTACAGAAGTCCAGCCCGTGAAAGAAGCTTCTACTACTACTGAATTTTCTGGTGATACATCATTGATTCACCCAAATGAACAAGGTTTTTTTTATACATAACATTTCAATTGATCTTATTACTGACCAGTAAAAATGTGTATGCACATTTCATTTTGGAATACAAGGTCATGCAGCTAACAATGGTCCTCAGCCTCAATCTCCTCCTAATCAAGCCCAAGGTCAGCCTCAGAATCTTGCTCAGGCTCCTCCTCCTGAAGCTTCTACAAACACTGTTGCTGTGAACATGGCTGTTGATGCAAACGGTGGCTCTCCAGCTGGATCTTCCTCCACTGTCTCCGACTCTGTTAATGGTTCTCAGGCTCCCTCTGGTTCAGCTGCCGCTCCTCCAGCTGCCCAATCTTCTACTCAATCCGACGAACCCGCCATCACTTACAACGCAGATGGCGGTATTGTTTTGCCAGATTCAGCAGGAAATACCGCTGGCGCTGGCACTGGTGCTGTTCCACCCAGTAATGCCCAGTCTTCCACTGCTCCAGTTGCCAATGTTGCTCCAGCTGCTAATGCTGCTCCAGCTGTTAATGCTGCCCCGGTCGCCAATGCTGCTGCTGCTCCCCCCGCACCTCCTTCTACAAACTCTGATGGTTCTCCTGTAACTTATGACGACAATGGTGCTATAATTTGGCCCGAGAAGCCTTCTACTATTGCTGGTTCTGTTGCTCCCGCAGCAGCAGCAGCAGTTCCTGCAGCAGCCAAAAGTCCTGGCTACCCTGCCTCCCGTCTTGCAGTAGATCCAGAATCCCTTCCACTACACGCAAGCACACGGCGTTCACGATTTACTCGGATCTTGCTGGCCGATGCGGACAACACACACGATGGTACAGACTTTATGGGACTGGGCACATTCTTTGATCTCGAGACACGTGCAGGCGAGTGTGGCGAAAAGCACAAGAACACTGATCTTGTCGCAGCTCTCAACGTTGAGCAAATGGGTAACGACAAGAAGGAATGTAATAAAGAGATCGAAGTTATGGGTCCAAACGAAAAGAAGGTTCGGGTCAAGGTGGTAGACGTTTGCAAGACTTGTAAAAAAGGAGATTTGGACCTTAGTCCCAAAGGTATTTTTTTTCTTTAAATGTGCAACTGTGTATATATAATGCTCATACTGATTCTTAACTATCTATTATTTTATATAGCATTCGAAGCATTAGGTGAATTTGGTCTTGGCGAGGTTTCTATCAAATGGCATTTTGTATAAAATCTTTTGTGCACTTAATAATACACACGCTCAAAAGTTTTTCACACTCCAAAAATAAAACAATTAATACAATAAATTATAACATATATTTCATATACTATTGTTTATCAATAAGAATAATTAAAGCATTCATACTTTAATTATAATGATCTTTTCCAAATACTGCTGCAGCTAATAATATTAAAAGCACCTCAAAAGGTTGATGACAAGTATTACCGTCAATGCAATGTATTTACCCAAAAAAAACATTAAGTAGGTTTGACACATACTGTCTCCTAAACTTGTTATATTAGTATTATAGGAATCATCATTTTTAGCTTTGACCGTGGTTTTACTAATCTTTGGCTTTAGATCTCAGTAAACATATTCAATTACGTTGAGATATGAAATTTGAGCAGACATAGTACTCAAATCCCGTTACTTCGTTATCCTCTTTCGATCACCTTGAATAGGAGTCCATATGGCAGATAGCATCATACTCTTGTAATATTTAATCCTTGCTTTTATTTTTCTGAAATGTTTATGAAAAACTAAAGGCTCGAAACCCCCTGCATAGAAACAGCTACGGATCACCTTAATGCCCTTCTTTTATTATTTAATTATTGGAAATATATACCCTTTTCGATATCGTTTACAAGCTTCTTTTAATCATTCGGGTATCTCCATTGTTACTCTCCGATGTAACTCTGAACTAATTAGAACAAAGAGATACTTATTTGTTGGTCAAATATTCAATTATCATATTTATTAGCCCATTAAAGCCGTCTTTGTTTATGCCTTTTTGTAAAAGACGCCCTATGAGCTGCAATATACGAGACAAACTCCAAATAATCTAGATAACAGATTTCCGTGCTTATAACATATGAAATATCTTTATAGCATTTAATAATATCTTGAATAGTGGATAAATTCATCTCTACAACGGTTGAGATCACGATGGGACAAATCTCAGTCAAATTTATATTCATGGTGCCATGATATTTGAGATCTAGACAGTGTTTCTTACACCTCTTCTCGTGCTTCTGCTCCTGCTCATCTTCCTCTTTAGCATCATCTTATTACATCTTTCTTTTTCTGTTCATCGTACATTTTTTTCTGTTGAAAATATGATTTGAAGTAAATAAACGTTTTAAAGCCTAAATTATGAGTATATGCTTATTTTATGCAAGAATATGTATATTATTGAGTCAGTGGTTGCTTTTGCCTGTCCCTTTAATGTATGCGTCATATGGCCTTCATAATATAATATTCAAAAATAAATAAATAAAGGATAGAAGGCTACGTTAAATCGGCTAATCTTTCTTTTTAAGAACCATGTAGACTATATTGTATTAACATACAATATGTAAGATTAATAATTATAATTATAATAATTTTATGCTTTCTGTGGCAATCTTGTTATGTTTGAAGGACACGCCTTAAAACCAAGCATTCACACTTCTTCTTTGATAAGCTACATGACATCACGAATCTGACATTAAAAGATAGTCTCACTTGCTTCTCTTGCCGGGATAAAGACGTTGTTATGTTGGGCAAAGGGTGTGTATCAAAGAATTCAATGCCACCGAGAGCGGGGATATTCGGATTGAGAATATTGTTGATGCCAATTGGTTTCTTTGATACGGTTTCCATAAAGAGGTCCTACAGCTGTCATTCGATACTTGATTATATTATATACTTCTCTTTCTTCTTAGGACTTCTTATTTGTGCATCACTCCACAAAAAAAAAAGTAAAGAACAAAGAAGAATTTGTTTTCTGAGTTGGTGTGCGCGTGTATTTTCCGCAACCTATTTGTTCCAGTGGACACTGTCATTATTTTTTATCTTTATACTTATGTGGAACTATTTACTTAAGGACATCCTGCTCTTGCCCAGACTAACAAACATATCCATTATTCTAGAGTATATAGAATTATTCAAGAACACTAAAGAAAAAGGAGGCTTATCAGTCTATGAGTATAGACATGTTACCAATATACAGGTGTCTATAAAACTCTATTTCTTTTTATTTAAAAAATATTGGCGCTCTTTTTAGTTGTTTTTGAGTACACGAATCATAGCTGCCTGTTTAGGAAATTCCTTGTCCTTTCATAACTTTTTTTCCCTTAAAAAAAATCCAATTGTTCAATAAAAGTCATATATATAAAAAGTTTTACTTTATTTCGCAGTTTCTTCCTCTTCCTCCTTTTGTTCTTCTTTGATGCACACAAGAAGTGTCTTGGGTTTTGTGTGGTGCTTATTTATATGCACCACTCAAGCATTCTGGTCTCCTTCACAAAGACTTCACAGGTATTGGATATACGAGCATACGCACACATATACACGTTAAAAAGTATTATTACGTACCTGATACCAATCAAAATGTCAAAACAAATAAAGACGTATTCAGAGTTTGACTGTCAAGAGTGAACCTATCGAAGAACGCTGGGGTCCATTTTACTTTGACCAACCTATTGATCATTTTGATTTTGAATCCAAAACATTCAAGCATCGATATTGGACAAATACCGATTGGTATGAGCCAGGAGGACCAGTAATTTGTAAGGATTTTCTACACGCCCATATGTATATATGTATATATACAAGAAGATATCTGTTCTGACTAAATAGATATATATATAAAGTATATAATGCTGGTGAGGCCCCTGCCGATGAGCGTGCAATTTATGTTAGCAATTCTTCGATGGCTACTCTTGCCCGTCGATTACACGGAATTGTCGTTGTAATGGAACACCGAAGCTACGGAGAATCCCAACCAGGACTTGTAAGTTTATTTGATATATGATCAAGTTATCTGTGTTTAACACTATTGGATTACAGGATTACTCAGTCAAAAACCTCCGAACCCTGACAACAGCTCAGGCTCTTGAAGATATGGCTTCTATGATCAAGCATCTTAAATTCTCCTCGATCGACCTTGATCCTAATACAAAATGGATTGTCTACGGGGGTAGCTACAGTGGAAACTTGGCAGCCTGGATGCGTCTCAAGTATCCAGAGCTTGTATTTGCAGCTGTGCCATCATCAGCACCTGTCCAGATGAGCTACAACTTTTATGAATATTTTAATGCAGTTCAACGCTATGCTCCTCCCAACTGCACGCATGCCATTCGTTCTGTTGTGCGTCATGTTGACTTGGCTTTGTTGAGCCCTTTCCCTGGACCTAGGCGCAGAATCAAAGCCTTGTTTGGTCTGGAGGACCTCGAACATGACGATGACTTTGCTGAAGGTAAGACCAAGTTTGTACTATTATTTTGCGAAAGTACATACAGTGTAAATAACACTATAATTTCAAAAATCTATTTCTTTTTTTTTCTTGTTCTTTTGTTTAGTTCTCACTTTCCCTCTTGGCTTGTGGCAGGCAATGCAACCTGATATTAATCCTTTTGGCGAATTCTGCGAATTATTTGAATTGACTGAGCCAAAGGACCATCTTGCAGTGTATGGTGCCTACATTAAGGCTATCATTGACCTAGCTTGCGATGGACTTTCTGTAAATGAATGCCTTGACACCCATGACCCTCGATCCATAATGTACACTGATCTCAAATCAGAGGCACGTCCTTGGATGTGGCAGGTCTGCACAGAATATGCTTACTGGCAGACTGCAGCTCCATTGTGGGAGTCAAGTATTGTTTCGCGTCATTTGTCAACAAGCTGGTATCAGCACCAGTGTCCTTTGATGTTTGGTGAACATCAAGTACCTCCAACCCCTATCTGGCGTCAAATTAATGAGGAGTACGAAGGCTGGAATATCCGCTTATCACGCACTTTCTGGATCGATGGTGAATGGGATCCCTGGCGCACATTGAGTGTCCAGAGTGATGATGCTCCCAACAGATCAACATGGCAGGACGATGCATACTTCTCAGTCCTTCCTCAGGCTGTCCACCACTGGGTAAGACAGTATATAGTTATCCAAAGTTTGATTATTCAAGTAATTCATACAACAAAACTTTTATTATTATTCTATTACTAGGATTTCCATGTATCGGAGACAGTCGATCAGTCGATCAAAGATACCCAAGATGCTCTTTATGATGTATTGAACCAATGGTTGGAAGAAGACAAAGAGAAGGAATCTTTTAGAATGATACGTCAAGACTAAGGATAGAGCTTCCTTATTATCCAAGCATCTATTACTACTACTACTAATACTATTACGAAGAGAGAAAGAGAGATAGAAAAACTTCTATTCATTTTTGTTTTCGTTTTCCATAGTGCTTACTTATCCAAATGTATGAATAAATATATTACATCAGATTTCCCCACCAAAACCAAACATTTTAATATATCATCATTACTCTTTTCGTTTTTTTGTCTTTTTAAATTTTATTACTCAAGGTACATCCTCAAACAAATAAGAGAAGATTACAAAAGAGTTTTAAAAAAAAGGAAAAGCTGGTTGCATAAGCACACAAAGCCAAACAAGAATCCCAAGTATTTTTTTTTACTTGAGGGGAACGAATCTGGAAGAGTGAGTGGCACCAATACCGGGACGACCGTGCTTAACGGGCTTGTAAGAGATGGAGAACTCAGCGAGGTAGTGAGCAGTCATCTCAGGCTTGATCTCGACCTGGTTGAAGGTCTTGCCGTTGTAGACACCGACGACGGAACCGATCATCTCGGGGACGATGATCATGTCACGGAGGTGGGTCTTGACGGTAGCGGGCTTCTCACCGGGGGTAGCCTCCTTCTTGGCGTTACGAAGCTTCTTGATGAGACCCATGTGCTTGCGCTTAAGACCGCGCTGGAATCTTCTGCGGGCACGGGAGTGGACGAGAGCCATGAACTGCTCAGAGGACAAGTCCAAGAGCTGCTCGAGGTCAATACCACGGTAGGTGAACTTGCGGAAAGTTCTCTTTCTGAGGTTAGTCTGCTCTTGATCAGCCTAAATTGATAAAAAAAATATAGTGGTCAGATAATGAAACTGTAATGCTAACAGGTGTGTGCGTATATAATTTCATTCATAGTTGTGTCGACATGTTTGTAGTAGGTTCGTTGCTGCTGATATCAATGTTGTGGTTATGGCTGTAGTTACAGTGGTGGCTATTGTTTTTGTTTTTTGTTTTTGTTTTTTGTTTGTGGTTTGGCTTGTAGAATGCTCCACAGTGATTTTCTTGGTTGGTGTATCAAATCCATATATCCAACATATCCATCCGTTGATTCATCTGTTGATCCATCCGTTGATCCATCCGTCGTATATGCATTATTTGCAATTTTGTATATATGCGTGTGTGTGTGTACACATAGAGACACATTCTTGCATCTACACTTACCATGGTGAGGAAGCGCTAAAAGGAAGGATCTATAATAGCCCGCTCCACCTCTGGAAATAGGCACCACCTCCCTCCCCTCCTCTCCGAAGAAGGGGAGATCCTATCGGAGTTCTATTTTCTGTAGTGATCCACTTTACGCGTTGTTTTTTTTACAAGAGTAGGAACGCGGCCTTAAGCCTAAATATTCTTTACCGTACCCTCAATACCACTCAGGTCGGCGGCTCTGTACTTATTTATCTATACAAAAAAGCTTAAATAGATATATAGGAATATTTAATCAAGGCTTTTCTTCTTATTCTTCCTTACCTTAATATACCACATTACATTGCTGAATGGGAAGCAAGTCACACAAGAGATATAAACCCTCTCAGTGCCTTGATGAAAGAAATCCTTGTTTGTCCGGTTCTCCAGCCAGTGTCACGATTATGTTAATTATATACATAGAATTGGCTGCTGATTTCTCTACCAAATAGTTGATTTTTATATAAATATTAGTTTTTACCAAAGCCGACATGTATGGGCAAATGATTCTATATATGCATTAGGTCACAAATAATCTCACCAATGAAAAAAAAAAATGAAATTAAAATATTCTTTACTTGAATACCCTCATTATTTCTATAAAATTAAAATTGAAAATAAATAAATAAAAAGAGCATTTCTAAAATCAAATATGATTGGCGTAAAAACCAATAAATTCAAATTTATCTCAATAAATTAAGAAAAAACACTTTGGTTTTCTTTTTTGGAGTTGTGTGCTGTCACTGACAACCGAGTTGTTGAGTTGAAGAACACAGTTAAACACAGCCTTTATCTCATTGTTTTATTTTTACTTTTTATTTTTATTATTAAAATTTAAAAAAAAAATCAAGGCTTTGTAGAATAGATTCCTTCAACCCCATTAACGAACCTTAGAATCAAATCATCTGTTAAATATTCATCTAAATTAACATTGTACACTTTTTATTTATTTTATTTTATCTGCCGCAGTTTTTCATTCCTCCTATTCCCCTTCTCTTCTCTTTATTAACTATTACAAATACCTTTTTATAATTGTATACTACATACACTATACTCTTACACTACACCTAAACACATACACACACACACATATATATATATATATATTCCTATTTATACATCATGAATGTTAATGCTAATGTATTTGTACCGGGAGGTTCAGCGAGGCCTCAACCTTCACCTCCAACACAATCGACTTCAAATGTCAAAAAACCGCGCCGTCCAGGTAAGCCATTATCATTAACATTACAGTTTTTTTTTTCCTTTTTTTTTCATGGATTTGGAAATAAGACTAATATTATTATTAAAAAAACCCCCCTGTAACTGATATATCGAGATTCAGCTCAAAAGACTCGAAATCCCCGTCCTTTACAAAGAGCTCAACATGAACCACGATCCAGTCACATCATAGAGAATGTAACTCAGGACCTTGAAGCTGTCGATCTTTCGGTAAATAATAGTAACATAGATCTTAGTAATCATAGTGAAAAGCAATATACATATAGAAAAGGGAGAGAGCAATTTCACTCTTCTTTAAAAAGATTATTAAAAGAGAAAAAGAAATATTATTATATACCACAGCGCGTGCATATATCTATCTATCTATTTATCTATCATAATTATAATTATAATTACGATCTTGTTATATTATATTGTTTCTCTCTCTCTCTCTCTCTCTATATATATATATATATATATATGTGTGTGTGTATGTACTTGTGCTTGTACTTGTGGCTATGGTTATGGTTATGGCTGTGATTGTGTCTGTGTCTGTGTTTGCGTTTGCGTTTGTTTGTTTACGTGTGGATGTATAAGTGTGTCAATATTTTCTTATAAATATAATTGTATTTTTTTTATACTTCTTTATATGTCCTCAGGGCTCGAAAGAGAAAAAAGGGAAAGTTTCGTTGAACCATCTACTTGGTTTTTCATTCCCGGAGCGACAGACGCCAAGTTCGCCAAGTCCACGTCGCCAAAAAACAACATACCAACCATTCAACAAGGAAAAATTTGTAAATGCAAAGTAAGAATGAATGAATGAATGAATGAATGAAAGAAAAGCATAATCCTGGAACTTACACGCCTAATTGACTTTTTTTTAAATAATAATAATTATTATACTGTGTAAACGCAAATATTTTCTGTAATGTAGCTTCAGGTTTGTTGTAAAGGCTTCATCAGATTATCAGATATATTTGGCAGATCCGGATATGATATTAGACTGGCAATCGATCGAACAAGTGGTATTGTATTTGTTGACTCAAGTTGATAATAATAATAATAATAATACTAATTATAATTATTAACCACCTTCCCCCCCACCCCACATAGGTAATCACAGATACAACTCCTTCATGCCCAATATGCCTCTCATCTCCGGTAACAGCCGCAAGAATCACAAAGTGTGGTCATGTTTTTTGCCTTCCGTGCGTGTTGCATTATTTTGCATCGCGTGAAAATACTCGCAAGCAATGGCACAAATGTCCGATTTGTTGGGACGCCATGTATCTCAAAGACTTGAAGAATGTCAAATCATTAATCCCTCGAGCAGTCTTGTCTAAAACAATTTCAGGCATCCAACAAGGAGACACAGTCCAATTGAGCCTTCTTCTGCGCCCAGGTCCCTCTCCTTTGGCCCTGCCTGTTTCTGACACATGGCCTATTAGCGAATCCCTTCAGCGTCAGGCCACTGTTCTGCCTTGGGACACTACTCCTCAAGCACTTGCATTTTCTCGCCTGATTCTCGCCAGTCCAGACTATTTGCTTGCGATGTACGAGCAAGACAAACATGAGTTAGAAGTCGCAAAACAAGATACGATCGGCTGGGGGGACGATGTCAAATACATCGAGGAGGCGATTGAGGAAGTTGTGGCAAGACAAAGAGAGGCACGAGCGTATGGTACGAATGGCGTTCGCTTACTTGAGCAAACTTCAGCCTTGGTGTGGAACAATAATAGCTATAGTAGTGATAATAATAATTATAATAATTATAATAATAATAATAATAATAATGGGCAATACCGGCAGGCAAAGGACAAGGGCGTCTCGACTTCATCGTTGACCGACTACTACTTTTTCCAGGCTGATGATGGACAGCACGTGTATCTACATCCACTAGACGTTAGAGTGCTCAAACATTCGTACAGAGAATATGAACACTTTCCAAAACATATTGAGGTTGTGGCCACAGGAATAGAAGAAACCACTATGACAGAGGATTTGAGAAAAAGGTGTAAGCACTTGTCCCATCTTCCACTAGGGTGTGATGTGACATTTTTGGAAGTTGATCTCAAACGACTTGTCCCAAAAGAAAGTTTAGATGCATTTGAGCGTAAGTAATTTACTTATTGACAATTGTTATATATATTTGTTATAATGGCTATAACATCTGCTAATATATATATACATTCTCTTTAGATGAACTTACCACGAGAGCGAAAAAGCGAAAGGACAGAGTCAGACGGGAAGAGAAAGATTTGAAAATTGCCGAGGCCAAACAAAAGAAGCAGGCCCAATCTTCACGCCAAGAAAACCAACAGCTGATTGACAATGATCCCTTCTTTAAAATCAACCAGCCCATGTCAGTGGAAGAGAATGAAGCTATGCTGGCTCAAGCAATTGCCCAATCTGCGCAAGAGTCTTCTCGTGGGCCAAAGACAGTCTGGGGAACCAATGCTGTGGCACAAGAAGAAGAACAGGCGTCTAATGAGTGGTCAGAGCATATTAAAGTTACTGTCAAGTCAAAGAAGAAGCGCGGAAAGAAATAAAGTTGCGTTTATGTGATTCCTAGTGAATAGTATTTTTTTTTTGGTGTTTACGTGCACGACCTAAAATAACCTATTTAATCCTCATCTATCAATGCGGCTTTAGTTCTGATACATTACTATAATCATTACAAATATTTAACAGTGTAATAATGAATATTAAATACGACCAAGTGATTATTCTGGTTAAATATAATCAGACCCCTCCAAAGAAAGAAAGAAAAAAAAAACAAAGCACATACACAAATACACATTTGTGTGCTTAAATATGTATAATTTAAACCAAGTCTAGAAGAATCAAATATTTTATATAAAGCTATCGTTCTGCTATATGATTGTGCGTGTGTGTTTTTTTATTATGCTTGATTTTTTTTTGTATTTTAACAGACAAACTTCTTTAACTTGCATACATACATGCATAGATATATACTTTTTATATAAAAGAAAAATAAAATAAAAATATCAATTTTTAATATATGGGAATTTTTAAAAGAACAAAAAGGCGGTGGTCAAGGCAAGCAAGCCAGCACTTGCGATAGACATGTTTCGAACAAACGAGGTCGAGGCTACTGAGCTTTGGGTATTTATTCCATGTTTTCCTCGACTGCTATTACCTGGCCGATTGACATCAGGAGGAGCATTAGCCATGTGAGTTGGATGGTCATCGACCTTGCTTCCTTCAAAAGTCGCGGCACGAACATCGCCTTCACCGGGATAAAGTGTGTCCATATTGCCTTTGATTGTTTCTGGTTCCATCAATAAGCGCCACGAGTACGAAGATTTCATCTCTCCGCGTGGGCATCCCGTATTACAGGTGTGGTAACAATCATCATCTGGCCATGCAGGGGGATCGGAAGCATTTGGATGAGACCATCCCAGATCAAGATCACAATCAGTATAAGGCTCGAACTTGTCGGCTCCATAGTAATCAATCAAACCAGCGATGGCGCCTAAGTATAATATTAACAGATCAAACCAAACCAGAATAAAGGAACATATATATATATATAAATTAGTATTATATTAGAAATAGAAAGAAAGAAAAAAAAAGGTAGTAACCAAAAGCATGGCTATTAAATCACGATTCTTTACCTGTCCAGGCTGCATTGTAATCCTGGGTGACTTCCGAGTACTCATAGTTTGTCCGATCGTCGTGCCAGCTGTCATCCACATTAGGACCGCCTTCGACAGCCCCATAAAGAATAAATCGCTGGCCTGTCTTGCTCTCTGAAAAGTCTTCTTCGACCTTGTCTTGAAACTGACCCCGCATTGGATAGTCAATGTACGAGTTGTAAGATGATTTGTGATAAGGTTTGCTTGGATAGTTGTCGCCAAAGCTAATCAATAGCAATAGCAACAGTAACAATTGTTAGTCCGAGTTTAATCCCTTATTCTTCTTCTTGATTTTTTTTAACACAACTTCAAGTAACTTACCCAACCACCCAACTGTAGCCATAATCACCAAGAGCATAATTGATCTGCTGGATGGAAAATGTTGTCAGGGCTTCTGATTCTGGTTTATCATAACCAATAGATTTTGCAAAGGCCATCATTAAAAAGGCCACATTTCCTGAATATCCAACCGATCCCCAGTGTTCGATATAAGCCAAACCGCGCGGTGTAAACTTGACGATCTGTTTAGGACTAGGGAGGAACTGATTGAAATAATCCATTGCGTTTTTGTAAAATATGTCTTCTTTTGTGACAGCATACAAGAGAGTATGTAAAGCACCGCCCTTTTCGTCCCAAGAGTATTCTTGCCATGAATCTGACGATGCATTGTACCACTTTTTTGCGCGCTCGAGCCACTCGGGCTCCTTTGTGGCCGCATAGATCCAGGCCGCACTCCAGGCCAATTCGTCTTCGAAGCGAGTCGAGGGATACCAAAACGCGGCCCATTGATAGGCATTCTGACGCGATGATACGTAACTTCCGGGATTTTCGGTTGCGAAATTGTACATTCGCTTGGCCCGATCTACAAGCTCGTCTGCAAAGGTTGCATTATGTTTACGCCAGGGAATGGATATAGCTGCTAAGGCAGCACTATATTCGCCAGCAATTTCAGAAGATGGATTATCGGGTGTGATATAATATGCCTTGTGAGGAAGACCTGTGGGAACCCACTGCTCGTATTCTTCGGGCGGTCCCCAATAGTTGAAGTCGACATCCAACTCGATTTGCTTGGAGATGGGGCCAAGGGCTGATGTGCCCAGTTGGCCGACAATATGGGTATCGTTGTGATGAGCATTTACAAGATAATCTGTTGTTTATTAGATGCATGCATATGCATAAAAGTGTATATATAGTATATTGGTGAGTTTGATGAATAAATATCCTAATTAATTAATTATTTAATTAATTATTTTTTTTAAAAAAAAAGTTGATTTACCTGCACCCCATTTCAATAATTCAAGACCTTCTGCCAACTCGTCTATGGAGTTCATCGAGTCTTCAAACATCATGATGTTAAAGGCCAGCTGAGTTACTGTCCAACCGAACGGAAGACCCCACTTCATGGTATTGGCGGCTTCGTACCAGCCATGCGAAAGATCTTCACCATAGTCGCCCACACAGACCTTGCATGAATCACCACGCCAGGCCATGCGTTGATACGGAAGATTACCAGATTTTTGTGCGTGGTAGAATAGATAGCTTTTGTGCATTACTTCTGCATAATTGTATTTTGGTTCGAGGGGGGCGACATAGGGTCCCTCAGGAGGAGGCTTCACAGGAAATGTGAGAGGACTGGTGTCATCATCAGCCCTGACAAGTCCTGTCAGAAATAAGGCTATAGAAAAGGTTAACAAGGTATGCATTGCAAGATAATTAGGCAGAGTAAGGAAGTTGAAGGAAGAAAGAAAGGAAATATTAAAAAAAAAGAAGTGTATAAACTTTCCGGAGAAAGAAACGAAGATTTTCTTTGTTTTTTTGGGGAGAATGGTTATAATGATAGAAGAGAGAGTATGTTTTTATATATAAAGAAGTTGTATGTTTTCGATTGCAAATGCTGCCAGCTCAAATCTGTATATAAGTGAAAAGTACACAAGTTTATATGTATTTACCTGACTCTAGTGTCTATTGATTGATTTTATTTATTGACATTTCAATAAACGTTAATTTATCTCATTGTATTTTTGTGTGTATAAATTTCATTTGAAACTGATTGCTTGATGACAATGTTGTAAAGCAAATAAATAAATTTTCCTTAGAGTGAACATTCCACAGGGTAGCTAATTACCCTTTGTAATATAATATATATATAAATGCATGTCAAAACTTATCATTCGACAGTAATACTTAATTAAGATCAAAAAAGCTTGAAATTGGTTTAAATTGAATAACATAGATAAAGACCTGTCTACCTACAAAGATACATAATTATATACCTAATTATATATAACCTCTTTCTGGAACTACATATTCCATTCATTTAAATACATCTCTTATGGCTATTGTTAAATTTATCCTTACTAAAGTATATATAATATAAAATAATATAATATAATGAATATCGGAACATATACAAATGTTTGAGTACAATGTGTGTGTGTGTGTGACAAGTGCAAAAAAATGTGACATATTGAAAAAGTATAATTCCGATGAAAAGGGATATCGAAAACAATTGGAAATTTAAACCCAGAAACGACAGCTTAATATATTATTGATATATTTATTTGTAAAATAAAATTATGGCATTTTGCTTATTTTTAATTATATTTAAATAAATAGAATATAAAACGTGTGCATTTGTACGTGTTTTTTTTGTATCTTGTCAGTTTTGATAGTTTAATACTAAAAAACTAAAAAATAATAAAATAATACGAAGAATAATAAAAAAGGGAAATTGTGGGCCGTACGATGGTCGGAATTACGGAGCCGAGCTTCTCACTCATGATCATTGTTGCCTTTCTATTTTCAATGGATTTTTGAGTAACCAAATAAATAAATAACTAAAGAATAATAATAATAATATTTGTATGTGTCTTTTACAGCAAAAAAAAATTATATGAATGAAAATAAGAATAAGAAGAAGAAGAAGAAGAGCAAATGTTGGTAGTGAATTTATAAATAATATAATTTTTTTTGTACAGAGGAATTTGGCGAATTTGGTGAATTTGAATAAAATAATAATAATAATAGTAATAGTAATAATAAAGGAAAGGAGGTAGAAGGGGAAGGGAGGGTTACTTTGTAGAAATTGATGGCAATAAGATTATTACTATTACTATTATTATTATTATTATTTATCTTTTTTTTGGGGGTGTAAGAGAGATGATTTATGGCTTGGTTGGAGTTGGCCTGGTTAGTGTACTGCATTCATACGCATCCCACAGCTAGAAATGTTCATAAGGATTTGTGCTGCCTATTTTAGAGTAAAGGATAAATAAGATATAATTTACATCAGTAAGAAATGTTGTTTGTTTTTTTTTTTTTTTTTTTACCTCTAGGATCTGAGACTGCTGAGTGTTCATGCTTCGTCGATCTTCCTCTTCGTCTTGATGACGTTGGAGACACGAACTATGACTCAGCTCTGGTGCACATCCTTCACTTCTCTTTAAACGCGTATCTTGTTGCTGTTTCTTATTTTGTTGTTTGTGTTCGCCAAATCGACTTTCTACACTGTGGATCTGTCGGCTAGCAAATGACACAAGAGTGACAGCAGCCGCTGACTCTTCAGTTGGCGGACTCTCGACGTCTTCCTCCTTTTGGGCCTTTCGGGATTGGCGGGTCTGAAAAGGAACGAGTTTGTAGCGGAAAGGGGCCTTGATATCTGATCGTCTTCTCCGCTTCTGCTGTTTTGGCGGTGGGCCTGAGGGTTGCTGAATTGGAGTAAGTGTCTCATGGGTAGGATACATGTAAGGAATCATTGGTTGCTGGTATGGCTGATGGTAGAGAGATGCTGGTGGCGGGAGAATGTAGTGGGATCTGTTATTGTTATTGTTGCTGTTGCTATTGTTGTTGTTGTTGTTGTTGTTGCTATTATTGTGGTTGAGGTAGTTGTAGTGGTTGAGGTGATGTGTTGGATGGGTTGTATTATCATGTCCAAAGGGAGTATCCGGATAAAAATGCATAGTATTGAACAAGGGTGGTAGGTTGAGAGGAGCACCTTGTCTAGGATTGCATTGTGGATAGCTAGAGTGAGATGCCATGAAATCTACTAGTATTATTTTAAATCAATAAAGAAGAAGCAAAAGAAGCAAAAGAAGAACAAAAGGCTGAGGAAGAGTATTAAGAAAGATTTTTGTAAAGAAAATAGAAAAAAAAAAAAGATTTGAAGTCAATGTTCCTGTAATCAGTCAATAAATAACAAAAATAAAAAATAAAAAAAATAGAAAAAAAAATTATGATAGACGGAGATCCAAAGCACGTTTTCTTTTCCTTTTTTCCTTTTTTGGATACGTGCAATTCGGATGTTTGATACTTGATGTTGTAGGATATACTCCGACTTTTTTTAATCACACAAATACGTCACAAAAATGAGAAGTAAGACACAAATTCACTAACTCACATATCTTATTGGATAGATAGTCTTCACAGCTCAGATATAATAGCGGAGTCTAGTCATTTACGCATATTCACTCTGAAAGTATTGTGCAGTAGAATTGAACTGCATTGAATTGAATTGAATAGAATGATTGATTGATTGATTTTCTATTATGTATATATTATAATAATAATTTATTTAATTTTAACAGAGTCCAAGATGTATATATATAAAGTGAAAAATAGATATCCAAGTCTTTAAATAAGAAATATCCTCTTCTTTAAGGATTTTGTAATGAAATCATACTCCTTGTACATATCTGTATGTTATTACCATTCTTCTACAGAATAGGAGTCAACAACTAAAAGGAAAAAAGAAAGAAAGAAAAATATTGACAAAAAAGTATAAAGATTTTTTTTGTTTGAATGAATCTGGATGTTTGTCCCTCCTTTAAAAGCAGCCCACACTGTGTGTATAGTGTGTTTATTATTATTTTTGTCAATTCTTCCGTTTTGTCCCCCATTCCAAAAACCCTGATCGAGTTTAGCCTTTAATTTTGCTATGGCATTTCTTTCTTTCTTTTGGTTTACAGCTAAAGTAAATAACCACAATCGACCCAGAGTTAACAAGAGAAAGGCGGCGAGTAACAGCGCTAGTAATTAACCCCTTTCTCAAGTAAGTAATAATATCACATCATAAGATGTTATGCACGTTATGTTATGTTGTGTCATTTTATGATATGTATACATGTATGCATTTGTGTGTGTACATAAAGATAGAGAGAGAGAGAAAGGGTACCCAGGAATACAAATATATTATAGTACCACACATTCATACACAAATAAGACAAAATAGAAGCTTGTCAACAAATAGACACAATAACAAAAAAAACATGGCTGGATTTGTACAACTGGATTTGATCAAACAAATATATAGATATATAAAAGAGATTCAGAACATGTCTTGACAATTGCCATTTTATAAAACAAGGAACAGCTACTCACAAAGCAAAGAGTAATTCTACAGTCTAAATAATCAGTACGCCTTGTTTTCTTTCATTTTCATTAGTACCTACCACCAACAATCGATAGTGTACCCACAACAATACAGATAAACTCCGTTTACACCGAAACAAGCTAAAAAAGTACAAAAAATTGAGCCTCTGTTTACACAAAAATAGACTTTTTTTTTATTCTTTATTTTTATAATCCAATGTCTTGTGTGTCGAATACAGCGAATAAAGATCAAAGTAATACTAATAATACTAAGCCTACAATTCACTACAATTGAATCAAATTTAAGCCTGTCTTTCTCTAGTTAAATAGAGCTACAAGATACACACTACCATAACATGTAAACCCCACTTTTAATATCTATAGATATCCGACAGAAAAACTATGACAAAAAGTAAAATAAAGCAGAGCAGAGCAGAGCAGAGCAGAGCAGAGTAAAGCAGAGCAGAATACAAGACAATACAATAGATATTTGCCTATTTGGTTTAATATGCATTTAGGTAACGTCATTTTATTGAATACAAAAGAAAACGCACTTTAGAGACAGATATATATATATACATATATATATATGTACTTATTAAACAACTACCTCTTCTTTTCTAGTATCCTCTTTCATTTGATTTCATTTTATTGATAAAGTAACCATGTATTTAAAAGTATGCTTGTTACAGTGTATCTACTACAATTCCTTTTTATATTCTGTTTTTTTTTAAAAAAAATTATTTATAATTAAATAATTACAGTCTATTAGCTTGCTCTTTATACAAAAGAATAGATATATAACCATAATAAAGAGGTACTTCTTTAAGTACAAAAAAAAACTAACTTTTTTGATTGATAAGCCAGATCCCATCTTTTTTGTTTGTTCAAAAATTTCATTTCGAGTGACCCCATATCCACATCTTTTGATTGGATAACGATAAAAAAAATACAGATGTCACATGACTTGAATTCCTCGCACTTCTCAAGCATTTTTTTTTTCTTTTTAGTCTGACACATATTTTATTTTATCCCTTCCTCTTTGATTCCCTTATATTATATTATATCATATCATTATATATAGATAGATATCTAGGTATATAGATAACTATATATTATATCGTATTTATATTATTAAGCATGGCCAATCTCGAAGAAATCACCTCTGACGCTCAATTCAATGGAATCATCTCCAAGAAAGATGCTGTAATCGTCCTCAACTTTTGGGCATCATGGGCTGAGCCTTGTCAGCAAATGAACGAGGTTTTTGCAGAACTTGCTGGAAAGTTTCCTGCTCTCAAATTCTTAAAGGTTTGTACACACACACACACACACACGCGCGTATTTGATACAAATAGGCAATATTAGATCTGATGTTTCACATATCTAACAACATACTGTATACTCACATTCACACTCATACATACATATATACATATATATACTTGAAAAAAAAACACGAACAGATCGAGGCAGAAAACTTCCCTGATATTTCAGAGTCTTTCGAGATTGCTGCTGTTCCTACTTTTATTCTTTTAAAGGTAAACTACTACTACTAGATAGACAAAAAATAAAAAAGCAACAACCCAAAATCAAAATCAAAACAAATATATTCGCCTTTGTTTTTATTTTATGGGTTACTTATTTGCTCTTATAGGCTGGCAAGATGGTCGAGCGTATTGAGGGTGCCAAGGCTGCTGAGTTGTCTAATGCTGTCACAAAGCATGCCAAGGGTGTCCTGAATAAGTTCAGTGCACTTCCCCAAGAGAATGCTAAGCCCGTCAAGGATCTTACAGCTCGTCTCAAGGCATTGGTTAATAGCGCACCCGTAATGATCTTCATCAAGGGTACTCCTCAACAGGTGTGTGTATAGACATAGACATAGACATAGACATGGACATGGATTTGGATTTGGATTTGGATTTGGATTTGGATTTGGATTTGGATTTGGATTTGGATTTGGATCTGGATCTGGATTTGGTTTTGGTTTTAGATTTGGTTTGGTTTGGTTTGGATCTAGATGTGGGTTTAGATGTGGGTTTGGGTACGCATTTGTGTTGTATGTGCATATATGTCGAAACTGGAATCAACCAAACCTAACATCACGGAATTATCTTTTTCTTTTCTTTTTGTGTAAAGCCTCGCTGTGGGTTCTCTCGTCAGTTGGTGGATCTTTTGGCTGAACAAAAGGTCAAATATAGTTCATTCAATATTTTGGCAGACGAGGATGTTCGTCAGGGTCTCAAGGCCTACTCAGACTGGCCAACATATCCTCAGGTATATATTGACGGCGAGTTGATTGGTGGTTTGGATATCGTCAAGGAAATGGTTGCCTCTGGCGAATTTGCGGACGCTATTCCCAAAGAAAAGGATCTCGACAGCCGTCTCCAGGAATTGATTGAGAAACAGTCTGTGATGATCTTCATCAAGGGTTCTCCTCAGGAACCAAAGTGCGGTTTCTCTAGACAATTGATCAGTCTCTTGAACGACCGTCATGTTAAATATGGTTACTTTGATATCTTGTCGGATGATGAAGTACGCCAGGGCCTGAAGACTTATGTAAACTGGCCTACCTTCCCCATGTTGTTTTACAAGGGCGAGTTACTCGGTGGATTGGATATCATCAAAGAGATGGTAAGTTTGTTTTACTTGTTGAGAGAACCAATGTCTAACTATCCTTCTTTCTCTTTATGTGTGTGTGTATATATAGATTGAGAGTGGCGAATTTGACCAGGTATTGACTGCCTAAGTTGGATAAGCTACCAAAAATCGACGGATGAGATATATACATATATATGTATTCACACTACGTTCAACCTTTTTCTTTATTTTTATTTTTTTTATTTTTTTTTACTATTTTTATTCTTATTATTCTTATTCAGACTATACATTTTGTGTGAATATATCTTCATTTTTGGCATGTCAAATAACAATCCACACACACACACATACACATATATAGGCAAGCCCTATTTGACAGGTGTAGAGCCTCTCTTGTCCTACACAATGAAACCAATCGATGTCATTGTTAAATTCTATGATGTGGTCTTTAGCTGACATCACCATGAAATATCAAATGTAGTTTACAAAACGCCCTGTGGTCATCTAATTTCCAAATGGATTGAAGCACATTTTGTGAAGCACATGTCCTAGGGCTTCTATCTGTATCTGTATACACGCGTGTTTAGTATATATATATATATGCGTGTGTGTGTGTGTGCAGTGTGGGTACCTTTTATTGTATTTCCCACCTATTCCTTATTTCTTTCACCTAGTTTATCTATTATATTCATATACTCATATACTCATATAATCGTATACTTGTATTCAATTCATCTTATATATAATGTTGTTACTGTTTCTTTATTGCAGGCTTGTACTGCTTTATAGACTACAATGTTTTTACACATATATATATGTGCGTGTGCGTGTGTGATTATTTTCAATGGAGCTTCTTACATTATGTCACACTGTAGCTTAAATTTGTGACAGTGTGAGAAAGTATTTCCATACAAGGATGGCTGTGGAATCTGCTCTTGCCTATTTTGGGAGTGTGCCTTTTTTTGTTCTTTTTAATTCTCGCTTTTGCTTCAAATGTAAAAGTATTTCAATGAGCGCTACTTCCAGAATTATCCCAACTTTAGTCGACGACTGTTTCTTATTTAACCAACCTTTTTTTTTGTGCTTTTCTCTTCTCTTTCTCTCTCTCTCTCTTTTTCATTTATTTTCTCTGCTATAATCTAATCGTATAAGCATACAATCATATCTTCATTTTAATTCCAATTCTGTAGTATCATAGCTCTACCTAATTTTTTGGACCTCTCTGTGCCTCACATACAGCATATTTTACGTTCCTGAACAAAACTAATAATACCAATACCAATATCAATACCAATACCAATACCAATACCAATACCAATACCAATACCAATAATGACTGAAGCACACCAACCAAATCATACCGGATTCGATATTCCTTCAAGCGTTGCCATGGATAGCAGCCCTGGGTATCGCCTTTCATTTTTACCACCAGCTCTATTTGATCAGACGACTCCCATGACACTAGACGGTCCAGTAACAATTGCTGACCAACTATCTATTCACCTGGCTGCTCCTGATCATGGACAACAAAACCTTCTCAACTATAATACCACCGCAAGCGGAGACCTTATCGACCAGTCCAACCACCACATGGCAGAACATGTTGTCGCAGTTTCGCCCAACCTCCGCTACGGACGACTGAACACACTGTTAGGCAAAGGAGCATTCAAGGTGGTTCACAAGGCGATTGACCGTGAAGAAGGATATGAAGTAGCTTGGAATGTGCTACAGGTAAGAGAGAGAGAGAGTATGACAAATAAAGAGAAAAAAGTTTCTTTATTATCACATTTAATTCAGAGAGATAAGAAAATCGATTCAAAATACAATAGTATTTGAATCGAATTAAATTGAATTAAATTGAATATTTGATAATGACAGCAGAATATATATATATATATATATATTATTTATTTATATTGTGTGTGTTTGTGTGTTGTATATTTGTATTATGTGTTGTGTTATTATTCCCTCACCCCTTCCACTCCACTCCACTCTACTCTTCCCCTTGTCTTTCTTTGTCTTCTTCCCCTTCTTGATTAGATTGGTCAAGAAAACAACAAGGATATTGCACACGAAATTGCTATGCTAAAATCTGTCCGACATCCAAACATCATTGCGTTTCACGATGCCTGGCTCGGTGAATCAAAGACTGAATTTGTGTTCGTGACTGAGCTCATGACGTCTGGCACCTTGCGTGAATATATCCGCAAGCTCAACTCGCCAAACACCAAAATTGTCAAACGCTGGTCCCGACAGATTCTCAAGGGACTAGCCTATCTCCACGCCCACAACCCACCCATCATCCACCGAGACATCAAATGCGACAACATATTTATCAATGGCGCCCACGGAGAGATCAAGATTGGAGATATGGGCACTGCTGAGAATATGTGGCTCGGGAACAAAAAGTACACTCTCATCGGCACCCCCGAATTTATGGCCCCAGAGATGTATGACGAGCGGGGATACTCTGAAAAAGTAGACATCTATGCCTTTGGCATGTGTCTGCTCGAGATGGTCACTGGCGAATATCCTTATGCTGAATGCACCAATGCTGCCCAGGTCTACAAAAAGGTCTCCCAGGTAAACAAATAATAATATATAATATACACAAATACATAAAGAAGAAGAAAGAAAGACTTTGAAGATTTGGAATTAAGTGAAAGAAGGGGTAAATGGTTTACAGCACATCAAGCCCGAATCACTTGGGATGGTTCAGAACCAGCAAGTTTTGGAAATCATTTGTGGCTGTTTATCAGATGAAAATGAGAGGTAATTTTCTCAATAATACTATTCTTTATTACAAACAAATCAAATGAAAGAAAGAAAGAAAAGATGGGGAGGAATTTCTTACCAGAAAGCATAGACAATCTGCACAGGAACTTCTTGAAGGTTCATTCTTAGCAGTCGAGCCAGACGTCGTATTACTCGCTACAGATCCGTCACACAAAATCTTGACATTACAAGTCGTCTTCAAGGGCTCAGACAAACTATCCGTCAAATTTGAGTTTAACGTCGTATGTCTTATTTCCTTGTCATGCCATATTTTCGATTTTGAAAGAAGAATAAAACTCATATTGATTTGTCAAATAGGAAAAAGATACAGCAGAAGAAGTAGTGGCAGAAATGGTAAGCATTAAAATTTCACAAAATTTGTGTACACGATTATTATTAGTATTAGCATTATTATAAAATTTAGCCTATATGTATATGCATATAAATTACACAGACTAACAGCTTAGGAGAATATATATATATACATATATGATAGATTGAAGAACAGGTCTTACTAGATAGATACCAGCACAGCATTACGGGAGAAATAAACCGCATCTTGCGTGATATGGAAAAGGATGCTTCTAATCCAGACAAAGCCAAGGATAGACATGATGCAGTCTGGAGACGAGAGAATGATATCCGCACCGAATTGGAGCGAGAACGCAGAGATCTGGCACGGATGTCAGAGTTTGCTGCAGAAGCTGAAAGAAAAGTGGAACTTATTCACCAACAAATGCTACAGGCTGAAGAACGCCTTCGGGAAGTAGTACAAGAACGAGATCAATATGCAAAATTATCAAGGTTAGTCAAAATCAAATAAAAGAAAAAGAAAAAGAAATGCTTGGCTCAGGTCTGTAAGTTTATCATGTTAACATGCATATATGTACATATTGAATTTTCAATAGTAGTCGTCGTCCAAGTGCTGCAACATCTCCACCTGTACTTGAAAAAGAAGATGAGAGAACATTGTCTGATACTGACTTGTCAGCAGATGAAACACCTGAGGCCATTATGGAAGTGTTCACAGGTAAGACACACACAGATATATATATATATATATATATATAAAAGTCTTGAAGACTATAGGCACAAGTCCCTTTTTTCTTATTTTTATTAAATAATGATTTATAGACTATGCAGATGATACACCAATTGATATATTTGTTCAAGAAACTGCTGCTGCTGCTAAGCGTGATAAGAGTAAAGCAAGTGAATGGGCATCAAAATTAAAAGATCAGGATATCATGACAGCCGGTGACCTGCGTGGTCTACTTGACGAAGATTGGAATGGTCTTGGATTAACTGTATTTGCGCGCCGTGCCTTGAAAAATATGCTCAACCACAATCGAAGGGCACAAAAGAGTACAGACGCTTCTCTGGAAGACTAAAAATGATACACAAATCTATAATATAACCAGTTTAATTCTTTTTGAAAACAATAGAACATTTTGCTTTTTTTTTACACATACAAAATAAAATTAACATAAAGAAGAAGGAAAATAAAACAGTGTAGCGAACCATGTTATTTTTTTCTTTGGACCTCTTTATCTTATTCTACTTCTTCTTCACGTCAGAACTTGGACTTCTTGAGATTTGTCACTATTTCCACTAGATAAGAATAGAGCCCATTATTATTGTTGCTGTTGTAATTTTTGTGTAAAAGATGATCACAAGAGAATATTTCCCTACTTGGAGACTTGCCACTTTCTACTTGCCACCTGGCGCCATTCCCTTGGTTCGTTAATCGTACTACGTCCTGTTAAGCGATAAGCACCATATCATTACCTATTTCCAGGTTTTCCTTTTTTTTTCTTTTTTGGTTGTTGTTGAAAATGCTGAGCCAATGTGAAGATCGATATATATATATATAAGTGTATACTTATAGTTTTTTAAATGATTGCTTAAAATCAAATACTTTATATACTTTCTTCATCGAAAATCAAAAGCATGCCAGAGAAGACTCCTCTCAACAGTACGCCAGTTGGGCCACCAAATGATCCTCCACCTTATACGAGTACAAGTGCCAGTACCAATGCTAGAGTGCCCCCTGCACCAAACACCAGCAACACAATGTATGGTTCTGCCGCGGCCCCTTGTCTTCTTTCACCCACTATCTATCCCCCCGAAACCCTACGCACAAAACCAGCAAATACAATATGTCCACATTGTCATCAAAGTGTGCTTACAGTCACAAAGAATGAGGGAGGAACGGCTACAATCCTGGGTGTAGTAGCACTTTATCTGTGTGGCTGGCATCACGGCGGGTGTTTGATTCCATGCTGTCTCCCGTGTGTCCAGGATGTCAATCATTTGTGTCCCAATTGCAACACTCGCATTGCAAAGTTCGATCGCTTTGAACAGTCGACTGTTGTTAAATAATGTTTCTCGGCAACAGATCTTGTATAATATTCATATATCTATATGTGTGTATATCCTTCTACCTATAAAAATATTCATCTTCAAGCTTATTTGTTGTTGTTGTTATTCCTGTTATTTAATTATTTATTATATTGTACACAACTTTCAAGGTTATCCACAAACCATAAAGGGCTAGCTAATACGCCTTTTTAATATAAATATAAATATTGAAAACAAAGTGTATGTGTTTGTGTGTATTTATAAAAGAAAATAACTCAAAGGCGTTTTCAAGCTTAAGGTTGAGTAAAAGAAAAATATACAAAAGGCTCCTGATTACAATAAAATAGTATTTATGAGTTTAACCATTTATGAAGCCGTCCTTGAAAGAAAGAAATAAATGTCCTGTCTTTAAGAACATCAAAACCACAGAACAAGAGTTGTTCTAATTGATTCTTTGCCTTGACTAGGGCAAGTCTTTGAATTTATTGAATATAAAATAAAGTAAAGTAAAGAGAAAAAAAAAAGGGTTCATATTGGGCAGCTTAAACTTCATAATACTCTTTATTTTATATTGGATCTTTTTTTATATATAAATATTTGGTACTGGATCGTACAACCTTCTCTGTACCTTATAAAATAACCTAGTCTTATTACTTAATTTTTTAAAGAAGAATTGGTTTATGGGTAGTACTATGATTTATTGTTAAGCGCGCATTTTGGCATCTAATACTCATACTAGTTTTTTTTATATATAAAAAAATTGTAATAACAGTACAAACTTTGTGGTCTGATGTGCTTCATTCTTGTTTAGAGTTGGTATCGTAGGACAGATTGTAAAAAGCCCCGGAAGAAGACGGATGCGTGTCATCACACGTCAAGTGATATTCAATCTACAACCCTTCTTTTGAACAATATGTTTTAAATACGCGTTTGTGTGTGTGCGAATAACGTCTAACGAATTAATTTATCTTATAAATAGTTCCACAGAACCACTATTGGCATATGAAGAAGTCTTCATAAAAAAACACATAATTGTTTCCTAGGATACCAAGAAGTCAAAAGATAAATATTTCGAGTAGGTTTGATATACAGTTAAATGCCTTGGATTTTTAGGCTTTGTTTACCAAAGACAAATAATAATAATAATAATAATAAGAAAAAAACATCAAAGTTTAAGGACCTAAAAGTTCGCGCAGGGATTTTGCTGATCACACAGACTCAAGTAATGCTATATTAGAAACTTTGTCAACATAAAACAGACCAAAACAATGTCAAAGAAAAGACTTGTCCAGGCCACAGTTACACAAATGCGTACAAAGAATTAAAACAAGAGCTTATAGGATCTGATCCGATCTGTTCTGTTCTTTGATTTTCATTCTACTGTGCCGATGCCGGATATCCAGCTCAAAAGCACTACATACTTGGTAATAATACAAAGTAGTTCATTATCACATGTGTTGAGGTTTGATCTTTTGGATCTGGAACAAATAATTGATAAAGCTGCAAAAGTAGTATGATGGGGTCAAAGCTCGATATAGTGAATGCTTTATTTTCAGAACTTTTTTTTTTCCTTTCCTGCTAATTGTCACTATTTGCTTTGGAATAGTGACAATTGTAGTGCTGAAATATAAAGCTATCATATATCACTGTATCTAGTGTTCAGTGTTTTTCTGAAGGATATCTTTATCTATTATCTTAAAACATCGTAATAAAAAGTCTAGTTTATATATATATATATGCTCTAAAATATTATTATATTCTTATGCTTACATCTTTTGTGAGCATCATAAATGGCAATATTATCTTGCTACTTCTCTATGCTAAATGATTACAGAAGCTGTCATCGCGCAGTGCGATCAATTTCTTGGAATACAACGCTTTTATCATCGCATATTTAAATAACAAAATCTCATGGTGTAAATATCGATATTGTCATTTCTTAAATATATCAGTATCTTCACGAATATCAGTCTGTTTCTGCTCAAAAAAGCATTATTCATCATTGGTTTACTTGCTCAACAACTTTACTTAGTAAAGAAAAACACAAATTTTCAATTTTTTTTAGGTGTATACCCTGAGGGAACTTTGGAATCAAACATGGCTATGTGGTGTAAATATCTAATTTTTCATTAATAAACTGTTTTTTAGAGTGAAAAAAATAGGATTATTCAGTCAATATATGAGCAATAAATGTCAAACAACTTTTATATGGCGGATCTTTATGCGCATAATTAGATTGCTTAAATATATAAAGAGGTTTTGCTTAACCAATTTAGGTTCATAGCCGATTTTTAGTATTATATTTGCCATTTTGATCAAAATGATCCTTTTTACCAAATAATCCTTCAACGTATAATACGTACTTGACCTAGTAATAGTGGCACGAGTTTGGTCTTTACACTAGTATTTCCATTATATTGGGACTTGACTGGAATATTATTTGATATATCACAAGTAAATAAAAGTAGCCATATGAAAGACGTGCCTCTTTGACATTTAATTAAAATATAGTACTTTTGATAACTATTTGATTATTATTATTATTCTTAAAAACACTTTCTTTTATTCATGTGTTTTGTATTTGCACTGATGTTGATTTTATTTGTTTTTGGGACAATTTGGCATACTGCAAGTTCTCGAATAAAGCAAAAACACAAAAAATAGAAGAAATATCACTAGTATTTTAGGTGCGTAAAGTTAATGGTTAACAATACAAAATAGAGTAAAGGTTTATTAAAGATATAGTAAGAAAGAAAGACTGGTATATCAGACAAAAAATAAAATTACATAATATAGCTCGCTATTAACAGCCTCCTCCTCCGCTATCTCCTCCTCCTCCACTATCTCCTCCTCCACTATCTCCTCCTCCACTATATCCTCCACTATCTCCTCCTCCACTATATCCTCCACTATCTCCTCCGCTATGTCCTCCGCTATGTCCTCCACTGTATCCTGTACTGTGTCCCCCGCTATATCCTCCACTGTGTCCTCCACCGTATCCTCCACCGTATCCTCCACTGTGTCCTCCACTGTTTCCTCCACTGTTGCCTGTGCTGTGTCTTCCGCTGTACCCTTCACTTCGTACTACAGTCATTTCTTTACCCTGTTTTCCAGTGGATCCTCCATTTTGTATTCCACTCAGTTCTTTAGTCAGTTCTTTACTCTGCTCTACAGTGGAGCCTTCATTCTGTTCTTTACAGTGTTCTCCGCCCTGTTCTCCGGTAGACTCGAAACGGTGTTTGCTATGGTGGCTTCCACTATCGTCTAAATTGTAGTTTGTACTGTAGTAATATACTCTTATTAATATGTTGATAAAGATATGCTATGAGTATACGTACTTGTACGATAAAATCGCATTATTGTTTGCGACGTTGTTTACAGAATATCTATAGCTTGTGCTGACAGGTTTCTGAAAAGAGATGAATAAAGGATTAAATCTTGCTGTTTTCTTTTTCATAGTTAGGATACGGCCGACACTATTACTGGTACTTACTTTTTTATTATCTTTTTTTTCTGTAGAAGAAAACGTATACGTGAATAAAAATTATTGTTGGAGCCGTTTCATTATAATATTCTTACAGTAACTACTATACTTGACTGTAATCACCTTTGTTTTTCTTTCTCTTTGCAAAATCCGAGATAGAGGAAAAGAAGCCCATTGTTGTTGCTGGTGTTGCTATTGTCGTATAAAATACTAAAAAAAAAGTAAAGTGCTCTACTATTTTATACAAAATATTCTCGCTGAAAGTCTCACAAATTATTACACTAGATCTAATTTCTGCACGAAATATAGCTGCTCCCGTTATTACGGTCCTGTTTTACACATCCGTAGTGTGAACACAAGTCAGGATGTATTTCAATATTACACTAAATTGCTCTTTTTTAAAAGGGTGACACGAAGTGGTTTTTTTTTAAATTGCCTTGATTTGATAAGAATAAGAAAAATTTACTAAGAAAGATATCTTCTTTAATATTAACAATGCGTTCATTATAAACCGAATAAACCAGTATTTGCGTCTTATAATAATCTATTGTTTATACTTTTTGTGTTGTGGCGGTGATAATATATCAAGTACAGTATACTGGCTCTACTGTTTTCTATTTACAAAGTCGGATATACCGTCAGGTAATTGGAGTATTATAGTAACATTATGAGAAATATAATGAAAATGTATATTTCCACAGCAATACTTCCTCAAAACTCCAATCACAAGTAGAAGAGATATATATATATATAACGTTTGTATGCCTTTTTAGGATACACATATAGAAATGACTGGTTTCGGCAGATTCAAAGTAAAAATCAATAAATGGAAAAAATATACGTAGCATTGCTCTGCTTTGGAGCTGCTCAGCAATCTTAATAAAAGCCAACCTATTTTGGATAATTATTCTATTTTTCTCTGTACAGTATTATCCTCAGTAGATTTGGTCACGGGCTTTAAGCATTGCTGGTTTTTGCACTAGAGTAGACATTTTATAGATTATCAGTTTATTCATATACATACATACATACACGCCTTTCATATAAAAACAGTTACCTTAAAAGGCCGTGGCAATCCATTGTAGGATATTTTCTTCTTTGAAATGGTCTAGGGGTTTGAACTTACTTAAATGATTTAATCTCACCGTTTTGACAAGCAGGCCACAGACTGGAAGTCTTGAACTTGTCAATCAAGTATACCTCAAATCCTTCCTTTGCTAGCATTCTACGCGTTCCGATGCCTTTGATGAGTTCATGGTATTTATTTTGTTTGGGCGGCCAATTACCAAGTATCAGTATAGCAGGATTTTCAAACCTTTTCCGAATATCCTTGCCCAAGTGTTTGTCTGCTTTTAACTGATGAATGAAACTCGAAAATTTCATTTTTCTGAACAAAATTAAGCCACTAGTACGCCGATTTTCGTCGGCAAGATTATCTTAATTTACGTAATAGGCCTTAATCGCTAGGGTGACTTTGGCTTTTCTTGAATATGATTAATAGATTTTTCTTTGCCAGTTGTTGAAGAAATATGCTGGGACAGGAAGAGCTTGGCTGTAGTAATATGATCTGGCTTCATATCGTCCCTGAGTTTTCTAATTTTTTTAATCTTTGTTTCGACAGCTTTATGATTTCTTTTATATCTGAAAGTAGACTTTCTTTTGGCGGTGCTACTTTTGTGCATCAAGTAAAGCGAATCATGACACCCATGATTGTACCTCAAACATCTGAAAAGCAAAAGTGTGGAGCGAAATGTCCGATTTTGGCTGAGACACTTTCATCCAATGTACACTGCTTTTGAGCTTTTGAGCTTTTAAGCTTTTAAAAAACAGTCCACTGTAGTGCAATAATGCGCCTTTTTATGACAGGATTGCCAAACACGCATTTTCCGATTCCAACCTGTAGCTCCTCTTCCTCTAACACTTCGACATACCGAGATTCATTTTTCACCAAAGATATTGACTTTTTGCCACTAACACCTTTCTTTTCTTGTCCAACTGTTCTTCTTCAGCACGAACACGTCAATACCGTCTGTATATATCATCCCTCTGAACTGCACGTCCTTTGCTTCTCCCTGGGGTCTTATTGCCTTGGCATTAATATCCCTAATGCTTCTTCATATCACCTTTTTATTAAAGTGACTGATAACAGAGTTATTCAAGATCAAAGTATTCAGAATACGGGCATCGACTGTCAGATAGCGTGGTATAAACCCCATTTATTACAAAAAGCAAATGAATGTTTTGTCTTAAGTACTTTACACATTCTTGACAGTCTGTAGCACGCTTTCATGCGCTTCGGCAGATCGGCTTTGCTGTCATAATATATCGAGTCTTTTGAATATTGATAATCTGGCAGATATGAGTCAAAGATATTACGAAGCACGTCAAGCGTAGCAGAGGAAAGAAAAGCTTCATATATGTGTCCAATGTTTCTTGACGGGATAGCCTGCTTGATCTTGTTTATACCCTCTATTATTGTCTTTTTTTTTTGCAGATTTTGCAATATCTCTCTCGCTTTCCCCATTCTTCTTCCATTGCTACTTGTATTAATAGGAAGAGCATGTTTTTGATTGAAGACATGTGCCATAGAATTTGAGGTTTAAAAAAATCCGCTATAAAATAATTTTACATGATGAAAGAGACGGTACTATGAGTACTTAATTTTATCTAAAATGCACCAATTTTTCTTCTTTTTCTTAAAAAAAAGGAGCAGACAGTCGTAAATTAAGTTGATTGACTAAGATTACTTTGATCTTTTTTGATCTTTTTGGTATCTCCACCCCAATTTTAATCTACCTTTATTTTAGGCATATTTCTACACTCGTCTCAATTATTAGTCCATTCTTCGTTTTGTTTTGTTTTTTTTTAAAAAAAACTGTCTTATTCGTCTTAAATTAGATTCTTTTCTGTCTGGATTTCTTGGTGTATTTATCCAAAAGAGGTAAACAGCTTGTTTCAATTGTAACTCTGATTCGCCAAAAAAAAAAGAGAGAGAGAGAGAGAGAAATGGCTTGTTAAAATATGTGACCTCACTAACTATATATCGACTTGCTCACCAGGTTATGGGCTTAGTATCCCATACTATGGAGGAATGATCACAAAATCAAGTGAGGTCTAAAAATATCATAAGCTGGAATAACTAGTGTAACACACCCCTTCGATCTGTAAGCAATTTAGTCCTGTTAGATTGAATGCTAATAAAAGCAGAAATAAATACATATACATAGAATATGTATCGTATATACCACATATATACTATTACATATGTGAGCTCCATGTAAGCGCCATAATATTGTACAATACATTTATTGAGTAGGCATTTCGAAACTGCATGTTTGAAATTAATTTGTTACTTTTATTTTATTTACAAAAGAAAATACAAATATGAAAAAAAGTAACAATTAGATGGTAGAAATATAATTACAAAGGTCAAATTTAACTATTAACAAGATCCTCCGCCGCCTCCGCCTCCATCGCATCCACCACCACTACCACTACCTCCTCCTCCATCGTACCCTCCTCCTCCACCACCTCCATCATATCCATTCGAACCGCCCGAGTCACCAAGATTGCTAATAGTTTCAGGCAAAAATTTCGTAAAAATGCCAATTTCTCGAAGGTCTTTTCCGTATTGCTCATATATTTCTTTATTAGTCTTCTTGGGGCGTTTTATATCCTTCTTTCTTTTTGGATCATACACATAGGCTAAAGATAAATAGTCATGATTTTTATTAGTACGGCTGCTTATAGTTCTGAGCATTCTTGGGTGCATTTTTATTTTATTTTATTCTATTCCATTCTATTTGAATGACCTACGCTTATAGGCCTTTCGGTTCTTAGAGGTCCTCTTTTGTGTTGACGATGAGTTTCCCATACTTAATTGGTAAGTGATTTTTTAAGAGAGGTGGATAAATCGAGATGGGCTTCTTTTATACACAGCTAAATACCATCTTTTATGCAGCTGACCAATATTCTCTAATTTGATACCTTGACATATTTGTACCTAAAGTTTATGGTAGTCAATTGAAGATATTAGTGTACTACCTATATTTATACCTATATTATTGCACTAAATACTTTAGAAAGAAAATGTGTTAAATAAATATACTCACAATATTCGAATCTAAAATAAGGTATTTTTATCCTTAATCCATCTTAGGTTTTTGTAGCTTTAATGGTACATATTGATTCTTGCCGTGCGTTTAATATGTAAGATACTCACTGAAGCTTTTATCATGTTGTGCGTAGGACAGATATAAAGAGTGTGGAATATTCTTATCTGCTTCGAGATTACTAAGCCTTCTATCCAAAATTAGTTAAAATAAATGATTTCACATCACCTTTTCTTGTCATATTTAGTAAAGTGCCCTAATTTTCTGCTTGGATTGTCTATTTTTGATATCTCTAATATATATATATTTAATCATATTACTTGAAAAGGAGCAAGCAGAAAAAAATATCTTGAATATTCAGAATGTTCATGTTATAAAGTATGATGGCTTACAAATGTTCTTTCTTTTCTTTTCTTTTAGAACACTTTTTATTTCCTATTACCAAAATCCTACCATTGAAAGAAAAGGCAATGGTATCTTGGAATTACACAATATATTGTCGTATCGAAGTCTCCAAATAATAGTTTTAATGTCACCAAAACTCATCATCTATATCTTTCTTTCTTTAACCCTTTGAACTCGGTGCTGACCAGAACAAGCATATAATCGTTTATGCAAAACGATTCTACAGTTTATTATTTCATGGTAACAAACAAGCTCATTAAGATTATAATTTAATATAGCGGCAAAGGAGGTGCTCTATCATATTATTGATAGAAATTTATTTTTCTCTTTTACTTTTACTTTTACTTTCAAGTTGCCGCACTATTTAAGCTAAAAAGGCATTATCTAAGAGTACTTGTAAAGAGTATTGTGTTTATTTTATAACATTACACAGTTCAATATTTGAATTTTACTATTGAAGAGCCACAAAATTAGCAGGAAACTATTCAAATAAAAGTATGAGATATATTGGCTACCAGATATAATATATTATGTACTTACCACTCCCTGTCGAGTACCGATACGTCCAGTCCACCAGTCATCTTGGCTATCACTCTTTTCAACAATGGTAATAATATCACCTGTCTTGAAACTCAAATCTCCCTGCTGTTCACCAGTAAAATCATACATTGCTTTGGCTGTTACTTCTCGTGGCTTACGTGACATTGGTGGAGGTGGAGGTGGGGCCCGCTTGGCAGTTGTAGATGCAGATAGACCACCTGGGAGCTGGTTGTGCTGAGAGTAAGAAGGAGGTGGGGCAGAATAATTCCCAGGCGGTGTGCTTGTATGAGTTGGATTGTAGCTACTTGGAGCTGGAGGATTAGATGCTCCATAATTTTGGGTTGATGGAGGTGGAGGTGGGGCTCCATATCGTCCTATATTTGATTGGCCGGAAGGTGGTTGTCGTAGATGCCCAGGAGCAGAAATTGACGAGCTTCTAAAGGTGTTTGATTGATTTTCACTACGATTGTACATTGCACCCGTATTTCCTAATGAATGGAATCTTGCATTCAAGGCTCTGTATAGAATATCAGCTTCTGGGGGAGGGGGTACCTTTCCACCCAACAATTCCTTTGCCGTCACTCTTTTCCCATAAAACTTCTCATTTGCATCTCCTCGAGTCACAACCACAGATCCTTCAATGGATACTCCTGCAAACAATCCCTTTGTTTTGCTATAAGAGAAAATGGCAGCAATATGCTTAAAACTAGCAGACCCAGATGCCTCCGCATTACGACCAATAGGACCAGCGGCAACTACAACAATAATCCAAAAGAATGAGAAAATATTGAATGACACAATATTTATTACTTCCCCTCATCTGCTTACCTGAAACGTTGCCACCAAGAGTAACATTACCAAACTGACTGAAGGTCTTTACGGCCTCCTTTGTATTAAGCACCAACACAAAGTCCGTCAATTCCGCACCTAAAAAAAATGGTAAATTTTTAATCTTTCAACACAAAAATAAATGAATCCCGACACTTTGGTGCATGTTTTCTTACCAATTTGACCACCTGCACCCATGCCTCCCGTTCCGATGGCTGAAGGAGCAGACCACCCTGTTAAATATTCAATGTCCCCTTTATCATATCAGATACTTGTAACAAAAAGCCTTGTATTAAGCTCATCTACTAATTTAACTTGCCTCCATCAGGAAGTCTAGAAAGAGTATCAGTATCCAGATATTTGGGTATGGTACTGTGCCACACCAGAGCAAAATTCAGTGAAATTAACTTACCTAGCCACCACAAGGCCGCTACCAGCGCGACCAGAGAATAAAAAGCCTGCCTTGAGAACAGTGTATATAGCTAAACCCTGGGCATTATCAATAATATTTGTTGGAATGACCTTATCTAGACCTTGACCAGGATCTGTAATGGTGTCTCATTAGGTCTTCAGGTCTTGAATGAGAATGCCCATTCAACTCACCAATAAAACTGTTGAGAATTTTTGCTGCCTTTTTGCACTCTCCTAAATACGGGTTAAACAGAATCGTTATAAAACCTCCGAAAACCTTTTAAAGTCTCCACCTACCCTCAAGGTTGGTGGGAAGAGGCGAGTTGAGGGTCGAGGTGATGTTATTAAATGCTTTCATAACAAGGAAGTTAAAAAGGGTAATATTGGGTTCATTGGAAGTCGCGACAGGTATTGCTTTAATTACGTCACTCTTCGACGCACGGATGATTTTGATATAACTCTCGTGGCTTATCCCTCACTTCACTCCCTCTTAGTTCATAACCATGTCATGGAAGAGGTGTACCAAATGACAAGATCTCCGTCTTCGGGTGAACAATAGCTGTGCCTGACTCAAGTTTGTACAAGGCGGGCATTAAAATAAAACTATACAGGTACACAAACACGTACGTGTGAGCGCTTATTGAAGCGTGAGACATTATTTTTTTTATATTATATTATCTTATTTTATCTTATTTAATCGTTTTTCTACTTTTTAGTTCTTTCCTACAAAAATGTCAACCGAGAACGTAGATAAATTCTTGGATCATATTGAGAAGCACCAAGATAGCCTTGTCGAGCGACTCAGACAGGCTGTTGCTATCCCAAGGCAAGTGTTATTATTACTATTATTTGTACTTTGTGCAGGTCATTCCGCACAAGAACCGCCATCTCATTGTGTATTTATGCATCTTTACAGTGTGAGTGGAGATCCAGCTCATCGTCCAGATGTTTTTCGCATGGGCGAATTCTTAGTTAAAGAATTAAAAAATCTCGGTGCAAGTGTAGAAACACGCGATCCGGGAGAGCAAGACTTCCACGGTACTACTTTGAAGCTTCCTCCTGTTGTACTCGCTACCATTGGCACAGATCCAGCCAAAAAGACCCTCTTGGTTTATGGACATTATGATGTTCAGCCTGTATGTAAATAATATAAAACAGTTGGGTCTAAATGCTCTTTTATATTTAATGATTCTTTTTCTTATTTTTCTTATTTTTTTTATTATAGGCGCTTAAAGAAGATGGCTGGAACACTGATCCCTTTACACTAGTTGAAGATGAAAAGAACCGTCTCATTGGTCGCGGAAGCACCGATGATAAGGGTCCTATTCTTGGCTGGATCAATGTTGTTGAGGCTCACAACAAGCTTGGCCTTGAATTGCCCGTCAATCTCAAGTTCTGTTTGGAGGGTATGGAGGAGTCTGGCTCTGAAGGCCTCGAAGCGATCATTCATCAGGAGGCAGACAAGTATTTTAAGACTGTTGATGTTGTCTGTATCTCAGACAACTACTGGCTTGGTACTAGCAAGCCATGCCTGACCTATGGTCTCCGCGGTGTATCTTACTTCCATCTTACTGTCGAAGGACCCAAAGGTTTGATTTATGATAGCGTTTTTTAAACACCTGGATATAATATTAAACCTATTTCTTATTTACTTAACAAGCTGATTTGCACAGTGGTGTGTTTGGTGCCACAATCCATGAACCTATGACTGATTTGTTTGCAATAATGAGCCAGCTGGTTGAACCCAATGGTCGCCTCTTGATCCCAGGAATCTATGATCTTGTTCGCCCTTTGACTGGTAAGTTACCCGCAATAAGATTTTAGAGTTAGCAACTTACGTAAACTTATGGTAGATGTGGAGGAGAAGACCTATGAGAACCTTGATTTTAGTATCCAAGATCTTCATGATGCTGTTGGTAATGAGATCAATCTTCACAACACTGTTCGTGACACCCTCCAACACCGCTGGAGATTTCCTTCATTGTCACTGCATGGTATCCAAGGTGCATTCTATAACCCTGGAGACAAGACTGTTATACCTGCCAAAGTTACCGGAAAGTTCTCTATTCGTACTGTTCCAGATATGGAGATTCCTATTGTAGAATCTCTAACTGCAAAATACGTCCAGAGCTTGTTCGATAAGCTTGGAAGCAAAAATACAATGCAGCTCAAATGCACACACAGTGGTGACTATTGGCTTGCCAGTCCCGATCACTGGAACTACGGTAATTTAACAAAGAAAAACTTTTAGTACTTTGTTATATTTTTTTTAAAAAAAAAAACATGGCAGTAGTACTAATAATAGGAATATTGTGATGTATGACTGTGTATAGTTGCTGCTTCCAAGGCTGTTAAGAAAGTTTTTGGGGTTATGCCAGATTTGACCCGTGAAGGTTGCTCGATTCCAATCACATTAACTTTCCAGGAAGCTCTTGGAAAAAATGTTTTGTTGCTTCCTATGGGACGTGGTGATGATGTAAGTAGAGATATAAAGGCCAGTAATTTGCATGTGTACATATATTGATATTGTGGTTATAGGGCGCACATTCTATCAACGAAAAGCTGGATAGATCTAATTATGTATCAGGTACAAAATTGCTGGGAACATATCTATACGAGGTGGCCGCATCAAAAGGCGAATAAACATTCAGAGAAAGATATATTGCATAGTGTTATGTAGTATGTATTTATACCTTTAGCAGATTGATATTATGGCTTACAATAAAGTTTATCTGTCGTTGTAAAATGGTAGCAAGTTAGTTTACGTTTGTAGAAGAGTTGTTTGATACCAGTCGAAATTATATTTGCTCATCAACTAATCTCTCATAATGATCTGGTCATTTTATAGTTATGATGTATAAGTTGAGCTTATTTACTAGATAATAGTATATTGTTTGTTCTCTCTTAAAATACAGGTTTATCCAAAATACATCAAATTAAATAATAATTCGGGTGGCCTTGGTTTGTTCAAAAGATCTTATTTATTACTGCATGCCTTGTTGTAAGAACAAAGTAAAAACCAGGTAGCGCGTGCTTCATAAAAACAGGCTTGGATACATTGTATTCCTATACTTAGTCCGCACACACAGGGTGTTGACTGTTTCAAGTGATTCAATAAACACGGTGGTATAAATTAAGCACTCTTCTTTTCTTTAAAAAGAAAAATACTTTCTTTAAATAAAATTCTACTCAATTGTGGTCTATGCATATATGTGCGGACATCTGCTATACTTTATTCCAATCAACCATCTTACTAGTTTACATTCGACTCGGTATAGAATGTGTTCGATGATTGTCACACGAAGCTCGATACAACATTCGAATCTCCTTTTATTGGGCTCCTCAATACTTGTACTCTCCTTTAATACTATCATCCCTTGATTTTCCAAATTTAAGCTCGAATTAATTAATATTCATTTTCATTCCTGTACACACAATATGTTAACACCAGCACACCAGAAAAATAAAGACAAGAAAATGGCTAATATGCTATAAGTTAATAAAAATTACTTTGCGACCATCTATGCTGGATGAGCTGTTTCATTATGCTGAGCCACATCTTGTTCCACGAATATTCATTACAACTGTTGACTCTACAGGGATTTCTTTAAGAAAGTCAATACTATTACATATGAATATAGAAAATAAAGCAAGTTTGTTATTATAATGGTTCACAAGGTATTTAAGGACATGCTATACCATGAAGTATATAAGAAAATTTATCAAAATTGGTTTAATATTTACAAAGCTTACAATCTAAGATTGTGATATTGCCTATCTTGGAGAAAACATACTTTTTTCTTTTTTCTCTCTTTTTTTATATAAATAAATAAATAAATAAATAAATAATAAAATAAAGGCGTATTTATAGTAGCTTGTTTCAACTGTTGTGATAAAAGAATGTCATTCCTTTTCTCATGATGTTAGTATTTGAATTGCCATTCGAAGTCCTTGTCCGCATTGCGAGTCTTCTATCACTCGAAGACAAATTATCATGCACGGCCGTATGCAAAGCTTGGAAACCACTGTTCCAAGAGTCATTGTGGGATACCCTCTATATTCAAAATGAGAGAAAGCTGATAGATATATGCTATTCCACCGCCTCACATAATTGTATTTACCCGGAGAACGGCAGTCGAGTGAAAGAAATATACATGTCAAAAGGACTACTTCCAAGCATAGAAGAGATAATGGTTATTCAACGCATGTTTCATAATACTGACTTACTCTATGCTCCATTAAGGGTATTGGGGTCCCCAGATATTCAAAAGTTCACGGAGTCGTATTCCTGGAAATCATTAACATGTTTGGAAATCATCATTGACGGTTTTGACTCCCCGGTAGAAAGAATCCCGAGTTTCATAAAGGCCACAGCATACCTACCATGTCTGACGAGGCTAGAATTTGTCAAGAACTACACTGAATCATCATTGATTTACACAATAAATGATATCGAAGATCTACACTCAAACCTACCGCACTTAAAATATCTGTCTTTGAATGGAGGGGTGTCCGATATTACCACAAACAACATGATTATCTTTTCACACATTATTCCAGCAAAGTGTCTTACGGTCGCAAAACTTGATTTGGAAAGCATGGATATTGTGTGGCTGTACTACTCTATGTGCAAATACTCGAATATTAAGTCTCTGCATTGGAATATCAGCAAAAGCCTAATTGCCCAAGACGATTTTATAGACTACATCAATATCCAGATTAAGAAGATTCCAAACCCACTAAAGTATATGAATACACTCGTAATCAAAGACACTTGGTGTAATGAAGAAACCTACGAGTATTTATACAAGCTTATATCTTACCACAAGCCACCAATCAGTCATATCAAATACAGCAAATGTATTACATATCACACAGAAAATGAACTATATTTGCTTTCAGACAATATCCGTAATCTTGTAGGTGCTTTCTCACAAAGCCTGCAGAAGATTGAGATCACTACGAATGCCAATTTTTCTGATATAAACACCATTATGAAAGAACTTGGAAGCTGTCCAGATCTTGTTGAACTACACTTAAGCCTATCAAATACCCTGATTGATATCGATGTTCTCCTGAATCATTGTGTGGGTCTCAAAAAATTAAAGCTTTCCGGAAAAAGAGTCTTTATATCCTCAGACGTGCCCGAAAACACAACGCCTCATGGACTGTGCCTACTAGAAGTTTCCAGGACAATAGCCAACACGAATTTATTTTACTATATTTCGTTCCGATGTAGACATCTAAAGTACATGCACCTAAACTATATGAACGTATTTGGAACATTTACTAAATCAACAAGAGGCATTGTTATAAATATGCCTCACACCCACCTTCAGCTACTACTGCTCAACTGTGTCTCGTTCTGCACAGAGCATGGCAGCGAGTATTCTAACGAAGGTGCGGTTAATCTAATGACATCTATGAAACCGCGAATTATTGTTCGACAAACAAACTTAATGACAAGGCTGCAGCACTCGGATGCCAGTTATCAAAAATCAGATCAAGAAAAGAAGGTTCAACTTCAAATATATTGGACTCCAATAAAACAAAGAGACGCGTTAAAAGAAGTACTATCAAGAAGAAGGGAACCATTGTATTCACACGAGTACTCCAAGCTACTAGATATTCAACCCACCAACAGCCGCAGAAAATCGAGTTGTTTCTTTTATCGTGCGCAAATGATTTTTAAATTTCTGGTAAACCCTCGGCCATTTAAAGAGAGTGTTTTATTTAACTGTGGGTCTATAAGAAAATATGCAATGGATAATGACATAGATAAAGAAGAAACGAAATGGAATAAGTTGTATAAAACAGTATTTTAAAAGTACAACAATTTATAATACACAAACATTTACCCACAACCAAATACCAAGTGCTAAACGTTAAACTTCAAATGACAAATAAATAAACAAGACAATTGAAACAATTGAAACGTTATTATAATCAAAAACCAATATATTCGTTTTCTACAAGTGCTTGTTTATTTTCCCTCGTCGTACTGTAGGAAATAGCAAGGTTTAAGACAACAGACCGGTAGCTTTTTGTAGGTCAATAATATTTTTTAGAATTTCACCAATCATCTAACCTTTTCTCTAAAAAACAATTATGCTGATTTGTGAGATTCTGGGTAAATTTTTATTTTATTTTGATTAATCAATTTCATTTGTCTATAGAAGAGCCAGACCTTTTTCTTTATTTAGGTAACTCTAATGCTTTTATAATTGGTCCGACCAATGTATAATGTCTTACTTCGGGATTTTATAGCTGTGTGGAGCTCTTTTTTTTATGAATCAAGACAAAAGATCAGTGTCTAGTAAGATGAAATTGGAAATTATAGAACATAGTCTAAACTGTGAGTAAGGTTACTGTTAAAAAAAAAGGGGGGAGAACAGAAGAACTCGAATGTACTATTGCTATTAAGTAGCCACTCCTAATAACGATAAAAGAAATTCGGTCAAGATATTTTGAAGACATTCTTTTCTTAGTATTATGCTAAAAGTGTAATACACAGTAGTATAGAATATTTGAGGTTTTAGTACCTTTTCGGCCTGTTTCTATTTTATTTTATTTTATTTGCTTTTTATTGGTATTTTAAAAGTCGCTCATTTTGATTACAAGCGAATTCAGTCATTCATAAACCAAAGTACAAAATAATACATTATTGGTCGAATAGAATATAGACTATAGTAAGTAGTAATTATGGTGTCCAAGCTCTTCTTTTGTTCTTTTCCATAGATAAAACTATAGTCTCTATACTGAAACACAATATAAATTTAAATCTGAATCTGAATCCCCCCGACTTGCAAATTTCAGTTTTTATTTTTTATTTTTTGCAAAGGTTTTAAAAAGAATTTGAAATCTAATATTTCTTACTCCTACCGTTACTTTTGTTTCTCTGGGAAAACAGCCTGTCGAAACGAATCATTGACGTTCCTTTGATTTGTTTCATTTCATGACAACAAGTTACGCTATAAAAAAAAGGCAGAATAAAACAGAACAAACTCAGAACGGGTTTAATATTCCCCACCAAGAAACGTTTGATTAAACCGATTGGTTTATCCTTGGATTCAATTGTAGTATATGTTTCAGGTCTTTTAAAAAAAATTATTTACAGATGTATTTTCCAAAAGGTATAAAAGAAGCATCTTTGTTGATTCGAATTTTTATTTCCTCATAATCTCTCATAAATCTGTCATGTCCGGAATCAACACTGCCAAGCGCTCTTTCTGGAAGATCTGGTACAAGCCCGAGATTATCCCAATCTATATCACAGTCGGTGGTGCCTGCGGTTTGGCTGGTTGGTACCTCACTCGCTTGGCTCGGTAAGTCCTTAAAAACTTATAGACTATAGATATGTAAAAATATATCATTGTTCATGATAGTTCTAACTCATACTTATTTTTTTTTATAAAACAATAATAATTCAAAAGTGGCCCTGAAGTAGTGTGGAATCGTAAGAAAAACCCCTATCCTTGGCAGAACATTGATCAGGATACCCAAGTCAAGCTCATGACTGTAAATCAAAAGTTTGATAAGATGTAAGTAAACATTTGATTCAATCAGAAGAACAAAAGAAAGATCAAAGTAATTGATTACTCACACTCTATAATATCTACTTAATAGATACTCTCGCGATCGCCTTTAAACGAATCCTTTTTACGTATTCGATTGTTTTAATTACATACATCAACACCAAAAAAAATGAACCTCTCCTATCTTTCACTTTCCAACAACAGAGGTTGTTCTCCCATTTTAATTTCATTGTCATTAAACCGCTTACTATCTCCATTATAAATAACCGCAAACAAACACACACACACACATACGATTGAGATCCTATATTATCTCTATATCTCTTCTCTTTTTTCTATTCAATAAATAAATGTAATACTGTTTCCAAGGACACGATGTTTTTGAGGATGGGTACAATGTCTAGAGTACGGACCCAATCTTTATTTTTTAGTTGTTTTGTTTGTTATATAAATTTAATTAATTTCCAGACATTAGATAATAAATATTTATATGAATATGAATGTTATTAGAAAGGTTTTTATTTCTGGACTATTGGGATTCTGGTCATTGGTTTCGATCTCAAAAGAGAAGGAAAATATTAGATTTCACTGTTCTCCATCTTTGTCATATATCCAGTATTTATCCGAGGCTCTTTTGAAGTCTAAAAAATGTGGCATTGACATAAAAGCTTCTTTACGTCTTCCTCAAATGAATTCCTTTCGTATGAAAGAGAAAAAATGAGTAAAATTGATGTACATACATTTATTAATATTATCATATAAAAAAAAATATGGCTCTACCTCTCTATCTCTCTCTCTCTATTAAGATAATTTAAATTTTTACTACAAAAGTCCGTCTAAATGTTATTTTCTTACATTAACATATTTGTTTGTATGTGTAGGATAAGTAAAATCAATATTGTGAATTTAATTGGAAAATGTTTATAAAAATATATTTACCAATGTATGAAAAATATATTAACAGATTGTGAATTAATAGTGAAAAACACAGTAACAAAGAAAAAGCAAAATAATAGTTAGTAATAGTAATAGTAATAATATCAAGCTACAAAATGAAAGAAAGCAAGTTATCAAGCTCAATTCTCCTCTGTAGACCAAAGTAAAATGTAGAATAAAAACACAAAAAAACCAATAACAATAATAATAGTAGTAATAGTAATAGTAGTAATAGTAGTAATAGTAGTAATAGTAGTAATAGTAGTAATAGTAGTAATAGTAATAACAGTAATAAGAATAAGAATAGTAATAAGAGAGAGAGAGAAGTAGAGAGCGAGAAAGAGAGGCAAAGAGAGGCAAAGAGAGCCAGTCCTTTAGTTTTCTTTTGTTGTTGTTGTTGATGATGTTGTTTAGTTTTTTTTTCGATTTGACAGTATCAAATACTCGTTTGGCTTGTTCTAGGGAGTCTCTTTAGATGACAGAGGTACAGACGACTGTTGTTGCACTTGGGTAAGTGGTTCAAAATTGTCAGGGTCATTGGGATACGGAAAACCAAACTTGCTATCTGCTGCTGAAACTATTGTTGTTGATTTTTGGACTACATCATTGTGCTCACATCGCTCAGTTGCTTCGGTCATTGTTGCATCTCCATCTTCATCATGTTTTTCAAAATTACCCTCATCATCCTCGTGCGCGCTGTAGTCCATATGTGTATCCGGCCTAGTATCTTCCTCCATAGCCATAGCCATAGCCATAGCCTCTGTGCGGACAGTCGGAATAGCTACACTTTCCTTTTCCTCTTGAACTGGAGGAGAGGCTGAGACGGATATCTCTTTAAAGATTTCGGTGGTTACAGGCATAGGAAAGTCTTCAACTCCCTGCATGGGCGCTCCATCATCGTGCTCGGTCGCCGCAGACCGGTCTTCTTCTACTTCAACCTCAGTCTCAACCTGAGAAGCCACAAGATCAAGGACAAATGACTGCACGTCGGAATCCTTATCCATTGACAGTATATATAATGTCTGTTCCAGCAGGCGTCCAGGCTGTCCTTCATCATCAGGGGGAATTTCGGAGAGGATAATGTCATATAGCTCCTGTCTATAAGGTTCTATTTTATTTTATTTTATTTTATTTTTCAACAAAAAAAAAGAAGAAGCAAGGTTTAGTATTATTATTAATATATGTATGCACTACTCACCATTTGTGTAGATGGCTCTAATGGTACGTGATGCTGCAATGCGTACATTTGCCACCGGATCTTCCGCAAGAGGGGCAAGTCGTGGTAGGAAGAATGATGCAAAATCACCTGCATAAATACCTGCCTCAAGAAGAGCCCTGCAGATCTGAGCAAATCTAAAATAACAACATCAAAATCAGCCTGCTTCTTTTTTTCTCTCTTTATTTCTGCACAACCATTTAAACTGACTTACACAAGTCGGGATCTGTACATGTCTGACCGCACAAATTCCTCTAGCTTCTCCATTACATGACTCAACAAAGCAATAGCAAACCCACGTTTACTTTCGATAATATCTTCTTCGTCGTCTTCATCCTGTGATAATGATTCGCCATCCTCATCCACTGCTCGTTTTACAATGTCAAGAATGACAGGAAACTTTTTTTTCACAAAAAAATAGATCATTTTTTTGTTAGTACAATAAAAAAAATTGTTTGTATATGTGTGGGGAAAAGGTTCTTTTCTTTTTTTTTTGCTAGAAAAAAAATGTGACTTACTGCCTCTACACCAGTTTCACGAACAGCAGCAAATTCATCATGGCAAGCACGTATTGCGAGAGGTAAAACATGCTCAACTACACGCGCAGCATCGAACAACATGGCAATGTCTCGCAATTGGGCTGCTAATATGTCTCGCAGTCTCCAGTTTGTCATCACACCATCCCAGACCTCTGCTAGGATAGGTATGTACTCATTACGTGAGCTTACGGCCAGCGTGCTCAAAAACTCTGCAAGGTGTTCCAGTATACCCTGCTTTACATCGTCAAGATCCATTAAATACAAGGCAAAGATCTGTACTAAATCACGTTCGGTTCGTTCTGGTCCGATTATACGGGATATTTCATGCAGCGAATAGGCAAAGGTGCGGCGTACTTTGATTTGGTAATCCTTTGATAGATTTAGATAGGTGTCCTTCAGGTGCGAGTCCCAGTAGTCCGCACCAGCAGTCAAGAGTACGGCCGGGAAATTGTAGGCGCAAATGATTGCTCTGTCTGTCTCGAGTTTAAACATCTGACTTGAGTTGGCATTTACGCCAAGAGACAAAAAGAATTCGAGCAGTGGTCCAGGTACGTTGCCGGGTCTTCCGGTGGATTCCCAGTCGTCTGGTAAGAACTTGGCAATCAACTCACCAATAATTTCTGCCAATGTATTCCGTACGTTGCGAGACACGTCGTTCCTAAAGGCCTCTACACCCTCTACAGCCACCTTTGTCCGTTCATCTTCAGGAAGTACGGCACATAAAAGCGGGAGTGCTAATACACAAGAACGTCGGACGTGCCAAATAGTATCTCGTGAAAAATTAAGATATAATGGTAGCTTAATGTTTGTATACATATATAAAAGAACGATGGTGGCGATTGTAATTGTAATTGTAACAATAACAACAATGAAGAAATCAAAAATAATAATAAATAAATCGTTAATTAGGTTAATTGGATTGTTGCTTATTTTGATCTGTGCAAAGAAATAAAATAAAATAAAAAAAATGCTTACCAATTTATCCATTGCGACCTGAGAGTCGACTACAGTAGCGAGACTACCGATGGCAGCAGCAGCCTCTTTCCGAACATAAAACATCTGATCATTAGCCAATCGCTCCACAATTGGCAGACATCGCTCTTTACAATGCTCAGGTCCCAATACGTTTGCAAGAGCAGAGATAAGCTAAAATATGGATATACATATGAATATTAATAAGACCAAAAAAAAAGTTCATAAATTAAATAAGTATATATATATATATATATAATGTGTTCTAGACTTACAGAAAGACACATCATCTTCGCCAAGTTGATTTCGCCTTGGTCGACATCTTCCGCTGAAGCTGTGTGTGGGTAATTTGAGCTCTCGAATCCAGATGCAGATGATCGGCGGCGAATATAGACTTCTTCATCATTCGAGCCTGGATTCTGTCTAGATCTTTCATCGTCGTCTGCCTGACGAGACTTTCCCTCGACTACAGGCATCAGACCCATCACTACACCTTCGAAAATCTCGGTCTCTAACAATCCTCTGTAAATTTCCTCTTCTGGGCCAGTTACTGCAGCCAACTCCGATGCGACTGACACAATACACTGCTGACCAAGCGTGGCCAGGCTTGAGTTCTGGTCGAGTAAGAATTCGATCAGGATCGCAGAGAATACGCGGGGAGGGATGTGCAGGCCATTGTCAGGATTGGGCTGTTTTTCCAAGGCAGGTTCTGATGATTGTGTGTAATTATGCTCTTGGGGCTCATTTGGAGCTAAATTGTCTGTGCTAGGGTTTGTTTCGGTAGGATCTTCGAGGTGTAGATTGGCGACTTCGACAGAAGGTGAAAATCTGTCGGTTGAGACTTGAGATTCTTGCGAGAGTTTGGTGCTTAAGGGTGGAGCATGCTGAAATAAATAAGCAAATTTATAAATTAGTCAAATAAATTATATTATATTATATTAAATTAAATTATATTAAATTAAATTAAATTAAATGAAAATAAAAAGAGTGAAAAAGGATGAGGTGATGATTTGTGGTTTTACGAGTGTTGTATATACTTGTATTTTTAAGTAAAAGAAAAAATAATAATATTACCTGGTAATAATATAAGATGATCTTATCGAGTTCACTTGCAAATGTCTCTCGTACTGTGTCATCGGGATCAATGCCTATTTTGAGCACCATGGGTAGTACATAATTCACTGCCTCTGCTACATCAATCTCATGAATTATGTTTGATATCTCCTTGGCAGCCAGCAATCTTTATACCAATAAATTGCCAGTTATTAACTTTATTATTATTATTATTCTTAAGATTAGTTTCTAGATTTCTACTTACCTGTGAATTACTGCATCACTCTTGTTAAACATGTATATACGTTCGAGAGGTGAAAGGGAGTCATCCATAGTAAATTCATCTTCAATATCGTCCGCTTGGGTTTCTAAACAAATCGTTCATTGTTCATTGTTCATTGTTCATTGTTTTTTTTTAGTGATCAAAATTTGTGCGTGTATACAAATATTTATATAAATAAATAGAGTTAGATTGGCATTGTCTTTAATTTTTTTTTGTGAACCAAAAAAAAAATGAGGATAGCCAATAAAGCAAAGAGAGAGAAAAGAGAGAATATATGAATAAGACGATCATTTACCTTCTCTCATTGTTTGCTGGCCAATTTGTTGTTCGGAATTGTCTGTAATTTCAGGAAACTCTTCAAGACTTTGGTAAATTTCTGGATCGTCTGTGTAGGATAAGTCCACCTGATCGTCTGTACCTGACTGATCTACTACTTCTACTACAACAGCTTCTTGTCCTTGTCCTTGTCCTTGTCCTTGTACTTCTTCGTCTCGTTCTCGTTCTCGTTCCTGTTCCTGTTCCTGCATTTGCTTTTGTTCTTGCTTTGGTTCTGGTTCTGGTTCTGGTTCTTGTTCTGGTTCTTGTTCTGGTTCCTGTTCTTGCTTTGGTTCCTCTTTTTTTTCCTTTTCCTTTTCCTTTTCTTTTTCGACCTCTGTTGCTTCTGCTTCAGTTCCTTCGGCTTCAGTTGCTTCTGATACTTCTGTTTTTGCTTTTGATTCTCGTTTGTCGCTGTTTTCTAAATCCTGAACAGGTGGGGTATCATTTGACGGAGCTTTGTTAGTGGAAACTGAGCTTGGTGCAGACTCGACGGGGTCGAAAGGTCGGTGTTCTCCCAAGGGAAGCGGTGTCAAGGATGTGTATGCGGTTTCATGCTCGTCTAGGTCGTCAGAAAAATCGAATCCGAGATCTTTAACAATAAAAGTGGATGTAGAATACATTGAGATGACTGGCATTAAGTTTAGACATTGTTATTTTCTCAAAGATGAATTTACCAGCCATTGTATGTAATTTAATTATTATTCTTTTAAAATGAAAAGGAAAAGAGAAAGTAGCTTTTCTTTTTTAAAAAAAAAAATTCTTTCTAGGCGTGTGTGGTGAGATGAGTAACAGATTGATAATGAGTGTGAATTTTCAGAGACAAGTATGATGAGCTCAACATTCACAATAAAGAGAGAGAGAGAGAAAGAAAGAAGTATATATATATATATATATATATGTGTGTGTGTGTGTATAGTATAAAGAGATAAAAATGAAAGAAGATTATCTACAGTGTAAACGAAGGAGTAAAGACGTAAGGTAAGAACGCGCAGAAATGGCGAATTATAATTATAACTATTATATTCCTTATAAAAATAAAGAATATATATATATATATATAAGAGAGAGAGAGAGAGGAATCAATACAAGTTTTGAAAACACAACAGGCACAACCCAACCGTCGATCACATGCTGTGATTTGCGTGACTCGCATTGAATAAATGAGCAAACCAGGAGCATTTTTAGATCGCTAACCTTTTTCTCTTTTCCACCTTTACACACATACTCTCTCTATCTATACATACAAACATACATACATACAAATACATATATATATACATATGCATATATAAATGCACGTAAACTAGTAAAACAACAATAACAAAGAAAAGAGATAACGACTTGGTTTTAAAACAATAAATATCTTACATATGTTTCAAAATAATATGTCTATGATTAAAAAAAAAAAGCCTATTTTGAATATTTTGTATATAAAGATAATAATATAGGTTTTATTAGTTGAATTAAAGAGGAAGAAGAAGTCTTTAGTATATATGCTTATTAGGTAGATATCTGTATATTGTATATAATTCTTAAATTTATTAAACTCGTACAAGGCATTATAGTCTGTGCTTCAAAGCACAAAACTTGGAAAATACATATATGTAAAGGGATGTGCCTTTTATTTTTGTTAAGAAAGAAAAATTATACATGTAACCTTGAGTTTATTCTAACAGTTGATTTTTCTATTCATTTAAACAAGACTGAAAAAAAAAACAGAAATTTTGGCTGCTTTTCTCTCCTTCTAGCGGATATTAGTAATGAGCCAAGATGTATAGAATACAAAGTAATAATAATGATAGTAACAATAAGGAAAATCATCATTTCCTTCTTGAAAAGAAAAAGAAAGAAAGGTGATAGGCTTTGTAATCATGGGTTATACTTGGCTTTGTGTTACAAGTATTTGCTGACGGTGGTGGTGGTGGTTGTGCTGATGATGATGATGATGATAATGACCCCAACCACTCTCCCCCACCCATCCCTTCTTCTTTATCTCTCTTTCCTCTCCTTCTATGTATTGATCTACAGTAGATAGGGTATAATAGGAAAAAAGCTGTATAGTTTGGCTAAACTTACCAACGATAGCTTCTCTCAAGTACGAAAATCCATTCTCTTCAATTTTCTTTATATAGCTAGTTGCATATATTATTGGATTAGAATCCTCATTCCGTTTCCCCAGCAATTTACCAGAAATATACCAAATTTATCCCAGCAACAAATCTGTGTAGCATTTACCACCATATATATACAGTCCATTTTGGTACCAAATAAGCATAAAATAGTCTACAATACACCTATTCTTATTACTGTATATAAACCTATAAAGAAAGGCAAAAAATAAAATAAAAAATAATTAAGTAATAATCAAAAAGATATTTGGTGTAGAGTTCTGGTGCATTAAATACCATTTTGGATATAATTGACTGTCTTTTATATATGTATATTATTAATTAATAGATATCTTTTCTGCTCTAATTAAGATATACTCTTTTAGTAGAAATAACAATTTAATATAGAATTCAACTACTATTGGATACATACATTAAACTTCAAGATAATCAAAGGGACATTACCACAAGAAGTAAACATGTCAGAGTAAGCATACACATACACATACACATGCATATGTATGTATGTATTTATGAATATTTATAACCAATTATCTAAAAAAAAATTCTGTAGAAATTCAATGCCTGTTTTTTTTTTATCGCAACTTGCAGATTTATTTACGAAATATTATGTCAGATAATAATAATCTTCAAATACTATAGACTTTACAATAATAATAAACACAAAATATAGATGTTTATCTTGTATATCATCTTATTAATTTTTATCCGGTATTTGAAAGACAGATCAGAGTGAGACAAAATACGCTTTGACCATGTCGGTTTCTAAAGTTCTTTAGGTTTAAACTTGCGATCTGTGTAGTATGTGTGTTTGATTGTTAAGAGAAAATATGGCCTAAATTTCTATGAATCTGTTTCCTAAATATCATATTTAACAGTGTAGATAATCTTAGTATGGTATTGGTCCCAAAATAATATAATAGAATATATATATATAAAGAAGAAGAAGAAGAGGAAGAAGAAAAAGGAATTATCGGAATACAGATGTCCAAGACTTTCCGGTTGATTTTGAGCCAGGTGGTGATGTCTCGGCCGGTATATTATTATCAGTGGTAGAAGTAGCCGTATTTATGGTAGAAGTGGCAGTAATAGGTATTGTTGGAATATCAGACTGACGAACAACAAGTTGATTTCCTTCTCCGTTTGATGGAATACTAACGATCTCAAGAACCAGATACTTTGTGGACATCATGCTCTTGTAATGGTAGGCTACTCCTTGATGCGGCAAGACCAACAGAGTTCCTGGTAACTTTGAATCCTTGATCTCGAGGGGTGCTGTCACGGTCTTGATGGACATTTGGTTCGGTTGAATGGTAGGGGGGGCGACATGTTGCATATACTTATCCAGCTTGACTTGGTTTCGAAGATCAAAGGGCACCCACACTTTCTGCATCTCCTGTAACTTGGTTTCTCTTGGTCGATAGCACCAAATCGTCTCTCTTTTCTCGAGCTCTTTTGCCTTTTGGGACAAGACGCGAGATGCCTTTCGGGACAGTTGGTTCGAAGTTATGGCCGACTGGATCGAATTAGCCGCGGCTGCACTCTTGTCTTGCCGCAACACATCCTGAATCGGAACATAGGCTGACACAGGATCCCACAATGACTGGCCCTTTCCGTAGTCATTAAGCTTTCCCGAACTTGAGCCTGAAGATCCGAATAGACCCCCAAAGAATGAGCGTTGGCGTTGGATAGGCACTCCCGAGAGAGAGACCGAGCGGGAGAGGATTGGCTTAGGAGGCCCGGTTGAACCATCCTTCTTTTCTTCTGGGCCTGGCTCTCCCTTTTTGTCCTTGGCCTTCTCAGTATCCTTTTTGTCTGCTTTGTCTGCTTTGTCTGCTTTGTCAGGCTTGTCCTTGGCATCACTTACGACCAGATCTGACGGCGCACTGGTGACTGGAATTGGTGGATTCTGTGATGTTGCCCCCATGTGGTGTTGTGTGTAGGGCATAAATGGCATTGGATATGATGTCATTGGGCCCGAAAAGTCATTCCAAGGCATGGACATTGTCATCGGCATGGGCATGGGCATAGTCATGGGCATTATGGTCGGCGGCGGCGGTGGAGGTGGAGGCGGTGGAGGGGGCGGAGGGGGCGGGTGCTGTTGAAAGTGCGGCATTATGAACTGGTTGTGCGACATGTGCTGTAACGAGGGACTGAATAAGGCCTGCTGTGGTATACTAAAATGTGGTTGAATCCAGGGAGAGTTTGGAGCAGACATGTTCATATTCACACCATTGTCAATTGCAATATAGCCAGGTCTTTGCATCATCTGGGGTTGGGTGAGTATCATGGGACTAGATGGTTCTGAGCCAGAAGGGGCTGGATCAACCATCGAGTGTCTCCTGAGCTCGCCATCTCCCGTGATAGTTGTTGGTGTAGGTTGGGAAACAGATTCCTCTGTTGGTCTTCGGCGCAAGATGGGTGTAAGATTCCGCTGGTTTCCTTTTCGAGAATCCTGTGAAGCACGGTTGGTTGATTGTGGTGAGACAGGTTCGGGCTTTGGTTTCCTTTGAAAATTTGGCCTACGGTCAGGCTCATGCCTTACTTTTTCTTGTTCGTCTTCGTATTCCTCTTCTGAGCTTTGCTGGTCTTCATACTCGTCCACAAAACGGGGGTTTGGTAAGACCGGAAGGGATGAGGACGAAGACACGGATCTCGATCTGCGGTGAGAACGCGGTCTGGGGTCCATTCGATAAAACGTCGGTCTCTGCTGGTCTTCTGCATATTCACCATCACTCCCATTATAATCTTGTCTGGGTAGGCGACTTTTTGGTTTGCGTGTTGGTGAAGAGTAAGAAGGGGAGAGAGGAGAGACAAGATACCCAGGGCTCATATGCCCGGGATATTGTGCTGGTGGTTGCCTTTGTCGGGGTCGGAAGCGTTGTTGTTGTTGTTGTTGCTGTTGCTGTTGCTGTTGAAACAGATCATCTTCGACATCATTGTCGTCATAGAAATAACGAACAGGCGATGGTCGCCAGCTTGGAGGTGGTTCCTGATGGTTGACATAATGTGGTGGACTATGCCTACTTGATCTTGATGAATCACCGGGATAGTATTGGTGTGCGGGCGGCGTGTAAGACTGTTGAGGGATATCTCCGAACATCTGCTGCTGCTGTTGTTGTTGTTGTTGTTGTTGCTGTTGGTGGTGGTAGTTTTCTTGTTCATTATAGTCATAAAACGGGTCCTCTAAATAAGATGGCTGTGTGCGAAATGGTGGTCTGTAGGCAAGATGTTGGTTATGTATAGACATACGTCTCAGTGGGGGTGATTCAAACACTGTTGATTGACGAAGTCCAGAGGCATTATTGCGGTATTGAGGCGAGTACCGATAGCTTTCTTTTACAGGCGAATTCTCATAGTAAGGATCTTCAAAACCTTGGTCTTCAAAGATTTCTTCAGAAGGAGACTGGCGAGGATAAAGATGGGCCATTGAATGAGCTAGTTTTTATTTAGTTATTTAGAAAGAAAGAAGAGAGAGAATTTTGGGCCTTCTTCTTCTTCCGTATATCTATTAAGTCCAGGGTATTGTGTTTTTACATCAAACAGCAAAGAAAGCAAAGATATAGAACTCAAAAATCCTATTTTGGTTTTATTACACTTTTTGTCGTCATGTGTTGTTTTGATCTTGGTTGTGCAAAACTGTCCTGTTCTGGACACATTATTTTCTCTCTTATTCTTATTCTTCTTCTTCTTCTTCTTCTTATGCTTCTTTAATGATGTCTTTTACTTATAGTCTTGAGTTCCATTAAGCTAATTGACAAAAGAACAAGATAATTACAGCTAAAGAGTCAAATTATCCTGTTAAGTGAAGCCATTATTCTTGGTGATAAATTATGTATAAAGAAGAAGAAAGCATTAAACACAATGATTTATAAATGTGTTTGTATGTAAAAATAGGCTTGTAGTCAAAATTGCTTTATTATCGTTATTATTATTGTTATTGGACATAGATAGATAGATAGTTAGATATATTTCTAATATACTTGTTTTGTGCCCTAAAAGGCATCTGTTGTCGATTAAAAGTCATCAAGAAGATATGGGTTAATCAAGATTGCTTTACAGCTTAGATAACACTCTAAATACTTAATATCTATATCTATAGAACTTACGATATTATGTATCGAAACACAGGAGAAGATCTTTTACAAATACGCCCTTGTCTCAGGTTCTCACAACAACAACAAAAAAAAACAATTCCAAAAGAATCACTTTTTTTAAGAGTGCATTTGAAATTCAAGTTTCACACAAATCATACACATTTATACATACTTTTATATAAATTATTGTGAATTCTATTTATGGGCAGTAAAAGTGAAATCTCAAGACCTTCAAAGATAAAAAAAAATCTGTGACTGTCAAGGATTAGAATTTCCGAGAAACAAGATGATCTGATTTCTGTTTCAAAAATATTGATTATTATAAAAATGTTTACTTTATTTTATATATATATATATATATATATATAAAATAATTGTATGTTAGTGTGAGAGAAGGGTGGGGTTTGTAAATGGCTGAAGTCGAGAGATTTTGCTTGTCTTTGTGATTGAGGAAAATGATAATAATATATAATATATATATATAAATAAAAGAGTAGACAAAGGACAAACACAATTTGAAGATTTTATAGCAGTATATACATAATAACCTAGTATCCAGTTCTTTGGAATTATAGACAAAAATTAATAATAAAGAAAAAGAAGAGTAATAGAGAAAAATAAGGGTCGCAGGGCTACTAGGACTACAGGGTGACAGGATTTGACAGGGTGGCAAGATTTGATAACACGTTTACCTTTTTCTTTTCTTCTTCTTCTTCTTTTTTTTTCTTCTTTATGAAAGAGAGAGAGAGAGAAAGAGAGAGGGAGAAAAGTATATGTTAATGTGTTAATGTGTGTGTGTGTGTGTGTGTGTGTGTGAATTTGAGTTTTGTAAGCGGGAACGGGAACGGGAACGAGAACGAGAGCGAGAACGGGATAGTGATTTGTGAGTGAATTGGGTTTAAAGTATAAATGTGAGCTGTAAGGTGTAAGTTGTGAGAACAGGAAAAGAAATGATGATGATGGTGATTATGATGGAGAGAAGAGGAAAAAAGGGCTGAATTCTTGAGTCCGGAGGAGGTTCAGGTTTGAATTCGGGATCCGTTGTGTTGAATTGAATTGAATCGAATTGAATCGAATTGAATTGAATCGAATCGAACTGATATTTTTCTTCTTCTTCTTCTTCTTCTTCTTTGGGGGGGGGTGGTCTTAGGACTGATGTCCTAATGCTTGTCTTCCGGCCGTTTGCTTGTCGCGAATTATCTGGAGAATATGCCCCATACCTTTCCTGGCCTATAGTATAGATAAAGATAATGTACGTGTGTTATTTTTCGGTTATCATTTTGCGCGGTGATCCGGATGAGTCAAAATTGTAAACCGTGAAATATTAAAAATAATATACTACAAGTAATAATAAAAGAATAGAGAAGAAAAAATCCGGGTAAAAAATGGCCGATCTTTTGGTATCTATAGATGTCCGTTCTCGTTATTTATCATTACCTTGATGGCGTTGGCAGCAAAGTTTGTCTGTCCAAAGCCTTCGATTCTGCTGGTCATTCCCCATCCAAAACGAGAAATGATACGAGCTTCGGTCTTGCAGGATGTCCACTCCGGGTTCTGGCCGTGCTGTGTAAATGTCTGGGTCTCTTCGACTTGCATGATACGAACGTGGTTTAGGTTCTTTGTGCGGGTTACCATGGTCTTTGTCTTTGGGTTGACTTCGGATTCTTCAATAATAAAGGCTTCCGAATTCTTCATAAACTACATACATTTTTTGAAATATTTTAGTTTTTAATTTACTTGATAGCAATAAAAAGAAAATGCCATGATATTATATTACATTATACGTTGGGTTAATGAATAGTATTCTTTTTACTTACACTTTCTGGGAACCATTTGGGAACCTTTCCTTTCTTCAGTACAAGTCTGGTGGTCTTTAGTACCCCGCGTTCATCAACGTGTCTATCCAAGACATCGACAGCCAATACTAAGCAAATCAATAAATTAATGACTGGTTTTAGTCGAGGTATCTTTCTTGAAATGAACAAAAGAATAAAGTAATTTACCATGAGATGCGAATGGGTTTGGATAGCGTAACCAGAATGCAAAGGTGACGTTCTGCCATGGGTACCTAATTATTCGTTAGTCATTATTACTGTCTGATGAGCTCAGCAAGGATTACAAAGGCATGCTAATGAATTATGGCTTACTCGTAGTTGAAGACATGCTGATAGAATTTGACCATTGTTGTCGTAAATTAATAGTTATTGTTCTGTGAAATAAAGGCTTTGTTAACAAGGGTTATTGAGGAATAAGTTAATATATGATTTTATTTTCCTGCTTATAAATTTACCAATGTTGGCAGGGGAAACTATATTATATATAATATATTTATATATTGTATATATTGTATATGTAAAAGAATGATACAAAAGGAAAAATAGAAAAAAATAATAAATAAAAAAAACTGAAATATATATATATATATATTTAAATTTATGTATATAAATGTATGTAATGAAAAATTATATTATAAAATATATGTATAAAAAAAATCACTCCACCCAATAATATAAAAAAATAATAATATATAGTACTGTTTTTTGGCAGGGTTCAAATGTGAAAAAACAAAAAAAAAATGCCAATTAAAACGCCGTATTTTTTTATAAGACTTGTGAAATGCTAAAATGTTAAAATGCTTATAAAATAAAATAAGATTATAGATTATAGATTTTGCTGATCCATGATAAATATATATATATCTTTACTCTTAAATAGTTACGATTTTTTGTTTCAAAAATATTTGAACCATATGAATACACAGGGATATTTTAGAGAGAAAGATAAATAAACTAGCTGTTTATCACACTGATTTATAATTTTTATGCTCTCATTTTTTGTTCTTTTTTTTTTGGATCTCAAAAAATAAATCATTTTTCATATCTTATAAATGATTATAATGATATAGCTAGTTTTACTATATGAATTATAGGAATTATACTATATCTTGAACATATTGAATATATATATATATAAACATTGATACAAAATATATTAGTAATACCAAGTCATCATTAAGAAGCCTATACCCTTGTATTCTTACAAGTGAATGAAATTGAACTTATTCAGAACGTCTGTTGACCTGTTGTGGATATATACACGCACCCATAGTAAAGAGTAACAAAGACTCCCAAAAATATAGTTAATCCAACCCCGTTTTGGGAAAAATACTAATTCCCTCGTGTGACTGCCATGTGCAGACATACAAGTAGACCAGCAATCCATTTGTCATCCAACCTCCTCCTTTCTTAGTGAAAAGGCGAAAAAAAAAAGGGAAAAGGAAAAGGAAAAAAAAGGAGGTTTCAAAGCTTTGATTAAGTTGTAAGCATATAAATTACAGCAGTATAGAAGCTGGTTGTTAAATAAAACCCTCACAAGATTCCTGACTAATGAAGAGCTATTTTTTATCTTTCTCTTTTACTAATGACAATTCTATAGCTTTTTTTTTAAATATCTATATATAAGCACACTACTCTCTTTACTTTCCGTATCAACAAATGCAGAACGAAAACACACTAAACGTACAGACCTCCTGGAATCTTAATGATGGTGCCTTGGACCTTTTGAATGATGCAATTGTCAGCCACAATAGAACCCAGCAGAAAATTAATGATAATGGATTCTCAGCTGCCCAAAGCACTCTAGCAACTGAATCTGATAAAGATAAAGAAGAATCTGATACCTTGTCTGGTTCTAACAAAGGTAAAGATTGTTTCTTTTATGATTCTTGATCGTTTTCTTTACTATATATTAACTGTATGTATTCATACATCTCTTGATTACTATGTAGCTGGTTTGTCAAAGCGAGTATTTGATACAACTGACCAAGGTAAGAGGCCACACTTGACAATATATATTTGGAATTGTCTTTTTCTTTCTTTCTTTCTTTCTTTCTTTGGCTCATGCAATTCTTCTTATCTTAGCAGACGAGTTGTCTAACTCTGCCGCCAAACGACCTGGACGTAAACCACTTGATGAAACTATGGTTAAAGTAAGCCTTCCTTTTTTTTTCAAGTGTGTGCTTGTGTATACATAAGTTTCTCTTTTTGTTCTCTTTTTGTTCTTTTGTTCATTCGTTCGTTCGTATGTCCATGTGTAACCGTATTCTGTGACTTAACTTTGGTTGTCATAGGATGATTTAGACCCAAAACAAAAACGAAAGGCACAGAACCGAGCAGCCCAGAGAGCTTTTAGAGAGCGCAAAGAGCAGCGGGTGAATGAATTGCTTTTGAAGATCCGGGAATTAGAAGAGGCCTACAATAGCAAGGACATCCAATTGGCAAAAGAAAATCTGATTCTCAAGGAACAACTCAGACAACTCGAACAGGAAAACCTTGCACTGAAAGATGCGCAGCAAAACGAAAATACCAGTACTACCAGTACTACTAGTACTACTAATATTAGTACCAACACAAGCATGACTTCGGAGACGAAACCTAAATCGGAGATTTATCCAATCAGCTACAGCGAGAGTAGCGCTGAGGATTGCATGAATAGTAGTAGCAGCGACAGTTATTCTCCGCAGTCACAACACAATCAGGATGAAGAGGACATATCCAGTTCAACAAACACCCCGGTCACGTTTCCCTTGGCGTCTACCGAGATTAGGTTTAACAACATCCAGCCCTTCCAAGACTTTGATTTCCTTTCGCTGCCCAACAACCAGGCGGTTGATTCTACGCTCAGTGAGCTTCTTCACGGAAAGGGCGATCTGTTCTCGACCTACCGAGAACCGGTTGATGACAATTGGATTTATGAAGACTCGCTCAAGGATCTTTTTGGCCCAGAGTCAGACTTATTTGGTTTCACAGCACCTGCACCCCACCCTGCTCCTGAATATAGCTCTGCTGATTACAATGCCCTGGTAGACAAATATATCATCACACCCGAGTACCAGGAACTCAAGGTAGAAGATAAGAGGACCTACCTAGCTCATAAGATTGGAGAAGCCAACAGGTCTGGCAAACCAAGAGGCGAGATTCACAACGAGCTTATTGAGTGCCCAGACTTTAATCTTGATCTTTTGTGCAAGGAGATGAAAGAGAAGGCGAGATGTGACGTATTGAAGAAGGTTCCTATGACCGAATATGAAGTTAAAGCCTATGTGGATTCTTTCCAACCTTTTCATTGATTAAAAAGAAAAATCAATATAGGACTCCTTGTAAAATTCTCCATCTACCTTTTCTTTTTATTTTTATTGTTTATGTACTTTCCCTTTCTCTTCTTTGATTGTCAACATGCTCTCACCTTAGTTCTTCCTTTACACCCATCTCTTTCGCTCGATCTCTCTCTCTCTATTTTTTTTTCCTACATGCCCAATGTATTCATTTTCATATATTTTCTTTTTTTTAAAAATTTTTCCATTCAATATGCACATTTAACAGCTGTTATCTTTAATGATCGATTCTTTTTTTTTTCTTTTTTTTCTTTTTTGTTGACTCAAAAAATAAAATAAAGATCCCCTCCTCCTCCTCCATTCACCAGGTTATACAAAATAAATGAATAGCTAAAAAAGAATCAGAAAGACAAGACATCAGCGCATATAATCTATCAAGTCTTACTTGATATGTATAGGTTCTTAAAATGGAATACAGTAAGCAAAGAAACAGGCAAGGAAGAGAGGGAAGGTAAAGTAAGGTAAGCAAGGGAGAATACAATAGAATAGAATGTCAAAAGTTTATGGTATATTTAGCAGTAATTGATCGTTTATTGTATTGCCAACTACTAAAATATAGGCAAATTATGTATATCAGATATATTAATATAGAAATACATACTATATATAGTTTGTATTTCTGGCAAAATCAAATCAAATCAAATCAGATCAAATCAAATAAATTATGATCTGATATCGTCTAATTGTCCAGTTCCCTTTCAGATATTAACTTGCCAATTTTCAAGGCATATAACCAGATGCACAAATGTTTAAATAGCCAATGTGTCGAATATCCATTAGTAGTCTATACAATTGATATCACAATCGATACCGAAATTAGCATTAGCATTAGCATTAGCATTAGCATTAGCATTAACATTAACATTAACATTAACATTGAAATTAACACTAGTATCAAATATACCAATCATTAATTCTCTAGACTTATCTTGATTGTGTAGAATTGATACCGATCATAAGAACATTTATTGTTTTTGTCTTTAGATACAACACACTACTAAAAAGGGGGAGATTGTAACAAGCCTGACTTCCATCAGAAGGCTTGATTCTCACCAGAGTCATATATGAATATGAATATGAATATTAATGCCTAGGTTTGACAAGAGGATCGATTGTAGATATTTATGTAGATATGTAGATATGTATTACTATGGTTACAGCTTAGGTCTTGTGCGATACAAGCTTTTGTGCCTCTCTTGTGGTATTCTTTTTTTTAAGGTTCATTAGCTTGTAAATATATATTTTTTTTTATTTAATTACAATAATTGGATTCAATTATACTTTTTTTTGTAACATTGAAGTAATCTAAAGACTCATCCAAAAAAAAGCTTAAAAAAATTATAAAGGCATTTTTGGTTCGTTTGTTTTTTTTTTGCTGTTGCTGTTACTGTTGTTGTTGATTTCGATTTTCGGATTTTGATTTCGCTAGTCAATAAGCCCGGAAATACGTTGTTCTTTATTCCCATTTTATATCCTTCTTCTTCTTCTTCTTCTGGTATTATGTATATCCCACGCTTAATGGTCATACATATATCATACATGTCGAGAAAATCATTTGTGTAGCGTATTTTGCATATCAACGTAAATAAATATTATAATATTTTTTCTTCTTCTTCTCCACAATTGTACAAGATACATATATATTTATTGTCCAAGATGGTGTAGATCTTCAGTGTCTGTGGGACAAAAAAGAATTATGCTTCATTGGATTCAAATTCTATATGACGACAAAAGGATAAAGAGAAATATAGAGAGAAAAAAGGCGTATTATATGTGAGTATATACACACAGATATATATATATATATATATATATATATATATAGTGTGGGTTGGTTGGTTGGTTGGTTGGTTAGGTAGGTAGGTGGGTGTAGTGTGGGTGTAGTGTGTATTTAAGAAAAAAATAATAAATATAATAATATAAATAATATAAATAATAACGATAATAATAATAAAAAAAAATATTAGGATAAAGTAGTTGAATCAGAAAATAACACGAAATTCCATCTAACAAAACCAACAAGAATTGCCTTGGGTTAGTCAAAAGTCTTGGTATTTATCGAAAACTACATATACCAAAAAAAAAATTACCTTTACAACAATAGGTGGCTCGTGGGTATTTGGTCGAGATATTTCGGCAAGTTCGCGTCCAGCCTGATTCAATAAATAATGCAAAAGAAGAAGAAAGAGAATTAGTACTGTATGTACAAAGATATATAGATAGATAGATAGATATCGATAATGATAATGATAATGATAACTTACACTCCATGTACCGCCTTCGATTAACTGGCCCAGCGACAGTGATTTTCTACTTAGCCTCAGTGTGTCACGCACGCGTTCTGCCACCAAATCCAAATAAGCTGTCGTCAGTGCCCGCCATTCGACAACTACAGGATCACACATATCGAACATTGGCGTCACTTCAATCTTGGGCTGGCCAGGAAGAAGAGAATTTATTCGGTAGTTTGTAATACCACGTTCGTAGTCTGCTTTCTTTAGACTTATAAATCCCGTGTCAATCAATAGACCGCCTAATAAGAAGAATATAAGAAAAGTTTAAGGAACATAGATAAATGTCAATTTTTATCCTATATATATATATATATATATTTATTAATCTCTTACCATTACAATAATCTGGTAAAGGTGTCAGGAGATCTGTGCCTTCGATAGTTGCTCCAAGTAGTTTCTGCATCGGCTCGATAAGCGAATAGACTAGCCACTGAGACAGTCTGTGAAAGGACACCATATGGTCGGTCGATTGTGGATTTGAACTCGTCTTGATTGCACTGCATGGCCAGACATCTCCAAGACCTAGAGTGCCGCCTTTACCATTGTCCTCTGCTGCCCAGAACTCGCCCATTTCCTGGACAACTGGCCAAATTGTTTCGAGGTGGATGAGAGGTCCCTTTTTGGTCTTAATTGTTGTGGGGTGTTCGAGAAGATAATCTAAAACCAATAATATACGACCATAAATATAAATATAAATATAAGCACACACATACACACACACATATATATATATAAAGAGAAACCCAAGATGTTGCGTGTGAATTGTAGGCAACACAGTCCTACAATCTAGGTAGTACACATCTTGGTTTAGGAAAATCTTATTGACATACCCATGAGGTTGCCTGGACGTGGTACAGTTCCGCTTCCAAAATAATCTTTATTTCTTTGCAACACATGTCCTAGGTGGTTCAGGAGACAAAGTCTGTCTTCAATACCCGCCAGATAATTTTGGCTCTCGACTTGGAAAGCTTGCAAAAGGGTAGGTAATGTGAGATTGATAAGGCCCTCAGCTACAGGCATATATAGATATACATGTAATTAAATTATAAGAAAGGAAAAATGAATAACATCATTAGTGAGTTTGATATAGATATATATAAGAAAAAACCCCCCAAAATGCTTAAAAAGTTTTAAGTTTTTTTTTCTTCTTCTTCTTTTTCTTCTTACAGTCAACTCTGTGAGGCTTGCTAAGATCACTCGAAAATCCACCTGCCATAAACAGATCCAACACAGCCACAGCCAAGCCTTCGGTTCTTTTGTGCACTCGACCAGTCGTTCTTTCTCTGTAGGACCAAGTAGGACAGGCCTCGAAATCCAAAAGACAGGAAACAACGAACAAGTCCAGAACCCGTCTGGTCTGTTCGATTGGGGGTTCGCCGAGACTAGCCCATGAATTGATGAGTGTTTGGATCCGAGGACGTCCTCCGACATCAAAGTGACGCCAGCGTCCGTGAGGTGGGATGTGTGAGGGGTTTGGGAAGTCTCGCTTGATGAGGGATATGACAAAGTGGATCACATCTTCTAACTTGGATTGGTCGACATCGAAATGATGTAGCCTTTGTTTGACTGCTGCTTCCTGAACCTTGAAGCAGCGTTCACGAACGGAGCGTAGGCTCAAGAGGTAGTCTCGATCGGAACACTGGGTTGGTGCCATGAAGGAAAAGAAGAATAGTAAATATTAATGGCGAGAATAGAATTAATATGTATATTAAAAAAGAAAAGAAAAAGGAAAGAGAAAGAGAGAGGGAAATGTCTATAGAGATATAGAGATATATAGGTATATAGGTATATAGATAGAAGGAACAAGGGAAAGAGAAACGAATGACGTGAGGTACAAAGACAAGACAATATATATATATATATATATATAATATTTAGTATTTAATATTTAATATCTAATATTTTATCAGTACGCCAGAATTTCCGTATATATAAAAATTCGAATAAATAAAACAAAAGGGGCCCGATTTTTTATATTATATTATATTATAAAATAAAATATAAGGTATAAAAGGAGGAGTGGAATATGGGGTGAGTACAATGTTTTACTAGAGTGCCAAGTTATCCAAGAATCATTGTAGGCCATATATTTATATTCAACATTATAATCGTTATTTGGTTTTTGTATTTAAGGAGGTGAATTTTCTTTTCTTTTTGATATATCGATATAAATACAACAAAAACGAAGACCAATTTGACAAGAAAGTTTCCCTTTATATATATATATATTATTATTATTAAGTAAACCAATAGTAATAATAATGGGCCTCTATATTTCTATATTAGATTTCTTGTATTGATTTAACAAGACTATGGCTTTTAGTATTTTAGTGCTCTGCTTTTATAAAATGTAATATAGACTCTTTCTTAATGAAGGAGAAAGTCATTGAGTGACAAAAAGGCAACATCAGACCATATTAAACTCTCCTTAATCTATCTAGTGGCAGTCAAATACACATGTACTACTTGCCCATATACACAAATAATCTCAATAGCTCTTACAAAAACAACGCATTTGGAATAGAAACTGCGGCCCGTGCGGGACAAGGCTTTCTTTTATATATAATATTTATGCCTCTTATAATTCTTATTGTCCAAGTCATCAAAATCAATATAATAAAAAGGTTTACTATACATACAAACCTCATACAATACACTAGCTTAATATTCTTTAAGCTTATATATTCTATACACCTGGTAAAATAATAATTACAAAACAAAGCAAAAAAAAGCTCTTTAGCATAAAAGCACAAATCTCCTTTATAGTCCTGACCCAACCTCCCCTCCTTTCTCTCTCCTTTCAATAGCGTGGCAGTCTGTCATTTCAAAGAAACATACACCACGTGTAAGATACAGAGCTTAGAAAAGAGAAAAATACTATCATCAATGAAATCAAAAAATTCATTAATCATTTGAGATCCACCAAGATAGAATGAATACCTAAATACATACATACCTGCATGCATGCATTCATGTATTCATTCATAAATTCGTGCATATAATTACACACACACACACACGTACACACGTACACACGTACAAGGGGTTGTATATATATATATATATTGTTGCTTCCCAATTCTACGGTTCATTAGTTTCTAATGACATATTTTGGTTGTACTTTCTATATATGTATATGTATATTTATGTATTTGCTTTTAAAGCTAATGATAATTGACAGTGATATCTAAAGCAAAGTCCCCTCTCTTTCAACTCCTCTTTATCTCTCTCGCTACTTGTAGCCATTCTCTTTATTAATATTACAGTAAAAATAATTACCTTATTTTTATTTTATTTTATTTTATTTTACCTTGTTTAATTTCATTTTAATATTAATTTTATTTACGAAAGATTTATTACTTTAAACTTATGATTTTGAAACCATAAAGTACTAAACCAAGAATAAAATAAAATAAATATAAGCACATCAGGATAAATGGCGAATTGCCAGTCACATCTACGATACCTCTCTGATGGGCGCTATCTCAACAATTTGGCTCTCGCATACTCTTGATCGATCGACAAATGACATCCCTTGAGAGAGAAGTAGCTAATTACATGGTAGCCACAGGCGACCAATCAGCCGAAGCCATCCAGGCTGCTGATCAGGTCGTCAAAAGTAAGCACTCTTTAAATATATAAGATAAACACCTCAGTACATTAAAATATAATTGGCTTACGATCTCTGATTCAGCCATCAATGCCACATCCATCCAGGACAACCTTTTGCGTCTTATCCAATCGATGGGAGAATACCTTACCAATGAAGATGACTTTGTGCGTGCAAAAGGCATGTAGATAACATTAATAAAATTACCAAAGATATACATGTAAATGGTACCTTTCTTACTAATACATTCTAACCTCTGTTCTATTCTATTCTATTCTATTTTATTTTATTTTATTTTATTTTATTTTAGCTACCGGTCTTTTATCTTATACCTTGAGACACTGTCATCAGGCTTCTATTACTGCACCAGCAGGTAAATATAATATATTCATCATACCAACAGCAAAAACAACAACAATGGTTATTCTTGTATATTGATCCTAGAGTTACTCGACTACTTTTATTATTATTATTATTATTATAATTATTCTTGATTTGATTTAGTATCTGTTCTGGTGGATTTCTATTGTGAGCGTCTGTCAGAAAATACAAACGTTTCAAACTTAATGGATGGATTGGTGGCCCTCACTGAGTTTGATAAATTTAGTGCAGCTAATGCAGTAGTTGTAACAAAAAAGTGTGTACACCAAATATGAACAAGAGCAATATGAAGAAGAAAAAGGAGGACGAGAAAGAAAGATGTGTGTGGAGGAACTGTTCGAAGATACTCATAAAGAATCTTCTTTATATGTAATATATAATGTAGGCTATTTGAACATGTTGAAGTCCAGCGTTTTCCTCAAGTTACAAGAAATACAACATTTAGAGTATTTGAGAATTTATTGGACAGACATGTAGCAGGTATATATAGATATATAGATATATAGATAGATAGATAGATAGATAGGTAGGTAGGTAGATAGATCGAGAGCAATGGAAAGAGAAATGGTCTGTTTGATATAGGTAACTAATGTTTTTTTTCTTTTAAAAAAATATTGATATGTAAAATAATCATAATCCGTAAGCTCTCAAGACAATCAATGATGAGTTCGTATCTGGATTTACACACGCAGTAGATGGTGAAAAGGATCCCAGAAATCTCATGTGTGCATTTAAGCTTATCAGAACGATTATCGAGAAATTTGATATCTCAACTTATGTGGAGGTAAAGAAAGAAGTGTCGTTTAGAGTGTATAATGGAATGAAACTAAAAAACTAATAAATATATTATAGGATCTCTTTGAAGTCACATTTTGTTACTTCCCTATCACCTTTAAGCCTCCCCCGGATGATCCTTATGGAATTACCTCTGACGATTTAAAGAGTAGTCTGAGGTAAAGAAAAGAACAAAAAAGGGCGTCAATGGAATAATATTATACTCAAACATATGTATATCTATGCATGTTAAAAACAACTGCAATAATAATAGACAATGTATTGCAGCTACATCTCATTTTGCAAAGTTTGCTGTGCCTCTTATAATGGAAAAACTTTCTTCAACTTCTGGAAGTGCAAAGGTAAAAAAAAACGAAACCAAAACCAAAACCAAAACCCAACTCATATATGTACCTGTATTTCTAACAAATAATGATAATGATAATGATAATTACTAATATCATCAAACATATAGAAAGATTCTATGGAAACATTAGAAGCGTGCGCACCTGTTTATGGAGCCACATCACTTATACCCCACATTGACGATATATTTGATGCTCTCAAAGTAGAGGTAACATATTATAGCAAATAATAACAATTTGAGTTTGTTGTTTTGTGAAATGTATTTAATTATTTAATTATTTATACTTACATGTCAAAAAAATAGGTGTTTCATGCAACTGATCAGACACTTGAAGATACTTCTCTTGCTACCATCAAGAGCGTTGTTGCAGCTCTTGCTACAGGTGTCAGCAATGCATCGGGAGACCCTACTGAAAAGGCGTTGAAACCATTGATTACCGAGTGTGTTGCTAACCTCAAGGATCCCGAATTGAAGAACTCTAAACCTAGTAGCCTTATATTGAGAGCAATTGCATCAGCATCAGGTAAGAGAAGGGAAGAAGAAGAAAAATCAAGCAAGAATTAATTATACATATACATATACATATATATGTTTATATAGATCCCGCTTTTCATTATGCAGCAGAACCTGTGATTCCTATGATGTTACGCTTCCACCGTGAAACAGACCTCGCCACACGCAAGAAAGCTATTCTTGATGTTATTCTCGAATACCTTGAGGCAAGCCGAACTCTCTATGGATCAGCTGAGAACGACCTTGATGCCAGTAAGTACGACATTAATAATAATAATAATAATAAGAAAATCTCGTTTTACTTTTATTTTAATTTATTTATTTTTAAAATAATACTAACAACAACCAATAGTGGAACAAGACTTTATTTCTCCTCTGGTAGATTATAAGGATCGTTTCTTTGCGATGTTTGAATCTGCATTGTTGGCTTCTAATGAATATAATGGTTTACGTCTTGCTGGACTTAATGGTCTTCGTTTGATGGTCTTGGTAAAGAATTACCTTTCTCCCAATGAAGTAAGTATTATATATACATATGTACATAGTGCAAAAAGTAAGACAAACAAGAAATTGCACAAAAGGGGAGAGAAATATAGGAAACTCTTATAAATACTCGACCATTATTTATTAATTAATTAACTTGTTCATCTTCAGGTTGGTATTGCTATTCAATCCTTTAACAAAGTCCTCATGAACGAGCAAGATGAAGAACTCAGGTAAATATATATAATATTTAACTATCAATCAGTGTCTCATTCATTCATTCATTCATTTGTTTTTTTGGTTTGTTTTTAATGTAGAGCTGCTGCTTTGAATGCTTTATGTACCATTTCAAAGTTTAACGGCAAATTTATTGTTGAACAAACAATCCCAGCCTTGATCAAACAGCTCCCCGATACTGCAACTCAACAGAGCACTATTGGGTACCATCAAACCCTATACACTCTCAGAATGCTTTCTCCAGAACCTTTGATTTTCAAGTCTACTGTATCCGTGTTGATTAAAAAGTTTGATGATGTTTGTGAAAAAGGTAACCACTAATAATATTAACATACTAGATAACGGAGATTCTAGAGCAAAGCAAAAAATAGATATCTTTATATTCAACTGTATATCTAACTGTTTCTTTTTCTTTCTCTCTTTCATATATTATACATTTAATAAGATACCGATGTTGCTTATCCTCATGCTATTCTCGCAACATTGCTGGAGATATTAAAGTCCAAGGCCGAAAGTGGACACAAAGATATTGGTTCCTACATTGATATATTTAACAGCACACTGGTAACAAAGGCTATCGAGGCTTCTTTGGACAGCAAGCGTTCTCAGACCATCTTGTCCGAGAGAATCTTGGAAACCATTGCTCTGATCTTGATTAATGTATTCCACGAACTTGATTCTACGTAAGTATTGTTGATGATCCTTGAAAGATATTTTTTTTTAAGAAAGAGAAAAAAATCGAACAAACAAACAGCAACAGTAACCACGACAATTAATTTATCTGTATATATTTTTCTTTAATTTTGTTGTTTTTATATGTGTATATAGATCCCAAAAGACACATCTCGACCGTGCATTTAATCTCTTTATTCATGGTGACCTTTCGGCTCTTAAAATATCTTCTTCTACTCCCTTTGTTCCTCTTGAGGTAAGTTATAACTGTTAGACAAGTCTAATACGTACATATATACGTATATTTTATTTATTTACTAATGTGGCGAATTTAGACATCTAGCTCAGATGCCCAAAAGTCAACGACTTATTTGTTTTCTGCAATTGTTAATACATGCAGAAAGGAGGTAAACATAATATGTTAGTTAGACTATATATATATATAAGACCAAACAAAAACAAAAACAAGAATTTGATTTAGTAAGAAACTAATCAAAATATGGAATCTTGTAATTTAGGTGACTTACCCAGTAGAGAGTCTCGAAAACTTCATCGATAGACTAGTAAACCTGGCTTTGGGAACAAACCACCACGGACAACTTACTTCGTTGGTCAGAATTGTCGGCTCATTAATTAACAAATGGAAAGACAGTAAGTATATTAAAATAAATTAATACACATATAGTTGATATTTGAGGTTGAAAAAGAAGAAGAAGAATAGAAAATACGGACCATTAATGATGTTTATTAGACGCTTCTATGACTGCCTATGTACAAAAGGCTTCTGGTCAGCTTGAAGCATTGATAACCAAGCGAGACACTAACAGTGCAAGCGCTTTGTGTATCTATCTCTGGGTAAGTGGATTAATTTGCGCCACAAGAAAAGAAGGGAGGAAATTTTTTTACTTACTTGATGAAACATATGTGTGTGTGTGTATATCTATGTAGATCACCAAAGCTTTAATAATGAGAGCTCATCCCAAGGGTTATGCTTTTACGGATAACATCATTGGTTGGTGTAATGACCCTAGTTTCAATGGCCAGGCACCTCAAGGCTTTGATATTTTGATTAGCGATGATAGTCTAGCCCTGAACAAGCTTTCTTATTGCACGATGACAGTAAGGCATATAATAGTTGGTATTTCTTTATATATATATTCACCACAACTTCCCCTTCTCCTTCTCAAACTTGTATAGATCCTGTATAAGCAAAGATTCTTCAGCCACTGTCTCCCCAAGCTTGTAAATGGCTTCCGTACATCCAACACAGGTTAGTTAGTTTGTTAGTTAATTTGTTAGTTAATGATTGGATCAAATACATATATATAAGTTTATAAGAATGTATTAATTGAATGCGGTAATTTTTTTTTGTTAGATGTGAAGCACAATTACTTGATCGCTTTATCTTACCTTCTGAAGAATGTACCCAAGCAAATTCTGTTAAATGAATTGCCTCCTGTAAGTATAAAAGACTAATAGTAGTAATAGTAAAAGAGAGAGAGAGAGAGAGAGAAAACAAAAAATATATATATTAACATATTAACATCTTGTATAATTTTTTTTATAAAATATATATAGCTTGTTCCTTTGCTTATACAATCTCTGTCGCTGACAGACACATCCCTCAAGGTTTCTACACTTGCTACCTTCCAGCTAGCTATTGTAGAGGCACCTGATGTGGTTGGACCCCACACACGTGCGATAATTGCTGCTCTCCTAGACTTGCTCAACAGCCAGGAACCAAACCCACTGCCTGTGCGCGTGGCTGCTCTTAAATGCCTAGCCCAATTTCCAGCTGGACTGACTAACGACTTGTTGGCACCACATGTGAGTTATGTAACCAAACAACTTGGTCAGTCTGTAGGAGACAAGAAGCGAATGGTTAGAAAGGAGGCAGTAGACTGTAGAGCAAAATGGTACGCCATCATGGCATAAAACCAAAACCTCTGTAGACGTAATTCCTATTGTTTTTTTATTTTATTTTATTTTATTTTATTCTATTTTATTTTATTATAATTATTATATTTTTCTTTTCTTTTCTTTATTTCTATGTTTCTTTCTATCTCTCTCTTGTTTATATACATACATACTGTAATGGAATCTAGATGAAGCCAAACAAAATCAAAAACAAAAACAAGGCACTCACAAATAAAATATTTTCCTTTTACAAATCATATTAATATTAATATTTATTAATCTTCTCATTACTTGAAAGAAAATCATATACTTCTTTATATGTTAACCCTATGGTATATAAACCACACACACTTGTTTTCTATATATATATATATATAATATAAATCCAATAAAAAAAAATTAAAGAGAAAGAGGCACACCAAAGTAAAGAGAGGAATTGTCACATTCAAAATCCGTCACAATACAGACTTTGTTGTCCTTTCTCTACATTCATTATCATGGAGAAAAGAATCGTGTATCCCGAGCAGGTCGAAAAGAGCGTCCAAGACAACTACCGAAAGAAGTTACACAGCGTAGAGGCCATGAGACCTCCTCCAAGGGCTCGTCAATTGCAGATCCTTAGTTGGGCATTAACATTATGTATGTAAATTAATATGAGATCTATATACATCCTAATGTCATAAATAAATATATATATATATATATAGCTGTGAGTGGCTATGTTGTCTTGTTTGCAGATTTTGGTCGTGAAGAACATTGCTTTTCCTCAGTAAGAATCTTAACTTGGTTTTGGTTTTGGTTTTAATTTTGTTTATTTTAAATACTAATACTAATATATATATTTCTTTTTTTTTTTTTAAAAAAAAAAAAAAAAAAAAGATTCGACGTTGGTTTGATGGCAAAAAGTCTTCTTTCTGGAGTCTTTCAAATCAAGAGAGACAGGACCTCAAAGACCAAGGCAGAATTAAATAAATAAATATATTAAAACTCGATGTTCGTATTAGAATTATTGTGCTTTCTTTTCAGGAGTTGGATGAATGTGATTGTAAAGGTGGCTGGTGAGACACGCATACATAGAAGGATATATAATTTTAAAAAAACGAATTGTACGTCGCAGTGCTCTCGACTGTCACAAGTCCGTTCAGCTGGCCCTATATTTCTTCTTCACTCCCATGGCCTTTTTCTTTCCTTCTTTCTTTCCTTTTCTTTCTTTCCTTTATTTCATTCTTTCATTCATTGTATCTATACATATAATGCTTGTATCTAGTCCAACAACAACACCTACATATACACCTTCTACAAATCCAGCTCTAGCTCTAGCTCCAGCTCCAGCTCCAGTTACAGCTCCAGTTACAGCTCCAGTTACAGCTCCAGCTCCAATTCCATCTTTACTGGCCGTTGCAGTCAGTACAATTCAGCAATCGATTGATCTCTTGGATCGTTTGGATGACGATAGTTTGATCATATCATCCCAGAGTATGCCATGCGGTACTCTCGGAAAGCATATTCGGTAAACGGGCTTCTTTTATTGTACTAAAAGTAAATTATTAATTATTATTATTTTGACTTTATTAGGCATGTATACGATCATTTTTCACTTTTATTAATTCAACTCCCTCTAACCTCGAATGGTTGGGTAGTTGATTATGATGAACGCAGCAGAAATGTAATCATTCAAAACAAACTATACATAAAAGAAAATTCCCAAGCTAACCTTTAAATATTCTTCTTTTGTAGACAACCTTGGAAACTAGCCAGAAGGAAGCCATTCGCCACCTCAAGGCCATTCAAGAAAGACTGACTGCGACAACATCAATAGACTACAATAGTCCCTTGACTCTTCATGCTAATATTGACCCAGAAAGTTCCCTAAAGTCTCATTTTGTATCTTCATTTGGACGTGAATTGTGGTTTTGCTGTCTTCACGCAGTAAGTTTTCTCGGGCTTATAAGAGAGAGGGTGTGTCTATGTGCAACCGGGGGGATTAGAGGATGAGCAGGAGGAGGGGTTCATTATATTAAAAAAAATACCCCCGCATTTAATTCCTTTCTCTTTTAATAATAATAATTAAAATAAAAATTCATAGATCCACCACTATGCTACAATAAAGATAATCTGTGTCGAATCTGGTATTGATGTTCCTGAAGATTTCGGTATGGCGCCATCGACCCTTCAAAGCAAAAAGTAGTGTGCTCTGTGCATGAATAGGTTGGTACTCCGGATCCAAAAAAGGCATGATTTCCTTGGTGGCTTCTTGTGCTGCCATCTTTTTCTTTTTTTTTTCTTTTTCTTTTCTTTCCCCACTATTATTATCATCATTATCACCACCACAACCACCACCATTACCAGGACTGCGGAACAAGCAATCTGAAAACTAAAATAAAATAAAATAAAGGGCGGGTCTTGACTCAACCATAAACCTACACCACTATACATCTTTCAATCCCCCCTCCTTTTTTTTTATATTGTCATTCTTATTCCTATTATAAATTCAATAAAATATATATATATACACACATTACACCTTGCTACTTTAACTCTCTCAAAAACTGCTACAAACCAACTTTAAGCCTTTTTGGTCTCTATAAAAAACCGTATCATTACCTTGCTCCCCAATTGAAGCCATCCTTCCTTTTTACTATGATTTTGGTCGACACCGGGGTTATTTTGTATGTCAAGAATGACGCAACAACAATTGGCGGGAACGATTTCCACCAGGTGTAAATAGTGACTCTTGGCCGGGGTTGCCCGACGGGGTTCTAAAAAAAAGGAACAGACAACGATTTTTTTTAAAAAAAAAATGTTTTTCTTTTCTCTCTGTCGCTTCTTTTCTCGTTTGACGTCTCCACTCATATCATGTTCGCCTTGAAGACCACAGTCAACAAAGTCGCTCTTCCTGCCACTCGCATTGCTTCCCGCAGATGTGTCTCTTCCGTGGCCTCCAAGAGCGGCAAGTATTCTACTTCTTTACATATTCAAAAAGAACTTTTTTGGCCACACATACACATACAAGAAAAACTGTGCCTGAAAAAGCAAAGAAAAAAATTCTTATTATTTATTCTTTATTATTTATTAATGTCATTTGCTTGATTTTTATTTGATTTTGACAGCCTTTGGATCTGCTCGTATGGCTCTCTCTTCCGGTAACAAGTTGGTATGTAATACTTGAATCAATTAATTGATCCAAACCACACCAACTTATACACTTATTGCTTTGTATAGACTGCCAACCTCCTCAAGGATGCCTACAAGTCTGCTTCTCCCCGTATGATGTTCTTTGGTAAGAGGAAAATCGGGGCTATCAATTGCATGCCATTACTCTCTTTCGTTTTCCAACTTTAGGCTCATCAAAACCTTCAATCATTTTTTTTGTGGATCGTATGTATATAGGTCGTCGTGGTATGGCTTCTGATGCTGGAGGCAAGTTCAGCCGTGGTAAGCCCCACGTCAACATTGGTACCATTGGCCACGTTGATCACGGAAAGACCACCTTGACTGCTGCTATCACCAAGACCTTGGCTCTTGAGGGTGGTGCTCAGTTCATGGACTACAACCAGATCGATAAGGCCCCCGAAGAGAAGGCCCGTGGTATTACTATCTCTACCGCACACGTCGAATACGAGACAAACAACCGTCACTACGCCCACGTTGACTGTCCCGGTCACGCTGATTACATTAAGAACATGATTACTGGTGCTGCTCAGGTATATAAACAAAACAAGAAGGAAAAAAAAACAATTGGAGAATTTTCCCAACTCAGCAGTCGTATTTATCTAACTATAACATATATATATATATTTGTATGTGTGTAATTTTTTTTTCTATGTTAGATGGACGGTGCTATTATCGTTGTCTCTGCCACTGATGGTCAGATGCCCCAGACCCGCGAGCACTTGTTGTTGGCTCGTCAGGTCGGTGTCCAGCGTCTTGTTGTCTTTATCAACAAGGTTGATGCTGTTGATGACCCCGAGATGCTTGAGCTTGTCGAGATGGAGATGCGTGATCTCCTTGCCGAATACGGTTACGACGGTGAGGAGACTCCCATCGTCAAGGGTTCCGCCTTGGCCGCTCTTGAGGGTCGTGATGCCGAAATTGGTGAGAACGCTATCAAGGAGTTGATGGCTGCCGTCGATGCTTACATTCCTACACCCGTCCGTGATTTGGATAAGCCTTTCCTTATGCCCATTGAAGGTAAAACAATAAATAAAATTAAAGAGAAACAGGGAGCGGGATATACTAATCACCATCTATGTATAACAGATGTCTTCTCTATCTCTGGACGTGGTACCGTCGCCACCGGTCGTGTCGAGCGTGGTACTATCCTCAAGGGTAACGAAGTCGAAATTGTCGGCATGGGCCCTACCATCAAGACCACCTTGACCGGTGTCGAGATGTTCCGTAAGGAACTTGACCGTGGTCAGGCTGGTGACAACATGGGTGCCTTGTTGCGTGGTATCAAGCGTGAACAGATCCGTCGTGGTCAGGTTCTCTGCGCTCCTGGTACTGTCAAGTCCCACAAGAAGTTCATGGCCCAGCTCTACATCCTCACCAAGGATGAAGGTGGACGTCACACTCCCTTTGTCAACAACTACCGTCCTCAGATGTTCATCCGCACCACCGATGTCACCGTCAGCTTGACCCACCCCGAAGGTACCGAAGATCCCGATGAGAAGTTGATCATGCCCGGAGACAATGTCGAGATGGCTTGCGAGTTGGTTCACGATATCGCTCTAGAGGAGGGTCAGCGCTTCACTGTCCGTGAGGGCGGCAAGACTGTCGGTACTGGTGTTGTTACCAAGGTTATCGAGTAAAAATCTTCTTTTTTTTTCCTTTCTTTTCTTCCCTTTTTTTCCCTTTTTTTCATATCATTCAATAGAAATAATGTAATTACCCTATCTTTCAATTGGTTGTGCATTGACTGACTTGACTTTACTGAGTGTCAAATGAGTTTGGATTCAGAGACCGGGACAAAGTGGGGGGGGGGGGGGGGGGGGGGAGGGATAAGAGAGAGGCTAGAAGAAGTGGAAAACCCACTGGTGGTGAAAAAAGTTTTATTTCAAAAAGGCAAATTAGAGTCAAAAATGTGTCCATATGTTTCAAAAAGCAATGGTAGTGGAATTTATTTATTTATTTATTTTTTGCTTGATTCTGGCACTAATGTGGGAAATATTATATAAAAGAGCTAATTGGTGTTTATTATCTATTGTGCGATGCTTGACTGCATTGACCAACCAATACAGTGTATTCAATTCCTTGAGGCTTCCCTTTAAACTTGATCCCAATAGCTTATATTATAATTATACCAAGGATTGTAACATAAAGCCTACTTATTCTTTGATATTTATCTGTTGGATTCAATTCAAAAAAACTAGGCGGATTGACTGTGTATGATTGAGAGTCAGATTTTGGTATTACAATATACCGTGAGGGTATTCTTTGATTTTTAAAGAGTATTTCTCTGCATCCATATAAAATCCATATGTCAAAATTTAAAGTGCCGCTGTCAAGTAACTACCATAGCTACTGATTACTTTGTTATTTTTTTAAAATAGAAAACAAGTAGGTATATTATACTGTCTATATTGTTGATCTGCGTTACTTCCATAGGTCTGGGAGTACTTTATGTAGGCTGTGAATGTCATCAATTTGATAGTCTCCGTGGTTAGATGTTGCTGGATCGTCTGCAACATGAACAGTTGTCCAGCCCAATGCCTTTTTTTGTTTGTTTTGTTTTTGTTAGGTGTCAAATGGTCAAATTTAAATCAAATTAAGTTGCCTTTAATCAATAAACCTTACCTTTGCAGCATCAATATTTGCACCAGAATCGTCCACAAGATAGCAAAGAGAAGGGTCTGATATACCTGCTTCCTTCATGGCTCTCTTGAAAGATGCAAGTTCTGATATATATATATATGCATAATTATTTAGACTTTGGCTTTAGTTTATGCCTTAATAAAATCAAAAGCACTCTTACCTGGTTTGCAGTCAAAATCGGGATCCTTGTAGTTAGCATATGTGATGCCTACAGAATATATATATATATATCTTTTAAAATTTTATTTTACATATCAAATGTGCATCTCTCCAGCTTACCTTCAAATTCATCAGACAAGCCCATAATTTTAAGACATCTCTCGGCATGCTTTCGTATATAGAGATATAATGACCAAAAATAGTTGATACGGTCAATATATATATATATGTATGTATAATGCACTCACCGGTAGATAAGCATTAGTGAAAACCCATTTTCTTATTTTGAGACCATGTATCATGTCGCGCAGTTCTGGATCAGGCTTTAAAACATCTTCAAGGGGTAATGTGCCATCGACCTGCTTATCTATTTGTTGTGCAGCATTGGAATGTTGGTTGCATTATTATTATTATTTTCAAAAGTACAATAAGCCTTACCATACTCAACAGCATCGATTTGGTGATGCTTGATAAGACCTCTGAGAGAGAGTCCATAATCCAAAAAGTATCTCTCTCGCAATGTTCGTGCTATAATAAATTACCGAGTATTATTTATTTAAATTCCAGAAAAGTAAAACAAAAAGATATCAGATACTTCAAAAAGCTCTTATTTTAATCTATCTATCTCACCTTCTTCCTGAGGAAATCCCATTCTTTCAAAGTATTGGACAATTCTTTTGTTTTTTGAAACACAAATCCAATGATAAATATGTATATTTTTAGGGAGGAGACCATGTAATTTTTTTTTATTTTTTATTTTTTATTTTTTTACCTTTCACGCATCATGGCCTGGATTCCATAATTTTTATGCTAATGAATAACAATGTTAATTCCACATGGGATTCAAAACATATTTACTCTTATTTACTTGCATAAAGACAGTTATCGCAGTCAAAGAAAAAGACAGGTTGTTCACTCATTTTTTTTTGCTGTATTGATATATGATCGAGTACAAAATTTGAATGAGTCTTGACGTTAATTTTCAAAGTCTTTACGAGCTACTTTTTTTCAACTGAGCTCTTTTACTTCTTTTTTTTTAAAAAAAAAATACTTACTCAGTGTGAGATAAGTAATCCGCAGTACAAGGATGACTCACCACTTAAAGAAATCTTCGAATTGCCCTTGTGACGTAACATGCTTATTAATTATGCACGGGCTGAAAGATAAGTATATCAATTAAATACAAATTGATAGGCAGGGCGGAGGTAGGAAGTAGAAGATCAAAGGTTTTGTTAAAGAAGTATCTTTATAAAAACGTGTATATAGATATGTCTTTATTGAACAATAATAATATCTGACCAAATACATGGGAAGAAAAGAATAGCTAAACCACACACACACACAGATATATATATATCTTAGATTACTACTAAAGACATTGTGTTTGACGCATTTTATTAATCACATAGCTCACTAAGTGTTTCTTTGTAAAAACAAGCCAATTGATCCCAAAACACAGATAATGAATATTCAAAATAATAATAAAATAAAAGTCGACAAAAGCTTCTAGTGAAGGCGCGTGTAGGATAAGTGGGGTAAATCGTAATATCCCGCTCTTTCCCGCATTGCTTGTTCTCCTTCCGTCTTTCTCCTCTCTTAACCCCCTGGCTAGACAACGCAAAAAACCAAACACCATGTTTATTTACAGCTGTAACTCTTCTTTTCTTTTATACAATTAAAGAGTCTCACTCTCTTAATAAACCATTTATCTTTCCCCACTTACTCACAGAGTATCTTGGTTACCATGACCACCGATATATTGACCAAAATGAAGAAAATAAAAATGAAAGCCAAGTGCATGTTTCCGTACCAATGTGACGGTCAATTGACGGAAGGGGGTGAACAAATTTCCTTGTTGGGTTTCTTGATTTCTGAAGCATGTCTTTTTTTTATATATAAATCTATACCCATCCTACCAACATACAAACGTGTGTGTATATATGCAACTCTTTTAAATTTACCTACTTGATGATACTCAGCTTACAACTGTGCCTTAACTACCTTGCTCGTCTACCCAGTAACCAGCTTGAGCAATCCGTTACATTAATAAACTCCGTCTGTGACGTAAACCGCGGTCTGTCGAAAAATGCTCTGTGACGTTGTTAATGGAAGACTTAAAAGCGTTTCCCCGACAAGTTTGCCCCAATTTCTATTTACCCTTTTTTTTAATATCAAGCATTATGTTTAGATTGGTTGCTTCCAAGGCCCCTTTGGCTAACGTACGTGAGAAAACTTCCTGAATTGTTCTCCTCGGTCTGACCGTGTTTTCTATAGATCGCCGCCCGCAATGCTGCCGTCAAGACTATCCGTGCCCCTGTCGCATCCCAGTTCTACCGCAACTACTCTGCTGCCGCTGGTGAGAACACGAGACCTTTGTAGAAAGAGAAATCAAGTACTGAGAATATATGTATAAATCGTATCTTTTATTAGACACCGAATACGATGTTGTTGTTATCGGTGGTGGACCTGGTGGTTACCCCGCCGCTATTAAGGCTGCCCAGCAGGGTCTTAAGGCAAGAGAAAAAGAAAAACAATAGGAGGGGATATTTTGGATCCATTAGAATACTTTTTCTGATAAGTAGTGGATGATAAAAAAAAATAGGTTGCCTGTATCGAAAAGCGTGGTGCTCTTGGTGGAACCTGTTTGAACGTTGGTTGCATTCCCTCCAAGGCTATGTTGAACAACTCCTACATCTACCACCAGACCAAGGATAACCTCAAGAGCCGTGGTATTGAAGGTATGCTTAACTAATTGCCATTTCAAGGTGAATGTATGGCGGACTCACGTGCTTTATACAGTCAGTGATGTTAAGTTGAACTTGGACGTCATGCACAAGGCCAGAGTTAAGGCTATCACTGGCCTTACCAAGGGTGTTGAATTCTTGTTCAAGAAGTACGGTGTCACCTACGTTAAGGGTACCGGAAAGTTCAACACTGCCAACGAAATCGCCGTTGAGGGTCTTGATGGCACTCAGTCTACCTTGAAGGCCAAGAACGTTATTATCGCCACTGGTTCCGAGGTCACCCCTATTCCCGGAATCGAAATTGATGAGAAGCGCATTGTTTCTTCCACTGGTGCTCTTGAGTTGGGTAAGGTCCCCAAGAAGATGGTTGTCATCGGTGCTGGTGTCATCGGTCTTGAGTTGGGTTCCGTCTGGTCCCGCCTTGGTGCTGAAGTCACTGTTGTCGAATACCTCGGTGCTATCGGTGCCGGTATGGATTCTGAACTTGCCAAGAGCTTCCACAAGCTTTTGTCCAAGCAGGGTCTCAAGTTCAAGATGAGCACCAAGGTCAATGGTGCCAAGATTGAAGGTGACAAGGTCCTTGTCCAGGTTGAGGCTTCCCAGGGTGGAAAGGAAGAGACTGTAAGTATACATATACTAAGTGTATGTGTGTGTGTGTGTGTGGACATAGTAACTAATTTATGTAACACTCATCTAATGAATGTTTCCATATTAGCTTGAAGCCGATGCTGTCTTGGTTTCCATCGGTCGTCGTCCTTACACCAAGGGTCTTGGTCTCGAGAACGTTGGTGTCGAATTAGACAACCGCGGTCGCGTTGTCATTGACTCCGAGTTCAAGACTAACATCCCTAACATTCGTTGCATTGGTGATGTTACCTTTGGTCCCATGTTGGCCCACAAGGCTGAAGATGAAGGTTTCGCTGTTTCTGAGATGCTTGCCACCGGTCACGGTCACGTCAACTACGATGTTATTCCCTCCGTCATCTACACTCACCCTGAGGTTGCATGGGTTGGTAAGAACGAGGAGCAATTGAAGGGTGAGGGTGTTAAGTACAAGACTGGAAGCTACCCATTCGTTGCCAACTCTCGTGCACGCACCAACGATGACACCGACGGTCTTGTCAAGGTCATCACTGACGCTGAGACTGATCGCATCTTGGGTGTCCACATCATCGGTCCCAATGCTGGTGAGATGATTGCCGAAGCTGGTCTTGCCATGGAGTACGGTGCCTCTGCTGAGGATGTTGGCAGAACTTGCCATGCTCACCCCGTAAGTTTTATACATATATGCATATAAGAAGGGTTTAGAATTGAAGTAAGGCTGGTAACTGACTTTGCAACTATTTTATATAGACTCTTTCCGAGGCTTTCCGTGAGGCATGTCTCCTCGCCTCATTCGGCAATGCCATCAACTTCTAAATAGCAACAAAAAAGAAAAAGGAAAACGTTACTGTTCGCTCCCAAATATACTCCAATAGATTGTGTTAATTACACACATTCTATTTCAAAGTGTCTAATACATCATGAAACATTCCGTATGCATATATCAATATTATAAATATACTTGGAAAAAATGAATACTACTGATACAGGCTAGAGAGGAGGGTTAGCTGTGTATTTTTGTGGGAAGTACTTATACCACAAATGTATATTATTTATATTTGTTTGGATCTTATATAGGAAATACCTTAAATTATGTCATTTTCATCAATGGGAATATTTAATTTTAGTGCATTGTACGTATCCAAAAGATGGGCTCACTGCCAAATCCAAAGGATATTCGTGTTTAAGGTACCAGATCTGTGAGGGGTTTATTTATTTGTATATGTATGTACAGACTTGAGATCGATTACTATTGATTCAGCATATTCAAAAATGGCCAGATCGTTCAAAATTTATTCAGCTTTGATTTTTTTTTAATATTGTACATTATATTAATGCAAGTAGTGTAGCACTGACTGACTGATCGTTAGTTGGTACAAACCGTATCATTAGATTTTCCCAAAAAAAATAAGGATCTGATTCTACAAACTGGCACACAATAAAGGTCTTGCTAGTAATTTCAATACTTGTTTTTTTTCAATATTTTGCATATATATATATATATTCTGTAAGAAAGAATAGCCAAATACCTGTATTTTAGCATTTTTCTGTTTAATTTTGAGCCAACATCCTGTATAAGCTGTGTGAAGATTGGAATATTAATTTCTTGTAATTGGGTAATACATTTGGAATAAATTTAGTTTATTGAGTTGATATGAAACACATACTCGCTTGATTTAAATATCATAAGGAATATTTACCTTCCCAGACTTTTCTTTTATTTAATGGTTTATGACTATTCTACCCTTTTGCCCGTACAGATAAAGACCACTTGTCTTGAATACAGTTAAAGAGACCCACTTTCGACGACAGCCTAACTTTATTTTCTCGACATAATTACTTGCATTTTATCTTTTGTTTTTATCTTCTTACATTGGAATGCATAACCCCACACACAAACAGAACATATATATTTTTAAATTTTGTTTATCTTATCTTTTGCGTATTTTCTGCACATATTATCTACCAGGGGGTTCAATGCATTCATATGTCTTTTTTTTTAATCAAAACTTTTCTGGTGAACAATAGACATTCCATGAAATTATCCTACAATTGTAGGTAAAGAACAGTACTTTTCCCATTCCCGATTTTTTCTTCTTCTTTTGGCTATCCTTTGTATTTGCCAGTACACACAATACTATCAAAACTAGAAGTTGTAGTTATATTAGGGTACTCGAAATAATGAATTAGATATTTCTCTAGAAACACTTAAGTCATTCATTCAAAATGGGCCAAAGAAAGCATATAACTCCTGTAGTATACATACATAATGAGTCGTTTTTAAATATAACGAAGACTATGAAAGGCCAAGAATAGATGAGTACCAAACACCAGAAACAAAGTTACTGAGGAATTTTGGCGCGGGTAACCAAGATGGTATGAGGGCTCCCACTTATTTTTTTTTCTCTTTTAAGATTAAATATAGTAATAAATATGTATATATAGGATAGAAGAGTACGAATTATTAAATAAACACTAATATTAATGACAAGGAGAGTAAGAAGAAGGACACTTATTTGGCACTATATTTTTATACTTTTTTTTTATGTTTCAATTTTTTCTTCTTATTTTTCAAAAATAAAATAAAAATGGTTGGAAACCCAGTAATTCAAAAACAGTCACTTTTGTCATTTAAGGATTCTGGAGAATTTAACTTGTGGAAAATTAAAGAGTTGGACGCACAAATCCTATTTAATTTTTTGATTGTTGGTTTAACATTGAAAGGAAGAAGTTTTAATAAATTGATCCAATCACCCTGTTGCTACTTCAGGCTTTCTTTCACTTTACATAAGATACGCTTATAAAGTTGACCTGTTTTTTTTTCTACATGCTTGTAATTCAGAGCCATCTTGATTAATAAATATTTTACATATTTAAAATCGTCTCATTTTCAGGTCAAATATACACACACAAAGTATATACTGAATTTGCGTTGCGGAGATTAGTAAACTTCCCACCCAGGGTAGGTGACACTTGCAAAAAAAAGAGATGGTAAAATGGAAAGGTTCAAAGAGAGTTGAGACAAGCTTGTCACCGGCATGAATAAAGTTACTACTGGCTGTAATAGTAATAAAGTATATATAAAAATTAAAGTAGCAAGATATGAAGAATAGATGTACAAAAGAAACACCACGAGTTCTTTTGGAATGGTAGCTTGGATGAGTTCAATACTCACTACAATAAGGACATGCAGAAAATTGGGGGCAGGAGGAAGTAAAAAGAAGAAGAAGTTAAACGGATGCTATTCTTTATAGATTGGAGCTGTATAAAGAGGTGCTCTATATAGAACTGGATTCTAAAGTCATTACAGCAAAAACTTCTTTTTCTTCTTCTTCTTCTACTACTACTACTACTCAAACTTTGTTATACACACTTTCTTTTAAAGAATCCGTACCTACGGGACTTGCTCAACGGCCTTTGAAAAGGCAAGACTTTTTTTTTAATGGACTACAAACCTATGCAAGCAGCCACCTATATTTTTCCTTCTCTTTTTCTCCCTCTCTCTCTCTCTCTCTCTTTCATCTCTTATTTATTTATTTTATATTTAGCTTGCTGGTGCTACCAACTTCTTCCTCCTCGTTTCATTTTCGCCTTTTATTTTTCACCTTTCCGTTTATTATATCAATGATTTCAACCGGCCTGGGCTTAACAATGGCGTCGTTAGGCATTATTGGCCTGGCCTTAGCTCTCCTGTCGCTCATCCCTGTCAATGTCTACAATATTGTGGTAGCCGTCAGTGCTCTGAAGGACCTAGTAAAGTATGAATATGACCAAAACAGACCGGAGTGGTGGCTTTTACCAAAAGAATCCGCACTCTACCTTGCATTCCTCACCGGCTCAGTTATATATTCACTCATCACAATGGCGATGGTGATGCTCACGCTGGCAGGTGGTAAACGACAAGCACAAAAGGGACGTACCCAGGTATCAGACACCCCGCACCCTGGCTTAGTCAGCCAGGATAATCTTTACAAGAGACATGGAAGAACAGACATTGAATCAAGTCAGGTTAACCAGCCGACACAAGGTCAGACAAGTGTTTGGCTAGGTCGCATTGGCTGCCTTGTCTTTATCGGTCAGATCGGGTGGGCTTTGTTCGGTGAGGGATTATATACTTATATATCTATATATCAATTGTGGTGAAGGGCATTCTAATTAATGTTGTTATGTGCTTGTAGGAACACATCTCTTGTTCTTTACCGATCTCGACAACAAACTATTCCCAGCCACTGTGCGAACACTCACAACAATTTCTGTGTTCATTCTCTGGCTCAACTATATCATCATCGCCATATTCTCATTCATCCTCTTCTGTGCTTCATTCTTTATTATCCTCGGAGGAGCCAGACGGAGGTCTCAACACCAAAATGATGGTACTGGCGAAATGCAAGCCCATCACCAGGAAACCACGCCTTTGCTCAGATAAGCAATCAGGCAAAAAAGAAAAAAAAATTGAAACTTTGTATAATTGTCTAACATTTCCTCTCTTTACTATTATTATTATTATTTTTATTATTTTTATTATTATTATTATTTTACTATTATTATTTTACTATTATTTATTCATACTGTTTATATTTCTTCTTTGTTAAGTTTGATTCCTCCACTCCATTCATGTATGTATACCCCCCGTACCATCACTCTCATTCCCACTCAAACATATTAAAAAAAAGAAAAAGGGTTATTCAGAGTAATCGGCTCATCGCTCTCTTAGACTTGGTTTATTTCATTCATTACAAATGCACATATAACAGACACCATGGCTATATTAAACAACAGTAACAGGCAACAGTAGCAAAAACAGCAATGACAACGATAAATACAAAGACAGTAACAGTAACAGATATATATTAGTTCAATATCAAATTGTTTTGAATACTTCAAACTTACCAACCCATGTCATCCATTGTTCCCGAAGAAAACTAAGAAACCCAACCTTCTTCTCATATCCAATCTTGTCAAGCAAGTAGGTGTATGCAGCACTGTTCTTGGCAAATACAGTTATATAGTTCATTTGGTCTTTACCAAACTTATTCCATATCACTACTGCACTGACAGACTAGTAATAAAAGTTTAATATCAAATGACATCAAATTAAACCTACAAAAATTGCTCACCTCTGAGCCAAACCCTGCTTGAGTGGGTGTGATAACCATAGTAAGATTCCACCTTGAAGGGGTTGTCTGGCCATGAGGTTCTTTCACCTTCCCATACCCATAATCTTGACTAGAGTCAAGCCAAACATCAGGCCTATCATCAGAAATAACCTCCTTTTCTCTTCTGTATATGTGGACTGTATTTGACCTTGTCCAAAGAGCCAGTATCGTACCATTGCTATTTAGCTCTGAGCCCACGATGGTCGTGTCAGGAGCATCATCACTAGGCCAAAGTTCGCCAGCAAACCACCAAAAGTATTCCGGAATAATATTACCTTGATCGTCTTTGTAAAGAAACAGGCGTTCGTCTTCATCATGCTGGATCACATCGGCACGATCAGTAAAATCAAGGGTCAAGAATCTGTTTTTTATATAAGGAGCCACAATAGTCTTCGCATCAGAAGATTTGGCTGACAATGGTCACATTTTTTTTAGCTTTTAATACACACCACTGACAGTTCAATTTACCGATATGTAGAACAGGCATGCCGGTTTCGACTCGTTCCTGATGAAAATGAGCACCATCTACAAATGACATGTATTCGAGAGACTCTTCGCTGTAAAGTGGATACTGTATTTGATGTCAGGGTCGCACAAATGTCAAGATATTTGATTTTACCGTAAAGTTGCTGTGTTCTCGCTTTATCCATTTGTCGTTATTTCCGTCTACAACAGTGATATTGATGTGAAAGGCTCGCTGTGTCTTGTGAACATCAAGCGAAAATACGCGAAACGTGTTTGACCTACAAATAAAGCATTTTTCTTTTTTTATAAATAATAGCACCCTACAGCAAATCACGTATTACTTTACATAGGAGAATATAGTCTTGATAATACTACATCGTGCTCTAAGGTCTTCTTTGGCTGGTACCATCCTGATAAAGTCATCATTTTTTTTAAAAACAAAAAGGGAATAAAATTGGGTTCACAAATACTTGTTGAAAACTTACCTTGAACAGAACTTCCCGGTTTGCTTGTGAGCAAGATGGGGGCTGCCTCTTCTGAATGAGGTTTTTCAAATAGATCAATAGGTAGTGGTGCAATACGGAAACGATAGTCATCTGGATCTCTAAAAAAATAGCGAAGAAATAAATTAGATGTCTGTTACTATTATCCAGTTTTTCCTTACCTTGAGTATATTATATAGTCTTTTTCTAATGAAAATGTGTCAGGCCAGACGCTTCCGGGTAAGATGAGGTCTTTGTACAATAATTTTCCACACATTTTGTCCAACTGGTAATATACTCGAACTAAATGCAAGATCTTTTCTTCATAAAGTACATGGAACATAACACCAAATATTGGTGTATTTGATACCGCATTACTTGCTTGTAGAAGAGAGACTTTTGATATAGGTCCTGGAAGATTTTGCTCAACTTCAGCAGCCCACCCTGATTTTTTTATGGTTTAATAGTAAATATTATTATTATTTTAAAGACATACAGCTATAACTGCATTTAATCCCAAATATATTACCCCCGACCTCCCCTTTGTGAGGCGCTTTGTAATCTACCTCTCCGTCCTTCACGCTATCAAGAGAATCCGATGTAATGGATTTCAAACTATTTCTATAGATTTCTACTCTGCCTATCAAACAATAATATCAAAAAATGACAGACAGACAAACATATATATATATACATATAATAGTAATAATTCAAAATCCCAAAGCAAAAAAGTAAGAAGTTGTTCTATTAAATGATAGGTATTGTGTCGGTTAACAGTGTATAAAGATACCTGTTCTGCTGCTAACCCCTTCAGAGTCATAACTTTCTTCAGAATATATAAAACGCACAAAGTACAGTGTTTCTTGTGTATTGAAAGTTATTTCTTTATCATACTGTAGTGAAGAAAGTGGCGCGATTGAGAAACGAGAAACGAGGAAGGGATGAGGGTATGGTGCATCTTGAGCAAAGCTGACGATATATACAACCGAGAAACCGGTTATTAGCATAACCAAAGTACGCCAATTCATACTCGTACAGTCAACTAGAGCGTTTTCACTTGTAATATAAGAGGTCCGTGAAAGGTGTTTTTATTTAATTTTTTTTTTTTTAAAAAAAAGAGGGTTGATTTCGGAAAGTTTACCGCCTTACTGCTCAATAATGATTTTAACCACGTCATTTGAAAGAACTATTTGAGTTTGGCAATTTTTACCATCATATATTGTCACAGCGCCCAAATAAGGTAATTTTGACGTTTAAGAATGCTTGTATACCAACTGGGCCGAAAAATTCTAAAAAGGATGTCATACAGTAAAACACACTATACAAGTCGCACAATTCGAGAAAAAAAGTCGCATATACACTGCAGGAAATGGCAGAATTTATAACTTTGAACTCATAGGCAATATACGATCTCGTATATCTTATACGAATCCGTATATTTCTTACGATCACGGAGTTATACATTCTGCCAATAGCATGTCAGATTTTAGTAAATTAAAATTATTTTCAGCAAATACTGATCTATATGATATTTAGTAGCAGGTTAAGCTATACACTTGATATATTATATACATATATCTATTGATATGTGCTATTTTCTAAACACTATAATATTTATGGAGGCATGTATATTGTTTAATTGATTCTTTTTATCAAAGAGTATAAACCTATTTTGTGTTACCGTTGCTATGTCTGATTCCTACTTTTGAAAAACCAGGACAGATTCCCAGTGATTCTCTAAATCTACTGAGATCTCTAATGAGCATGCGAGTAATCTTGACAACCAAACTGTACACGATGCAGATATTTTTCTGTCACCTCTGCTAAATTTAATTTTATATTATTATTATTATTATTATTATTATTATTATTATTATTTATACCAAAAGAGACTTGAACTGCTTATAAGATTTCTTAGGATCTTTGTAGAAAGTGTAATGAAATCTAATGTAGCCCGGATTCAGAGGGGTTTGTTACCGAATGGTAAGCTATTAGATTTGAATAATTTTACTGTCTTTAGTTCTTGTACTGGGTTGAAGAAGTTGGGAAAAAGATAGTTTGCATTGACTGCAAAAATAGGGTGGCGTAAAAAATGGGATATATATATAAAAGAGCGAAAAATTGGTGCTTAATTAAAATTCAACTAAAAAACATTTGTAAGCCCCGAAAACTTGCAACAATTCACTAAAATTGCCCTTTTTTTTCTTCTTTCTTTAGGGTAGGCTTAATCTCAGACATCATTAAAATGAGGAATACATACACGTTTAAGACTGTTTAGTATATATTGATGATAAGAGCCCGATTATAGATGACCTGCTAATTTGTCTGTGATGGTAGAATACTGACAGTCTTGGTCTTTTCTATCTATTATTGATCCACAGACTATATTACCTGTGAGTGCTTCTGAGACATAAGAAATGTGTAACAAACAATCATTTCTCAAAAAACCAAACTAAACATAGACATGTCCCTCCTTATACTAGGTCCTTTAGGAGAATCATGTAATAGTTTATATGTACTATATATTCCTCCCCTCACACATACACACACAATAAGTATCTATTATTTGATCGTCTTAATATAGCAAGTGTATTATGATGAGCAAGAGGACCTACAAATATAAAGACCATAATTCAGTTCCCCACTCCTATTCTTTACGTTTGCTTCGTTTGATTTATTACTCTTATTGGAATTGAATTTTTTCTTTCTTCAAATCAATTGCAAATCAGTGCTGTGAGACAAACTTTCTTCATTTTCTTCTGCCACCCATTTTCCCTGCCTCTCTTTCCTGCAATAAACATCCGACAAAAAGTCTGGTAAGAAAATAAAAATAAAAATAAAATAAATATATAAGCTATAGAACGATATTCAGACCGATAAGTTCCAATAGTGTGTCCAAGAAACATAACCCCTCTCCTTCATCCTTCTTTTTTTTTTCTCTGTCTCTTTATTTTTATTTTTATTTTTTATTTATTTATTTATTTATTTGCTTTCACAAACAAATAAAGCATCACACAGCCTTTGTTGCTATGTCGTACTACCATCAGCAACGAGAACTCGAACCGTGCCTTGCTCGTCTTGGAATGATGCCTGAAGGTACCATAATACCAGTAATAGATTGCACAGTCTGTATTTATGTCTAAATTGTTTCTAGACAAACCCTCATTTGTTAGGGAGGTTCATGAGGTAGAGGACATGGACACTCTGAGACACATGGTCATTCGAAAAGAAAGAGAACGCCAGAGTATAGCGAATGATCTAGACGTAGCCGCACGATTAGGCCTAGTTATATCCGAGACGAATGAAGCAATACAGATCAAGGTAACCCAAAGCCATCTGTCCTGTACAGCTGCCACATTGGCATAACCCTTGGCTATGCCATTGCTCTACACAGCTCGCGCAGCTTGAACGAGAGAATCAGATGCTCCACGATGAGCTCCGGATACGAAAGACAAGCACAGGAGGAAATTCCTCGGAGAATGGCCATCAATACAATGAAGATCTCGAACGGATTGACGGAAATGGGTTCATCTCATCACAAGCCATGGAGGAAGAACAAATCTACCTGACACAGGAGCTTGAACAGGCGAGAAGAGAGTTGACCAAATTCAGAAGAGAAATGGATGGCTTGTCTGCTCAGCTGAATGATATGGCTTCTGAAATGGTGAATAAGCTTTTTTGTTTTTTGTTTTGTTTACATATATATATATACATACATACATTTATATACATTTAATACATATACATATATACACATCATACCAATGATTCTATATTTATTTATTTATATTGCGCTTATGGTCTGGATTGTCTAGGTAGACTCTCGGGCCAGAGTTGGCATGTATGCAAAACGATTAGGTACATATAAAAAATCATTTTTATTTTTATTTTCATACTTTGTTTATATCTTACCAACCATGATTTGGTGCAGCCGAAGTGGAGCATAAGCTAGCAACTACACGAGAAGTCAACGCAAATCTGCAGCTGTTGCTCGAAAGAGCATTGACAAATCAAAAGCAATCTAGCTCTACAACATCTCATTTAGTAAAGAGTATCCAGATGGACTTGACAAGGGTTTGTTTTTTTTATTATTAGCATTAATTTTTTTAGTGGCCTATGTCTTGAACAGTTTGATGTAGGTTGTCGCAGAAAACGATAAATTACGAGCACGCATTGCTGAACTGGAGCATCAGCAGTTGGAGTGCGAAGAACGCATTACCACAATGGTAACACAGGCACAAGAATATGCTTCTCTTCTTGAACAAGCCCAGGACACGATCCACAGCCTGAGCGAGCCGCGGTTATCTGATGATGACACTTTAAGCAATGCGATGTCGACGGTGTCTGTGTCATCCCAAGGAGATGGGGGCGCCAAGGAGACCGAGATTACAAAGGTAAAAAAAATAGTTTAATTTAATTAGTTGTTATGGTGACCAAGCCGTCTTTATCGTTGGAATTATAGGGACCAGTATTCTCTGCAGAGTTCCGACAAGAGATGCAAAAGGAAATCGAGAGAAACCTCGCACTACGCAACGAACTCCGTCATCGCATTATTACCCATGATTCAGTTAGTTCTGATAAGAAGAAGACTCAAGAAGGTCTTAAATATCTATTGTCCGAGCGTGACAGTGGTCTCACCAGTCTGTCACCCAGCTCAAGCTCCCACACAACTTCATCGTTCTTGTCAAACATGCCCAAATTAAGAGACCAAACTGAGGAAGACATGTATGCCTCCCAGAACTCATCTGTAGCAAGCACGCCTGGTTCTGTTACAGCCACAATGAATGCCCTGAGACCTGCCAACTTTTTAACAGGATTCAACAGCTTCGGCTCAGAATCTAGCATTGGAATGGGAAATATGGGTACTTCTAGCTTTATCACTCGAACCATGCCTCCACGTATATTCACAGCCTCACGAAATGGCCAAGAACCGAGCATCAGTACACGCTTCTTCCAAAGACTTGCTACTCGTCTGGATCAATATGACAAGAAGCCTGACAGATCCTAATAATAATAATAATAATAATAAAAATAGCCATTTTAGAACCTCCTTAAAAAATACATATATTCACACAAACAATCTATTAATCGTCTTTGTCTGAGGATCTTCCAAAACAAAGAAAAGTGTAAATATGTGATGAGCTTATAAAAAAACTTTTCTCTTTATATATATATACAAAAAGAAATACAACAATAGCCATCACTTTTGACCTAGCTTCATTAAAAGAACACTTACTCCTCCTACCCCTTATTTTATTTTATTTTATTTTTTTATTTTATTTTATTCTGCTTATAATAAATCAATATTTTTTGGACTTCAGTCACGCAATCTCACGGGGATTCTCAATTAATGCGCACACTATGGTGCCGCAACAACATATACACCTCGCCGGCCTCTCTTTTCATTTTCTTCTCTTCTCCCTCATTTATTTCTTTTCTCTTGGCAAGGCCAGTGTACATACATTAATATGAGGGAAGTAGATGCAGATTCTTCCGAGGAAGAATGGGTCATCTCTTCAACCGAAACACCTACACTTAAAAAGCGATCTATGCAAAAACCGACCAAGACACCAACTGTTCCACCCGTTCATCGTCCTCAAAGGCAGACACCCCAAAAGTCTCATCGAATCATTCCAATCGAACGTAGACACACACCATTGGACCTTAAGACCTCATGTTTCGATTATATCAAGGATGACGAACTCCACGAGATGTGCATGACAATGGACAGCAAACAGCTCGTGACCCGGCTTATCAGTGTGTACAAGAACTCTGAGACATATGTCAACATTAGAAATATTGAGACACCTGTGTTTGCTTTTGACTTTCGATTGAGTGATCATCTGCACGAATGTTCTGATCCTTGCTCATTCATTCAGGTAAATATATATATATACATATATACAAATCGTAGCATTGTTTTTTTTTCTGTAGTATGTGTTTCAGTCCATATTTATTACAACGAAGAACGATTAATAACCGTGGTCACCTATCAGGACGTTTTATTTCAATTGGCTGCGCATTTTGACGAAAACGCGGGTGACAAGGACATGACTTCAAAGTTCCGACGTCAGCTTGCCCATGCCACATGCAGTGGTCTCGAGCGATTTCTTGACACCCCACCTACAAAACGGAAGGAAATTAGAGAAGAAAAGGACGAAAAGGATGAAAAGGACGAAAAGGATGAAAAGGACGAAAATGACATTGATCTGATTTCATTTGTGGACGACGCAGATAAGATAAAAAAGGAGGAACCCAATCTAATATCTTTTGACGATGATGAAAGTGATACTGAGGATGAAAAAGACAGGGCTAATGCCGATGCTGATGACGAAGAAGAAGAGGATGAAGGGCCAGTAAAAACTATTACACTTGCACAGCTACTCGATGTTCCTCCAGAAATCGCTAGTCGATATACATTGACACGAGAACATCAAATAAGATGTATTCGTATGATTGATACTATTCGTGCACCAATAATGGTGTACTATGCCATCGACATTTTCCGTTTGGTACAGTTTCTATCCAAAGGAGGAGAGTTTGAAGAATATGGATCAAAGCTGTGTCGATTGCTAATGATCCATGCTCACTACAATGAGGCGGTTGCGTGTATTCGAAAACTCGACTTATTTGACGCTTTTCCTATCGAGACTCTTGCAGACCACTTTTTTACTATTGGTCAAGGGCTTGCTCTACCAGCCTATGTTAAAGGCAATGAGGTACTCCAAAGGAAACTTCTTCACATAATTGATGTTCAACTTCGGTACAATTTTGCTGGATCTTTGGGGGTTGTACCTAAAGGTAAAAATGATTTATTTCTTATTTATTGTATCGGTTCGGTATGTTTTATGTTCTCCACATTATACCAGAGCTTTTGGAAACTGTTGAAGAAGACACAAAATTATTGCCACCCATGGCAAGGCTCAAGGAAAGACGTTTCCAAAAAGATCTCATGACATGCGGGACCAAGATTGTACATGAGCTGCAGTTGCCTGATCATGAATACCACTTTATCTGGTTATCTCAGCGATATGCATGCCTTCGATGGATTATAACGCAAAGGGCACTTCAACAGACAGAAGAGGGTGATTACTCTATTTCTGCAAGCTCGAACTACAATGGATTGCTTTTATTGGTTGTACAAGACAATCCAGCCTTAGCAAAATTGGTGATCAAGGAGTTGGTGGACATTGGCGATGCTCTTGCGCCTGCCTATTTTGCATCCTTGTTTGGACAGGAACAGTTTTTCTGTGCCTACAGTGGACTACCATTGGTCGATCGTGTTGTGGGTAGAGTAAAGGGTGAGCAAATATCGAGACACCGTAGCTCGCTTGCGCCCAAGAAGCCACGTATAGGATCGCCGCATCCTACAGAGTATTATAAGTTACCACCTAATTCTGAGTGTGTAGTGGTGGATAATGAAGAAAAGTTAAAAAGAATGGGAAAACTAATAGAAGGTACTAAACTGTGTGGTCTTGATACCGAATGGGTCCCACAGTTTGCCAAGACAGGTCCTTCTCGCACAGCATTGATGCAGATTGCATTGGACAATAATATTGTCTTTCTCCTCGATCTCAAAGTCATGTTCCAGCCTTCCAATGCCCATCTTTTGGATCTTACAGAAAAAATACTGGGAGACATGTTTAGCAACAGTAAAATCATCAAGCTTGGTAATTTGCTTGTGTTTCTTTGTGTAAAAAAAAAGGTACTGACGGTGATATTAACCGTTCAATCCACCTAGCTTATGATTTTGGGGGTGATATGATACTGTTGAGAGAGTCGATACCAGCTGCGAATTCGTGGGTGGTCCATAGCATGCTTGATTTTAAGAATATTCGTCTTTCTTATGACAGCCAAACCGGAGGAAATATCCCCGGCGGCCTTGCGGGTGTTGTATCAATGTTCCTGGGTGTGGGTATGAACAAGAAGCAACAACTGAGCAACTGGGAACTTCGACCCCTGACTGAGGAGCAGCTCATTTATGCTGGTGAGTATTTGGCGCTCGCAACGAGCTCCCACTGACAATATTTGATTTCATGTAGCGGGCGATTCATTCTGCCTCATTGACATTTATCGTATCTTGGAACAGCGTAAGCACCCATTCCTTTCAACTCTTAACAAAGGAAGCGGATCAGAAGCTCGAGCTCCCTCCCCCAGCACTCTTAATATCGAAGTGCCAGTAACCCCTCAATCAGAACAACCGTTTATAACTCTTTAAAAATGTTTTATTTATCCTTACACCTTCCTCACATATCACCAATATTTTTGGGGTTTCTTTTTTTAACTGCTATCAAAAACATTCCCATGTAAATTATATACAACTTGACGTTTTTCTCTTGCACGATTCCATTGTGTGCTTTTCCCTTTATTATAACTGTGTGCGTGTGGAAGAAACGTTTTATGTTATATAAAGTATTAGCTTTTTTTAAATCATATGTAAACCAATGTTTGTTGAGTTTAGTGGAATACAAAAAAGCAAAATAAGCGAGAGAAAATGAAACGTATTTTTTTGAATTAGAGATATACACACACGCGCATATATATATATGAAAGTCGCTATTAAAATTATTGGAGATATTTTTTGGAGTAGTATTTTGATATATAAATCATTCAATCTAATGGTGAAGTGGGGAAAAAAGTCTACCGATTTACATTAAATAAACTAATATTTACCATTAAGGTTCCCTCAGAAAACATACATTTTTCAATTTATTTAATTTTAATAGTAACAGTTATTAAATTATTGTCTAACTTAGTAATGAACCAGATATATTTTATTTTACTAGACTCCTTTGGGAGTATAAACTAAGGCCACATTATGGTAAAAAAAGGCGACTTTATTAGAATATTTCTGTATTTTTTTCTAGCTTTTTGAGTGAGTTTTGGTATTTAATTAAGCTTTACTTTCTTTGTATATATACGAGGTAGACTAGCGCCCCCAACGGTACTGCATTAAGAAGAAATAACCATATGGTGTATTTTCTTTTAAATCAGGAATTTTGGATTTTGGACCAATTTTTATATTTCAAATACTGATATAAGAAAATGGGATTAAGTGTTCGCAAGCTTAAGAAAAATCCCAAATATTGGATTTTATGCAGTCATAGTGGCATATGCTCACAATAAGTCTTAAACTCTGTGTACTATACAATGTTACTGTATTAGGGGATCGATTGTCTTAGTCTGCTATAAGAAATGAATAATCGAGGGCCAATATTTCTCTTCCTCTGCTATTAAATTCGAACACCGCGTTTTTTCAAAAGCAAAAAAGTGTTGCTGGAAATGCCAAAACTGAATATGTTATCAATTTAATTTGGTAAGAAACAGTTTCTCTACAAAGTAGACTGATAACATATTCAGCTTTGGCATTTCCGACAATACTTTTTAGGTCTTGAAAAAAAAACGATCGGAATTCAATTGTTTTTCTGTCTATAAGAAAGATGCACCATATTGTGATGACATCCAGATAATATATACATATATTATGATTTTTACTTAATACTGAATATCACTTTGAAACATATATGAATTTATCTTCTAGTAGCTGCCGGGTCCCTTTTTGTGTCTACTTGTATGAGCAAAATAAAGAATAACTTCTCTTGTATCCTTGACCAAAAGGTGCACAGACCAGTTTAGAGTAACCTACAAATCGCCGTTAAGAAACTCGTACTCCACTTTGAGAGCTATTGCTACACCGATCAATACCGGACCTTTCCTTACTTCTTTGCTTCTTTGCTTCTTTGCTTTACCTTACTTCACTTTGCAAAATCGCTTTTATAAGTGACTTTATTAAATGTTATTAGCCTCCCCTTTTGTCGTAAAACAGTTACACAAACCCAGTAAAAAGAATATATAGCTATGTCACGTTTGCTCTGACGTGAGCGTCAGGCCTGACAAAAGCGCAGTCCTAAACTTTAATCGCAGATGAAAAAAATTTCTGTTACATATAGACCTCCTCCAACGCGCATCGTTTGTTTTCTCCTTGAGCAACAACAGTCCCGGTTTCATAGTGAGGCGTCTCTTGCGACCGTTGCAGGGAGATTCTTCCATGCTACAAGCATCGGAAAGTGAAAGTTGTTACTCGCCAGCTCAGTTAATTCTGAGAAGTCGTGGGGCATGGTCTCTTTTCTTTTGGAAAGACTACTGTGTACATCGCATCGCCAATGTGGAATCATGATGCTGGGGGGAGGGAGGTCTAACCTGTGGTGAGATGTGCTGGCTCTTCACTGCAAACCTGACTGAACTCTTTAACGGCTGACGGTGAAGCTACTGGTAGTCGAATGAGCTGGACCTTATCACCTAGTGGTAAGTTCTCTGGCGAGTTCGCACCCACATTACTCGGTGACGAGATGTGGGGCTGGATGAACGGGTGCTTTCCGTTGGTTTGCCACCATTCCAGCACCTCCTTCGCTACCAAGTCAGGTTTACGTCCTGAAGGAGATTGAGCCGCGTAATGCGGGGACAAAGAACTTGGTGTCATGCTTTTTATTCTTTTACATGAGTAAAAGAACATTAAGTGAAATTCAATCAAATAGAATAGAATAGTTTCTTTACGTATATATTTAAATAAATAAATAAAGTCTTTCTTAGCTATTGTCAACTTTAATAAAAAAACACGCTTCTAAACTTTTTTTTACTTGATTGAAGAGGTTAATGTTGTAATTAGGTGGAATCATTAATGCGAAGAAATTAATCTAATCGAATAACTCTGAGAAGAAATACAATACTATTTGTATATTTTAACATTGTAGCGATAGCCGTGCTTAACCATAGATGCTGTTTTTAGCTATAAAGTATATAGTGATTAAAGTCAGGATAGTTTTTGAGAATACCGATGCCGTGAAATGTATGTTATTGAATTTGACTAATGAGGATGAAATTTGTAAAGAGGATGTATTGAAATGAGAGAAAGGAAAAAAGAGAAAAGCTTTGTTTGAAAAGAATAGAAATGAGATATGAGAATGAATGAAGAAATGCGTGTTTGAAAGAGAGGCAGAAAAGGCATGGTGAATTGAATACGCAAGTAATGTCCTCATTGTATTTATATAGAATGTGCACAAAAAGTTCAGTTTGAATGTATTTATGAGACAATAATCATTATCTACAAACCTTTTTGTACTTTGAACATCAATGAATGTTTGGTGTCCTACATTCGTTATCGTATACACAGATAGACAAGTACATTTATTGTGCGAAGGATGATCTAAATTCAAATAATATAATAATAGAAATGTATTGGCAGTTAAAAGATGCATCGTTCAATATTGTGCATAAAGATACATTGCCAGGCATTAGGGTATATTAAGTACTAAAGCATGGGTATAATAAAATAGACACATTGACATATTGAATTATACAGCAAAGACTCAATTTAGTGACAATGCACATAAAGCTATTATAAATTCTCGCCAAATTTATGTAAAATGCTGATATAAATATATATATATTTCACCAGGATCGGTAAATAACATCAGAAACATTGTATATATGTATATATATAAGGTATAATATACGCAGAACAGCAGAATGGTATTTAAACAATGATGAAGAGAAAAAAATAATAGACAAGAGCATGAGGAATGGTGACATCTTATGAGGTAGCGGCTGGAGTTACAGGTTCGAACAAAGGTTTTCCATACTCGACTAAGTAACTTGCATTGGGATCACCTGAATGAGCCAAATCTAAGAGAAGAGATTTTATATTATCAAGACACCATTGACGAAGATGGGCGGCATCTTCGAGTTCTTGGCGTTGTGGTGCGTGCTTCCCATCTGACAGAACACTTGAGCCCACTGCCATGAGTACGCGCCACGAGGCAATAACCTGCTTAAGCATATCATAACGCTTATCGATTAATGCAATGTGGTACCATGCAAACAGAGGAATCAGCAACAGGGCCACAATGAAGCCAACGAATCCCGAGGCTAATGCTTTCCAGATATAATACACAATTGTACTGTACAATGGCATGGCTAGGATTAAGGAAACTGCAAGTTTGTCTTGGGCGACTGATTCTTTGTATTTCTCAAATGAATTCACCATTCGGCTGAGAAGATATATAGGAAGATTGACAACAATGCCAGGCAGGAACAGAGGTAGCTGAATTACCAGAGCGGACCAAGTCGAGACCCACCGTAATAGGGCTCTAAAAAATGTGATTTCCTTGTTTTCATACATTCTGATATCAAGAGAAGATAAGCGCAGCCTTCTAAGATTGTCGTGGAATATCAAAAGTTTTTGCTTGAGATCGTTGCGAGCTTCGTGGTATGTGTCTTGGTCGTCGTTACAGCGATCAGGATGAAATATATTGATGAAGCTAGAATATTAATGGTCAGCATACACATATTTAACCATAAAGTAAACTAGGTATTTGCAGGGAATTGTTTATATATACACATATAAATGGGGTAGTGTTTTCTCAGACGTACCTTTGGGAGACTCGAACATATTCTTCTAGACGTACACCTCTTGCATCGCCAAACAAGACAGCTTTGGCTTCAAATGCGGCATTAGCTGTGTCCCTATTATCCGCAAAGAAAGATAAGTTATATGTTTGTCTGTATGTCAGGTTATTTAAATACTCATTTACCAGTCAGGGCTATTGATGGTACTGCGTTCGACTCCTTGGGCTATCCGTTCAGTTAGCTGTTTGACAGAGTTCTTGGCGTCTTTTTGAAATTCACGATAATCATCTCCAGTAACGAGGATCGGGACTCCGTATCTACGATTTTTATAAAAAGTATTAGCAGACATGTTTTTTATGTACACAAGCTACTAGTGGATGACGCCCATCTGATCAACATATGCGTGTATGCGAGTATATGTGTATGTCGATAGGTGTTGACGCTTACTCTACAATAACATCGCTTCGCCATTTATTCTTTGTACTATAGGTGATACCAACTGGGATAATCGAAATGGAAGGATCGGGGATACCCTTGTCTGTCTGTTGGGAAAGGTACTCGTATGTTGCCCAAGACAGACCATCTTTAAACGGTAAATGATGGGGTGCAGTATATGACGTTCCTATTTCATAAATAAATAGCAAAGCGTGTGGTTAGATATACTGTTTTGATGGGAGAGAAAATACTAGTCTTTTTTTTCATACCTTCAGGAAATATGGCTATCACACCGCCCTTTTCAAGACAATTCATTGTAGACTCAAATAATTTGGCATTGCTGTGAGTCTTTGTGTCGACAGGAAGGACTCCAGCAGAACTAAATATTTGTCCAATGACCGGGATCTTGAAGAATCTTGCAAGAGCCCAGAAATGACATGGACGAGAATGAGGGAATGTGGCTATGAGCATAGCTGGGTCGAGGACCATGTTCATGTGGTTTCCAGCGACAAGAAGAGGCCCTTCTGCTGGGATGGGAGCATGGCAAATGACTTTGAGGTTTCTGAAATAAGTCCACACGGCGATGCGAGACATGTATTGCAGGGTCTGATAGACCTTGCCTTCGCCTACTCTCTCGGTCATGAAGTGTTCGAGTACAAGAGGTTTATGGGCTGTGACTGGTGTCACTCTGCTTGATCGCTAGCTCTTAACACGTGTCAGTAATGTGTAATTCAGCCCAGTCAGTCGGGTAGATTTTTTTTTTGGTTGATCCCAAATGTCATCAACATCAATAAATAAATGGAACAAAGATGTATTGGTGTGTTTATATTTGTATATATTTTTCTATATTTTTCTGTTTATATCTTCATGTGTGTATATATATTGTATTATATTATATCATATTATCTATCTATCTATATATATATATATATATGAAAATGCATGCCCACAAAGTCTGTTCTTTGTAATATTAATTCCAACGCGTAATATATATATATACATATACATATAGACATATATATATGTGCTCATTTACACACAAAGGTAGGTTTGTAATATGGGTGAAAGATATCAGTGTACTTTGACTTGGACTTCTTTCTTTTTTGCGTTTGTCTTTTGTGTTTTTTTAACGACTCATAATATAATAGAGTGCCAAAATGTTGACTAAAACAGCCAGAGTAAGGAGAGAGTAAAAGTAAGATGATTTAGCAGGTACAACAACAACAGCAGGCTGGACAGGAGCGAATACTTCTTGTGCCGATTCTTCTTTTCTCCGACGCAGAAGGTTCATTTCCTGTTCATAGGATTCCAATTTCTGCTGCATCATCTTAATGGTCTCTCTAGCATCACTCATCTCTTCCTGGGTCTGGTTGTTTACTACCTCTGGCTCCACGGTTACGGGAGCCGCATCCGGTGCGGGTGATCCCACTTTCTTTTCCTCCTCCACCTATCATAAATAATTGCATTTTTTGTTGTTTTTGTTGTTGTTGTTGTTTTGAGTTTTTTCATGGATCTCATACACTTTTTCTTTCTGCAATTGAACCATTCAATCCCTTTTACCTGTGGTGGAGCTTGTACTACTTCGTCTACGAATGCACATCGAAGTTTTTTCTGTTCGATAGACTGCTTGTTTGTTGCCTCCACATTAGCCCACTAAATTGATTTACGTTTTTTGTTAGTCGGTCGTTCCCATAGATTTTTTTTTCGCTTGTATAGTAAATGGTATCCTTTCAAGACACATACCAAATCAGGCAAGGCAATATCCTCAGAATGATCGGATACTTGGACACTTTGCACAAGGAATTTATCTTTGCACTTGAATCCAATAGGAGGCTCTTCTGGCAGTGGCTGAAACATAACTATATATAAATATATTCAATGGAATGATTAGTCATAATTTCCACTTATGTATTTATTGGGGTAAAATAATTAATAAAACCACATACGAATATCTTACCTTGTACTTCCATGGTTGCCTGTGGTTTAATAAGACCTGCATTTGGACGAACACAATATTGCCTTGGGGCAGTTGTTTTAACTTTGAATGCTACATCACTTGTACCAGGATTGTAGAGACGAAGGGTAGAGCTCACCACACGCGTCAAAGGACCTAATACATTACAAACCATCATCTACAATTCAGACATCTATTTCTCCCCGATGATTTATCTACTCTTGTATTTCTAATAGACTTACGCACAAACTCGAGCTGATCTCCAGGAATTATTTTGAGAGACATTTAAAGATGAAGTCTAGCTTAATGTATAATGTGGGAAACGAAATAAAATAAGAAAACCCTTTGTTAAATTGTTTTTATTTTCACACCACTATTCTTTACGATGACCAAAGAAAAAAATAATCAAATCCCGCTTACAATTCTATGAGACTCCCTACGTCATGGTATTTCCTCTACAGAGCAACAAAGATAGAAATCTGTAAGAATACCAAACTGTAACTATCACAAAATCAAAGGAATAGTGATCCTTGGAAATTGATTGGCTTGAGAGTATTATAAATTACTAAAAATGGAAGTAGTAGCTCGCACAAATTACTATAACTCTGATTGAAACTCTTTAGCACTTCTATATATGTATATTATGTGTATATCTACATTTTATTATAATTCTCAAGCTCTTGTACGTTCAATGTAAATTAAATAAATCATCCATTTTAACTACTTCTTTTTTCCATCTTTTTACTCGGTTAAATAGCTATCCTAAATAATTGACAGCTATAATATAATATTCTTAATATTAAAAGAATATATATATATATATAAACACTTGCTTTCTTGCAATTCTTAAGTCAAGTGAGATCTTAACTTGTACTAGTTACACATGGACCCAGGACTTGAAAAACAATAATACGACAACAAGAAAGTCTAACATGAGGCCTGTGGTAAAGTTGGGTGTTAAATGTGCCTCAGGTGTAACATGAGATCGTCTCGAGTGAGTGGATGTAAAAATAAAAATAAAAAATATCAAAAAATAAAATAGGAAAAAGAAAACATCAAACATCAAACTTCACGGTTTATCTTCTCTATTTGACATCTCATCATCATGCCTTTGGTAAGATTCCGAAACAAAGTCATGAAATAATATCATTTTCTTAACATTTTCTTTATCCCAACTATGTTTACAGGAACACGCTCTTCAATTGAGGTAAATAATAATATAAAATTCTCAATTTTATTTTGTATTCTTTTTTTTTGTTACTGAAGCTCATCTTACTGACTTCTTCATCAGAGGTCGTAATCCAGATCTTGGGCCATGGAAAACTGCTCCTGCTCGCCAAATGACATTGAACCGGGAGTTTGGCATGGATGCACTCCCTCGACAGTTGTATAACAAGGCCAAGAAGACCCCCTTTCCTTTGAACATCATGGTTGTTGGTAAAGACCATACACATACACACATTTCTCAGTCTCATTCTATTAAATCAAGTCAAGTTTAATTTAATTGTCTTTTTTTATTAACTATATATAAAAATTGTCTATTAGGCGAGACTGGTCTTGGTAAATCAACATTTATGAATACTCTTTTCCAGGCCGATCTTAAAGATACCACTGAACTTAAGGTTCCTCAGGACACAAAAACTGTTGAAATCACTCCTGTATCCTATGGTATGTCAAAAAGTAATTACGCCCAAAAACAATGTAATAACACCGAGATTTTAGAGCTGGAAGAGGATGGCGTCACATTGAAGTTATGTGTAGTAGACACCCCAGGTTTCGGTGATCGTGTAAACCGAGCAGCAGAGTATGCAAAGCTTTGATTTAGATTTATATGCATAAAAGAAAAAGGTCCTGATGATCTTTTATTTTTGCATTACTATAGTCTTGAGCCCATCCTGGCTTACATCGATGCTCAGTACAATGCTTATCATGAGGCTGAAAAAAGCAAAGCATTCCGTGCTGCTATCTGTGACACACGCATCCATGTGTGTATTTACTTCCTCGCTCCTACTGGCCACAGGTAAATCCAATCCAAAATAGCAACTATTAAAAATCATTATTTTTTTTATTATCACTAACCCTTGAAATATACTAGACTCAAGGAACTTGATATTGCCGCCCTTCGTGTATTGTCCTCAAAAGTCAATGTGATTCCAGTTATTGCAAAGGCTGATGGTTTGACTGCCCAGGAAAAGGCTACCTTTAAAAAGGCTGTAAGTTTATTATATCATACTGCATTACTTGTAACAGCGCCGTATTTATTTTTAAACATTCCAATACACTCAACCTCTCGTTTTACTTTATCTAACCACTCCACTTCTACCATTTATATTTTAAATATTTAGATTTCTGAAGACCTTGAAATCAACGAAATCACAACCTATCCTACTTCATTTGAGAACGATATTGAGGGTTTGGAAGAACTCAAGGTAAGCAGCCTAATACAATCCGCGGGGGAGTCGGGCGGGACGGGTGGACCGAATAGCTTACTCACCACGGTTCTTCCCTATTACGGACAGCAACACATTCCATTTACTGTTATTGGTAGTACAGACCTTGTACAGGTGAAGGACAAGATGGTGCGTGGTAGAGAATACCGCTGGGGATCTGTAGAAGGTAAATAATCAAAAGCCAAAACCAAAATCAAAACCGAACCCAAAAATGAAAAGACAATCGCCAAGTATCTTTGTATTAATTGAACCACATTTTAACCAGTCGAAAACCCCCTTCATTGTGACTTTATCTATCTGCGTGAATTGTTGATGGCCCACTGTCTTCATGACCTTGTACAATTAACTCATCACCATCACTATCACACACACCGTTCTGGTCTTTTGTGTGGTCCTGATCGTCCTGCTTCACTTCTTATCTGTGATGAGGAGTACGACACATTTATGGAGGATGCAAAGACCAATGTATTCCAGGATATGACCAGTCGCGAAGAAGCAATGCGCCAACAGTTCGTCCAGCGTGTCAGAGACACTGAGCAGACCCTGAAGAAGCGTGAAGAGGCTGTAAGAAATTAAAAGGGTCAAGCATGACACTTAAACTTATGTAATAACAATATTAATTATTTTCTTTTTTTAAAAAAAAATAGCTCCAGCAGAAGCGTGAAGTTCTTATGAAAGAACTTGAAGATCAGAGACGACAGATCGAAATTGCTGAGCGCGAGTTCCAGTCGATGCAACTCCAGACTTCTGTCCGGTAAACAATTTTATTTCAACACAGCACTCTAGAGATGGTTTGGACGCAAGTTCCAGAATACAAGTTAATGAGGATTATATCATACATCTTGTTCTTAATTCCCAAAAAGAAACCTCTTTATTTTTTTCGTTGTTCCCCACAATATTCCTCTTTTTCTCTCTATTTCTCTCATCATGTATAGACTATGTTAATGTATAATTATTATCCCCTTTTTTTCACCCTTTTCTTATTATCTAATCGCCTCTTATGCATTGTCCAATGGTCTATTACAAACATTATTGTTATTACCATAAAATGTTATAATTGCATAAATTTTACTTTCACTTAAACCTTACCTATTGAAACCTCCGCGTCGATTCATGTATTGTCTATATTTGATGGGTTTACGGATATTTGCAGCCGAAACATCAGTACCTGCAACATGCTTATTCTTGGTAGTGTCAAATCCGCCAAAGCCCATCAATTTCATCATCTTGGTTTCCTCATCGTCATCATCATTTACAATCGGCTCAGCTTCCTTTTCTGGAACAGGGTCTTTGGAAGAAGATTTTACTTCATCTTTTCTTCGGTAACGTCTAATACTCAAATATGGGTTATTTAAGATGCATGTTGTTTGGTCGAAATTCACATCATTAGACATATAGGCACCTCTTTGGTTCATCGCGACTAATCGATCGGTAACGACCTGAGCGAGGTGGACTTGGAGGGCTTTTTGAACGGCGGTAACTACGCGATCTTTCTCTATCGTTGTCTAGGGAATCAATAGTTTAGATTTCCATCATATTGCTATTTCTTTCTTAATTATACCTCTCCAGTCAGGACTGCGAGCTCTTCTATCTCTACTTGAGTGTCTTTCGGGACTGTAACGGCGTTGGCTTCTTCCACTGCGTGCTCTCGATCTACGAGAAGGAGAACGAGAAGAGGATCTTGGACGGTCATGATCACGATACTCTCTATCACGATGACTTCTTCGAGGGGAAATGGAGCGTGGCATTTTTTAAAAGAAATAAAATGAATATATTTTTGTGTGCCTTTGTATGTGCCTGTGTGTGTGCTGGTGTGTGTATGAATAGTTTTTTTTATTTTTTGTTTGTTTTGAATCTAGAGATGTAGATTAAGCTGTAATCTGAATGCCTTGTATTTCCCGCACTTTCTTTTGATAAAGAGTTCAATGACCGGTCCTAATGCGTGTGTATTATACCTGCGCTTTAGTGAATACAAGTATGGAAGGTGTCGCTGGGTGGCTTGTCGGACCAATTTGCAGTAAAGACAAACCTATCCATCCCTGCCACTCCTCCCCTTTTTTTGGTGTGTAAACCCCCACGCACCACCAATTATACAACGCGATGAAGAAAGACACAAAGACAACTCTATTTGTTGGTAATTACTAACTGGTATTTTATTCATGACTATCAAACCACTCATCAAAGTGAATTAGGTGGACTTGACCAAGACGTGACAGAAGCTATTCTTCATGCTGCATTTATTCCATTTGGTGACATTGTGTCAGTACAATTGACCCCCGATGGTGGATCACGTAAGAGATCTTGACACTAGACACCAATATAAGGCAAACCCAAGCACAAATGCCTGATTTTACTGACATCAATCTACTTAGACAATCAGCACAAAGGATTTGGCTTTGTAGAATATGAATTAACAGAGGATGCAGCTGCAGCTGTAGATAATATGCATTTGGCTGAACTGAATGGCAGAGTGATAAAGGTTAACATTGCCAAACCACAAAAAATGACAACAGCTTCCAACCGTGCTGGTAAAACCAAAAACCAAAAAGAGAGAATATAAAATAGGGGAGAGAGGGGATATTTTTATGTTTCCTGCAGATGTACAGAAGCTTGTTTATTAATAATTTACTCGTTATATACAGTTTGGAGTGATGATGCTTGGCTGCAACAAAACACACTTGCCGACGCACCTAAGGCAGATAAAGAAGCAGATAGTACTAAGAAGGAAGATGACGAGGATGAGGATGAGGATGATGAAGAGACTGGCGAAAATACACATGTGACAAGAGGACCTCGGGGAAAATCCACTGTGTTTATGGACATCAGTATTGGTGGTTCTCCTGTTGGTCGTATCTTGATTGAAGTAAGTGCATTTGTATTTGTGCTTGTGCTTGTGTTTGCACTTGTGATTTGGCTTGTGTGTATGTAGGAGGGAGAGTGTATATGTATTCAATGCTAAGATATTAATTCTGTTTTTGGATTAAATAGCTTCGCGGTGATATTGTGCCAAAGACTGCAGGTAAATATACATATTTAAATATTTACACACAGAGAAAAGAAGAAGATATTCTGCAGTGGTAATATCCATCTGCCTGATACCACAAGGGAAAAAAAGAAAAGGATAATTAAGGTATAAAATGGGCTGACATATGTATTGGTATATTGTGCGTTTTTCTTGTACGCGCTTGCGTTTAAAAAAAAAAGAGAACTTCCGGACGCTGTGTACAGGTGAAGCGGGCTTTGGCTACCGAGGCTCAACATTTCACAGAATCATTCCCCAGTTTATGTGCCAAGGAGGTGATTTCACAAATAACGATGGTACTGGTGGTAAATCAATCTATGGTGCCAAGTTTCCTGACGAGAATTTTACTCTAAGACACACTGGACCAGTAAGAGATTTGAACTATAAAGTGTAAAAATTATAGTAGTAGCAATATGACTAATTTAAATTATCGTTTAATAGGGTGTTTTGTCTATGGCTAATTCGGGGCCTAATACTAATGGATCGCAGTTCTTTATTTGTACAGCAAAGACAGAATGGCTGGATGACAAGCATGTTGTTTTTGGACGTGTTATTGCGGGTATGGATGTAGTGCGCCGTATGGAGAAGATTGGTTCCTCGGCTGGCAAGTTATCATCGCGTGTGACGATTACAGACTGCGGTGAAGTCCGAGAAGTAGATGAAGAATAAAATACAATACAATATAATATAATAAATAAATAAATAAAAACTTGTATTCCTCGAAAGACAACAAAAAAAAGTTCATTATCATTATCATCAAATTACTTGCTTATTAAAATTAAATAGATGTGTAAAAATATGTTGTGGAGCAATTTTTATTTGTTTGTTTCGAATAACCATGAAAACCTTTTTAATGGAGCAATATTACAAAAAGGAAAAAAAGAGAAAGCGAAATGGAGAGGGAACATAAGGTTGTGGGGGGACAATGCTAAAAGATGTTCGGGGAAGTTGAGGAGATGAGTTTTTTTTTAATAGCCACCCTGCTGGGAGTATTCGTTGTTGCTGTTGCTGTAGCCGTTTCCACCACCGTAGCCTCCACCTCCACCGCTCTGGTAGCTGTTACCCTGTCTCTGGTAGGAACCACCACTCTCACCACCGTAAGACTGGTTACCACCCTCGCGCATAGAACCACCATTACCACCACGGTATCTGCTTTGGTAGGGTGTGGAGTGAGTGCGGTCACTACGGTCACCACGGTCACCACGGTCGGGACGCTCAGTACGGTCACCACGCTCGGCAGCACGGTCGACCTTGATCCTGCGACCGTCGAGATCCTGCTCGTTCAGAGCATCAACTGCTGCCTGAGCCTCACCGTTATCACTGAAGGTAACAAAGCCAAAGCCACGGGAACGACCTTTATTTTTATTGTTTTTATCATTTGATATAGGTTAGATATATTGTAATTTGGTTTATTACAAATCTAGTAGTACTTACCAGTTTCACGGTCCTTGATGACGACTGCAGTCTCAACGTTACCGTAGACAGAGAAGGCAGAGTAGAGGCTGTCATCAGTTGTGGCCCAAGCGAGACCACCGACGAAAAGTTTGACAGACATATGAAAAATAGAGATTAAAGGTAAAGAAGACGAAAGTGAGCGGTGAGCTGGCCCCCTCCCCTTTATTTGTTTTCTTTTTTCTTTTTTCTTTTCGTAGATGAGAAATTTTCGGGCCCTTTTTTTTAATGGGGGACACGAAAACCCAAATGTTTACAGTACAGTATATAAAGATGCCTACGTGGCCTAGTTTTGAGACTTTAGAGTCCTTTGGCCCTGGCTACGAAAAATAAAATCGAAAAGAAAGGGGTGGGCGTGTTGAGTCAATTGCAGAGGTACAGTGACAAGCCCGAAGTCCATTGTAGTACTACCCCTCTACAGAATGCATAACGTTTACTGTGAATGGTATCTGAGCAAGAATTGTGCGTAAATAAAATAAAATCAGACACAACTTGCCTGCCTTTTTTAGCACTACTTAACTCGCAAATCCATGCTCTCCAAAGTTGCTTCGTCGGACTGTCAACCCCGACGTCATCTGTTGTCAGATACATGTCATCCAGACACTAATGAACTCAAGCTATAAAATAGTTTTTTTTTTGTCTTGACTCCCATTGAACAAATATTATCACTTTTTTTTAATAAAGAAACCCAAGACAAGATGCACCGTTTCTTATTGCGCAGAACACTCACTACAGCCAAAGGTAATTTGATCCAAATGAAAGTATCTGAAAATCTTATATATAAAAAACAGCAGATAGCTCTTCCAATTCTGCCGCAACTGCTAAAAAGTACACAGACAAAATCCGTCAAGAAGAAGCTTCAAAGAAACAGCAACAATCTCCTATTCCCAAGACTGCACAAGAAAAGCTCAATAGCATGGAAAATCCAAATGCCAAGCCCAAATCTAAAGATCAAGAATAAAAAATCACATATATATATATTCTCTTTTAATATACATACACGTACACATACACATACACATGAATCAGATCGAATTATTATGATCAGTATTGTTGACTGATATTTATCTAAGGATGTGTAAACACGCCTGCTGTAGCAAACACCATAACCATAAATCCCCACACAATCAGCAGACCAGCTGCAATATCAAGCCACGTCAGTTTGATGGGTATCTCAAGTGTAGAAGAAGAGGGAGATGGAGATGGACCGTGCAGGAGCGGGGTCTTGGCGGCAATCGTCCCCTCCAGTGACGCCAGCTGTGGATAGTGTCGGGTTACCAAGTACGCCGTCGCAGGCAGAATGTACGCCAAAGTGGTGGCGGCAAACCCACCAATCAATGCATAAACTTTGCCAAGTGATTGGACTAATACACCCAAGGTCGTGATCAGTCCAAATAACACACCTGTGACTAGATAGTGTTGAACCTGTGTTGGCTGTCGATCTTCTGTCTCAAATCCAAGCATTTTCTGTACAGCCTCTCGTGTAGGATAAAATCCCATTCTATCATACACACATATATACAATTAGTTAATATATGTATGTGAAAAGAAAAGGAAAGTTTTTTTTTGACTTACGGAATGGTGAGAATCATACTGAATCCAAGTGCAAATCTTCCTACGTTTACTACCATATCATCCGCAGGGAAATTCAAGAATAGGTTTGGTTGAACGGCTGTACCAAAAGATAGATAACCGACTATGGCAAAGGCCATTGAGGTGATCCAGCTCATGACTGTAGCTAGAGTAGTAGAAATAGCCCAACCACGCTCCGTTTGGTCTGCTTGACTGAGATAATTGTTGAATGCAACTTGAGAGCATGCAAATGCAAAGGCCATAATACCCAACGCTCCAAAAATATCTCCGCCGGCCAAGGTCAAAGGTGCATGATGCTGAGGAGCATATACTGGTGCACGCACTAGCAGTGTCAAAATTATCAATGGCAAGCAAAGGACGGACACAATCGACCATCTTGCCAAGGCACCGATAGATCTTGAGAGTAACAAAGGAAAAACCTATTACATATATACATATGTCATATTAAGGAATGTGTTGAGTTGTTTGAGGATTGCGTTGCGTGTAGTATAATTAAGGGGCGTTTGATCTTTGGCTTACACAAGTGACGCCAATGAGTAAGATGACGAACCTGCGGTCGGCCAGCAGGGGATAGTCAGGCAGATAAAGGCCGAACAGTACAGGAATAGTGTCACCGATTACTGTAGTGAAAGTGTTAACAACCTATAATACTTGCGGTGTTTACTTACAAATATAATAGCTAACACAGGCACCTCCTGCCTGAACAACGATCATAATATTAAGAAAGTTGTATCCGAACCGACCCATCACATGCTCTACAAGACCAGCGAATTTGTATATGCCTGTACGTTGGCCAGATACGACTAACATGTGGAGGCCAAGCTGTGAAAGAAAGGCGACTATAATTGATAACACGATTCCGCTGTAGAAACCTGCGTTCTGTATAGCAAATGGTAGGCCTATGATTCCTGCACCAACTGTAGCATTGACGAGATTGAAGGCTACTTCAAGTCTACTACGTGTGCCATATCCAGGGCGATCGGACTGGAGTAGATCCTGTTCAGCTTGAGTGAGTTTTGTGGGGGTAGCTCCGTAGGAAGGAGAATTCATCGAGTCTGATTTAACGAGATTTTTTTTGGAATGAAAAGAGTGAAGAAACAAAGCCGACAGGTGCGTTTTCAACCTTTATATACGATGTTCAAGACTCGGGCTGTCTTTGAATGAGAGACTAAGAAATTCTAACTCTCAAGGTCAACAGGAGATAAAGAGTGTATTGTGATAGACGGCTGTATGTGGGGGCTACACTGTCACTGGACTGTGGTTGGCTGTTATTGGTGAACTACGCTTAGTTCAAGTGTGAGTCATGTTATGCAGCGTATCACTTTTTTTTCTGGGGGTTTGCTGTCAATAGAAGCCCTATATTATTTGCATCTCCAGATTCATGAATAAACCATAAATATATAGACTCGCAAAGCTTGCACTTGATTATTTTTTCCAGAATAAAGGCTATCAAATGTTAGTTATATGTCTATCATGGGCTGATGAGGTATAAAATATAGGTACAGTCTAATAAACGCCTACACACAAACACAAGTACAAGCATACTGCACACACATAAATAAATGTGTGGGATTTCCTTGCTTACAGGTGCTTTGAATCAATGTAATAAATGTGGCAAACGAGAAGAATCATCTCTTTCACACACACCACTTAATTAAAAATAAGAAGTTTCTGTTGCTGCTGGACAAGGGGACTTGGCCTGGTTAACTTTTGAGGTAGGACGTCGGCAAAAGTATTGTATATTATTCTTTTCTTTATTTCTTTCTTTTTTCTTTGTTTTTTTTTTCTTATTCTTTTTTACAATGCAATAGCCTTCGGTAGCCTATTGTTATTCTTTGCAGGTCATTATTCAAATGCTTCTAGTACAGTGATAATGAAGAGGTACAGAATTTACTGTAGAGATTAAAGAGAATATGTTTTTTTTTGTGGGCTATGAAAAACAAAAGAGAAACAAGGCTGATTATACGGAGGGAATTTTAGGAGTAAAATAGCCTCAAATCTTGTCAATAAAATAAAAATAAAAGATAAGGAAAATATTTACTCAAATAAGAACATTTGTGGTCAATTTCTAGACACACAAAACGAATAAACTCCCTCTTTTGTGATTGATTTATAAAACAAAGTCTATTGGTATTTTTATTACTATTGTCATACATGTATATATATATAGATATTGTGTATATATTTCTGGTTGGATTTTAAAATAAAATAAAACAAAACAAAATTCGCAAGATCCCAGGTAAATCACAACACTTATTCTAATCCACTGATTCAATTTATGAATTATCAGTAGACTTACTGGAAAGAGCTCTCTAGGCTTTGTAAGCCTGTTTAAATCAGGAGACAAGCACCAATTTGGAGATCATTGATGGTAAAATATTAAAGATTAAATATTAATTACCTAATGGTTATCGGGAGCTTATCAGAGAATCAAGCTTTATAATTGTCTTTGTCTCTAGTAGATACTCTAGAACTTCATTATATATTAGAAATAAGTAAAAGAAATTAATTAATTAATACATACACATCAATAGATATATTTAACTGTATTATTTTAATAGAAGAAGAAGAAAGCAAAACAAAATAATAATAAAATATATGTCAGATAAGGAGAAAACCTTGATTTATTTTGTGAATACCAACCCGGGAATTTTTTTTGGGTGTATATTCCAAAAGAGGAGGACAGAAAGCTTACCAGCCAATTATCAAAAAAAGTAAAGATGATTACTGTTATTCCATATATTGGTTGTGAGACTGCCGGGGAAGCTGAAATTTTCAGTAATCAAAGAGCAAAATGATGATTAAGAAGTAAACTGGCTCTCATGGCTTGTTATTTTACCTTTAAGGCATTTAAATGGCTACAACGCCAATTCATTTTTAACAATATCCATAATCACCAACTCTACCCTAAAAAGAGCTTCTCAACAAATACAAAAGTAAATAAATAAATCTACATTAAAAATTAATTTTTGGATAAATGCGAAAGGTATCCCAATATTCGGTATTTATATATATATGCGATTTTATTCATCTCCGCTTCAACAGAAGCGCTTAACTTTAAACCACGCGATGTGTGTAAACTCCGGCACAATTTATTAAAACCTTAAGAAAAAACATTAGATCAACGAGTGGAATGTAATGTTATAATATTATTCGGGTATATGTTTTGCTCAATAATCAATACAAAGAGAAGTTATAGTGTTAAAAATAATGATTTTGAATAAAACCTCTCAAAATACCTCACATTATCTTTGATTTTGGCAAAAAGATTTACTTTATGGTTTGGAGTGTAGATAATGAAAACATTTTATTCAGGAACTTCCTTTTATGATTTTATTAACACCATTTTACTGTAATAAAGCTGATACACTGCCCAGATATCTATATATCATCTAAGCATCAGTGCTTAACCTTGTCTCCACTAAGTCTTTTCCCATATAATCCCTAAACAGATCATTTAATTTCTTTCTTATCTCTTCCCTTAAGATAATTTTAATAAAGATGAACCTATAACAATTTTTATACAAACAAAATATACAAAGGATTAATAAGAATTACTAAACCTTCTCTCTACTCTTGAGGGTGGTTAGTATATCGAAGATTGGGACTATACTATAGCAGTATAACTCGTTGCAAAATAATATACATATTCAAGCTTTATCTGACATTTCTATTGATTTATTGTTAAATTTAGCTGAGCCAGTTTGCATTGTTCAAAAAGGAGATTGTTCAATAAATTCACAGAGATAAATTGGATCTTTTTGTGTTTCGTACAGCACGTTTCTTTACTGCGGATCCCATGATTTGGATATAGCTCAAGTTGATAAAGAAGGACAAGAGATCTTTTTTTTTGAAATAGCTAAACCTTCTTGTTGGTGTTCGTCATTTTTTGTCGTACACATGTGTTCTTTTTTCTTTCTTTCTTTCTGTTATTGACTTTGATAGGTTACAACCGACAAGATTGGTTCTTGTAAAGAGTGTGTAGCTGTCCAACCTTCTTTACTTCCCATTCTAGCTACCGTTGTGTGTGTGTGCGTGTATGTGTATATATGTGTTTCTTGACCTCAGATTCTCTACATACTTTAATTGAATATGAGCGCAAGTGCAATATTCCCATCCAAACAACTTGTATATTTTCTTTCTTTTATTAGCATCATGATACAAATCCAAAAAAAAATTCTAGTCCTACCTTTAACCAAGAAAAAAAGAAATCTTTATTACAAAAATTCTTTTACTATAATGAAATTAATAATATCTATAACAATGATAATAATGATGAGAAAATGGAATAAATGTGTATAATGACAATAATAGATTGTGTACGAGTGACTTTTTAAGGCAAACCAGTTGTAGATGTAGTACGATTCATTACATTCAGCAGTTTTGATTGAATAGCTGCAACCAGATGGGAAGCACCCATCTTTAGATAGTGGGCATTCACTGATGTAACAAAGTCTACAGTTTGGAAACAAAATGTCATTTAGCAATGGCCAACTTAATAACCGAATAAATATTTCAATTCAATGATAAAACCACAGAAAGATTATTATTATTATTATTATAATTAAATATATATATATATATATATATTAATAGACAAATCCCATTGATATCCGAGCGCCTTGGTCCGTGGATAATATAAAGATCGCTCTTTTTGATATTACTTTATATATATACATATTCTACAAAAAAGGGCACAATATTCAACGGGTCCTGTACTATTCTAGTAAAGAATTGTAAAAATAAAGGCGTGTGCGTATTAATGGCCTGAGGGTATTTTTCCGTTTTCTTTCTTTCTATCAGTGTCATCCTATAATTTTCAAATCAAAAAGAGTCTTAACCTCGCGGCAAACAAAGCAATATAGGTATTGTGCGTTTAATTCTATTTGAATTGGGTTTAAGTCTACTTTAGCTTGCCTCTTGTGAAAGTATACTTCATACTATATTATATTATCACATCATCTCTAATTGGATAATGCAATCATTTTGGCTGAGCAAAAAAAAAAAGATTTCCCACTTTAATACTAACAGTCACATAATAGTGTTCATAGAGTTTACAGAACGATGATTTGTTATCATCAATAAATAAAATAAAAATAAAAGAAACTATAACAAACTTTATCTTTGTCATTTTCTGTCAATTCTCAGGCTTTCAATGGGTGTCCTTGATCCATACTCACTTTCTTTTGATTAGCTTTTTTTTTATTAGAATAAATTGATCAGTAATCGCAATTATTGGTATAAAGTTAAATATCAATAATGAATAGTCGGTATTATGGACCGAGATCCCAGGCACACATAGAAAACAAAAAGAGATCCTCCTACCCACTCACAAGCCCACAAAGGAAAAACTGTATTGGTCTATGCTCATAATGGCGCGCATTTGAAGCCAATTAATATTCCTTAGTTTTCAAATGCATGGAAAATTGTGACTATAGCACGGTGTTTGTGTCCTTTTTAAAAGCATTGTACAAGGTCAACTTTTTTCATTTTTTTCTTTCTTTCTATATTACTTTTTTTTTCGCTTAAACCCCGGATATTTTTCTGGAAGAGTCTGTCGTTTACAAAAACGCCTACTAGTATCCTAATATTTCTTATGTATGAAAAGTTTTAAAACAGAATACATGATATACTGCAAAAATTTGTTATAGAGATATATGTATTCATGACACTCCAAATATTGGTTGATAAAACCAAAAAACCAAAAAAAAAGAGGACTTGGTTTGTGTTACTGTGAAATAATTTTGTACGATAATAGAATGTTAGTCTGTGTAGTAGGACTGGAAACTCAAACCTTTTTTTAGGAGTAGACTGCAGTGATAATTCTAGAAAGGGCTATTTTGGAGGAGAAAATGTATGTTGATAGAAATGATCGAAGAAATATAAAATAAAATACTTACACAAAAAGGTCCGTCTTACTCACGGGGTCAGTGGTACACTTTGCTTCTTTTGTGACTCGGCTGGAACGTGTTGTGAGGCAACCATTATTGTTACATAATTTACATTTTGTTTATATTTGTTAATTGTTTATCCTTTTCCTTGAAATAACCAAAATTAATTGCGCCAAAGAGTACATACTTACTTTTAGATGGTAAACTTACTTATCGATTAAAGATCTATATATCAGTTTCAAATTCTTATTCTAAATATATCTATAAAATACTGGATAATAAACATTTTGATATACAAAAGAATTATATATCTTCCCCAGTAGATTCTGTTAATAGTGCAGGTATAACATATTGTTCATTTCAGTGTATTTTTATGCTGTAATTTGGACACTAAAAGAACAGTGACACTTATTAAACACTAGTCTTTGTGCTTGAAATATTATTCGCAATTCGGCCTCGGATCATTATTCAGTCTGGGAAACCTGAAACAGTATAAGATTTTGGTCGGACAAAACTAGGCTTCAAATATCTATTCTTTTTTTTTTCAATATACACAAAATCAAGGGCTAGATCAATAGCCGTTTATCAACAAGTAATAATAATACTAATACGACTAATGGTACTGATGATAATAATGATAATTAACAATAATTAAATATATAGACCAAAAGTCTGGTAAGCTTTCACATAGTAGGTTTAGTACTGCTATAAAAAGGAACATCCTGTAATCGAGAGATTCCTAGAGATTATGCAGGACCAAAAAAGGACATGAAAAAGTATATCTTTTTTTTTAATCAATACAAAAATATTGGTCAGCATACAGTAATCCGAATTTTACTATTGCAAATATATGTATTTGTTTATTTATTCATGCAAAAAAATAGAGTTGGATAATTACTCGTAACCATATTTACCAATATCAAGACCCCATTTGATTGCATTTGAATAAAAAAAAAAAGGTACTTCTTCTATTTCTACTCATACTCATATTTGCCCTTACACTCACTCATTGTGTTCCCAGATTGGAGATGAGGTATATTGTGACCGCTATATTACAAACCCTGTTATTGTCACAATTGTTCTTACTTACTTCTTAAGACAAATCTATAACATTGGTTCCTGGGATTGAACAAGAAGTGGTGAGACAAATGAACAAAACTAAAAAATTAAAATAAAAAAATTAAAAAAAAAAGTTTAAATTGCGATGCATGAGAATTCAATACGAAGTCGTTAAAGCTCTCTTATTTTTGAATTCTTATATGAAAGAAAAGGAAGATAGGAAATAAAGAAGTTGACAAAAGAAGTATTACTGCTTGATATAATTAAATATAAATCTGACATTTTGAAGAGTAATCTAATCGCATTTTCACAGATACCAAAATAAGAAATATTCGATTAGAACAAATTATCTCTAAAGATAGTAATACTGCATTGTGTAATATATACACTAAAGATTATGATTTATTCATTTATTTATTATTGTTTAATTTCTTATTGCAAGTGTGTGCACACCTATTTGTTTTTTTTTATTGATTCAGGAAAACATATATATTTTGCTGTTTTGGTTTTGTAGCCAAGAAGGAAAATGAAAGAAAGGTTCAAATGAAAGAAGAATGATATATTGATAGAGAGAATAGTAATGGGTTTTTGTTGGTTTTAACATGAATAAAAAGGCTTAGGGGTTACAAAATGAATGAAGACTTAGATAATAAGAAATAGCTTGAAGGAAAGAAAATAATAAACAACCTGTGGAATATGCCGGGCCGGCCGACCGGAGTCAAGGAATAAAGGGGAGAGGTATTGTGACAATGAACTATTTCGGGAGTGAATGCTTCGAATAGAAAAGCTACATAGATTGGTAAAGAGAGTAGAATATAAAGTACGAAGGTAGAAAAATAATAGGCGACATACGCGATAAATAAAGTTAAGAGGAGTATGAAGAGGATGATGAAGAGTCCGACGGCTTCATGCCAATATTAGTGAACCAGTAAATATGAGAGTCATTTCGAACGCATTGAGCGCAAACCATTTCAACTCTGTGGACATAATCTTCTTCTGTCAATCCCATTCTAGGGGCCAAAAATGCACGCGAGAGTTCAAACCCACGTAGAATGACACCGGTAAATTCTGTGCCTAATTTCCCCGGGCTAGAAGCTATGGACAAATTTACACAATGAAAAATCCCTGTAAGTATTGAATACAAGAAAATTCCTGCTTTTAATTACCCAGATAGATCTTTTTCTTTATCTTTTGTACCAATTGGAACCCTTCATTCTGAAGAAGGAGAGGCTGAGTCAAGGCTATGTCGTAGTTCATGCCAGAACTGCGGATAATATTCCGCACTTGAAAAAAAAGGAAGGATAAGAAACTGACTGAGAGAGAATAGAGTCATTTCTGTGCTACTTACCCGTGTCAATAAACGACTCAATCAACGCTGTACCGGTTGGCTGTGTAAAGTAAAGAGGGGGTGGAACATTTAATAAGGATCATAACATGGACTTATTTTACTTGTTGCTGCAAAACACGCTTTTAACTTACCGTAACAAGCATCTCTTCGATATGTACAACCCCACTAGGTTTGAGAATACGGTACGCCTCGCGCAGAACGTTACTCCAATTTTCTTGAGTGTAACTCAAACCAAGAGCTCGCATATGGACAACATCCACGCTATTGTCTTCAAATGGCATCGGACCCCTTTGGGTGTAGATCTCAAATTGTACGTTGGGAAGTAGCGTATTTGTGGGCACGTTGTCCGTAGATTCTGCAGTACCAACAAACTCGCACTCAGGATACTGAGTGGCAAGATCCTAATGTACCCAAAGAAAATTAATAAATATATCACAAATCTTTTTTTTTCTGTTTATCTTTAATCTATATATGCTCTTACACACACACACACACACACAAGCGTACCATATTTAAATAAAACAATGACTTACCATAATCCAAAAACCGTTGCCACATTCAATATCTAGAATGCGTGCTCCCTTGACAAACTTCTGTCGTACAGCGGATGTCACAGTACTGTCGAATGAAAAATGTCCAATTCAGTGGAATGAAAATGTGGCCCCCACTCTTTCTTTTCCTTTTAAAAATATATATAGCCCAAATAATAACAATATAATATGTGGATCCTGTCACTTACTCGCCATACAATGCCTTCAGGGCGAAATGAAGCTAAAATAAGATATATTATAAAAGAGGAGATCAGCATCGAGGAAAATAAGGTCTGACATGATCAGTGTCCTATTGTTCCTATTGTGTCAAAATTGATAATTATTATTATTTTTCAAAAAGAAAAAAGAAATAACCTACAGCTTGGTGGCGATCATTAACTTCCCAATCCTTTGGAAGAAAATAACTGTTGGATTGGAAGGCTGCGAATACATTTTGTGCTTTTGGTGGTTCTGGTGTAGAGGTCTGGGTGCTCGATTGTCTGGAAGGTGTGCGTTGACTGAGCGATATGCCTGATACTGGATCTGGCTTTGCCAAAGAATTCTTATCATGCATGTTAGATCGAACGCATTTTGTACGTGTAATCGAACTGGAAAGAGAGGTACTGTGCTTCATACTAACAAAGGATTGTAAGGTGGATGAGGAGGTGGAGCGAGTATCTCCAGTACTGTAATTATTTCCATTGTGATTTCCAGTGTGACTGGAGGAGCTCTTGGGCTCTCTCCACTTGCGTTTTGACTGAACGACACCCATAATATTGCTGATACTCGGTACGAAATGCGGGTTTAGAGAATGCTAATAAAGATCTTTACTGATTCGATTGACTGTTTTTCTTTACAGACTATTAGTTGGAAAAGAGAGGGAAGAGAATGATAATAAATATTATATATTAATATATATATATATATATATCAATATATATATATAAGATAAAACGTGGCTTAAATATATAGAAAGAGAGAAGAGAGAGAGAGAGAGAAAGAGGAAAAATAATTATTGACCAAGTTATAATATTTGGCATTAAGGCACCCATGTCTCGGAAAGTTGGTGCTCAGAAATACAATTTTTTTTATACATGTATATAATAAATATATATATATATTTGTGTGTGTACATAGAATAATAAATATAATTGTAATTGTAATTGTAATTATAATTATAATTATATATTTATATATATATATATCTCTTTGTGTATGTGTGTGTGTGTGTGTGTATGCAAGTACGTTTGTATTTATAATAAGGGGTTTAGCCCGCTTATGTTCCACCAAACCATAGCTCCCCTATCAACTCACTTGTGTTGCCCTTTCACTGGCAGGCCGTCGCGTGGCAACAGGGACAATATCCCCGCCCGAAATCAAATGTATGTGCCCATACCCTAAAAAGGTACACACCTATGCATTCTATCTACTTGCCTTTGCAATAATTATTGTCCGTAATTGTACCCTTTTAAATAGAAATATATATTATTATTATTATTATTATTATTATTATTATTATTATTATGAATATATGCTTTCTTTTAGTAATCATCGTTTTGAAGAGTCATTTTATTCAAGAAATTGGATCATATTCAATATTAAGACAAAAAGTTACAAGCTGGTGGTGATTCCTCACACAAAACACTGCTATAACTTGGTAAAAAGAACAAGTCTTGGGTGATGTGGATGTCATTATTACTTGTCCATTGGCTATACCCTGCCTGATCCATTGCTCCGATCAAAAGAGGAAAGCTTAGTGTCATCTTTCTTTCATGCGCTCTTTCACCAAAATGGACAACAAGGCGCAATCGGTGTTCTATTTGAAGAGCAGTGGTAGAAACATCCTGTGAAAGAAGTGGACTATCTAGTGGGACAAAGAGAGCTAACAGAACAAAGATATCAAAATTTGTATTAGTCTTGCATAAGAGTGTTATACTTACATATACTACTCAAATCATCAGATACATTGACCTGATAATGTGTCTCTAAAAAGGTTTTAAACTTTTATAAATACAAAATGTTATTTTATACAGCGACGTGGCTCACCACAGTATCTGTGTAAATGGGTTGTCATATCCTTGGCACTCAATTGTTGCCCACTCTGAACCTTGCCTCCACGAACCCTAAAAGTAAAAGTAATAATAAGAAACCAGACTATATATGGCTTATAAATTTCTTACGGGTAGGTTTCTGACTGTTCCATGCAACAAACAATCTCATCAATTGTTACATCTTGACGGAGGGGGTAAAATTCACACAAAAATTCATATCTTGTCCTCCCGATCCATGTATTGTTTGGAAGACATGTCTCATAACGAATGGTCCCCTGTCTGACTCCACGGTACCGCCGTGCTTCTGGTGAAACCCCATTAATACTAGTGCTGTATTGATTGACCTGGAGAGGGATGCGAGTGCTTAATAATGAATGTCTGGCTTGATGTGGTGTGAGAGTATAAGTTGGGGAAGGATAATCAGGCAGGCTGTCATCTTGGTCGGGCAAAGGCGGTGGGTTAGACAACCGCCGATAGGCGATCAAAGCATGTTTACGGGCGTTTTGGTAGATAGACCAATATCCCACCTTCAAATGATCTCCAAGTGATCCGAGAGTTACATGAGCCGTTATCTGATAGTGAATATTGTGGCGAGGCAAGAGGATACTTGGGGGTAGTATATGTGGGTCTTCGAGGGTTAAAATAAACGGCCAACGATAGATGTTTGGAGTATACAAGACCGGGATTTCATGGCGGAGAACGACTTGCTTGGTTTTCAAGACAATTTGCCGGGATTCTGCATAGCCTATCGCCACTAGGCTGGATTTCTGGAAAGGGTGTTTCTTAAAGTGGGAAGACTCTAGCGCTCCAACATCTTCCTTGAACATCGTGTCGGGGAAGTCTGTCGAAACAATGGTCTGTAGAACTCCTTTGATACCAACAGTTATTTCCCGAATGTTCACTGGTCGATCGAGCGTGAGTTCAACCGTTCCTTTAAAATGAAAAGCTGAATATTGGCCCCACAGATCGATTGAATTATTATCCAGGAAAAGATCTAGTAAGACAGTCGACATGGTGCAATAAAGTCTTTGTTTAGTTATCTTTGAGGTTTAAATGAATAGAGAGATGTGATTTATCTCTCATGGATTCATAAAGAGTCGAAACTATTTTTAACATGTGATTTATGCGACAAGATAGCTTTAGATTTTGGAATTCTACAATGGTCTTGTTGGACTTGTCTATCTAACCAAGATTTCTTAGACTTCTTTGCAGCTGACATGAAGACTCTTGGATTTCCAAGTAGGTCAAAAAAAAATTCAAGCAAGACTGTCTTGTGATATCTATGGATATTCCAAAGAAAAGGCTCCTTTATATATTACTACATGTGATTTGTGAGCATAAAACGCAGTCGAATATGGCGCTGAATGGTATCAAAGTCACTTGCACCCAGCACACCGAATACAATTGAAAGACCGGCGTTATTGTTGTACGTGAAATTTTTTGATATTCAATCTTGGACCCTTTTTACACAGCCCAAAGAAAATATATATTTATATTTATAAAAAGAAACTGTAATACCAGAAGAAGACCGACTCTTTCCGAACGGGGCAAAGTAAATAAACGACAAATCTACTTACTCTATTCAAGGCAGTCGTCTTATAGAACGGTGGTTAGTGGGCCATGTCGCATTCCAACGAGATCATTGACCAGTCCAGCTCTCATGACACTGAGAAGGTCATTGAGGATTCACCAGATGAACGTTATGCTCGTCTAAATACTCTACTTGGAAAGGGTGCCTACAAAATCGTCTACAAAGCAATCGATAGAGTAGAGGGTTACGAAGTTGCTTGGAACACAATGACTGTAAGATCGAAATGTCAAAATGACCAAAAAAAAAAGATTAGCAAAATTCTCTACCTATTTATCTAATTAATGGTTACACATGTACAGTCTTCCCACTCGCCCGACAGTAAGGAAATGCAGCAGGAAATTTCGATATTAAAGTCCGTGCGCCACCCAAACATCATTGCGTTCCACGACGCTTGGCATATGAAGAACGAGTTTGTCTTTGTAACGGAGCTCATGACATCTGGAACACTACGGGAGTACATCCGTAAACTAAGTTTACCAAACATAAAGATCGTCAAGCGTTGGTCTCGTCAAATCCTCAAAGGCCTGGCGTATTTGCACGACTATTCGCCCTCAATTATTCATCGGGATATAAAGTGTGATAACATCTTTATTAATGGAGCCCACGGAGAAGTCAAGATTGGAGACATGGGGACAGCAGAAATGAAGATGGGCAAAAAGTATACCATAATTGGAACCCCAGAGTTTATGGCCCCAGAGATGTACGAAGAAGAAGGCTACAGCGAAAAGGTAGATATATATGCGTTTGGAATGTGTCTTCTTGAGATGGCCACAGGTGAATATCCTTATGGAGAATGCAAAAACGCTGCCCAAATATATAAAAAAGTATCTTCTGTAAGTCAATAATAATAGCAATTGTAGTATTATTTTATGTTTATGGTTTATATTCGGCATATCTTATCTCTGTATTGTACAGGGAGTAAAACCCGTCTGTCTCCAAAAGGTACAAAACAACGAGGTGCTGGCTCTTATCGCCAATTGTTTGGGCCCGGAAGAAGACAGGTAGAAAATCTAACCAATAGAGGCGTACAAGTTGAACAAATCCTAACCAGCACAAAAAACGTAATTTTAGAATGACAGCTCAGGAGATATTAGAACACTCGTTTTTAGCTGTCGAACCAGATGTAGTATTACTCGCTGCTGATCCTACCAACGTACACCTAACCCTTCAAGTGGTATTCAAGGGAATGGACAAACTATCTGTCAAGTTTGATTTCAATGTGGTTTGTATTTTACCGTCAAATTAATGAATGTGTGTATTGACTTGCTTTATAATAGGAAACCGACACTGCCGAGCAGGTTGTTAAAGAAATGGTAATTATTTTATACTTTTATTTATTTATTTATTATAACTATTTCTTAAAAAATGCCTGCGTAGATTGAAGAACAAGTGCTCCCTGATCGTTATCAACATCATATCACCAAAGAAATCAACAGAATCCTCAGAGACATTGAAAAACCAAGTGAGTCTGAACAAGCTGAACAGGTTCGTCAATCTGTTTGGCGTAGAGAGAGTGATATCCGATCCGAGTTGGACAAAATACGCCTTGAGCTTGAAGCAACGACCAAGCATGCTCGTGAACTTGAGACAAAATGTGAAATGTATGAAAACAGAGCGCGTTCTGTCGAAGTCCAGTACAGAGAGGCTCTCAAACAATTGAGAGAAGTTCAAGAGCAGCACACAAACACAACAACTCGTAGTCGTGAATCCTCCTTGTCGACCCCAGCCCCATCGAGATCATCCAGTGTATCATCACGTATTGGCAGTGACTTGAAAGTTGACGTCTTCCCCGAGTCAGATAAAGAAGAAAAGCTTAAAGATGACAAGACAAATGACAAGAAAGATGAAGATCCAGTAAAAGATGACGAAAAAACAACAAATGGAAAGAATCCCCCTACTTACTTATCAGAGAAAGAATTAGCTATTCGATTAGACAGGGAGCATCCAGAAGCTGCAATGTCATCTATCTCACCTACTGCGCGCGATGCACTTATGTCACGTATCTTAGAAGAATACTCGGATGATACAGATATCAGTGACTTTGTTCAGGACTGTGCCACAGCGGCTCATCGTAGTGCAGAAAAAGCAAAAGAGTGGGCGGATAAACTCAAAGACCAAGACATAATGACAGTTGGAGATTTGCGAGATTTGCATGATGAGGACTGGACTGGGATTGGCTTGACAGTGTTTGCATTTAGGGCCTTGAAGAACATGCTTAAAGGGAAACGCTTGGCTGGGCAAGCTTTGGTCACAACCACGAGTACAAACGATAACACACCTTCTTCTTCGGCGCCTAACTCGGCCCGCCTCTCACCAACCACATAACAATCCCCTGCCGATCTCACTATCCCTCACTATCCCTCGCTATCTCTCATTACCTCTCTTTCTTTTACATTCTCTTTTAAGGATATCTAGTGCTTTAAATACGGTACCAAATTTCTGAGAAATTATTTCTCTCCTACCATTCTTTCTATTAATTGTAGTATTTCTCTTTCTTTATCAATTCCTGCTCTAGTCTAATTGTTTTTATTTATTGTTCTGCTTTCAATTGTACATACAAAGTTGCCTCATAAGAACATATAATATATAGTGCGGTAAAAACGAAAAACAGAGTATCAAGCGATACAAATTTAGTTTAGGATGGTTTTTGTTTTTATTTTTGATTGATATTTAGCCTCTGAAGTTTTTAATCGCTCTTCTATCCTTCGAAGCTCTTCAACTGTTTCTTCGTCACTGTCAAACGACATCTGTACACGTTCAAGTACATCACGCACGAGCCCTCCAGCTGCTGTGACCCAATACGGCACACTCTCACTTATGTGAACTTTAGAAAGACAATAAACTAACCGATCTGCTGCTGTGGTTGACAAGTCCAGAAATGTCGTTCGAGTGTGAGTTTGTTCGTTGGCCATCAATACGCCCAGACTTGGACTGGTAAACTCGGTACAAAATGGGCGGAACAACAAGATCTTAACCATGTTATGAATCATATGCATATGAGCCTTGAAACCAGCCAAGGCCGGAGCTACTTCGTTGGTCCATTTAGCCCACGCTGGTAAGCTGTGCTCCCACCGTTCGATATCTTGTACTAGTGTCAGCAAGATATCTACATCTAGCTTCTTGACGCGGATATCTTTACTATCATTGTGGTAAAACAAAGATATGACCTGGCAAAAAAAAGACATAAGTTGAGACTCGAGTAGAACACTCTCATGCTCGTTTGACAACGGATGAATAGGAGTCGAGAACAACTTTTTCAATATAATCGCTGAGGCGTCTCCGCCCAGATAAGGTCCCTGCTGTAGAAATATAGCGGAATAGATATCAAGATATACTAATGAACTTGCAAGGGATAGCCATTTTTTAGAGGAAACATCCCACTCACAACCAGAGAGGACCCGAAGAGAAATGTGGATTAATGAACCGCCAGTTTTGGTGGGTGTCGTTCTTCCGGTAATATCAGTCTCAATCCATGCGAGGAGAGTTGCAGAGACCAGTAGTGGATAAGTGAAATTGTTGTCCCAGTTTTGGAGAAAGAGAGTTAAAATTAAATCAGTAGCTGCTATTACACAGCTATTGTATAGTAATGGTACGCTTTTTGGTGTCTTCTTTTGAATGCCGAATGTACACAGAGCAGCGTAGGCTGTGCATATGACAACATATAGAATCGGATTATGATATATAGAGTCGATAACAGTAGTATGTTCTGAAGAAGGCTTTATGAATTTTCGAAGTTGCCGTAGGAGAATTGCCACTTGCGGGCAAGCTATTGTGTCAAAGTCTGAATTATCATGGAGGATTTCTAAAGATGTGAGTATTTCTGACATATTTGCTTTGATAAGGCTTTCCGCTGCATTTAGCTTAACCACTTTTGGTTTTGAATTTGACTTGATAAGTATGTTCTTTTCTGTGCATGCCATTAATGCTGTTATTGGAAATATTGGAGTTGTCACCAGATAGCTGTCTTCATCCAGCTCTTCATCCAGTTCCTCTTCGTAAGCCTCGATATCGTCAAGGTCCCAATCTTCTGGCAAGCACTCTGATCCAAAATCTCTCGAGAGTTGTCGGGAGACTTCCTGGACGAACATATGGAGATCTGATATAGTTTTAGTGGATGTCTGAAGGGTAAGTCCAGTAAAGGTGAGTGACATGGACCATCCAATTGGCTCTTCAACAGCAGCCACTGAGCCCGAGTCTGGTGGTTCGTTGTACTCTGAGTGTTTTTGACGCTGACGTTTGGATGGTCGAATAAGATGGGAGGAGAGATTTGATACATTCTCTGAACTCTCATCAACATCTGAGCTCTGATTAGTGTTCCAATCTTCTTGATTCTCTGTGGGGTATTCTTCCATCGTCTTCATATATCGTACTAGATACTCTCCCTCTAGTTGGCGAAGGGTGTCATAGAGAGAAAGTACTTTCTCGGACAGATTTGTCAAGGTGGGTGGTGCATCAGGGTAATCGCACTAAATCGGTTGGGGAAGATCATATTAATTGATGGGTATGATCATGAGATCTCATTTCTTTCTTTTTTTCCCCCTTTCTTTAAATATATAATATAATACAATATAATACAATATAATACAAAAGATAAAATAAATAAATAAATAAATGACGGAACAAGCGATCCTTACGGATTGATTCGAGCGGACGCATCGTACACAAGCTGGCCTAGTCTTTGAGCATCTAATTACCGAGATGACCAAAGAATGATATATATTTATACACACACATATAAAGAAGAACAATAATAATAAATGAAAGGATGTGAATGAGAGGTGATCGAAACTGCCATCATTTCATTCTAAGCTCACTTTGCTTTCTTTTTCCGGCATCGAAGACAACTTAGATCCTTGTTAGGTACTGGAGATGAATCCTTGTCAGGGACTAACGTCTCTATTCTTGACATTGACCAATATTGATAATCTTTTTCTTTTATAAATATATATTTATTTGATATAAATGTATATTTCTCCGCACGGATAATATTATATTATATATATGTGTGTGTATATATAGATAATAAGAGAAGCTTTTCCCTGCGTCAGTGAAGCTTTTATATGTATAAAAAGGGGTTTTAAGAAATACTTCTTTTCTTTCTCTTTCTCTCTTTACCTATCAAAAAATAGTCTTTTGTGACGTTGTCATTGATTTATCTATGCTTCCAATTTAGGATTGTCTTTTACATTTAGACATAGCGTTAAGAACAAAAGGTATATATATATATCTAGATAACAGCAAATATATATATATGTACAGTCCATGCAACATATACGCCAAGAACACGGATTATCTTCTTTAGTTCTCTCATTTTTTTTTCTACAGAGACAAATAAAGGAACTGAAATTTTGAATGGGATAAATAATTAACACAATAATAGAGTGATTTTTACGGCCATTGGATCGGTAAATACCTAAATGTTTATAGTTTACATAGCGTTGAACATATGGAATACTAGTATTAATCTGCAGCTATTGAATGACAAATGTTTTCAGAAAAAATCAATGTAATGACCATCTGTACCTCTGCAATTTATATTATATGAGTACATGGTTTTAACTTGACAAATGAAAAAAACAAAATACATTAAACGAAGTTGGACAAAACGATAATACATATACTTAATATATAGCCTTAAATTAACATCGTGAAGATATATTATTGGTATCATAATAAAGTAGGATACAATGTGAGGAATGATAAGATGCGTTTAAATCGGCCTTAGGGAGTAAGACTACACGCAATAATAATACCAATGTATAATATATAAATTAATTCCTGCGTTGTACACTTCATGGACCGTAAACCAACCGGATCCCTAACCTCTTTTGATTGCTCTTTATTTTCTTTATTTTTGTTAAAACTAATTCTAAAGTAAGACTTTCATTATAATATTATATAAATCCAACCTACAGATAGTTAACACAGTTTAGTATTTTATAATACTCTTTCAATTGTAAAAACAGCTTATTTTTTAAAGCAAAAAAAAAAAGAAGAAGAAGAAGAAGAGAAAGTTGGAAAAGAGCAAGCAAACTCTGTCTTCTCTTCATTTTATTGCCCATACTTTATTTAATAATAATTACAAGTCATTACACTCATACATATTTATTCTAATAACTATATATTGATATCTCATTTGGCTTTCATATACTATTCCGTAGAATGTCACTCAAAGGCGGCCCTTCTATCATGAGCGAGTCAAATTCCTTTTCAAGCCTAGCATCTCAAGATACTCTGACAGAAGGGTCACCAGCCCAGGCATGCCCTCCAAATAATTGCCCCCAGCAAGGCCCTTCTTTGAGCGGATGGGAAAGCCAGCTGTCTGATATACTAGAACCGATAGAGTCTACTTCCACACATTTGCACTCAAACTACAGCGCACCAACAGAACATAATTCGTCTATCGAACCTCCATCTACCTCTTACTTTGCCAGTCTCAAAGGAAGTTTGACACGCAAGTTTTCGGCAAAATCACCGGCGCAGTGGAGAGACTCTCAGAAAATACCAGCAAGAGATAGTAGCATCGGCACAATGACAAGTTTGCGTAGAAATTATAATAACCCACTAGAACGAAAACAGAGAATACGTGGTAATACTCATCAGCGTCGGCATCATCAAAATCCGGGTATTATTGAACAATTGCCCAAAGAAGAGCCAGAGGACTGTGTTGTCATCAAACTTGCAGACGATTCGCCAACGTACGCCCAAGATCAGCCCATTGAGGTCACAATGTACGAGAAGAAGAAGCAAGTTATCATACTTCTCGGACAATCACTTTTAAAAACAGGCTGTCCCAGCCATCGCGTGGTAAGATTCAGCAGAGAGCCGTGGTCCCCAAAAAATATAAGAATATTATTTCAATACAAACACTGATATTTTTCGATGTATTTTTTATCCATTTACAGGAAGATGTACTCTTAAACACAGCCAGATTAATGGAAATCGATGCAACGTTTTCATTTTTACCTGACTCCATAATATTCACCTTCAAACATTCCACAAATGGGACTACTGAATCGGTTATGGCTAAATCTCCCACAGGGTTTGACACCAACAAGATCTTCCAAATTAACGCTATCATGAATAATTTTCAAAACAATCGATGTGAGATCGAAGAGTGTCTTTCTGCACTACAAGTGGTTGCAGCCGCTCCATCAACATGGGGTGTGATCGGTACTCTATTTTGTTTTGGTGCGAGTAGTTTTACTGCATCCGTAGTGATGTTTGGTGGATCGTGGATTGATGCATCTCTAAGTTGTGGGCTGGGATGTTTGGTGGCCTTGCTGTCAGTTATTGCTGGTTATTTTCCTGCATATAGTCGTGTATTTGATATATCAGCCTCTATATTGGTTGCTATTATTACTCGAGCTATGCACAATTACGTCTGTTTTACAAGTGTTGCTGTGTCTTCTATTTTGATTCTACTTCCCGGTTATGCTATGACCATGTCTATTGTAAGTTCATAACAATCGACTTTCACACTCAATATCCCCCAAACTGTCCTATATAAGTCTACAGACTCTGATTCTTTTTTATTTATTATTATTTTAAACAATGAAAAGCTCGAGGTATCTGCGCGCCATATTACAACAGGCACCACTAGACTTGTGTATGCGGTTGTATATGCTTTTATGCTTGCCTATGGTCTACAAATCGGCAGTAGTGTCTACACTGCCATCGACCCAAATGCATCAGACGAAGGAATTTGTATTAATCCGATATCTCATTGGTTTTACATTCCATTATTCCCTATTATGAGTGTCTCTATTGCAATGTCCTTTGGATCATCTTATCGTCAGTGGCCAACCCAAACATTCTGTGCGGCCCTTGGATTTTGTATTTCTTATTTTGTCGGAAAAGTTGTACCCGATGGCCAGATTGTTGGAAGTCTAGCTGCATTCTGTGTTGGATTATATTCCAATCTTGCGTTAAAAATAACTGGGGATGCTCCACTTGTACCTCTATGTGTCGGTGTTACACTACTTGTTCCAGGAAGTATTGGTAAGCCAGGACATCCTTTTCAAACCAACTGTACATATACCTCTACTATGCCATCTATTAACACAAACATTTAGGCGTAAAAGGAGCCTATGCACTTTTGCATCAGAATGACATTACAAAAAGTCTTTTTCCACTACATATGATGACAATTGCACTGGGATTATCAGTGGGTCTATTTGCAGCTGCTATGATCGTCTATCCAACTGGAAAAAACAGATCAATGTATATTTCTCTGTAATTAACAAAAAAAAACAACGAATAAAACAGCTATATAAATCGTACTTCCTCGAAGAAATTAATTGTGAGTGTATTTATTTATACATTAGAATATAGAATATAGTGAAACAAGTATATCTATGTATCTATGTATGTGTATATGTGTGTACATAAAGTACATCTATGTTCTGAGAGCTCCATCTAATCGAATGATAGAGCCATTGAGCATTGGAGTATCAATGATGTTCAGCACAAGCTTGCTAAATTCGCTACTTTCACCGTTTCTACGAGGGAACAAACAATGTGGGGCCACAATATCGGTTGTCTTGAGGATTGGCGTGTCTTTAATAGGAAACTAAGGCGTTAAAACAAGTATGCCACACGCTTAAAGAGAAACATTACTCACTGAAAGGTCCAGGTGCAATGTTCATGACTCGAATGCCATGATCAGCAAGCTCTCTTGCCAATGGAAGTGTCAGTCCGGCAATGGCAGCTGGTAACCGAAAATTAGCATCTACCCATTTGAAGAATATTTTTAAGTGAAATAAACACACCTTTAGATGTTCCATAGGCGACAATGATTCCATCCAAACCACAGATAGATGACACAGTTATAATAACACCGCGCTCCTCTAAAGAATTGGGCATAAAAGTCAGTTAAATTAATTCTTCGATTATCCGGTTACTTACTGTCAGCACCCATTTCCTCGTTGTTCAGCATGCGCTGTGAGACTTGTTGAGCAACATTATAAGTTCCAAAAAGGTTGACTGTAACTATATGCTTGAATTGAGAATAGCTTGTCAACTTTCCATCAGGCCCATAGCCTTCTTGATCCTTTTTGGGAGAGAGGATTCCGCCGCACAATATTGCTCCAACTAGCGCACTGCCAGGGAAATTCGCAATTCCACCGTCCAGGGCTTCGTTGACAAGAGACTAATTTATGAAAATATGAGATTTTATGTCTATATCTTATATATTTTGCTAGTCGCAAACCTACTTCAGATGTTGTATCCGTGATACCATGGGAATACACTTGACTACCGAGCTCCTTAATCAAAAGTTCTGCACGAGCATGGTTGATATCCATAATCTATGAGTGTGGCGATTGCTGATAAGTATACATGCTCCTGTTCTACTCTAATAATGTCTAGAATACTTACAATGACATTGGCACCCTGAGCAACAAGGTCACGGACAGCCTGTTCACCGAGACCACTTGCACTGTTTTAAAATATAAAAAATAAAATATTAATAAGAGGTCAACTGTTATTAGCGAGCTCTAAAGAAAGCATGTTATTTATTCTTACCCTCCAGTAACAACAAAAGTATTTCCTTTGATCTGCATAATTCGTAACTTGAGAGAAAGTGAATCTTTAAAGTGTCTGAATACTTCGACTTTTAACTTGATTGCATCTTTTGTTCTCCTAAATGGTAAATGATATGGTTCTACAAGAATTGAGCTCAAATAGTGTGGCACAGGATTTTCGTTGTTCAGTCATATATCTATATTGAGTAGACACAGGTTAAAAAAAATGCTTTTAATATCTAATTAGGCTTAAGAAAGTGAATTTTCAGGGCATGGTATATATATCAAGAACGAATCTCAATAATAATAATAATAATAATAATAATAATAATCGATAGTATGGACAATAACCTCAATAAAGGGCAAATCACAAATATTCTAAAAAGTCTGTATAGACTAGATAGACAATATTATTAGGCATGTCCCACCCTGTATTAGAACTTTTGCTCATCCAAGTTAAGATATAGGTTTTGTTTTGTTTTGTTTGAATATGTTCTACTTCGACCTACGTTTTGAAAGTTTAATTGATATAAATATATGTATATCGCATTATAAAACATGATCTTGTATCGCAAAAATAAATACATAAAGTTCAAAGCCCAAACCATTTGGGAAAATTCAATATTGGTGTTGTGCTTACATTTTATTTTAAAAAAAGTGTTGTAAAAAAGATCTCACGGAATACAACGGAGACTTCATATGCCTTAAATTCTCGCTGTGTACATCCTCTAATTGTGCGTACAACATTGATCTTGATTATACCCCTTAGCCAATGCTCATTTTGTCTTACACACTATTTTTGTTTCACATATATTATAAATCAATGGTTCTCACAACATTTGCCTATACTTGTTAAATATATATAAATTGACTTTTGATAGAAAATTAAGCATTAAAATCTACAGATGTCAGATACTTTATTATTATTATTATTATTATTATCATTATTTTAATAAACAGTTTATGATAGTCTCAGTAAACATTCTTTAAGACAAAAGACACCATAAAAGTATATAGATATATAATGTGCTGTGTAATGTGAGAGTGAGAGTGAGGGTGAAAGTAAAAAAACTAAGAAAAGCTTGGTTGTCTACAAAGTGCTATGTAAATCGAGAATAAAATGAAGATAAAAATAAAAATAAAAATAAAGTATAAAGTCGGCTACCAAGGTAATGTAACAAATAATACGTATGTTTGACTTCGGTAATCAGACACCATATTATCAGGCTGTGTAATATTTGCAGTAACGTTGATCTTGATGATGTTTACACCTTTTGATAAAGTACTGTTCCAGCATGGTGGATCATTATCTTCTAAAAACCCTCCTTCAGATAAATTAAGCTTGGTGTTATTTTGGATTACTGTGATAGTCACTCGAGTTGGCTCTGTTAGTAAATCCTGAAGAAGTTTGGGCATAATCTTGATGTTTTGTACTTTTGAAGGAAGTGTGATGCTATGTCCAACATAATCTCCTCTAACCGATACACGAAAATCTCTTTCTGTAGAAATAATCATAGTTTGGCTCAATAAACGGACTACAATTAAAAAATAATATAAGTAAAATCACTGTGCTAAATGCACAATTAGAAAACTTACCTTTGTTCATATCCGTATTGAACACCTGGAAGAACCTTGGATTAGCGGATGGTATATGGGGTACCTGCATATCTCCGTGTTGGATACGGAAATTTGATTCCATTGATGCCCCAATACGCATAAAATTTTCTTGATTTACAGATTCAATTGGGATACGAGGTAGATTCTGCATCCCAAATGCCGAAATATTATTTGGATTAGGATAAACCATCTGTTGTGCAAGAGGAGGTTGTTGTTGCTGCAGTTGTTGTTGTTGCTGTTGCTGCTGCTGTTGCTGTTGTTGTTGATGATGATGTTGTTGTTGATGATGATGTTGTTGTTGTTGTTGTTGGTGGTGGAGCTGCTGCTGATGCTGGAGCTGCTGTTGATGCTGGAGTTGCTGGAGATGGTGCTGGTGCTGGTGCTGGTGCTGGTGGCGTTGATGTTGTTGTTGATGCTGTTGATGTTGATGGTGTTGCTGCTGCATATGAGCTGGATTTGGTACATGTGACATGTCAATAGACGGAAGGTTTGGTCCCACGCTTATGCTTGTTAATGGACGCTGAACAATATGAGACCCAGTAGGCATCAAATCGGCTGGTTCAGTACTGCCTTCTACGCTAGCCCTGACCTTGAGAGAAGCACGTTTAATTCGTCTTCTCTCGTCAACTGATCCACTAGTGTCGAATGGTCGATCGCTTAAAGGCATTGTCATCACATCTTGTTCTTGGCTCACGGGTACCCCCTCCCTTGCCAATATTCTATCCTTCAAGCGGTTTAGCAATCGCTAAAGAAATATTATAATAGCTCAGTTTTAGTTTTGTAATTTTTTTTCAGGTATTCAACATAATTAATAAGTAAGACCGTTAATAATTACCAATAGTAGTTTTGCATCTCTATAGACACGAGATCCAGGTTCATTGTAGTCCAATGCATTCTGAAATACAAGCTCCATATCTTGCATCCATTCCGAGAGGTTGGAATAAACTCTTCTGTGCATTCTTTCCTGTTTTCATGAATTAGAAGGTGTTTTTACTCTCTATCAACTTATATCCATCTAAGAGATTTAAAATATATTTACATCGATCATTGCAAGTGATCTAGGATCCTTGATAACTCTGTAATAGTCAGGGTACTCTTTACGTTCTGGTAATGTTTCAAAAATTTCTGAATACAGTCGACCACTATAGACATATTTTAATGGGCCAAACTTTCCTTGTTTCGTTTATAAACTTACTTGTTGTCTGTATGCGTTCTGATAGAGTTAAAAAGATCCTTCATATAAGCAATAGGATCAAAATCATCCAAATCAATCTCCTCTATTGGTCTAAGAGCCAATAAGTTATCAGTTTCACTCTTGGGAGGTCGACCACGTCTTTTTTTAGGAGGGTTCTCCATATTTCCTTCGTGGCTTTGGTAAGATGACCCAGGATCAGACGATATACTGTGATGTTCTGAAACAGCCGTTTTTACTACTGGTGCAGGTTGTTTCAGTACTAGTATGGGTGCTACTCTCTCCTCTGTTGGCTTTGATTCTGGAATCTTTGGAGAAGCGGTCTAGAAAAGCTCAGAATAAGAAGAGCTAGAATACTAATTTGCTTATTTCTAATAATTCAGACAAAAAATCACTTACATGGAAGGGAGGTTTTAATAGACCGATCCATCGTGGGTCATCTGGATCAGATACAACTTCAAGTGCTACCTGTCCATATTTATTTTTGGCATTTATGTTCGCGTTGTAATTCTCCACAAACAGCTTCACAACCTTGTCCTTCTCTAGAATAAAAAGTTAACACACAATATCTACCATGTTCATTATACACAAACCTCCGAATGCCGCCCATCCCAAAGGTGTAGCTGAATTCCAAGTATCGCTCAATTCAATATTAGCACCACGACGGACAAGTTCTTGGCACACCTTGACGTCTCCGTAATAGGCTGCTGCATGTAGTGGACCCCATGTAAATTTATAATTAAACATCTCAACTTCCACAAGTTCGTTTGGATCTATCGCAGGTTCAGATTCTAGAATTGTTAGGGCGGTTTTAGTTTCTCGCTTGCTAATAGCGGCCATGAGTTCATGTAAAGGAGAATCTGATGGTATAACAAATAGTTCTTGTATAAGTCTTCTCATAGTTTTCCTTTCACTTTCATATTATACCGTTACTTACCTTTCTTATTTATCTGCTTATCCACTGCTTTTAATTTTATTGTTTTTATCTTGTTTTCTGGTGTGGTTTGGCGACTTTCAAAGGCTTCTCTGGGAAATTTAAGAATAGCCTTGCTTTTGACAATGTTGGTGTTAGCTATAGGTTGCTTCTCACGTCGTCTAGCTTCCTCTCTTCTGATATCTTGTTGCCATGGCTTGACAAATTTCTATATCGGAAAAGCAACACAGTATTTGTAAGTTTCCTGGATTTGAGGTGCTTAAAGATATCCCCTTACTTGAATTTGAACAGCATCTTGATATACTTGAGACTCTTTCATATTATATTTCTTTGCATTAGCAACCATAAGGTCAAGATCTGTTTTTATCTGAGCAAGCGATGTGTATTCCTTTCTTTCTATCTTTGTCTAATATTCCATAGATTATTATGAGTTTGATAATAATAATAATAACATTAATGCTGCACTTACCTCGATAGTACTAAGCGCAATGGGTTGCTTAATAATTTCATAATAATCAGCATACAACTTCTTTGACGGGAGCTTGAAAAAGTGAGTACATAAAAAATGGTCATCACTAATATCAATTTTTTTTTAAAAAAAATGGGTAAGATAATACAGGGATACACTTATATTTTGGCTAGTATCACATACTCTTCAGTATCCTTCAATCCGTTGAGTTCTTTGAGGAGCTGTCTTCCCATGGACATAATAATATTATCGTCTTCGTCGTATTCATATTCTTCTTGGATTTCTTTGGCATTATAAAACTAGAGAGTTGCACGGGAGTAAATTCGCACATAATTAAATTGTAAGCCAACCCAAGGTAATAGACAAGAGTGAAAAAAAAATATTTCAATTATACTCTAGTTTGCGGCATATCAATCTTAACTATACATTCTACATTTATATAAAATACCTTTTCCTCCTTTCTCAATCTTTTACGTTCTCTATAGTCTTTATCTACAGCACCATGTCGCTTTGGTCTTCCTTCCATCGCTATCAAATCGTTTTTTTAAGTATTTTTTTTGTTTGTTTGTTTGTTATTTGTAAAACAATAAGCTACTAATTAGCAAATAAGAATATTAGTCATACAGTACACTAGAATTATTTAAATTTCCAAAAGAAATTTAAAGGTGTAATGATCTATACAATTTTAAAACAAGGTCTATTTTACTGCTGCAAATTAAAGATTATAATGAACACGCGGGTTGGATGATTGTGGTGATTAATCAGCCTTCTTAGGTTCGCTTTTCGTAAAAATAGTCGTCTTTGAATTCATTTACAGGTATGATGTACATTCTGACATGTTTTAAAAATAATAATAAAAAGGCATTCTCACCAATTTGCTGGTACTTTAATGGGTATTCTTAAAGGGTAGTCAAACACGTATTGATAGAGAAGTCCAATATATTACTGAGTTTAAAATTATAGGCGAGAGCAAAAGGGAGGGACTGCCAATGACAATTCAATTTATTCATTCATAGTAGATTTCTGGAGAGGTCCAAGTATCATAATCTTCGGCTATCTCAGGATTACCAAACACTCGCAAAGCCATAATTCTTAGTCTATAATAGCCAGCCTTTAGACGGCCATATCTTGGATTTCTAGGATTTACAGAAGGATTAAAAGTCTCTCCGGGAATCCTACGCTGAATGATACCATTCCAATAAATAATATAATTGTCAGCAGAATTGCTTGGATCGTTTCTTGCTGTAAACATATTAATTCCATCAGGAACAAGACCATAGACAATATTCGGATCGCTTGTACTGACGACCATAACGGCTACAAGAGGAGATGCCTCGATCATTTTGGCAACTATGGCAACAGGTTGATCGGCTTTGGCGGTCTGAGATGAAATATAGGGCGAAGTTTGATTGATATTAAGTACTGGGAGGGTATATATATCAGTAGTTAGACCGGCATAAGGTATATACTGATTGAGGTTTTTGTTGTCGCTTTGGATTACAATAAAGCCAGAGTAGATAGTCGGAGGAAGATATGCGGGTAATGGCGGTAAGGAGATATGTATAATCAAATCCGCCTTTTCTTTGGCAGGAATCTCAAGATATTCTACAGGGAAATTAACAAAAGCTTCAACTTCATGATTTTTTAGTAAAATGGGATTGGCCAACGGGAAAGGGTTGCCCGGTGAATAATTATTTCCATAGCCTTGTGCAGCACCTGCTGGCATGTGGGAGAATCTGTATATTACTGGCTTTGTATCATAATTCTTAATTGTAATGGTGTATAAATTATCGGTTCCACGTTTGTTCTTGTCATTTAGCCGGATTTGTTCTGGGAAGATGAGAGTAGTGGCACCTAACATCTTCTCAATGTTAATCAGTCCACCACCCTGGCGTGCGATCGTCTCGGGGGTATTGGTCTTGAACATGTTATAAGGACTGCCGTTATTGATTACAATGGTTCGAATGCTATCTGTGTTGATTTCACCAAGGCCTTTGTATGACTCATGAAGCAAAGCGACTATTCCAGAAGCATAAGGGCAGGCCATACTTGTTCCGCTACAAAACACAATGAGTTGACTGGGTTTGATTACTATATTCACAAAGTTATTACTTTTTACCTCATAGTGGTATAACCTCCCATAGTCAATGGGTACCTATACAAAATTTGAGTTAAAATGCCTTTGATCCTTTCAAAACATACGTCGAGAAAATATCGCCACCAGGAGCGCTAATGTCTGGTTTAATGCTCAAATCAGGGCCCAACCCCCATGAGCTAAATGGACTAATTGTGTCTGGTTTTGGTCAATAAAAGTATACGTATTAGTATTTATACATATTAAGATATACAGGCTTATACAGCTTACTTGCTCTCTTGACAGGTATAACGATATTTCCTTTCGGAAAATCTGTTGTGTATCCGGGATTAACATTGAGAAAGTCCCACAAATACTCAGCATCATCAATAGCTACTCCACCAAAAGGAATGCTAATTTGTTTGTTCGCTGTCCTAGGGATTATAGCATCTATTGACGTCGTATAAATCAAAACAGCTGCAGCACCTGCTCTTTGGGCATTAAGAATCTAATAAAATTAAGGTGTGAGAGAATGCATGAATAGAGATAATAAAGTAAAAATTGCAAATTACCTTTATGTCCAAGTTGCAGCCACCTGCAGCAATTACTACGACCTTTTTATCCAAGTTGAATAACTGTGAACAGCCGTCGCGGTTATCTAAGAACCTTTTAGAAGCAAAAACGAGCTCAGAGTGTAAAAGGTTGAATGAATCGGCCATAGGAGTTACATACTCTAATAACAAAAAAATATTAAAAGCAAATTCATAGCAAATAAACAACCAATTATCTTACGAAGCTTAGTATTTTTTAGTGCAAACACATGAGCAAGTATATGTGTGTTATGTATACTTGCAATAGATAATACATGTTTACCCAATGCTGGTACATTGACTTTAAAAAATCCTTGATCACCTTCATTACCGGCAGAAGCCAATACAGTAACACCCTGAAGTGCAATCATATCGGCCATTATTGCAACCGGAGACTCAGGCCATCCCATATCTCCAATTGAAAGATTGATTATGTCCATTCCATCGGTAAATGCTTTCTCCAGAGCCTTCATAATAACATCATCTGTAGTACTACCCGTACACCCAAAGATCTTGTAAGCTCCCAATGTAACTGCATGAGTGTATGAAAGAGTTAGTGTTAATCAAAAATGAAATAGCGATCAGAGGCTACCTTTTGGTGCTATTCCTGTAAAATTCTTAGCAACGTCGTTGGCTCCAATTATACCTGTCAAAATGATAAATTTGGGTGTGTTTTTTTTTAAAAGTCTGTTTATGTTCTTACCAGCTACGTGAGTACCATGACCATTACACACATCTCGCGGATAGTTGTTTGGACTTAAATTATTTTCTCCATTGTAGTTATTTCCTACAAAATCGTATCCGTAGGCAACTTTGCATCCTTTTCCATAACACCCTCCCAAAGCGGGATGGAGAAAATCAATGCCTAATAATAAACATTATCACAATGTTTATCATTTGAATAATAAGTTGTCATTTTAAAAGACGTATTATACACTTACCACTATCAATAACACCGATCTTGATTCCCTCTCCTTCAAATCTTTTTTGTATAGTCTCTAATAAATACACACTCTGTATTTTAAGCATTTTCTAAAACTTACCCAAATATTTCCCTGACTCTAGTTACGCCAGTAGTTCCATAAGTATCGAACAGGTCTGTGGTTGGATTTCCATAAGTAGGCGGATAAATGTCCGGAATGGGAATACTAGACTGATAGGATACAAAGATAGATAATACTTTTGTTTTTTAAAAAAAAAGAGAAGAAGTTTGGCTTTTCATGATATTAACTACACTTACAACTGGCCATATACGTTTAATATTCTCCCCATTTGTGAAATATCGCATTGCATCTTTTTCAGAGTCGAATTTAACAGATACAGCATTCATTAACATGTATTCCTGGCGTACTATATGGCTGATGTTGTAGGTCTTGAGATCTTCATAAAAGTTTAGGCGACGTTCCTGAAAGAGTTCTCTGCGACTATCCGCATTCTTTGGTTCACTAAACTCAATTACATAGGAATTTTTTATAATTCGGTTTCCCGTAAAGGCTAACGCCAAGGTTATATTTGTACAGATTAAAAGGGATATAAAAAAATGCATACAAGGAGAAGTTTATCGCAATAAAGAGTACCAAAATTCTAAAGGTAACAATCTTATATAGCAACTATTATAAAGTAGAAAATAATGGTAAATTCTCGATGAATTCAGACAGGATACAGACTAGCCAGCATTGCGAAATATATACATATATATTAGCTCATTGCAAAGTATTATAGAAAAGCTGATTGAAATGAAAACAAGTTTGTCATACCAGAAATACATGACTGGTATGGTGGTATGCATCTAGTATACTATTGGAACCAGAAGGTATTACTACGAAATAAAAGAGATAGTCAAGGAGGGTCAACAACATAAAACACTCTGTGTAAAATCATACTTTCTGTAAGCTATTAGACTCTACTCGCATTCATAATACAAGATATTTTCTTTCTACTTCATAAGGTATGCGCTGTATGTATTTTGATAAATACAAGAGCGTTGAATAGAATTGACGCTTAACTAGTTTATAGAACCCTAGAGATTTTTTTATCAATTTTTATTTATTTATTATATATTTTCTTGACATTTTATTTAATCAGTTGGAAACTCGTATATATATATATATATATATATATATTCTGATAACCAATGATCTCTCAACTACAAATATATCATTTCTATAAATATATGGGCATTATCTATCTTTGTAATTGAATTTTTGGCATTCGATTTAATGTTAATCAATTAATATACTACTATGGGAAATAAGTGGTGATTTTGATGGTGATTTTGAAAAATACCATAGGCATTCTCGAAAATATTCATTGGAATCAGCACTCATTTTCCATAGTGTACATATATATTCTATCAAGTTTTATTTTTATTTTTATTTTACTTACCAAACACTTTGTCTATCACCCCTACCAACATCTATTTGAGAGTAGTAAAGTAATTGAGATTATACCACACTTTTGAGTGATATTATTTTATAATACTATTGGAAATTATGTAAGGATAAATCTAAAATAAATCTCATTTTTCTTTAAGTGGTTTATAAGATACCTAAAAAAAACAGATTTGATTTATGTTACAATAGAAAAAATGGAATGCTCTTATTTTTAAATACAAACATAAGCTTGAAAACAATATTTGAACTGATTATTACCTTTTATTATTATTACAAGTTTAAAAAAGACTTGTAAACAATACCTTGTTTATATAATATTCTTAAAGACAATTCAATGTTCAGGATTTTGAACTTTACAAAATTTTATATTTCACTCATGATTTCTCAATTCTGTCATATAATATCTAAACTCACTAATTTTCTTGGTATTTTATTCTTATAAACTAGAATTTTCTGGAGTTAATTAATCAAAATCCATTTCTTTAGCCCCTTATTTATCATAAGATGGAGTGTAGATACCAGAATTCCTTGGATCATTTCAAGGTATTGTTTATAAAGTATTTGTAATCACCACTAATATTTTTCTTATCTAGTAAGAATTTGACCCATCCTTATATCTAATGGGTGGATCAAGCAAAGATTCTTTACTGAGGTGTTCATATCATTGATAAACAGTTCCACTACCACTTATCAAATAACTGAAAAAAATAAGGAATTTTTAACTTATTTACTGCTATATAACTACCTGTTTTACTGTAAAAACCTACATCCGTATTTCTCTCCCTATCTCTCAATCGTTTATAATATTTATATGTAAGAGACTACCAAAATTCGCAGAGATTACACAGCCAAGATCAAGTTTCCTTTGTCCAGAAATTTCGTTGAACAATCGACGCCTTCGTTCGATGTGAAAACGCAAAGAAAACATTAACAGTAGCGTAAAAGAGGAGTAACTGAGAAGTAAATTAAAAAAAATTGCCCTTATTCCAATCTTTCATGGATTTACTTTTATATTTTTAGTGACAAGTTATTATTACTACAACTATTATTTAATGTTCATTGAAAGTAAGGAAACCATTTCATATAAATTAATTTAAGTATCAGACATTCAGGTACGACGACCAGCCTTTATATTTAAAAGTGATATAATACTCTTCCAATTTGAATTCAACGGTACTTTAGCTAGTTAATGTATTATTTGTTCAAGCCTTATAACATTAAAGTATATCGTATTCTCCCTAAAATAATAAGTATCTTTTCTACTCTTCAACCCTGTCTTGAACTATAGAGAGTGAATATCTAATCTTTTGCAGTGAATTTTGAGTAATAATCCTTTGTCTTGTTTTCATATAACTCCTGTGTACATTCAGGTAATTCATCCTGGTAGCTACCTACACACAAAGACATTTGTTAAATAAAACATACTTTCAATTTTCTCGCTAATCTCCTAAAGAAAAAACGCTCACCTGGTGAGCCTGAATAGACTGAGAATGAAGGGACAACTGTGTTAGGTGGTATTACTGTGTTATCAGTAATACAACAACAGTCCTTAATCATAGCAAATCGACCCTAAAATCTCATGTTTATTATTTAAAAAAATAGATCTACGTTTCTTTTTATATCTTTATACTCACAATGATACAGTTCTTTCCTATAGTCACATAGGATCCTATTGTAGCAGCTTCAATAATGCTCCCCTCGCCAATAGTGACATGGTCTCCGATTTTCATAGGATAATAACTAAAAACACTGTAGTATCCAAAGTTTGTAAATATTAAGTATGTAACATCATTAGTCAAATACCCTTTATATGTCTTATAAGGAGGACGGATAATAGAACCCTGTGCAAGTAGACAATAGCGACCAATAGCTATCACAACTGCATGTCCACCTCCTGTTCTTCGTAGATCACCACGAATGACACAATCAGTCTGGATGATCGTCTGTATAGTGGCTTTTTTCTTAGCTTATAGTACGTGTTGGTACATCTTTATTTCTAAATGCTCACCTTGCCACCTAGGATGATATTTTGACTTCCACAAATGACTGATTTTCGGCTTACTTTATTGCCAGTGTCCTAATCTTTCGTTCGTTTGCGTCTCTGATTATTGTCATCTTTCTTCATGCAGAACAATTTTAACTTACAGTCTCAATGTATTCTGCTCGATTATAATGCGTAATTGCTGTTTCCATGTCGAATGATGGTTGAGATGAGTTTATATATAAATACAGGTAAAAAGTGACTTTGGCAGGAACAGAGTCAACTGAGTAAGGGATGAATGAGAGATAAAATCGCAGTGACACAGGATCTTCTTCCTGCGACGTTATTCTACTGAATATGGTTGCTAAAGATTCTAGCAGTACATAGACCATAAAATCACATAATATAAATTGTTTATTAAATATTGTATAATTTACAAAGGAACATGGTATGGTAGGCTACACGCAAAAAACCAACAACACATTTTTCCAGTCTATTCCTCCATGCGTTTCTTCAAGCTATGAGGATCATAGCCGTGAACACCAAGATCATTTCTTGTTTCCGAAGGATCATCGAGTGTCTGCCTCAAGTAAAAGCTCTAAAGCACCACATGCATACCCTTGGTAAGCACCACATCTTCTCTCTTAAATAAATAAAGATATATTTGACTTACCAAAAACCCGTCTTTATTCAACCAACCTTTTGCGTTGCTTTCAAACATCTGACCCATTTGGCGTAAGAAAGCCGCTGGTGGGTGAGATCCATTAGTTGTAAAAATAAAGCTATCTAATTCTTTAGGATTAAGAGCACTGTCATTGTCTTTATCGAAAGTGTCAAAAATCTCGAGGAGAACTTCTGTCAAGGCAGGTGAAAGAGAGTCTTTATCCAGCAACGGAGGTTCATATTCATCTCCTTTATAGCCAGATAATATGTTTTCGATCTCTTCTTCCAAATCTAATAAAAAAAATAGATATATGATGGGTGATATTTTAGAAAATATACGACGACTTTATCAAAATGACCTACCATCAATAGGCTCGAAATCTGGATCTGCTGCACGTCCCATCTGTAACAGTATCATTGCTTCTTCAAGCTGGTTGAGTACAAAGAGGATAAACCCAAGTATGTAATAGCAACCAGAATGGCCAGGGAAAATATCTAAATACACAGAATAAGTATATTTATGATAAATTATCTTATATACGGATGACTTACCAAGAATACGTATCATTTTGGAAGCTACCTGACTTAAAACCTGAATATCCCCATCATTCTGAAATGTTTTGAGATATGCCTGTGCCTCTGTATACTCTTTATCTGCTTGATCCATCAACTCGTCATTATTGGTCTCATCGATAGATGCATTCTTAGTAATGTAATAAGTGTGCCAGTTTTCAGGTTCCTTTCCAAACTTTTGTTTCAAGTCATCACCAAGGTCAAGTCCAGTGGAGGTGGTGAAAATTGTGTAAACGTGAAAAAGATTTCCAAAGTCATGCACAGTCTTCCTGTACAGAATAATAATAATATATAAAATAAGAATATATAAAATAACCAAAGCATAAAATACTTACGCTTTCCACAGCGTATTGTTAGAGAAGATGTAATAGAGTTCCTTCGAGGCTAGAGACAATGAGAATATATCCCGAGGATCTAGCAAATAAGCCAATTGTTGGAGGACAATGTCAGGGAACTTTTCTATTGAGGCAACCATGGCAATTGTTTCGGTTAAATGACCTAAATATCATGCGATGCTTGACCTCTCATTTTTCTAGCAGCTGTCTTTCACTGGTGGCTTAGACGATACCCCATTAATACAGTGGCCATGGTGCACAAGCAGAATAGCCACTAATGCATCCTGTACATATTGCAGATCATAAAAAGGTTGTCAAAATATACTTTAAGCCCACACAATTTACAGCAATATTTGCATTTAGCTGTATAAAGTCATTAATGATTTTCAGAGCAAATATTTACAAGTGTTTAACACTAAACCTGTCAATCAAATGACAGTTGTCCAGTACTGCTATTTATGTACAGCAAGTGATATATTTTCTTATGTTATTTTGGAAATATCTTATACATTCGACCATTTTTTTTCTATCACTGAGAATTTATATAAGCTTATACTGTTTATGTGCTAAAACCCCTTGTCCATGCACAATATAAACATAATTGTCGTCATGGTTGTCAACGAGTGTGTAAAGTGATCATTGAATGTCAGTTTAAATCGCTGGGATTTTCAGATAGAGCCCGTGCAACCTTAAGATTAGCGTCACAGAACCGTGTTCTCATGTGTTTCCCTTTCTTTCAAAGCTCTCCATCATGTCTGAATTCCATTCACTTGCACATCTCATCAAGAGACTTGAGGTTGCCACTACCCGCCTCGAAGACCTTGCTCTGTCAGCTTCATCAGCTTCAGCTGTCTCTTCTACTTCACCCACAAACACCCCTCCTCCTCCATCGGCACCTGCCGTAGTCCAACCTACAGGAGTATCTGAAGTACCAGTAGTAATCGAGAAGCAGGATGAAGCCATCAATGCTGCTCTCCAGAAATATCTTGCTCTTTCAGCTGAGATTGGTGAACCAATTTCAAAACAGGTAGATGAGAAAAAAGAAAAAAAAAACTAGGAGCGTTAAACTGACTTTTCTTCTATAGGCAACTTTAGTCGCCAGTGCGATCCAAGCTGAAAGAGACATTCTCCGTATCTCTACATTGGCACAGAAGCCCGTGATGAGCACCACTATTTTTGGAAAACTTATTGATCCTCTTCAAACCTTGCTTACAGAGGTTGTTAATATTAAGGAAAAGAACCGAGGCAGTGCCATGTTCAACCACCTGAGCACAGTTGCCGAGGGTATTCCTGCCCTGGGATGGTTCACATGTGTAAGTTCAATACAATCATGCTGCTATTCAGCACAAGTGGTTAAATTTATGGTGTACTTTAGGAACCAGCGCCTTCTCCTTTTATCCGTGATATGAAAGACGCTGCTCAATTTTACGCTAACCGCGTCGCCAAAGAGTGGAAGGAAAAGTGAGTAAAGGCACAATGAATTGGAGATAACTAAAATACTTTTGAGCAGAGATCCCAAGCATGTCGAATGGTCACAAGCTTTCCTTACTGTTCTTGATAATCTCGGACGCTTCGTCAAGGAAAACTACCCAACTGGTTTGCCATGGAATCCCAAGGGAGAAAACCTTGAAACTTATATGAGCCAGAACAACACTTCTACCGCAAGTGCCCCAGCACCTACCACACCCGCACCTGCTGCTGGAGGTCCTCCCCCCCCCCCTCCTCCTCCTCCTCCCGCAGTTCTCGAAGAATATGAAGCGGGCAAGCCCACAGGTGCTGCTGCTGTATTTGCAGAGATTAACAAGGGCACAAGTGTGACAGCTGGTCTGCGCAAGGTAGACAAGAGCCAGATGACTCACAAGAACCCTTCGCTACGCGCAGGAAGCAGCATAGATGCAGGAAGCAACAAGAAGCAGGCTCCTCCTACACCATCTAAACCAAACAAATATATTCTCAAGAAGCCTGCAAGAACTACACTTGAAGCCAACAAGTGGGTTGTCGAAAATCACGAGAATAACAACACAATTGTTATTGAGGATACCGCGATTAACCAGGCCGTCTATATCTTTGGCTGCAAGAACTCTACCATTCGTATCAAGGGCAAGGTCAATGCTGTCACCATGGGTAAGTTAGAAATAGGAGGGGGGTTTGAAAAAACAAACTAGTAAATATCGTTATTAAGTACAAGGATATTAATAAATATTGGATCATAATGAAATAGATTCGTGTGTCAAATGCGGTATTGCCATTGATTCAACCGTTTCAACTGTCGATCTCGTTAACTGCAAGTCCTTTGCTCTTCAGGTCTTCCATGTCACACCTACAATTGCTGTTGATAAGTGTGATAGTGGTGAGATCTACTTATCTAAGGAATGCTTAGGTGTAGAGATTCTTTCCGCAAAGTCTAGTTCTCTTAATGTTCTTGTTCCTGAAGATATTGAAGCTGAGGACAGCGAAATGAAAGAGCTTTTTGTTCCTGAGCAGCTCAAGACAACTATTGTCGATGGAAAACTTGTTACCACATTGATTGAGCATGCATAATACTGCTTGCGATGGCCTTCTTTTTTGACATAAAATAATAAATATATCTTTCCACTTTAATCCTATCATCCTGTCCAGAATATGCAACACTCAGCAGTGTAGAACAAGAATCCTAAGTAATAAAATTCCTAGTCACAGTCGGTAATCCAGTCAAAGTCCTCTCCATGCTTGGAAAGAAGTTCGAGGAGGACGATCCCATGAATAGCACCGATGAATTACGTAAAGAGGCTGTTCAGATATCACCTCATCTCGAACAAAAAGTATTGAACATCCTCAAAGTGGAGAATCCTCTTGATTCACCTGATTTTGACCCAACAGAATACATTAACCGTCTGTTTCCTAATGGTAAGCCAGTATCATCTTGTCTGCATGATTCCATAACCATAATTCGCCTTCTAGAGCAATCCCTTGCTTCAATTGACACAGTAGTAGAAAAGCTCCAACGAAAAATATCTGGAACAGGACGGGATGCTGAACAACTAACCAATGCACAGTCGGAGCTAGGGAGTACTGGGGCAGAAGAGTTGGGAAAGGCGAAGGAGTCGATAAAGGTAAAGTCTAGTTACTGGGAAACTTGTCTGGATATAAGATCAAAACAAAAAGATAGATATAATAAGTGAATGCATGACCTTAGGAATTATTTCAAAAGACACAAGACATAAAAATGAAAGCCGCACAATCGGAGGCCATGGTTCAAGATATCACACAGGATGTAAAATCTCTTGATTATGCCAAGCGCCACCTTATTCATTCTGTTACTGCATTAAAACGCCTGCAGATGCTTGGTAAGAAACATGTACATATGATATCACTTTTACTTAAGATACTTGACTTATAGTTACCGCCGTGGACCAGCTTGAGATCATGTCGCGTAACAAGCAATATAAAGAAAGCGCCCAGCTCTTAGAGGTACAACTATGGTAGACAATTCAATTTGGCTCATATACAACTCTTTTTCAAAGGCAGTAATTCAGTTGATGCAACACTTCAAGTCTTACAAAAGCGTTCCCCAAATTTCTGAACTTTCTGACCGGATCACAAAGTTGCAAAAGCATCTCGAGGCTTGTGTCTTGCATGAGTTTGATGAAGGGTAACTATAAATAGTACTAATGAAATAAAGTTCCTGGAATACTTACCTTGGGTATTTTGGCAGATTTAATAATGATGGTGTTGTTGTCGGACAGCCATGGGTACTCCATGATGCATGTCTTGTGGCGACTACCTTGGGAAATGATACAAAGTAAGATGTTATAAAAGTAGTTGGATTTCACCTTATGCTCACACAGACACCTCTTGTAGAGAAAATATCCTAAAGAAATATATCTCTCTTCAACTTGCTAACTATCGACAGATATTCCGACCTTCTGAAGAGGTAAGTTGGAAACAATAGAGCATGTAACGAGAGCTATACTAAATTGTAGCATATTTAAGGTATCGCAACTGGATAACATTTCACGGAGATATGCTTTTCTTAAGCGTATTTTAAAAGTATGCGATGAAACTCATGGAGAGATATTCCCAGTATCATGGTGTGCGAGTGGACGTATTTGTGAAAAATTCTGCGCTTATACAAGGTACCGCTAAGAGCTAATTGTCTTGTACATTAACAGACTTTACCCAAAATATAGATCTGACCTGGAGCTTGTTTTATCATCGTCCTCTCAAATCGATGTTAAGGAGCTACTAAAGGCATTGCAGTTAACTATAGAATTTGAAGGACAATTGTCAAAAAGATACGAAAAACATGCAAGTGAGGGATTGCTAGAGAATTGTATGAAGCATATCTCATTTTTTTTTACCAAATAGGTCAAATATGTAGATGGAAAAAAAGAACCCGTCCTTCGTTTCGAAAAAACAATATCATCTGCCTTCATCCCATACCTTTGGGTGTATATTAATGCTGAAGACAGGTAAAGTGTGGAGTTGGTAAAGGATCTCTGTGTGCAAGTACTTATAACTGTATTACGGTGTTTAGAACATTGAGCAACATGATCGATTCTTATATTCAGTCAGATAAAGCTGCGGAAGATGATTCTAATATGGTGGTATTACCATCTAGCACTGACCTGTTTTACTTTTATCGCGAAACATTAGTTCAATGTGCAAAGTTTTCTACTGGAAAGGCTTTTTGGGATCTGTGCCAGCTATTCTCAAAGCATTTGCATTCGTATTGTAGCAAGGTTATCCTAGAGAATTATAGTCTGTGAGTCTTTATTCACCTTTTTTCTGGTAATTATCACACTAACTTATTTTGAACAATAAAGAAACAACAAGAAGGCCGTGACATTAGAGCATTTTCGGTTCGTAAGTTTGGCGCTCAATACTGCAGACTACTGCTGTATGACAACGGCACAGGCAAGTCATTTTCTTATTTGCTTATCACGATAGTTGTTTAACACGATTTACTACAGCTAGAAGAAAAATTAAAAGAAACCATTGACCCAGAATATATTGACGATGTGAATCTGAAGGATGTTCAAGATGCATTCATGAGGTGCGTTGTTATAGTATGTAAATGGTACTCACCGTAATCACTAATGTATATATATGCCCACAGTGCCGTATCAGCATCTATTGATAACATTACACGAAGCTTGGAGATAAGCTGTGACGTGCAGCTTCAACAGATGGCGCGCTTGCAATGGGGGACTATGGATACTGTGGGCGATCAATCAGATTATGTTAGTCAGTTACAAGATACTATCAAACGTTATGCGACCATTGTTGGAAAGACGATTGCAAATAAGCGTTATTTCCGGACATTCAGTGATCGTTTTGTAGAGTAAGTATTGAGTTTCCAAGACTTTTTTCTTTAAAAAAAACAAGTGGATCTAATGTGTGTTGACCGATTTTGCAGAGCTTTTATGGCTAAATATATCTCAAATATTTTCAAATGTAAACCCATATCAGAGATTGGTGCTGAACAAGTAAGAAATATAGCTGAATATATTGAAAGGAATACTCTAAATTTATTTTTATTCTAGATGCTGCTTGATACCCACACTATCAAAACCGTTTTAATGGACATACCATTTATGAGACCTGAAGGATCTATGACCGCACCCACGTCGTAGGTTTTGACTTTTATTTACGTGTTGGGAAAATATCATTGAACTCATTTGATTCTGTAGATATGTGAAACTTGTCAATCGAGGTATATCAAAAGCCGAGACGATTTTGAAGACAATTATGACTCCAGTGGATCCCCCTGAAGGCTATGTAGACAACTACATATTCTTAATAGGAGACGGACATACAGGAAACTTTGCGCGCTTGCTTGATTTGAAAGTAAATGAAATGCATTATTATGTGTACACATTCAGATACTAAATTGATTATATAGGGCTTGAAAAAGGTAGAACAAGGTCCATTGATTGATGTATTCCACAAGAAAGCAGCCAAGAACAAAGAGTTAAAAGACAACTCTGGAATACTACCTCCTATCGAGTTGAATACCCAGCAATCGACTTCAAATTTACCTAACGCAATCACAACTTCGTTCTCTACCATCGCCACATCTGCGTCTAACTTTAGCCCAAATCCCTTACAGCAGTTCAGCAGAAGCACTTTGACGTCTCCTACTACGAATTCACAGTTGTTTTCGGACGGAACTTCTTCTAATCCAAGTAGCAAAACTGGGCGCCTGAATGAAAACTTTAGAAAATTAGTTATGACTGGTATGGCCTTCCGCAAGGATCTTCAAGATCGAAGAGAGCAACACCACAGTAAAGAAAATAACACCGGCCAATAAAACATATTGAATAAACGAGAATAAAATTTAGGTGTTTATTATAACAAATATCTATCTAGCACATGTTATGTGTAAAAAAAATATGCTAGTGCTTTAAAATTAATAGGTTTTTTTTTTGGTAAAAACTAACAGACTTTATAAAATTATTGCTCAGTTTTTCGAGTGAGGTATATGGATAATTACTTACCATTGCATGTGTGTGAGTTTGAAATTTTTGCCCAAAAATGAAACGATCATTGTGTGCGGTAGAGGGTTTCACCAGCTCTGGATGCTTGACTGTTGGATGTATTGGTAGTTTAAGCACTATCCAACAATAACCAATATCAAAAAAAAACTATCGAGTATCATTAATATCTCTTGGTTGATATGTTTTATCTCATATACGACAAAATTCATATGTACAATACGCTTGATTAGAATGCTCATAAATATAGTGCCCATACCCAAATTCCCCACAAGTAAGTTAGAACTGTCTAATTTGGTATTAAGGTAGCTACTCTTACATAGATTGATTATGCTTTATTTTTTACTTTGATTTTCTATGAACCTTGCCATCAATTGTACATAAAGTACAAAATTTTATAAATTTTGACCAAGTCACGACATCTAGAGTATCGAGCAATTTTTTTTGGATGTCTGGATGCTCAGTTTTCATCTTTTGAAGACTCGTCACAACCAATCATTTTTCGAATTAAAATACCACTGCATCCAACAGCCAAGCATCCAGAGCTGGTGAAACCCCTAGTGGTTCCGGTACTAGTTTTTATCTAGTGTCGCACGGTCCCTTTAGGTTTTACATAAAAATGGATGGCGATTGATCTGTCACGTGACAAATCTAAGTACTTTCAGTTTTCTGCTGACTAACTTTTGAAGTTTGCTTATTCACTTAACCTGAACTTTCAACTTTTCTGATTACCATGACCCCAACCCAACTATTTGAAGCAGCTGCAGAAGGCAATCTTGACTTTATCAGAAAACACAAAGAACATTATAGAGACAAAAATGAACGCGGTTGGACTGTCCTTCACTTCGCTGCCAGGTACGGTCAGCTCGAGGTAGCCACCTTTTTATCTTCTCAGGCTGGCTGTGACATTTTGGCCGTTAATAACGAAGGAAAGACCGCTGCAGACGTAGCAGAGTTCTGGGGCCATGATAAAGTTTCCAAGGTTCTTAAGCCTCCTACTCCATCTGTTTCTAACACACAAATACTGGAAAAAGATACAAGTGACTCCAACAATACACTCGTATCTAATTTCTCGCAGAATATCACAAACTTTTTTGCTGGAAGCTTTTTAAACAGGTGAAATAAAAATAAAGATAAGAAGACTCTTTAGAAAAGAATTAAGTAGTAAAGGAAATCAGTAAAGACTTACTTTACTTTAATCCTATTTAGACTCAGTCGGTACCGCAACGATTATTCTATTCTTCAACGTCTCGCACACTCGCCACAATCCAAGTTTATTCTTTTCTCGAAATTAAATCCTTTATTTGATAAGAGCAATGACAATTCGGTTTATCTGGCAAGCTATTCTGAAGTAGCATCGCTTGTGGATATGATATACGGAGAGAATAAGAATATCGAGAAGGCAGTATCTAAAGATGAGCCAATACTTGTTTTTCTGGGTGTCGATGAGCGGAATGCCAAAGGAGAGGAAGGTGTTGCGTACTGGGCATTAGATGTAACTCCAAGGGGCAAATGCCAAGAATCTCTTGAAGATCTTACAAAAGGCAAGGGCGAATAATAGCATGCATACCAAGTGGAAGAAGACTTTTGGTTATTAATTATTTGATATACATACATATATCTTGATTTTCATAGAGTTCGAATCTAGAGGGTTAGATTTCGCGCCTACCTTGCCGAAAGCATTTAAAATAGACATGAGACTAGCTTCAGTACTCGCTCAGGCACGAGCTATGGGTATGTGAAGTGTACCAAAAGTATACAAAGTCTTATTTAACATGAATTGGTAGTGGATTGGAATAAACGTAACGCTTTTTGTCCTGGATGTGGCAGAGTAACTGCATCTGCAGAAGGTGGACATAAACGTGTTTGTCCAGTTCCCAAAGAAGATGAGTCGTGCATCAGTCACAATGGAGGTGTGCACAACTTTACATATCCACGAACAGGTAGGCTCATATAGCTCGATACGATATCACATCATACTTAATAAATGTTCTTAGATCCTGTGATTATTGTCTGTATTGTTCATCCAACTGAAGATAAGATATTACTTGGCCGCCAAAAAAGCTGGCCAGGCAAGATGTTTTCGTGTATTGCAGGTAAGAAAAACCAGTAAAAATATATAAGTATAGTGTATTAATCTTATATTTATAGGATTTGTGGAAGCTGGAGAATCGATTGAAGAGGCTGTACGTCGTGAAGCTATTGAAGAGACGGGTATAGTTGTAGACCGTGTATCTTATCACAGTAGCCAACCTTGGGTAAGTCTTTAGGTTCTAGATTCTTAATGCTGTGAAAAACTCGCTTATATTTGAAAAACAGCCATTTCCCAATTCTTTGATGTTTGGGTTTATCGCTGAAGCGGTAACCACAGATATTAAACTTGAGGACAAGGAGCTTGAAAGCGCTGTTTGGTTTACACGTAGTGAGGTTTTAGCATCTCTCAAAGGAAACAAGGATAGTCCATTTGCTATGCCTGCTGCAAATGCCATTGCTTATAAATTAGTGAAAACCTGGGCGTTTGAGTGGAGTAGAGTGATTTCTGCTAAAATCTAATAATTTATTATACTACTATACATGTATTATTAACACGTAATATATATATATATATATATATATATATCTCATATCCAACCTCTTAATAATCATAATATCTGAACGTGGAAAAAAAACAATGCTTATATACTTAGAGCATGTCCAACAGCCACTTTTATCTCGTATTAAGACTTTTAGTTAAAAGCTATACTTCCAACAGTTCAATTTATTTTATTTTATGAAAAAAGATGAATTTAACTGCTGGGAAATGTGACTTTTATTTTAGCTAAAGTGGAGGTGTTTGGCTTTAGATAAAATAAAAGCTGGCTGACTGCTGAAGATGCTCTTACTACTTCTGTTGCAGATCTTCCTAATTCTTAAAGTTGATTTATTTATTTTTCCTTCCAAAAACTGCTATATTTTGAGCTCAATTAAGATCAATAATGAAAAAAAAATTGGGTACAATAAAATGCTCAAAACTTTTTACTAGTTCCGTATAGATTTTTAACTTTTCTATATAATTGATATCCGTTTTTATTTTTGCCTAAAATTTACTCTTTTGGTATGCGAAACATTAATGAAAACAATGTGCCTCGATCATACACACACTGTATTTTATCGGCTATTTGGATTTTTGCATAATCTTTATCAGTTACATCTCTTTTACTGAGCTTATTTACTTTTTCGTTTTGTTTATTTTGTATATTTTTTTTGGTCGCTTATGACATGGTAGAGGCGTGATTTCCTTGTATGAACTGACATTGAATAAGGGTAAAAATGACTTGTGGCAATGAAAAAAATATTGTGGACTTTTGTAAAACCAAACTCAAAAGAGAGCAAATACTGGATAAAGAAGTACTGGCACCAAAAACTTCAGATTATTGGGACCGAGACTTGTGCAGTGATTTTCAAAGAGTATTTTGCTGTTGCCGTTGTAAAATGTGTGATTTTATTTTTTTTAATAATGTGTATGGAAGATATCAGCGCCAAGTGTTAGTTAAATAGAGGATGTGGGTCTTGAAAGTCTTTAGTCAACCATCCCGCTAATCGATAATACTCAGCTGTATATGTTCGTTAAAACTAATCTTTGTGTCAATGACCTCCGATTTTCTCTATTTTCATAAATATATTAGGAATATATGATTTATTGTACAGCCTGGTAATGTTTGGAAAATGCATGACTAGTCCTAATTTGCTTTGCTGCATTAGGTGAATGATATCAAAGTTCACGTTACAAAATCCTCATGTCATGGCTTCTGCAACAGATTCCTTTCGAACTTAGTTTACAAGGCATATAAAAGTAGGCCTTATTTCACAGATATTACCGTTGCATGATCTTATAAAGTACATCTGCCCTTCTTAATCGTGTCATGAGTAAATAGCGCTTTAGTATTTCAAGGTGTTGTGACACTTTCAACGCCACTTTCTAGCTGCTGAGCTGCACTTCGTCTTGGGACCCTTAATTGTGCCATGGTGCTTCATAACTGTTAAACTTCTGGTATGTTTAGAGTAAAAAGACCAAGGCTTGGGGCAGAATTCAACATTTAATTCAGTGTGTAGCTAACCTCTACTTTAAATATATGCTACATCTATATCAGTAACGTTGACTTTCTGCTAGAAAGTTGAGTCACCGTACACAGTAAACAAAGCAAGGCTCCGACATGAATCACTCAAGGGCATTCTCATCCTGCGGGGTTTATCTTAAAATAGCGTGTGCGCTGTTACATTATGACTGCTTCACATCATTCAAGAATCCATATTTAAGTACTTGGCACACTGACTGCGCCCTAGTTCATTATTTTCTTCCTCTTTGGCACCACTTCTTCCAAAATGTCACACCCCGACCATATGTACAACAACCCTCAATCCGCTGGTGGTCCCCCACAACATAGGTCAAAGGGTAACTATAATATACATGCGATTTATCTGTACAGGAGACACGTATCAAATTATAAGTACCAGGAGAACTAGAGACTGATATATTCTTGGACGTTCGTAGGTCAACCTCAAGTTCCACCACCTGGTGCTGACCTCCAGCTGTGGGGCTGGTTCAAGGCTGTCGATACCGATAGCTCCGGTGTTCTTACTGTAGATGAGTTGCAGCGCGCGCTTATTAACGGTGACTGGAGCCCCTTCAACATCGAGACAGTTCGTACAATGGTGAATATGTTTGATTCTGGTAAGTTGATAAATATATGATATATACATATCCGCTTATAATACTTTGGTTCTAACCTCTTTTTGCAGATAACACTGGAACTATCGACTTTCAAGAATTCACAGGTTTATGGAAGTATATCGAAGACTGGAAGAGATGCTTCCAGGCTTTTGATCTCGATGGCTCCGGCAGTATTGATCGTAATGAGATGACCAACGCGCTGCGCTCGTTTGGATACAACGTCTCTGGCCAGTTTGTCAATACTCTTATCCAAAAGTTCGATCGTTTCGGTGAGTATTTCTTTAATTATTTTTCGTTTTACTTTTAAATACAAGTGAGAGAGATAGTTATATATATAAAGGCTTAAAATAAAGTGAGAAAGGCAATATGTATAATGTAATGAAAAAATGAACCATAATTTACACTAATAGGTACCAAATCTACTACAGGCCATGGCAATGTTACATTTGATAACTTTGTTCAAGCATGCGTTACTGTAAAGACACTGACAGACTCATTTCGTACTTTTGATACCGACAATGATGGTTGGATTCAAATCAACTATGGCCAGGTAAGGAAATGAGGGTATTAGTTTTATGTGTATTTTTTTATACATATTAACGGGTGTCTCTAGTTCTTGGACCTTGTCATGCGTCAACATGCTTAAGCCGGTTTCGTACATGTAAACCATATATTAAAACAAAAATCAAACAAAAAAAGCTTGAAAATTCCCATCTGTTTTGCATGGCTTGAGAAAAATAAATATATATCCATTTAATAAACATACTTTATATGCCTACTATCACGTTTTCTTTCTTTTCATTTCTTTTTGAAAACGCCTGTAATGTTAAAATTGACCAAATTAATAATAAAATAAACTATTTCTGCTTAGTCTGTATTAATTTGCTGTCAAACAGTAATTCAACCGAGCACATCGGATATACTTTCCGTGTAAATACAACCCATAATTAATCGTAACTAGCAAGAAAATCCGTGAAACAAGAAAAACTCTTCTCACCCATGTGTAAAACCCGTTGAACTTAAACCCCATTCTTTAAAGAACTATAGACAAAGACGGTTGATATTTTAAAAAGAGAACCCAGAACTCTCATCCTTTCTTTACTTTCCACTACCTTTCTGAAGAATGGAGGTCGTGCAAGTCCAGCCAAGGGATACCTATTTTCATTATGTCTATGTTTCCACCGAAGGAACAACAATTCATTGGTCTTTTACTACCCAGAAAAACAATATTTCATTCGGTCTTTATCGAATAAATAACCAGGCACAAGTATCATTCGGGGCCAACAATAAAGAACAGTGTCAGAAACTATCCCGTGATTCTTATTTTTTAGATCTTAACGAAGTAGATTACAATCACGGTAACTAATCATCACTCATCATAATAACTTTACGGATGCTCATGCGCATAACATAGACGGATTGTATTCACCTGATCATGATGATCGGGCAAGGAGTCAAGAGCATACTTCCATAAATGAAAATTACTTAGCATCAACCGCAGCCAGCTCTCAAAATTCCCCAAGCAGCCACCAAAACGGCCATGGAAGAACACGTGCAAAATCAGTAGCGTCTGTTAAGCTTAAAGAGCGCGGACTAGAAGAAATTATCCCAATTAATGATATGCAGTCAAGCAGAGCAAAAATTGAAGGCTCATATAAAGTAGCTGATCCAGGAAACTATGTACTAGTTTTCGGTAAAGCCTATAGAGTGTAAACTATCAAAAGAAAAATCTTATACTTACTAAAAATGCTTATTTATGGTAGACAACACGTTTTCAAGAACAACACCCAAGATATTAACGTTTTCAGTAAACCTTATGGAAGATACTTCCCCGATTTTGCCTGCCCCTCAGCAACCGCACATTTCAGGATGGTTACTAAAAAAGAAACGGAGACGTATGCAAGGTAAATAACACAATAATTGGTAGAATAATATATCCCTGATCAAGGAAAATTTGGTTTAATTTCGTATCCTCAGGCTGGGCGAAACGTTGGTTCTCATTGTCTTCTTCTGGAGTACTGTCATACTCAATTGACAAAGACAGCATAATCCGGGGTTCGATTCAAGTTATGGCTTCCATAGTCTCGAATAACGAATCGCAGCGTTTGATACATATAGACTCTGGCACAGCATTATATCATCTTAAAACATCGAGCACGGAGGAGCACAGTAGCTGGGTGAATGCGCTGAAAGTTTACGACATTACTGCAAATGAGAGTAAAAAATCCATTTTGAATAGAAGTGGGATTACAGCAGTGAAAGCATCTGTACCTACCAAAAGCATTGATGACTGGATAGAATGTGGATTGAAAGACTCTATTCGTCTGAGCAATGAGGCCTACAAGATGACAAGCATACTACAAGAGCTGAAGAAACAATTAGATGGAAAAACAAACAAAGCTGACTATTCTGAAGAATTGAAGATGTCAATCGAAAAATTAATGTCTCAACATAAGTTGGTAACTAATGGAATTCGTGAGCAGGAAGAACAATGGCAGAGTACCCAAAATACACTCCACTCTTTACCCGCCACAAACCCTCGAAATCCACTCAATTTACTTAATTCTTCCAAAGCCTCCACTGTAAGATCACTTGTCGAGCATAATGAGGCAGGTAGTAGTATGGGAAGAATTCAGAGGCTTCTTGAGGAATCGTCTAAGCAATCACAGCTGTCGCTTTATTCTGAAGAGTTTTTTGATGCGGAAGATTTTGTTCTAAGCACAGAGGAAGATTATCTTGAAGCAGGGGAGGAAAATGATAATATATCTGAAGGAGACAGTAGCGATGACGAGGGTAAGCAACTTTTTATTTTTGTGATCTTTAAGCAGTTTTATAAATACCGTATATAATGTAAACTCTCATACGTAGACGGGCATGATATTGTGTCTCTTGAACAATCTTTTAATTTGGACAATTCTGGATCTTGCCAACGCCGTAGCAAACTACCATCACCATCCATCGCAGACATTGGATCGGCACTATCAGTCTTCAGAAAGAATGTCGGAAAGGATCTTTCAACAATTGCTATGCCAGTAAGCATGAATGAGCCCATCAACTTCTTACAAAAAGCATGTGAGGATATGGAATACTCTGATCTCCTAGACAAAGCATCCACACTTTCTGATTCCATGGAAAGATTGATGTATGTGGCTTTATTCGCCATATCAGGCTATTCTTCCTCCCAGTATCGCACCGAGAGAAAGGTATTATTTACGCGATCTTATATCACAAAATGTAACTAACAATTCTCTTGAATCATAAATAGCCTTTTAACCCTATGATGACAGAAACATATGAATCCATCCGACCCGACAAAGGCTTCAGATTCATGTCTGAGAAAGTGTCCCACAATCCACTGATAATAGCAGTAGGTTAAATTTGGCACTATATAATCTACACAGACTTTTAAATGGCTGTAATGGTTTATCTTTACAAGACACACACAGAATCTAGAAACTACACCCATTGGCAATGCTCAAAAATTAAGAGCAAATTCTGGGGAAGATCTATGGAATTCATAACCGAAGGAACTTTTCATGTTACGCTTACTGGACACTATGACCATTTTACCTATTCAAAACCATCAAGTTGGTTACGGAATATGATGGCCGGCGAGAAATACCTGGAACACGCAGGAGAAATGAAAATCGTTAACCAGACAACAAAAGAGTATGCCGTCATATCGTTCAAAGAAGGCACTGGAGGTGGCATTTTTGGTGCACCAACAAATCGAAATGATGTAATTGCAACATTTTTTGACGCCGACAACATCAAGTGTAGACGTGTCGTAGGCAAATGGAGTGAAAAATTGGCAGAAGAACTTGAGATGAACAAGCGAAAACTTTCTGTATTATGGGCAGCAAGCCCACAAACTATAGAGGACTTTGAGAAATACTACGGATTCAATAAGTTTACTGTTGAATTAAATGAGATTACATCCATAGAAGATGGTCGAATCCCTAAAACAGATACTCGTTTGCGTCCTGATCAATGCCTTTATGAGCAAGGTAAACCCTGGATAAAAGTATTACTGAAATCTTATTTTTCTAACATTGAATAAATACTTAGGTTTTGTAGAACAAGCTGATATTGAGAAGCAGCGGATAGAGCAAAAACAGCGTGATCGCCGCAAAAATATGGAAGCAAATAAGATTCCCTGGGAATCACGCTGGTTTAAGCTTCAACAAGACGCTTTTGTAGATCCTGCATTTGTTGATTCCCCGGGTACTCAAGACTCGATTGGTCATTCGTGGCAATTCACTGGAGACTATTGGGCTATCCGTGAGTCAGGAAAATGGCCGAGTGACATTCCAGATCTATGGTGAACTTGATAGATTAATGTTCAAACAAATAGATGCCAATATTTGATGATGGTCGATATATATCTTTTATTGGATTTCTTTAATATATATAAGTCAAACATACTATTCTGTCAATTTATATATATTTTAATGTCAAAACACCAAAGTATATAGTTTATTAATTACTTGAAAATAAAAATCAATAACATTATTTGTTTTTATCATATAGAGCCTATTATATATTGCATTCCAAAGTGTATGTTTATTTAAATCGTCTTTATAATATATCAATAGAAGGAAACAGTATAATAATGTTTTGCTTTATATAGCATGTATACATTGACTGCCAAGTTTTTTACTTTCCATTAAGTTTTTTGATTTTATATTTATTTAATAATCTTATAAATTTATTAAAGCTACAAATTAGATCTATGCTCAAGTATTAATAATTACATTTTCCCGTAAACGTTTCTTAAGTATTTACCGTGAACCTATCGGGCATAACAACAGGGGCAACAAGAGACCAAAGGTAGATTATATGGCAAATCCAACCCGACACTATTTTGACCCAGACAGCAGTATAACTTTGTCCAATACGGACAAGATCCCCCTGATCTTGGCTTGGCAAAGTTGCGTCTTCCATAGTAATTGTATTCCTAAGTGTGTATATATATTAGTATTCTGATTTTAAATATCAAAAAATTTGAGGTGATGGGTTACCAGTTTGTAAGTACCATGGCAATGTACATTGCTGCAATTGCGAACACAAAATGAAAGAAAGAATAGCTGTATACTGCACCGAATCTTTCATCATCTCTGTCATCGATACCATCATCGTCATCGTCCTCTTCATCATCAAGAACTGACCGAGGCAAAGCACTAATAGCTGGTTTTAGTGATTGTTTCCTTTTGTATATGCCCACATATATAACTTACCCACTCTCAACTGCAGCAACTAAATGTTGACGAGTTGATCCCTGTACGCTCATACGCTGAGCACCAAGCTCAACCTGATTTGGCATCAGAGGAACAGCACTTTCAGTATCCAAAGGCTCGTAGTTATTGTTTGTACGTCTGCTGTTGTTAATAAATGCACCATCTTGTGTAGCCGCTCGGCTGGTAGAATAAGCAACTGCCAAGAAAGTAAATACTGCACCGAGAACAATTGAGGTGGTCTGTGTTCCATGTGACCGTCTCAGAGGATTGCATTCTTTATCGTTAGGCTCGTTAGCAACTGCGGACAAGACAACATATGTACAGTAAATGACCACAATTGAGGCTTGCGATAGTCCAGATCTCGGGTTTGCTTCTTGTATAGCCGGGGAGATGCAGAGAAGAGTAACCAGAGCACACAGAATCAGGTTAAGGGTAACGAAAAATTGGTTCAGAGAGCATCCATTCGTAGCGAAGAAGCCATACATAATTCCCGTCAAAGTAATGGCGCCAGCAAACATAAGCAATGTGCCGCCTACAAGTATATACAGTGAAGTACAATGAAACAACCTTTAAATGAATAACTCTTTATATATTTATATATATATCTTTAATGTTTTATCTTACCGATTAGAATATACTTCCATTTGTTAGAGTCTGTCATTTCATAGTTCTCCATGCATCTTTCTGTCCAGCTGTGAGCAAAGTCGACCAGTAGAACTAGGCCAAACAGAATGAAAAGTGCGGCTCCAATTAATGCGAAATAGTTTCCCCATGCCATGAAGAATCCACTTGGAATGAAAAATGAAACAACCAAGAGAGCAATCCAGCCTAATATCTTCGGACCCCACCAGCTTAAATAGCCAATATTCAATACATAATTATTTAATGGAAGTTTCGATTAAACATACCCATTCTGAATTGCCGCACGTTTTGACCGACTGTCGTTAACACCTAGTAATAAGAGACCAAGAATAGCATGAAAAAGGACCAAGGCAAAGCAAACTCGGTGAACCTGCAGGAAATAATAATATTGTTGTTGAGTACATATTGTCCGACCAAATATCCAATATGCCTTATATCTTAAAGTAAAAAGTTACATACAGCAATAATTCCATAGCATCTTCCTTCTGCACAATCGAGCTTCATGTAATCCAATGTTAAATGTTGCAACTTTTTAATTGCCCAGTTGGAAAGCATGAGCCATGCAAGCTATTGACAATGAATTAGCAAAAACGACTCGATTTGTAGTATAATTATCTTTATCAAATAATTGTATACTTGCGATGGAATTCATCAAGAATATGATCTATTCAATGAAATTAGATTAGTTGATTTATTTATGTATTGCAATGTTAAATCGTAAAATTAAATCTTACAGCATATCCTATTCTTGTGGCAATGGAGTTGTTACAGTTGCAGCTAAAGAATTGCGATAAGCAAGTGTTTGAGAGAAAAGCTTTCTGCAATTCCTAACCTTTTGAATGCAAGCGAGCATGCTGCGGCAGAGAAGCAGCTAGCTACCCAAGACCCAATTGTCCCAAGCGCTGGTAAGGCAATGCAACTTAATGCGGCACCCATAATGTGTAGATTGTAGTAAAGATGTTTCTTTGCTTTTCAAAAAAAAAAAAGTGAAACATGCACTGACCTCTCAAGTGCCAGAATCTTGAATCGCTTCTCCGGTGACTGCCGTGTGGTCACCTTTTTTTTTGTTGGAAGTTGGTAATTCAATTCATATTATAAGAATTCTGGTGCATTTTATCTACAAAGAATCTCCAAACATGAATACTTGTCTTCTGCTTTAATATTTTGGCTCTAAACTACTAAATAAGAGATAAAAGTGCACAGGGTGTTTATAGTTCTAACATCAATAATGCATCTGGTTAAAGTTTGGGTATTTTGTATGAATAATAACATGTTAATTTCAAGTTATAGTGTATTATGGATTCTCTAAAGATACTCTGAAGATACTAAGGAATCCTTGGGTATGTTTACTAGGCTTATAGAATGGTTTGGATAGCTCATTTGATACTCGACTACCGTTGTTCCCTTGGTTTTCCTTATATATATATATATATTGTTACAATTTATCTAATAATTATAACTAGACGTAAAATGCTTTTTTTTTGGCTTAAAATACACCCACCCACCCACCCACATATATATTATTTATTAAAAGTTATTTGATAAATTTATATTTTGTTATACTTGCTGCAAAAAATCTATTAGTAAAATATTTTACGCACATGTATTATTTGTCCCACCAAGTATCATCTTTAATTTCTACAAAGGGAAACGCTTTGATCGTTTACTAGAAGCGCAGACAAATGTATACATATTGTCTATTATTTACTTTTATATCATTTACGAGACAATTGATCCGAATTTCCAAAGAAAATTGACTGAAATCTAGATTTAGGTACACATGGAGTGAAAGTACTAGTAATAGTACCCTTTCCTTCACCTCTACTTATTTATTGTCAACTCAACCAAGGCATATATATGATATGTATCTCAATCTAAGTGCCAGATAAAATTATGCCAACCCTACCAACTTTATTGTTTTTGAAAATGTCATTGATAATTAAGCATTTTATTGTGTCACCTATACTTATTGTTTTCTTTTAATTCTTGTAAAGCTTGTACCTAACAGCAACAGCAATATTTGACTAGTATGCTTTGGTGTTCTTACTTATATACCCTGACGAATGTACCACTTGAGCGACTCGCTGACCATAAATCTAGCTAGACAAAAAATCTTCTTTTTACGTACATCAAATATAAAAGTATACGCTTTTGTAAAATACACCAACATTAATTTTCTCATCAAAGGGAATATCGCACATCCTGATCGGAGCAGTTTAACATCATGCTCAAGATATTCTGGTTAATCACTGTCTAGAATATTAATGTGTAACAAAAGAAAAGAAAATGAAACAAAGCGAGAAATGAGTATGTAAAAACTTTTATTTATAAGTTTTAATTACTTTACCGTGGCTGATAGCTCCTGCAGGTACATAATGCTCGATGTATTCTTCATGTATAGAAATTGCTGTTCTAAAGGTACAAATAAAAGGTATCGTAAAATTCATGCATTTGCGTAAAAAATAGGGCTAAACTTGTCGCTGTTTAAATCGGGTACCTACATTTACAATTGCGCAATTACAGCGTTTCTACTTGAGATTGAGACGATGTCAATTGTTTTTTTTTTGCTAATCATAAGTAAAGTTCAAACAAGAGGTGCTTACAAAAAAGTGAATAAACAGTTATTCACTAAGTTAAATCCAGCTATTTCAAAAAATAGCACTAATTAACAGAGAACAAACGAAAAAAAAGCTCAGATATATATATCACTAAATCAAATATTACTTAATCAAGCGTTGACTGTAGTATACATGCCTTTACATACTGGTATACTTTGATCTTGATTGTAAAGTTTAAGCAAAAGAGAAATGAAACTGGTGTTATATTTATATGTGTACCTTATTTCTTTGGTAGAGTTTCGAAAATCAGGTATGTGTTTATAAAATTAGTACTTTAGGGAAATTAGGTATATGTAATACTCGTAACTATTCTATTATAAAGCAAAATAAATAAATAGATAGATAAGAAAATCTTTTGCTTTAGTATTATATCTTATACTTTCTAAGTCCAAATTTCTTCTTCTTCTTGTTCTTCTTCTGAGTCATCTCTAATAATCTCAAAAGCCTTTTTGATTGACAGAATATCTCCATTAATACCATATTCTATGGGATTATCTTGTAAGAGTTTAACCATAACTTCATATTTTTTGAATGCCTGGCGAATCTCAAGAATATCCCATAATCTTGACAGAGAAATATTGAGAGGAATTCGAGTCCATTGACGGATAACAGGTGGTTTATAAATCTCAGGGACGGCAATTATCTGTTCCGACCAGTCCACGCACCACTCCAAAGCTTCATCTGCAATTACTTCTTCTTGGCGAGCATATTCCTCCTGTCGTTTCATATACTCTTCCTCAGATAAACACATCTTACCAATATAATAATCTATTGTTTCCTTTTGTGATTCTTTGGAGAGTGCAGGTTTGTTATAGAAAGGGAATTCAATGTGCGTTGCTAGGCGATGTTGCAACTGTGCGGGTAATTCTGTGGGTGGTGTTTGGCTAATACGTGTGAATATACATGCTTGAGTACAATGACCTACTCTCATGTCGTCTCGTTTGCTCTCCAGAAGACCAATACCCTCAAACGAATATGTGTATCCGTAAGTGGCCGCCCCTGCTTTGCACCTGTCATTTAAGAAAATTAGATAAGGGGAAACTGTAAGTGAATAAATTAAAATCCAATTTAACACATAATTTAATATATATATATATGTACATAATGTGCATACCAATCTTCAAATTCTTGTCGAGTCCATTCAAATTTGTGATCATCGTGGCGAAACTCTGCATTGGGTTGGCCATAGTGTAAAGACGGGAAATGAATGTTGTACTCAGCATTCGGAGTAGTGACAATCATTATTTTGGGCATGTAATTCCCAAGAGTGGTATTGAAAAAAGTTGCTAGGACATCAGGATAAACATGCTCAATAACTTCTGAGCACACAATTGCCTCATATCCTGAAAGTCTGGAGTCAACCTTGGCAATTGACCCTAATAATAAGCCAATACACTGAGTTTTTCTTCTACTAGAATAAATGGACTCGTACCGTGAAAAATATCAATTGTCAATGGATTTTCACGGAGTTCGGTATGATCACTACTCCATGGCTGACAACGTCTAACAGCTTCTTCTACACATTCTTGATCAATATCTATTCCTGCTAATTTCGTGAAGGGGGTGTCATCGCTGGAAGGTGGGGATGGAATAAGAAAAGCCAAGACAGATGCCTCTCCGCACCCAAAATCGAGGACCTTTACAAAAATTAAAGAGAAATTAAAAAGAAAGAAAACAATTTCCAAAGTGCACATTACATGCTAATAGTCTGATTATGACATTAAGCAATACACATGAATAAAAGATATATATAAAAAAGTTAACATGTTTATATATACATATATTCACATACACTCGATACTCGGTGTTTTCTTAAAGTTTCGAGTATAAATAATCTTCGTTGTCTCCAAAGAGGGGGTGAAAAGGACGTGGATTCACACTGATCGTCAGACATTGTCAATGATCCACAAAGCACTTTTCTCTGTTTCCAAAACAAGTGCACGTCCTCTGTCACTCAATATCACGCAAGTGACTGCGAATGATACTTTCACGTGTCACTCACTTATGCCATAAAGAAGCCCTGGTTCATGGGTTTCTGCCCATGCTGATCATGGTTCATTCGTTCAAAGAACACACCTTTACACATTTCACTTACTGTGGCCATTGCCGACGATTCCTCTGGGGGGTTGCTAATCAAGGCCTCAAATGCTCAGGTAACTATTGTTTTATTCTCATTTCTTTTCTTTTTTTAAGAAAAAAAGGGGGGATTTGTGGGTACTAAATAACCTTTACCACATCCTGTAGAATGTGAATTCGTTTGCCATTTCTCTTGCCAGAAGTCTGCTCCTCCGTGTACTAGCGTACAAAACAAGGCTGCTCGAGTCTTGAGATCTTATTCAACCAGTACTGGCTCCAGTTCCACGCCTACTTCGAGCTCATCCAAAAGTGGTTCACGCTCTCCTATTATCACAGCCTTGTCAAGATCACCTACCAACGGCAGCCGAGCAAAATCCCCGACCAACGGTAGTCGAGAAATATCCCCTACTTTGGCTCCTCAGGCTGAAGAAACTCAGCCAATCGAATCTTTTGGAGAAGCTGTAGAAAAGATCAAGAGCATTGTCACTTCACCCGAGTTCGAGGATGTTCTAGTTACTGCTGCTCTACATGCTTCTGACGACAGTCAACCATCAAACGAATATCTGGCTACGCTTCCATCCCTTAATCCACAAACTGCCACTAAGAATTCTACTCGATTTGTGTCGAGATGTGGGCCTATGTTTGCTGTTCGAGATTCTATAATATTATTGTTGAGTTGGGAAAATCCTCTTCAAACAATGGTGGCTATGGTTCTTTACTGTATTGCATGTAAGTTTGCAAATAGGATTTGTGTTCAAAAGAAGAAGAAATATGTGACCTAAAATTAACTCCTGTATACGTTTTATGTACTGTTTTTCTTTTCAGGTTTCTATCCCAAGATCATATTATTTGGACCCCATTTTGCACTGATGCATTGGATGACCAATGCGCATCAAAAACGTTTCCGTTCATCCAGTCTGTCGCCACCATTGCCTTCTCCTCCTGTAGCACGGTCCACGGTGGCTGCACCTACCCCTACTGCTAGTCACTCTGTTCCATTACGCACAGCTAGCCCGGCTGGGAAACGGACTGGGTCATTCACATTCAATATTGGCGGCTCATCAAACAATTATGAGGAATCATCACCCGAATATCTTAAAAACCTTCAGAACTTACAGAACATGATGGGTGAAATGAGTGACCTTTATGACACTGTGTGCGAAAATCTTCATTACATTAATTGGGGGTCTAGACAGTATTCAATTTGGATCTTTCAGGGTCTGGTACTTTCGATGATATTGCTATCTATACTGATATCATTTGTGTCAATGCGCGACATAATGCTTGGTGGTGGTATATTTATGTTTGTATCTAACACGAGATTTGTCAAGCATGTGATGAAGCAAATCACACCAAAGGCAATGGCCATTGGAAAGAAGAGCTTTGAAAGTATTATGGATCTTTATGATGAGTATGAGCGTGTTTTGGATCGTCAGACGATAATACAAGAAATATCAGTTTATGAGAATCAAAGACGTGGTCCATCAGGAGAGTTTTCGGCTGATGAAGTGAGTAGAATGTATTTTGTAGAATGTATTTTATTAATTTCACTTTTATTACAGTTATTACCACTTGAGCGTGGATCATGGACAGATAGTACTGGCATCATACCCCGAGAGGCTAAGAAGGAGGAAGCACCTGAAGGGTATTGCTGGACAGAAAATGCATGGGAGGTTGATACCAGTGGATCTTGGACAGACGATATGCTCGGTATTGGTAAGTCAAATTTCTGTGAATTAGTCAATCAATGATCTTGAGCTAAAACTGATATATAATTTATTTATTTTTATTTTAGAGGTAACACAATAATTGTTGATACAAATCATAAGTAATTAGAGCTAAAAGGTGATGTGTGTATTAGATGCTTGTGATTCCAGAAGATGATGGATGGGTATACACAGACGACCTTTGGAGACCATGTAAGGCAGACATATTGAAATATAGGGTTACTCGCAGAAGACGATGGATTCGACACTATGAAGAGAACCGAAAACGTGGACGTTAAATATACCCTCAAAACCACAACTTGATTTCAATGAACATTTCCTTCCTTTTCTTTAGCTTTTTTTATTCATTTTGCACATTATTATTATTATTTATTCCTTTATATTCTCCTTTGTTTTTTTCTTTGATAAATAAGATTCCTGCTGTTTATTGTTATATATTTCATATATTTACTTATGATACTCTTTAGCAAATCTGATTATTATTATTTGTTAGGTTAAGCACAAGAAACAGCTATATATAGTAGTTTGTATAGCCCAAAAGTACTTCATATGCTAATGGTTTATCTAATTGCATATGGTGAAATTAACTATGCACACGATTTTCACAAAGCATTGTTGTACTTCACTAGAGAAACTAGCTCTTTTGCTTTTTCCTATAATTTCGAGAAATATTGTTTAATAATAATTTTATAGTTCGACCTTTTTTTTCTTCTTTTCTTTATTCATGACGATCATCCAGAGAGTAGCACAAATTAAACATGTGAAAAGTATAACAAGTTCGGGGTAGAAGTAGAAAATATATCTTGTTAAAGCCGTAACAAATTTTGATATAAATTTGAGCACAAGGCCACCCAAATTGCCATCAAGAAAAAATTAAGTAACAAGCAACAATTACCACAACAATCCAATCCTTGTATCTAAAATAGTTTATCTCTTTGAAATATTTAGACAATTGCATTTTGATTTGTCTAAAACATTTCCAAATTACGCATAAAACAGATACCTAAACCATTCATAAAACGTTAGAAAGGAAAGGAAAAAAGAGTCGTTCCTTAGCAAACAAAAGAATCGTGGCCACGCGTAAAGATCATACCTCCATAAATAAAATGGAGATCAGATATATAAAATGCTGTGCTCTTATTAGCCATCTTGGCTTAAGCAGAGGTATGTATCAAGAAACACATTCTCTGTTCCGAAACGACGGATATGCTGTGAGCAAAAGAGACAATAAATAAAATAAAAACTCTATTAAGAAAGTTTATAAAAGTATGCGCGAATTCTTTTTTTTATGTAACAAATGTGCACGTACACATGCATGAATGGGTATATATACTTAATTAACATTTTTCTTTATATTTGGAAATGGTCAAGAAAGATTGGAATTTACTTCTTTAATGATAAAGATAAGTAAGCTCAAAGCACAAAACTCAATCCGAATATTATAATATTTAATAATATATACATATTAAAAAGGGGAAAGAAACAAAGTTAAATGGTCATCTAGTTATTGGGTTTCCTGTTTTGATGACTTGCTTTTTTTTCTATTCTTCTTCTCTTACATCTTGGTTCTAGAAAATAGAATAAATAATAAATAAAAGGCACATACTTTTTCTAATTATCAATCGCAATGAATCAAGAACTCTTTTCAAAACGCAAAAACCCTTATGGCTCAGATGAATATGAAGATCCGGCAAATAATTTGAAATATCAACGCATGGATTACCGAACAGAATCCAAAGCATCTTACTTGGGAGGAAAGACAGGCGTGGAATTACAATTGGATGGCAATCAACCACCTCCTAAGTTCCCTCATAAATACATTTATGGCAATTACAAAAACTATTACGAGTGAGGCATTCTATTTAATTCTTCTTTAATTAATATGCTGATTACAGTATATGAGAAATGATAATAATTCAACAATAATAGAGATCGACGTAACAAATACAAACATCACGATCCTCGCTTAGATCTCCTTGACGTGTCATTGTTTAAGAATAAGGATGTATTGGACATTGGTTGCAATTCAGGAAACATTACTATTTTTATCAGTAGGTATAAATTAATAATAAGATTAAAGGAAGGGACAAAAAGAAGAAGAAGAAGAAGAAGAAGAAGAAGAAGTAAAGAAGGCTTTGGAAGATTCGTAATGATACAGTGCATACATAAAACCAGTAACTCTTGGTTTACTTTATATTTATTGTCTAAATTACTATTTTGTACCAGGTCGAAGATATCAGCCAAAATCTATTTTGGGAGTTGATATTGACAAAGATCTTATTCGTAAAGCCAAAATGCAAACCAAGATTGATTATGCACTTCAGGACCCCTCCGAAGAAAAACAGCAGGGCCCTATAGATCTCTGCATGCGCTTCTCATATTTCCCGAAATCAATGTCGCATATGTTTGGATACTCTTTCATGACCCTTCCACCAACTGCAGACTACACTGGATTTCCGGTCAATACTACATTTGAAGATGGAGATTGGGTTGATATGGATGTAGAGCCAGAGAGTTATGACACAATTATGGCGTGAGTTGATTGATACCAGCGAAGAATGCCAAATATTAATATTAATACTAATAGGCTAAGTGTGACTAAATGGATTCAATTGCATCGAGGAGACGAGGGTATCAAGATGTTCTTTAAAAAAGTCTACAAGAGTCTAAAACCAGGTGGTTCATTTGTTGTCGAACCACAGCCTTTCGACACATACTATCGACGAGCTAAACAAACTGAGGTAGGCTATGCGGAAGTTAGTAGTAATGATAATATTTCAAGATACAATCAATAAACAAACAAGTACCCAACCAAAAGAAGTAAAAGTCACTAAAACAAAGAGGATAGGAGACCAGGTTTATATTTGAAGGTTTGAGTTTCACGCCAGATCAATACGAACCATATCTTTTGAAACTGGGATTCTCATCTGTTAAACACCTCGGAAAGTCTCTCAATGACAACAAGGGTAAGTGTATACAGATTGAAATAAAAATGAAATGTGACCAAATACAATACAATGATAACTAAAGATGCTTGTGTTGTGTCTGTGCACAAATATTCCTTAGGGTTCAAACGTCCCCTGGAGCTTTATACGAAATAAATCATGAATGTACCAAAATATCATTAGTCCTTTTTGTGTTTGTGCTTGTTCTCGATTGATCATTTTTTATTTCCTGATGATTCTTTTATACATCTTTCGCATTGACATTTGAAGTAATATTCGTCCAACAAAAGTTGTCGGCGTGCGGACACAGGAAGGGTGGCATCAATGTAGGAGATCGTCAGGGCCTCGTCTATTTCAATAGCACGCACCGTACTGATCTTCATCACTCGGAAGGTGCCACGCGGCTGGGAGAAGACGGCAGGATAGATGATCTTGACTACCGAAGTTTTTGGAAGTGTCTTCTTTTTATTTTGTTTTGGAGGTTCGACTTCTACTGTGACCTCGGTCCCTTCTTCTTCAAGCTTATCTTCTGTGCACTGTTCTACTTCGCAGTTGTTACCACAATCATGGTTGAAGAGAGACGCGAGTGGAAAGAGAGCTAAAAATACATGCAAAGGTTAGGGAGCAAAAGAACAGAAAGGAAGACTATTCGTTTTTTGTTTTTTGTTTCTTTTTTTTTGTTTTTTACTATTGATGTAAATATGTATGCAAATGTACAAATAAATAACTTGCCTCGACCAATAAGCACAGCACCCTTGGCCGTCTTATTCTCGAGAAATATACCAAATCCATTGGACTCGATTCGTGATACGAGATGCATAATATCCTGTAGGGTCTCATGAGGAGTAAGTAGTTGTGCTGTGCTGAGCTGGTTATAAAGGAACTGCTGCATTCGTCGCCAGTCCTTCTTATCGTCCTCAGGCCAATCATTGTAGTGGGATTCGAGAGCTTGAACTTGTTCAAAGCTACTTGTCAAGGCATCCTCCGAGTAAGCAGCCAATTCCGGATTCCACCAATTGTCTGACCTGTCCCACCCAAGATTGTGTGCCTCTCGTCGTCGCTCCCACAAACACAAAATGACCAATTTAGCTACACTTTTGGTGTGTGGATCTGACTTAAAGGTAGCTAGCTTTCGTAAAAGCCCACAAATTACAGAGTGGTCTACTGTTGATGATGATAGATAGGCTTCACTACATGTAAGAGAGCAAAAGTATATCTGATCACAACTGGTGCAACGAGTAGAGAAGGCTCGAGTGGGGTGGACACAGAGACAGTGAGCACAGACCCTTTTCTTATGACTGTCAAAGATTGCTGTGTTATCAAGTCAGTCTTTAATAATAATTATCATCTTGTGCGGCAAGATGTCGAGGATGACGCACCTGTTGCATATGGAAATACCTAAACCAAAACCAAAAACCAAAAAGAAAAAAAAATCGATACATATATACAGTGTGTATATAAAAGGTGAGCTTTATTTTATTTCTTTTTATTTTATTTCTTTTTTGACAGGTGGAGCTCAAATAGTGTTGGCTTTATATGTACCCGAAAGAGTGTCTGTTGAGCTTCCAGTCTGGTTTTTGCAAGAAACTCTCTGCCTTTTGTCGGGCTGATCCGGACCTTGACAGGCAAATCACGGGATTCAAATACACTGCTGTCCATGGTTAAAGAGAATGAAAAATAACAATATTTTGAGACGTGCTAAAATAGGGGTAAGCCAGTCACGTTCGATTGAGTTTGAAATGTATGTATTTTATTATATGTAAAAAAAAAAAAAAGAAATGGATGCATGAATGGGATGAATGGATATATTTATTAAAGTTGTAATTTATTTATGGCTGTCCAGAATATGTACGTGGGGAAGGGGCAAGCGTATGAGGGTCTGTGGGTTGGAATGGAAATGCAGTGTAAAGGGGAGTAATGGAGAGTGCTGGGGAAACAATGTCTGGTGCTTACTGGGTGGCGTACTGACATCCGATTCAGGAGAGCTACAGCTCACGGGAGGTGATGCAAGACAGAGTGGTTTGAAACAATCAGCTGGACTATGACAAGCATGAGGGCAACACAAAGCACAGTTAGCAACCAATTTTATATATTTATATATATGTATGCGTGTATGTATGTAAGTAGGTATAAGTGTATAAAGAAGGACTACCTACGTTCTGCTGTGTCTGGCCTGGCTATGCCTCGAAAGAGTAGTCTTCCGAGTAAATGACTTTCCGCATGGACAAACATATGGTCGTTTTCCTGTATGTGTTCGGCGGTGACGGGCTAAAGAAGAAGACTGGATATAAGGGTTAGTATATATACATATAAAAGCTACTCTACTATCAAAGCTTGCCTACTTACATCACTAAATGATTTTCCACACATTAGATATTCGCACACATGAGGCCGTTCGCCGGTGTGTGTCCGTAAATGGACTGTAAGAGCCGATTGTTGTATAAAGTGTTTTTTACAGTCTGGCCATTCGCACTCGTACGGTCTTTCGCCTGTGTGGATCCTTCGATGGCGTGCAAGGTCTGATCGGCGAGAAAACCATTTTCCACAATCTGACCATAGACATTGGAAGCCTTTGTGGCGACAAGATTGGTGGGTATCGTCTGGGTAATGGTTCAGGAGGTGAAGGATATCCATAATCGAATTAAAAGAGTGTATTTTAGAGAATAATTTATATATAAAATATAAAATATATATATATATAAAGTGTCTAATTTTGCTTATATATATATATATTATAATAATAACTAATTAGGTTGAATATTTAAATTCACTTTTAGAGAGAGAGAAGAGAAGAGAGAAAGAAACAAAGGGAATTATATAGATTTGGTCGAGAATTTCTACAAAGGCACCAGTTTTCTTTATTCTCATTTTCCAGACTCGTGTCACGGGAACTGAAGCCGAGGTTTTAGAAGAGATGAAGTAAAATGAAGAGGGCTGATTTTGTAGGTTGCTGTCGACCCTCCCCTTCCAAAACGCCTTGTTCAAATGGGCACGAGCCACAAATAAAGAAGAGGATGCTTGTGACAAGAGTTGCCTTGAATGCCTCCTTCCCCCCCCCCCCTTTTTTTTATGATTATTATTTTTATTATTATTATTGTCATTATCTTGCCCCTCGTATGTCTCAGCTATGCAGGATTCTGCAAACCCACAGGCATGACCAGGAACGTATAGATCAAATGGAGATCCTTATTGAGATCAATAAAAATAATAAAATTACTATTATATTGCTGTAGACAGACCAATCTTCATATCATATTCTGGCTTCGGCATTGTTTAAGGTTTATGCATCTTTTCTTTTCTTTTTTTTGCCACGTTTTTAGGCTCTAATCTCTATTTATCCCGCCTTTAAGAGTCGAAACTCTTGGGTTTGTATTATACTACTCTCTTGCTTTCCTTTGCTTTCTCTTGCTTTCTCGATGTAATTACAAATCATGAATCTAAAATAAGGTCTCAGGGACTCAAAACAGAGCGTCATATACACCTCGTTCATGTTTGAGCGGGTTAAACTCGTGAATTGGTTCATATGTGCTTATTTGTACACCCTTGTTAAGCCATCTTCAACAAATTGGTTAATGTTTCTAGAAAAAAAAAATATCTAGGCAACCTGCTTAGTCTAGAACTTGAAATACTTGTATACTTGGTCTCTAGGCAAAAATAGAAGCAATAAAATAAACAAAGAAATATATATATACATAATAAACTGCTGAGCATGCCCCATATTCTCTTGTTTCTAATTAACCAGCTGTCAATACACTTGATCTTTTTCCATTCAATGTTCTCAATATCTCACTCTCTTTGACAACTGGGTTTGCAGCTTCTTCTACTCACGTGGAGTACTTAGTTGCCGATGCCGATATCTTCTATACTTTTGTTGCTAAACATCTGTGCAGCTTGAAAAAAAACATGCAGACTATTTTGTACAAACCGACTCAATGCCAAATTGAGCACGTCAAAGTTTGGTACCAAAAACAAGAAAAAAAGGGGGGAGAAGAGGAGGGAAGGGGAGGAGAGTGTAGGGTTTTTCGATCTCTGTCTCGGCAGTTTGTGTTCCAAATGTTGGGAGTGATAAAAGATGATCGGAATCATATTTTTGTACCTCGATGCTGTGCAGTATTAAAGTTACAAGTGAAAGTAGTGAATTGCAATATACATATATATATACATATATATATATATATATATCGGCATTTTTTGTATAATAACCTATCTTGAAAAAAATGATTTTCATAATATTATTCGGGTATTTGGTCTATCTATTGAGGTTTGTTTATTTTTTCAAGTACTAGTCTTGAACATAGAAAAGAATTAATGCAACCGACAAAGAGCTAAGTTATGTATAGTAGTTTAATACTGGGAGGAGAGGACTTTATAAATCTACAAATAAATTATTGAGGGCCGATAGCATGGTATTAAATAGTGTGTGTATGTGCATGTATATGTATATGTGCCTGTGTCTGTGCCTGTGCCTGTGCCTGTTCCTGTTCCTGTGTCTGTGTCTGTGCCTGTTCCTGTGCCTGTGTCTGTGCCTGTGTCTGTGCCTGTGTACATACTGCTAGTTATTTTTTTAAAATAGATAAATAAACCGTGATTATATTTTAAATTATATTTTTTTTGCTTCTTATGCCTTTATCACCATCAAAATAAAATGAGAAACAATTGATGATTTCAGGGAGACCTTTGGCATCCTGTACAAGTAGATGACCAGTCACGTCATTAGAAAAAGTCTCAGAGAAATCCTTGATAAACTTCAAAACCATCTATAGGCGGCAAAAGTCAGAAGATGTGCACTGACGTCCCAAACAAATGATAAACAAATGAACAAACAATGACGCCCAGAGCCATTGATATTGACAGACTTGGTAAGTTCAGTTAATTTGATATATACGGTTTATACCATCACCGTAGTATATTCAAAGGAATCAAAAGAATCAAAGCAAGCAGAACAAGCAGAACAAGGACAGGCAATCGCTTTATTCCGTTTTATCTTATTTTATATTTTTTACTTGGTTTAGTTAAAGTTGGGTAATTAATATGCACCAAGTATAAAGAAAGGAAAAGGAAAAGGAAAAGCTTAAATTGGCTCCATGCCATCTATTTTTCTTTTATTCTTATTTTCTGAGGGATCTAATATGTTGAAACTTAAATAGATATATGGAAAAAGGATATATGAAAATCATAAGCATAGTAATAATAAATATAACCTGCAGCAATATGAGATACAATCCCCAGGTCATCAAAATATAGAGTATATAAATAAGATACAAGTGTCTTGGCATATTATATAAATAAATGGTGTTCTGCACAGAGCAACAATAATAATAACACAGTTAAAATAAAGAACTCCCTACACTATGCAATATATATATATTTGTGCTATTGTTTTCTATTGATTGCAGCAATACATTTGATAAAGACACTTATTTTTTTAAAAGAAAAATTACATGAATAAAATATTATTATTTTTGAGTATTTAGTATGTAATACGGAAACATTAGCTACTCAAATACATACATACATGTATACATACGTACATATACATATATACATATATACATATAAATAGATAAGTATATAGAGGACTGTGCGGAGGCTATCATGTCAATGGTACAGCTTTGTTTCTATTACTGTTTGTGATACGGCTTTATAGGTTTGGATGGTGTGGACTAAAAATAACAGTAACAACAACAACAAAAACAACAACAAAAGGTCATTGGCTTGGGAACCAGGAGAAAACAATACGTTTCTATAGTTACAGATTATCTTCAATCATGTGCGTGGTCCAATATGTCGTTTTGTGCCTTGTTTCATGTATTTTGGCCAAGTTGATTGGAGTTTTTTATTGTAATGATATGATTGTTTGTTTGAAATAAATGTAATTGAGATTAACGAATATAATAAAGATAAAAATAAATTGAGAAGCTACAAGTCGATAGCTCCAAACCATTTCCGTCGTCTCTCCATCCATTCTGTGAGCATTTCATCTTCCCATTCTTCCTTTGGGATTCCATGGCTGAGGTATCTATCGGCCTTTATACTATCTGGTACATCGTTCCATCCCATATGACTCCAATCACGGTACCAAGTATTGACTACCGACCTAAGATTGATAATAATGGAGCAGTTATTTCCGAGCCGCTCCTAATTTCTTTTCTTTTTTTGATTGATTGAATATGCACTGTGCGGATTCCTTACTCATCATGTAACCATATGCCACTTCGCTTTTGAAGTTCCAGGGCACTGTAGCGCTCTTCTAACGACACCGCTTTTTGTATCACTGTATCAATGTTGATATCATGTGGGATGTGAGAGATTATAGAGTGAGCAAGGTCAGGCTCTGCCCGGAGTATAGTAGATCTTCGAAGGAGAGTGATCTGAAATTTAGGTTTAATATTAAATCAAACACAAAAAAATACATATATCTTTTTAAAAAAAAAACAAAAAAAAACATACCGCACTTGCTACATATACTGGCATGAGAGGTGAACTTGCTACAAACAGATCAAATAGACGAGTAATCTTGCTAAAGTCCTCAAAGTCATGACTGTACCAAGTCAGGATCCAACTCAACGCATAATACGGCATTATATTTGACCTGTAACATTAAAGAATAATTTCTATAAATTTAAGAAACACAAAGAAAAAAGAAATGTCTCATCTAATTGTTTCAAAAATCATTCCTTTTTTCTTATTTTTATTTTTATAGGTATTTTAATATATATTTATTTATTTTTACCTTTCAAGAAAAGATGTGAGTTCTGGATCTTCGTATTCAATAATAGAGCTCATAAGACGTAATTGTTTTGATACTGGATCAAATGAGTCCAACATTGCATCTGTAAGCTAATGGTTAAGGATCATAATATTTAGATCAATTAATATATCTCATAAACATTTAATATTAACAACAGCAACAAAAAAGGATATCTTAAGAAGAATAGAGCAACATTTTCTGTGGCTGGAATAGCATTCTTCTTCCCAAGTACCAACAAAAAGCATGTACATATATCATGAAATCCCTGGAAGAATACAAATATTATTAATCTTAATTACTGTGTAAATAAAATACATTCAATAGGGCTTGCCTGGTAGTATTTCAATCTTGGATTTCTCCACAATATTTCAACAATCATCCGATGAAGCTCTTGTTGCTTGTGAGCCTTGAGCATAGGCGAAATATCTTTATTTTATTACTGTTATTATTTATTTATATATACATTTACAATTTATAATTGTGTAATAAAGGGGGGGGATTTCTCTCTTTCTTAATACCTTGTGGATAGTAGTATAGGGATCGTTCTACGTCTTTTGTTATCTGAACCGGATCAGCTAAATCTTTTTCTAATAAACATAACTATAATTATATATTATCCAGGTAGTAAGTCTATTTATCTTCTTACCACTACCCTTCTCATCTACATAACAGCCGTAATGAGCATGAAGTAAGATGGGCCTAAAGAATAAATAAGATAAAAAAAAAGTAAATGAGCCATTGGTGGTTGTGTCTACAAGTGTGGAATTACCATACAAGCTTCCTCAAGGTGTCATGAACATAGCCTCCTGGCTGTCGTGCAAGTGACCTGAGAGAAGAAATGTCGTTTCTTGAGAGAGCTGTGATTATTTGTTCGACCTGGTGGGTACGTTGCATGGATCGAGCTTTGATAAAAGGCATTTAATGAATGTGTGTTTTTGCTTGCTTGATTGGTTGGTAGGTTGGTGGGTTGGTTTGTTGGTTGGTTGATTGATTGATTGATTGTAATGGTGGGCTGGAATGGTTAAGGCAGTAACAATAAGAAAAGTAAAGAAGGGAAGTGAGGAATGTCTATTACCAACTGATGCTTTAACACTCATTTGTCTTTCTTGATTTGGAACATGCATAAAGACTGTTGTCTATTGAAAGAAGTTTTTTTTTCTGTTGAAATAAAATACCCATTGTACACAATTTTGGACGAATTTGCATGCAAGAATCGAACCCAATTCACTACCAATCCAAAGTCACGGCTTTCTAGGTGAATTTACGGTGAGGGTAGAAAGAAACGCTGCAAGCTTAATTTACACACGCACACACACACACACATAGTATTTTCTACATTAATACTTTATTTATATATATATATATCTGTGTGCGTGTGCGTGTGTGTGTGTATTTATTATTTGATGTTTCTAATTTGTCTCTTTTTGCTTGATATTTATATATTTTTTTGGTATGGCTGCGGTAACTTGATAGAAAAAGGAAATCACAAACACACCAGCTTTGACATCACCATTTGTATTCAAATTCGACTGCGGTCTACCCTTGATTGACAGGAGTAATAACCTATTGCTCTTCTAGAGTGACACATGTACGATTGATTTTTTGATTCAATAAATTAAAAAGAATTTTTTATATGTAAATAAATAAAGGTGAGTCAAACTGAAAGAATGACTCGGTTGAAAATTACCCGAGATTCCCCTTTTTCTATATTTTGTAAATTGGTATCTTTTTAGTAGGAGAAATTCTGACAAACACTTGGCCACTAACGAGAGCGGCATTAATCGTAGCGGAGAAGAAAGCCACTTCCGGTAGACGCCACTCAAAAGATCTTATTTTGTATACACATATTCTACATTTAATACCTGGCCAATCCAATGGCACACAAACCTGGTCAATTGTGATTTCCAAAATAATAATGATTATGAACGGTAACTAACAGCAATAGTAACAATAATAATCGTGTACGGATATAGGTGTATAGCTATATATAACACCAAATCACTTTATAATAAGGCGTTACTAAGCTTTTCTTGGCTATCAAAGAAAGAAAGAAAAAGGAATCTTATCCAAGAGTATGCATAGGTTTTGAATATATTAAGAAAATCCAAGAAAACGAAAGATACTTCATAGGGTCCAATACCCCGCGCATACTACATCGATGTAATCCAATTCATACAATTAGTAATTTTATGAATATAGAGTGTTTAGTGCGGAATAAAGTATGTATCATTTACAACTCTAGTACATAGACACACACAAGAGATATATAGAGAAAGAGATATACTCTTGGCAATAATATGGATCCTGTAAACATGGTTTCCGATAGGATTATTAAATTCCGATTATCGTGAGTGATCGACACCTTCCACAAGAAGTATTCTGTAACGTACCCCTCCAACCCAATATAGCTTATTTGTCATGAAGTCTAGAGTCTATCTTATCCAAACCTCATTTTGAGTCATAAGTCGGTCTAGACAATAACAGTAACAATTATACATATTACGAACCAAAAATCGATTGGAATCCTCTAGAAGCACCAAGCAATCTCTTTATTCTTAAAACCCGTATCAAAAAATAATATTCACATAAAAACAAGGTAGTTTCTTTAAAAGGAAAGTATTTTTTTTTTACGTTTTGCTGATTAAGATGCTACTGTAGAATTGCTTAGCAGAGAAATCACATGAATTGTCTTTTTTTTTTTCAAGCCATTAATTCACCTTTTACCCAAACATTATGTGAATTACCTATCCTACATAATCAATTACAACTCTCTCTTCACCATTATTTTTATTGGACCCCATTTTATAAATCCTCTTCCTCCTCCTCCTCCTCATTCCCTTCTTGCTCTTCTTTTCCTAAACTTTACTAAAAATATACACAAATATATACACATTTATATATATATGATGTGTGTAAATTGATTTGTGTCACTTTGGAGCTGACAATGAGGAGCGGAATTTGTAGATGCTTCCTCTTTTCTCTTTCCTTTTTTTGACAGCTTTTAAGAAAATCCCAAAAAAAAACTACTAGACAGCGGAGTGTATCGGAATCCAATTGGTTGCCATGGCAACAAAGAGGAGAAATGATGCTATAGGCGGGTCAATGCGGAGTCATTGGCTTGGTTTCCACAACGTGGCTCAAATGGGAAGCACAAATTGGAAATGGAGTTTGGCTTATAAATACAGGTCCTAATTTTATGATTCCTTCTTCTTCTTCCTTCCAATACTCTTCTTCTTAATTTTTTATTTGATAAAAAAAAGAAATTTAAATCATGTCAAGATCATATGGTGATATGTACTATAGAAACTATGCTGTTGGTAAGCAAGACACTTCGCTTCTGGCTACCCTTGCCAGCATCAATCCAGTCCAACCAGAGCTGGACGTTCTCCTGAGTGAAAACCTTGGTTATCATAGCACCATGGATTCACCAATCCTAAAAACTCCACTACTCGAACAAGACACTCCTCTCTCAGCACACACACCCCTCTTTATGTCTACCCCTCTCTACCGCCATGATACTTATATGAATGAAATATGTGTTGCCAATTACTTTGATACATTCCCACTCACCGACAAGCCCAGTGTCGAATTTAATGGAGACCCATCTCAACTTTTAATCGACAAGAGCAAGGCTGGCTCAGTGCATTATCAACCTCATCAATCCGATTCATTTTTTCATTCCCTCTCAAGCGTCAGCCAGTCATTAATCGACTACAATGAATCTGACGACGAAAACATATCTGTGTTTGATAAATTAGGAGAGATTGCTTATGAAGACACACAAGATCAATGCCAACCCACAGAAAGCCAAAAACAAGAGAATGATGAGTCAGAAAATGCACCACAAGAGGCGGATGATCTGTCTTTTGCCACAGATTCATCTCAGCTAACAAGCCGTCATTGTGGTAGCCAACGAAGATCACTCAAGCGAAAGCAAAGAGAAGATGGCGACGAAGAATCAAGTGAGCCAGAACAGAAGATGCCCAGAAACAAGTCTGTAAAGAAACCATACCAATGCGACATCTGCAAAGCTAGGTTCAGTCGACGCTATAATCTCACCACCCATGTCAAGACCCATGACAAACAGCGAATCAAGGAACATGGATGCACCTTCTGTGACAAAGCATTCGATCGCAAACACGACAGAGATAGACATGTCGCCACTGTCCATCACAACAAACGTACATTCACTTGCAAGATTTGCCCCACAAGCTTCACAAGAAGAGATGCCCTCTCACGGCACAGACTCGTTCGTCACAATGAGGACCCTGACCAGCTTCCTTGATATCCATAAGCACTTTCATTCGTTATCTTATGTCTATTTCCCCTTTCTTATGATAGTACTCTTTTCTCTATATTTGTATCGGCTAACGCCTTTACTTCACTTTGGACCATCTCACTTTCTCTCGTTTTCACACAAAGAAACGAGATTGAAAGCAAGTCCATTCTTTGCTGTTTTACCTCCCCCTTCCTCTTTCTAATAACTTAGAATAAGTTCTGACGCTAAGGTCATTGAATATACATATAAACACAAACACATTAGTAGTAGTAAGTCATAAAACAATAATAATAAAAATAATAAAAAACCTGGTCTTTTTTGTTTCTATCTGCCCTATTGGCAGTATAGCATCTCAATATGTAATATGTATATGCAATATGTATAAATAAATGTGTGTATTCCCCACACTTTCTCTTGCTTTCTTTCTTGTGTTTTATTGGTAACGTTGGACAACTACAGAGTTCAAAAGTCCTGCGTCCTTGATAGTCTGGTTAGAGTTTTCCAAAACCTTGACAGGGAAAGTAGTTTGGAGAACATAAGGTCTCTGATCAGGATGAGATCTACAGAGATTTAAAACAAAGAAAGAGAGATAATATATATAAGAATGATATATACATGTATTTAATAAAAGAAAATAAAAAAAAACTTACGCTTCAATATATTGACGTATATCTCCCACAGTATGAGTATGGTTTAATTTTGCAACCAAACTACAGTATTAATCCGCACTTATTAAAAAAAAATCGTAGCACATATTTTGTATATATATATGTACTTACCGAGTACCGTCTGCGAGACGGATCTGGATCGATGTTGTAGGTTGACTAGCATCTACTCTGGGTGCCTCTACAGAAGATGATGTGGGGAAGGCTCCAGGTGTAGATGGAATGTAGCTAGCAGGACTTCCCAGACGATGACCAGCACTTTCAAATGGCTTTGGAGGGCTTTTGGGTGGAGGTACAAAATCCTCATCTTGGCGTTTAGCTACACGTACATCCACTGCCTGTCCATGTTGGACATTTAACAAAGAAAGGGGTGCTCGTCTAAAGTATAAAAATTAGCTTAAATTACAAATTGACCTAATTGGGTATTTGTGGGTGGGAGTGTGCTTACCCACTGTTAATAGCGCTTAACATTGCTTCATTTGCAGGATCATCATAACGGAACAATGGTCCATCATCCACACTGAATCCATTTCTCCAAAAAGTCAAATAACGCGTAATCTGTTTTCCTTTTCGGTCAGACCAACTGCACAGATAGCTAGGCTTATTTAATCACATGAACTTACAGGTCCTTGGGGTACTTCAGTGGATGCGGGATTTGCTGTACCGATCTGCTGAGAGGGTGTGTCATCACTTCCGAGTGTATAACCGGATCCGGAAAACGGAGCAGGTCTACTAGATTCAGCTTCATTATCCTCTTCTGGACCAACTCCTCCTCTAGAAAAAGAAAAAAAAGTTATATAATAATTTGCTTAGATTAATTATTCTCTGCTCTTTAACCTATACATCTCTGTAATTAATCAACTCACGCCGCTGCCTTTTTAAGGATATCATCAATCAAGCTGCTACCTCCACTCTTCTTATTGGGTCCCTGAACAACCATGCCACTAAAAGAAAAAAGAATATATGTCAGCTAAATACACATAGTCATATACATATACATATACATATATCTCCTTAACCCAATTTATTCTTTATGATATCTGTAATTCACAGAGTCCTTACGATTTTTCACCACCTGCAAAAAAGCTTTCGCGCTCCTCATCTTCTGAATCTTCATCATGATTGCCTGCTCCAATGTCATTCAATGTACGAATCTTGGATCTGTTTTGTGCACATTTACATAAAGATTTAAATCAACAAACAAAGTTATAGTTTGTAATTCACGACATCCACTAATGCATTACGTATTGTTTCGGGAAGGTTGCGCCTTTTTTTTGGAAGGTCCAGGTTGAAAGGTAGAAGGTGCTGCAGATTTAGTGGGTGCAGTAAATGGCTCTGGAGCAGAAGAAGAAGAAGTAGTAGCAGTTCTTTGAGGCTCTGAGCTACCGGAATTGTCATAAAAGTCGCTCACAGCAGACTATATTCCGAAATGATAAGTGAATCCCTTTCTAATTTTTTAAATATATATATATTTGCAATTCCACAAAAAGAAGAATGATACAATATTCTACATTATATACTTACATTGAGATCCCAACCAGCAATCTCCAAGTAAAATTGAGCTTGTGTTGCTTCGACACCTGTCATGTTGGTGAATTGCTCGATCAGTTGACTGTGGTCAGCCATGATATTAATAAAATAGAAGGAAGAAGAATAAAAGAAAAGGTTTGGTTTGTGAAAGAAAGAGCCGTAATACGTGGTTCTTTGCTTTTGTCGCTCTTTATCCCAGCAGTCCAACCTTTCTCCCCTCCCCCCAAAAAAATAAATGTCCCTTGTTACGTCAGTCTATCTTTATATCTCTTGTGTGTGTGTATTTCTTAATCCATGCAAAATCAATAAACAGGTCTTCACGGCATAATCGATAACTATGAAGCTGCATTATACTGTATCTACATTTATAGTAGTTGCCAATATTTACAATCAACTAAAAAAAAATAACTGCTACCAAGACGTGTACAGTCAATTCTCAATAAATTAAACCCTGGTTTATCTTGTTCGTGCTCTTGCTCTTGTTCAATTTCAATTTGCTTAAAATGAATTAATGGCTTAATATTAAACATTTAAATATATATTTATATATAAAAATTTGTATGTATTAAAGAATATACAAGCCAAGACAGCTAACAGTTTTATATATAGAGAGAGAAACATGACATTGTTGATATATAAAACCTATACACGCCAATGCAAATCAATTTTGACGCGAAATAATTCAAATATGTTAGATGAAGCATTAAGTATGTTATTTGATTGGCTGGATGAACTGTAATCGTCATCAGCCACAAAATATGCTGTCGGAGTATTAAATGCATCGCCCCTCCAGCGTGTTTGCAGACAAGAGATGAGTTAGTGGACATGGGCGGGGGGAAGATGAGGTACATTGTTCTTTTTTCGCTTGTCATTATTGTTCCTTGGTCATGTCTAATAACCAAAGCGAGATGCAATATAGAACTCCTAGTCCACTCCCTCATCAGATGGGGTCTCCGAAATGTCCACCTACACCAACTACAATCAGAACACGACCTCTTTGGTAAACATTGGTTCTCACCCACCCACACTCGCTCTGGGTTTGATAGAGATTTAAAGGAGAGAAAGAAGCGGTCACTTAACATGCATTCTTGTTGCACACTGTTTGGTCTATGCGTTTTGTTTCGTACTCCGTTAGTAATCGAGAACTACTCCACAAGTAAGGCTTTTACCTACAAGACGATACCGACAATAATCAGGCCTAAAAAAAACAATCATAAAGAAAGAAGGCTTGTTGTTATTCTATTATATTATTATTTATAATAATAAAAATAATTAATATCTTTTCGCTTGTCCATAGATGCGTTCCGTTGGTAGAGGTATGTGAAAAATATTAGAAATCTTGAGTAAACTTGCAAGGACATTTATGTTATTTTGTAGAAGAAAGAGTGGATAGAGACTATTAGTAATACTAGTCCTAGAAAACAAAGCGAAGGTTCAGTCACAGCTGATTCAATGGAGACTCAGTTTCCAAATACACTGGACCCACATATGGATGCTTATGGCATTCTGGATACCCAGGAGCATCCTCCTCGTCATTTATTTTCTCCTCTTTTTAAAGATATCAGCCATCCAGACCATCCTTCACCCATTCAATCGTCTTTGATTTTACCATCCTGTGTGCATTTAGCTCAATCAAGTACTGCGACATTCTCAGAATGGAAATTAATCAACCAGGATGAAAATCCTTTTCTAAATACAGACACAGCATTTAACCGGGAGTGCAGTTCCATTCACACCAGTGAGTAAATTAATTAGTCTATGTATTTAAATAAGACAATTGTCTTTAATACCATTGTAGGATCTTCTCTTGCTGCCTATTCGACTGAGAACCAGCCTCTGAAACCAATTAACCAATCCCGTCCGAAGCAAAAAGGTGCTTCCAGGTCTAACATAGCCATTCGTCGCCTACTAGGTCGACATGTTGATTCGGATACCTCTTGGTCTACTCGTTTACGGCCTCGTGTCAACAGACATATTCTATCCTAAAACTCCGTACGCACAGGCCCAGGCCCAGGCACAAACACAAACACAAACACAAACACAAACACAAGCACAGACACAGACACAGACACAGAGACTCAAATACGCACACGCACACGCACACATATATTCATATGCATGTATGATATCCTGTGGTTTATACAGGCTTATACCAACATTTGACAGAATATCCTCTTTACCCCATATGCACAAATTAACATATATGAAACAGAAATAATAAAAATGAGAGAATACACACAAGCACATATCATATATAAATACGTATACATATGTATATATCCTCTATAAAATAATAGTAATAATAATGATATATATATATATGTATGTATATGGTACTTCAATTAAAGCATCACTAATCCGACCTTTTGACGCTTGACATCAGGACACTTCCAGTTGTACAAATAGTAGTTGAGATGACCATCGCCAGGACCGAACTTTTGTTCGTCCACATAAAGTGAGTTGTCCATCAGATCCAGGGTATTAACAACATCAAAGTTGGCTTTTTTCGCGAGTGTGAGTGCATCAGCAATCAAAGCATTGAGTCTCTTTCTAATGTATTTGATTTCATCGGCGGGAGTCTTCTTGGCTGATTCGGGTACATCAATGGCATAATAAAACATGTAAGCTGCATTGAGAGTAGAGTGCTTAGGGTTGTTGATGACGGAGCTAGGAAGAGAATAGAAGGAGAACATATCGGTAATCTTGTGAGTTTCGGGATCCTCGACCACATAACTCCAGACTACATCTTTGTGGGGACAGATCCAGTGCTCGACATCTTCGTCTGTCTCAAATACGACTGCGAAATCGAATCGTTCGAGATATTTGTTCAACAGGACTCGTACTTCAGGTGCATCAGAAACCTTCATCTCTCTCAATCCAACTGTAGAAGTAACATCAGGAACTTTATAATGTTTGATCATGCGAGTCAATGTAGATTTGGCAGGAATACGGGAGAAGTTGCACTCGACCAACTTCTTTGGGTTAAGGGAACGGTGGAAGTAGCTATATTATTTCTTGTTAATCCATTTGTTTTCTTTCTCTCTTTCTCTCTCATTATAATAATAACTACCGCTCAATTTATATATATATACTTACCGACAAGTGCCAACTGGCTTTGGTAGGACAACACCGGCAGTGTAAACAGCTTGGAAAATGCCTTCAAGATGACTTTTACGAGTGATTTCTTTAATAAGAACAGGTGCAAGACGCTTGGATCTTAGTTTTTTGTGGATACACAAAAAGTTAACTTCGACCAAGGGTTGAGTACTATTATTGTTGTTATTTTAAAATACAAGTATATACATATATAAAAAGGATTAGTAAGAGTCAATAGCCACCCCGCAGTCAACCGTCTAAATTACTTACACGTTATAGGTTCTCATGTCAGCGGGGATTCCACTAATAAAGGCTACCAGCTTCTTGTTGGTAGCCACACGTACACCAATGTGCCAGGACTTTCTCCACTTTGGAGGTTGAAGTGCCCTATACAATGATTTGTAAATACCTCTTTTTTCTTTCTGTCTCTCTCTTTCTCTCAAAGCCAACCACACACACACACACACACATGAACATTAAACTATTGCTTGATTTACCACTTCAAGAAACTGGCGGAATAATCAAATCTGAATTGGGCATCATCATCCTCTACATAGTTCATTGTTAAGAGTTCATAAAGTTCCTTGAGCTGCAACATTAAATATCGTTAGCCAACGTATAGATTTTTTTTCTGTATACTTTGGATCACAGCATTAAATATCTGCCTCTTACCTCTTTCTCACTGTTCATATCAATTTCACACCACTCAAACTCCTTTGGCAAAGTGGGGGAATTCTTGGGTACCTGGTCAACAGGAATTGAAGGCTCAATAGGGCCAATTGCTGTCACAAGCTCATCTATATAGATAGTATATCATCCAAGAAAGAAAGAAAAAGAAAGAAAGAACCTGTCAATACTCCTCTATCTTTCGTCTTTTTCTTTAAAATTTGATTTCAAATCGACTAAAATATGTCTCCAAAAAAAAACAAAAAAAACAAATAGAGAGATAGATCGTTTGCTCACCATGCTTTGGTACGGGTTGGGTATTCCAAAACTTGTGGTCTCCCATCTCTTTTTTGTTTGAGTTCTTTAATTGGCCAGACTGCTCCATGAGGGCAAGATTCTGCATCAGTGTCTGGATCTTTTCGCGCATCAAGGCTTCATCCTTGGATGAGCCCGGCTTATTTGAGGCAGGCTGTTTGCCTTTGACGAGATTCTGGAGTTCCTTTGTCTGGGACTTTTTGACAAGTTTTTCGACCTTTGCGGTCAGACGGGCGAGTTCTTCCTCGTCTACCTGGGGACTCTTTTCATCTTTCTTGCTCATGATGTATTTTTTCTAGTAGAGATGTATGTGTATGTGTGTGATGATACTGTAATAAACTCGAAAATACACAAACGCGTTTCCGGATTATTTACTAGCTATTGTTATTATAAGTGAGTGTGTGTGTACAAAGAAAAAAAAAAGGTCCAAAAAAAAAAGGTTAGCTAAAAGTATGACGGGGTTTGTAAACCTGGGTTTAAACAATGCTCGAAATGATTGATTTTCTGATGACGTAGTGAACTTGGATACCTTGGTGCAATAAGTTTTGTAGACAAAAAGTTTATATATTTTTTAAACAAATTTAAAAGAGATGTAGATATTTTGAGTGGCTCTTTCCAGGAAACTGTATTTCCAAAGCTGAACATAAAGCGGGAAACTATGAGTGTGTTTAATGGGATAATAAACTATAACTGATGGATAAAGGGCAGCTTTAAAAGAATAACTTTATATATATTTATTTATAATCACACTGTTAAAAAGGAAACGCCACACAGTACTTTTGTAGTCCTTCCTAATTTGGTATAAAAAGTATATCTGTATATAATACATACACATACACATAACATACATACATACATACATACATACATACATACATACATACATGCTTACATGCATGCATGCATACTTACTTATATATCTATATCTATATATACTATCAATGATTTTGAAACTTTGGCTGTTCCACGCGAAACATACATGGCATCCATTTAGACGCATGTAATAAGTGTATATTTCGATTTCTACCAAGGTCCTTTGTTACACCTTCTTTGTTTGCAGCTATTCCCGAGGTAGAATAAATTGAAAAAGAAAAAGAAAGAAAAAAAAATGACATTCGTTTCAAATAAACCAGGGCGAGCTTATATATATATATATTATGAAGAGTATATGAGCCATGATGTATTTATATCATTTGTATACGTACCTACACAAACATGCACACTCACACACAAACATACACAAACATATATACATGTTTTATAATAATAATAAAAATGCAACCAAAACTGGGATCGTGCGACGGTAAAAGAACGCGCCAAAAAGCGAAAAATAGGTAAGCTTGATTTCTGCGTTAATTATTTTATTTTATTTATTCTTTTTTCTTCTAAATATAATAAATCCCTATTAAAAATTTATTTATTTTCGCTTTCAATAAATTGCATAGAATAGAAGCTTAAAGAGAGACGTATATAAAATAAAAATGCCATTTTTATATGATCAACCGCTAATGAGAAACTTTAACTTTGTTATAAAATGAAAAAAAGGCACACGCACAATATTTTTTTATTACATATATGTATGCTATATAAATATAATATATAATATATATATATATATAAAACAAAATACTAAAAAGTATATTTTCAAGTAAGAGGAAGGGAGAATGAGATAATGAGAGAATGAGAGAATGAGAGAATGAAGATGATTTTGTAGAGTGCATTGTGTGATATATACATATGGGATGTATGTGAATGAAAAGGGGAGAAGAAGAAAAAATAACAGAATAAGAATATACACTCAAGAATGTCAAGCAAAAAAAAAGAAAAAAAATGAAAAAAAAAATGAACAAAAAGAAAACAAGAAAGAGAAGTTAAAGAAGTACAAAAAAGAAGTACAGTCATTTAAGGCTCTGCTTTTTTTGTGTTTTCCTTTTTTTAAAAATAAAGAAGAGGTAATGAAACCAAATGAGAAAATACAAAGATGAAGTACATTTTTAAAAATAATAATAAAAATAAAAATAAAAAAAGGAGGGAATATGGTGTGGGTGTAAAAGGTGTTGGTGTGGGGTTTGGTTGGGAATAAGAATAAGAATAAGAAGAGACGGATTTAGAAGCGGATAAGGGCATCTGTGGGCCTCATGGTAGATCGGTGGTGAGAGTCGATATGGTAATTAAACCCAGAAGTAAGCATGCTGAGGTTAGGAGATGAACAGCTGTAGTCTTCAAAAGGGTGTGGTGAACCGTGTCCAGACTGAGAAAGATGAAGGTAAAGATCACTAATTTGCTGAGGCTGGCTAGGGCTTGCAGTCAAAGATTGTGGTGGTGACGATGAAGATGAAGATGATGACGAGGAGAGTTCATAGCATGCCTGGATTCCTTTGCCACAGTCGTGCATGTAGTCATCGATATCTTGAACATATGATGGTAATGGCGATTGTTGCTCCTCCTCTTCTCTTTTGCAGTGGGTATTCGTTGCCTTTTGATATTCGAGGGTGTCAAATGCTGAGTCCAGTAAATCGTGATTCTCTGGTGGATAGCACAGATCATCGAGGGGATAGATTGCGGAAGTATAGGAAAGCATATATGTCGGGCTTGGCAGATATCCATCGCGATAAAACAGATCATCTTCATCTTCCACAATCGATTCTTGTACCTTTGTCCGAACGGGCGTGGAAGTGCAAGAAGATGCAGTCGAAGTAAATGTAGATGAGCCTGACAGAGATGGAATGGGATTCACCCAATCCTCGATATCAGACTCTCCATCCAGTGGCTCTGTTTTGATCCAGTCGGGGTGCTTGGCTGTGTCGGGTGTGTTTGTGCTGTTGTCGTGATGGTAGGGTGGGTTGTGGCTGTCGTGAAGTCCCTTGAGTGGCAAGTTACCTTGGGTTGGCGAAAATTGTTCGAGGGTTTCATCACCGCTGTCCTCGTCTTCCTTGTCTGTCCCTTCATCACTACTGTCGCTGGCAAAGACATGGTGCCTGCGCTCATGTGTCTTTTTGTGTTGGGCCAGATTGTCGGACCGTGAGAATCGCTTGCCGCAAACGTTGCAGAGATAAGGCCGTTCCATTGTGTGTGTACGAAGATGGCGCTTGAGATGTTCTAGCCGTCTAAAATCCTTTCCGCACGATGGAAAAGGACAAAAGTAAGACCGAAGTACTTCATCCGAGGAGCCGCGTCGAGAGATGGGTCTGTCATATGGAGACCACCGGGAGCGTATCATAAGCGAGGCGTCGGTTGGGTCGGGTACTGGATGAGACTGGAAGCTAGCCAAACTAGATGGGTGGCGGGTGGACTTGCGACGACGCTGCTTGTACATAGGTGACCCTTCGAAAAGTGAAAACTGACCAAAGATGCTGTGGGCCATTCGAGTGAACGAGCTTTCGGGAGAGCGAGGCTCGGGCCATTCTTCTGGTGCTGTGGTTATTGTTGATGATGATTGCTGTTGTGGTTGAGCGAGCGGAGAAGTTGACTCTTTGGCGGACAACGAAGGTGAGGGCATTCCCGTCGAGGGTGCAGATCCGCGTGGACTGTTGCTGTTGCTGTTGATATTATTGTTGATATTGTTGCTGGTATTGTTACTAGTTGTTCGCCCTGAAAGACAGGCTTCAAGCTCGATATTACATAACAGCGTACGTCTAAACTCGTCAAACATTGCCTGGGTGGCATCGAGGGTAATGGTGTTTGCCGGATAGGCTACTGCCTCCGAAGTGACTTCCTGGGATAATTTTTCTCGCTTGAGGTCGCGTTCAAGTGCATCTAAGAAGAGACGGTCGTGTGGTACGGATTGCCAAAAGAAGACCTTTTGCTTTTTTTGGGTTCGGATGCAGTTGTGGCGGTACAAGAGATCGAGGAAACTAGACTTGGGTTCTTCGAGTGTTGCATCGGTCCCCGGCTTGAGGTTGCGGAGGTCACTGAAAATGCCCTCCTCAAATTTCTTTAGATTCGACACGGGTCTTCCAAAGGCATGGAAGCGAAAGATAAGACAACGTACGATGTCAGTGCCGGTAATAAAATGGGTTGAGTTCCACTGGACGCATGAAATAGAATCACCGTTGGGAAGAGGGTGGCGCTTAATGGGCGGCTGACCTTCAATGGTCACAAAATCAACGGGTGCATTGGCCAAGAAGTCTTTGAGTTGGTCAATTTGTTCCAGGCGAGTGTCGATATCTTGCTCGTTTGGAAGGTTTGGATATACTTCGCGGAAAGTTGTGGTTGCCATAGCGATAAATTCGATACTTTTTTATTTTATTTCACACGTATAGGTATTGTATATAAAAAAAGAGTATAAATGAATGAATACAATGTTTCTTTTTGTGTATTCTATCTTGTTATATTCTAGTCTTTCCAACCTGGCAATAAATAGATGTGCGGGTGTGTATATATGTATTTATATAGACTATAATAATAACCGAGTAGTTTGAGAGGTTGATATAGAGAGAGAGAGAAATAAAAGAGGGAAAAAAGGAGCTCCTTTAAGGTAGAGTCTTTTTCTTCTTCGTCTTTTTTTTCAGGTTTTGATATTCGAAAATAAAGATGGGTAAAAGGAAGAGGAGATGCGATCAAACGAGTTTGTTTATATAGTGACAATATATCGCTCAAATTTTCTTATTATATTTATTTATATATATGTGTGTGCGTTTGTGTGTGTATTATATTATATTGTACTTCACTGCTCTGTACTGTACTGTACTGTATTGTATTACTATTATTTTTGATGCGAGGTCATCGGGATTTGTTTATTTGCCTCCTTCAAACACTTCTTTGTATTGTACTACCTTACCACTTTTTCTTTTTTCTTTTTTTTTCTTTTTTTTTTATTTCTTTTTTTGTCTAAAGTGTCTCATATTTTATATGACGTCAGGTCTAATGCTGATAATTGAGATTTTTTTCTTTTTGGTTGCATAAATGCATCAGGCATCTTTTTCTTTACTGTTGTAGTTTTTGCTTTTTTTGCTTTTTTTTTTGCGCAATATCGTAACATTGGAAACAATTATATAAAATAACATATAAAAGATGAACATCTGGTTATTCACTCGGTCTTTATTACTATCATTATTTATACTTGGATCAGTGATGGGAGAATCTGAAGATATCAAGTTACTCTATGAGCCAAACGCTCCTGATTATCGTACTGTAGCCCAGCAGTCCCTGTTTGACAAACTAGCCCCGGACCCGTCTCTGTCTACCTTTCTAGATATCTTAACTCGGGTCGACGACATCTTTGACATATTCAACGACACTCAAAGTGCACCTTTTACAGTCTTCTGTCCTGTCAATTCAGCATTTGGTGATCATGCTGATGCCGACATTAGAGCAAACCTCAAGAGCTTTTTGCGTAACCATATCGTGCCGACTGGGAAACTTGACTCAAAATCGCTACAACATACTCAAAAACTGAATACTATGCTCGAGGATCAAACCATACAGGTCCACCACCACGTATTTCTGCGAAAGACGGTTTTGAATGACCGAGCTACGGTAGATACCGTTGATCCTATTGAAGCCGCAAATGGAATCGCTTACCGTATTGATGAAGTTCTTCGACCTGTGAAATGATACTAAATAAATAAGCTGATGGTTAACCAATCACATATACATAAATACACACACACACACAATAACACACACAGAAAGAGAGAGAAGGATATTATTATTTCTTGTGTTCAGAATTTTTTGTTTTTTTCATACTATTACAATAATATTATTATATTTGACTCTATTGTTCAACTTGAATACATACATATACAAATTTATATATGTGTATAATTACTGTGCATTACTTTTTTTTTCACTTTATTCTTTTTTTTTGTGGCGTATCCTAGCAACCTTGAGACTAGTCTTAATTTGGTAGTCCCCGATGTTACCTCAGAATAGGTTCCTTTTTCGGATTCTTTACTTTTTGTAAGACAATTTTATCAAAAACATATACCTGTTTATATATATTTATATATATATATATACATAATCAAAACACTTTCAATCATATATGTATATATACAAACCATGTACACACGAACATACAAACACACAAACACACGTACACACGTACACATACGCTAAGCATAATAGAGAGTATTAAAGACTAATAACCATAATATTTAGAAATATACAAGTAAAACATAAAATAGAGTCTGTTGAAATGAGCCCCATGCACTCGGCACGAGTTCAAGTTCTGCTTCAGTGATACAATTCACAGCTTTTCTTTTCCACATTGCACTGCTGGATATTTCTACCCAAATGCTCATCTACATCATCAGTAAAAATAAAATAAAATAAAATAATCAGCATCATCACCAGCATCATCATCATCATCATCATAAGTTATATAAGATTTGGTACTTGTTACAATTACATATTTTGCCTAGCCGGGATAAGCTGTCTTATTATTATCATTATTATTTAAATCTCATTCCAGGTGCCGGGTTGCCCAAATACCGCTATCATTACAATATATTTATATAATATAATATAATATAATATAATATAATATAATATATACATATAAAAGGTTTCTAAACAGAACACCTCTAGTTTTCCATCTTGAAAGAAGAAGAGGAATAATATACATATATATATTATACATATAAATACATATATAAATACACATATATATAAATGTTTAGCTTATATTGGTATTAGAGTGGTTGCCATGGCAATTCTACTGTTGTGCAAACTATCTACATTCGATTAAGTTGTTTATATTTTTTGATTTTTTGTTTATTTTATTTTTTTTTATAAAAAAAACAGTGCACAAAAACAAAATACCTTTTGCTTGGTCCAAACACCACGGCAAAAAGAAGTATTAGAAGGAAAACTGTATATATAAAAAGTCATTTCACACACACCATTATATATAATTGTATATATATATATATATATATATATATACGTGTGTAGCCTTTATTACCCTTATATATCTTTGTGTGTGTGTGTAGGTGTGGGCGCATCTATCTATCTATTTATCTATCTCTATTAAGAATAGTGTCCAAGAATGAACTATGGAGAGAAATTTATATATATATATATATATATATGAAAAAAAAAATGGAAATTCTTACATGAACAGGGTTACTCATATTCACACACTCGCACACACAGATATATATACATGCTTCATTATTGATACAATAATAATCATAATATTTGTGTGTGCAGGTCTAAGTGTAAGTATATTTGAGTACAATAATAAATAAATAATAATAAAAAAAATTAAAAAAAAGTTTTGAAACAAATTAATTTTTTTTTGCAGTATAAAAATCATCCTTACTTTACTTTCAAATTAGGAAATAACCTCTTATAATCACCTCTTTATTATGATTATGATTATTATGGTTTGTGCCCAAAAGAATGGAATCTTGATTGCTCAGAATCATTTCATTTACTTGGTGCACCAGATTCGGGTAGGCCTTCTTTGTTGATTACATTTCAGATGAAAAAACATATTATATTGAAATATATCCAATGGATACTATCACTTATTATAGCTAATGTCATGAATGTATAGTCCTCATTTAAGAAGGGCTAAAGCATTGAAGAGTCAAATGTGATTCTCATCAAGGATATCTTTTTGTCTGTCTATCTATCTATTGGTGAGTGTGTGTTGAGTGTACAAAGCCACCTTTCACTGATATAAATTATAGAATAAAACGAGGAAAATCCATATTATTTGTATGTATTTATTTATTTATCGATTTATTTAGGCAACATTAATTTGTTTCCCACCCGTTGTAAGAAACTAGCATAAATCCGCAGCCATGACAGGTGAATATACATACATATATTAATGACGGTGCCTGCATCCATGGAAACGCGGGAGTTTGAGACAGAAATCACTCTAGTCCATTTCCAGTATTTTTACTTAGTTTTCGGACGTTCTCTTTTTTTTTTCTGGATGATTTCCATTTTAATTTCAGACGTTTACAAAAGGGAATTCAGACAATTTCAAATTTTTATTGGACAATTTTATTTTTATTTCCAGACTTTTTTCTTACTTAGTTTAGACAAATTATTTCATACAGATTTCCATAATTATTTGTCGCAAGCTGGAAAAAACCTGTCGTGATTTGAAAATGGGACAACCAATAAAAATCTGAGGGAAGCTTTTTGAGAGAAACTTTTTTCCTTTCAAAATTCAAAATGACTGATCATAATTTTACATTAGGCGCAAATGTAGAGACCATTGTTAATCAAAGCACTCTATAATAATAGGGGGTTTCATTATCTCTTAGGATTAGGATTAGGATTGGGATTCGGAAAGCGGATGTTAAACCTGTAGCCAATGATAGTGAATAAAAAATGAAAATTATTGAGTCCCCCTTTTTAATTAATCGTTTTATTCTTGAACCTGATATTTTATTATAAGCAATTAACTTAATTTCTATTACTTATATTAGGAGTTTAGCTTATAAAAAGGGTGATATATAAACTAGAAATATGTAAGAGAGGCAAATAAATTGATAAACTTTCGCTCTAAGTACTTCCAGACGTCAAAATGAGCAATCCTAAATTTCAATCCGAAAGTCTTTTCCTTCGGATTAAATCTACACATTTTAATTCTATTCAGATTCTTCTCAGCCAATAATTTCACTATTTAAACTCCCGCTTTCCGGATCCCAATCCTAATCCTAATCCTAAGAGATAATGAAACCCCCTATTATTATAGAGTGCTTTGATTAACAATGGTCTCTACATTTGCGCCTAATGTAAAATTATGATCAGTCATTTTGAATTTTGAAAGGAAAAAAGTTTCTCTCAAAAAGCTTCCCTCAGATTTTTATTGGTTGTCCCATTTTCAAATCACGACAGGTTTTTTCCAGCTTGCGACAAATAATTATGGAAATCTGTATGAAATAATTTGTCTAAACTAAGTAAGAAAAAAGTCTGGAAATAAAAATAAAATTGTCCAATAAAAATTTGAAATTGTCTGAATTCCCTTTTGTAAACGTCTGAAATTAAAATGGAAATCATCCAGAAAAAAAAAAGAGAACGTCCGAATTTTTTTTTTTTGAAAAGGTCCGAAAACCAAGTAAAAATACTATATCTTGCGTATCCCCTTGTCCTTGTCCGTTAATTTCTATGGATACAGTTTTTTCCAAGGTTACACCATACACTCCCAAATAAAAATAAAATAAAAATGTCAAATGGCTTGAGTATGTAAATGATACTTTACGTTCTTCTCCTGGAGATGCTATCTTTGAACCAATAATGCTGGTAGACATGATAGAAAACTACCGAATATTGATGTAAATACATGCGCAAATCACATGTACCCAATTATATCATCTGGTAAGCTTCATTCTTGGATTGATCCACAGCAAATGTCGCGCATTGATCACCTATTCAACTAATACATTATTCACCCTCTCCTTCTTCTCTCTTCTGGTTATCTTGGTATAAGAATACCATGCACAGCTGGCCCTCGGAGACCAGTAGGCATAATTGCTAGCTAAAAAAAAAGAAATTGTGACAACTAGAATATTCAAGATGTTTTCTTTCTTAAAAATAAAGGCACAGGACATCATTAACCCCAGCCCCAACACTAATACTAATACCAACCCCAACACCGTTATCTCTATCACAATCACAATCCCAATTGCCATCGCTACCACTGACACTGCTATTAGTTAGCTATACCTTTCATATTCTTTGTATTTCGTCCCATTTCCTGTGTAACTCTCTATAGCAGCACGCATGACACACGTCGGCCATTTCAATAACATAAACAGCAAAACCAAAATCAAAACCAAAAATGAAAAAGAAACACAGAAAAAGAAAAAAGCTTAAATTCTTTTCTGTAAGAAACCACTGATCTGTCTTTTCTTTTCTTTTTCTTCTTTTTTTATTAATTTATTTCCCACCACATAGTTACAGATTTTCTTTTTTATTTTTTTACTTTTTTACTTTAATCATTTATCAAACTACCTTATTCCCTGGTACCTTTTTTTCTCTTCCTTCCTCTTCTTTTTGAGAACCAGTTTGATGACGTATTATATTTTCCCTTATTCCCTAAACCTGTCCAGAGGATTTTTCTTTTTCTGTATTAGTTCAAGCCAAAGCAAAATGAGTATTGCTTATATATATAAGTATATATATGGGTGTGTGTGTGCAAATAGATATAGCCAGTAAACCAGGACAGTGTGTAACTAGCAATAGTCTGTTCCTAATACTCTAAAATATTGTTTCAATGTGTTTCAAAATACGGAACATATTTGGAGATACCAACATAAAAGCATATTTACAAAAGAGAGGAAGTTGATACTTTGCACGAATCAGTATCTTTTATATCATTTTATCTTATATATATATATATACTAACAATCTATAACAGACGGTCAAGATAATTTAACCTGTCAAAGTATATTCCTCATTTATTTATTTATTTATTGAGTTGAATTTAATTTAATTTGCTGTGTAATCCCACAGTATGATGTATGTAAAAAGTCAATTTGTAGTATCAGCTCCCACATTCACAGCACAAGGGTTACATAGCGTCATTAGACCATAAATTATGGTAGATCAAACACATACAAACAAATATATAAATAAATGAAAAGATGACTGTAGGTCCAATTTAAGCATTGTGGTGTATTCAAACAAGACCGAATTAATCCAAGTCTCTTGATGCCATGCTTCTCACATTTGACCATGTTTGAGAGGTGACGCAAATACAGAAGAAGTACTCGAATTTGAAATAATGATCTTATTTTATTTTATAAATTTTCAAGTTGATAGCACATGTCTCATCTGTCTGGGTGGTTTCAATCAATTACCAAAAAATAAAGAAGATAATATACTGTACAGTCAGGCTTATGGGTTTTGTTAATTTGGAAAAAAAAAGCATCGGTTACCTAAAAAAAAGGTAGATTTTATTGGTTAAATTGCTCATTTTTCTTAAAAAAAAAAAATATTAGTGCAACCAAAGAGTAGTTTTTCTTTTTCTTCAAAGAATCAACTGTTTAGCTTACCAATGGTCAATGTATTACTCAAGACAAAATTGCGAACCGTGCAAAAGTAGTTTCTAGGTAACATTTCATATAAGAACACCTTTGTAACAATTATTAAGGTATTACATTAGGGGGTTTCACCAGCTTTGAATGTTGACTGTCGGATATATCGGTAGCTTAATTCGGAAAATGATTGGCTATAATGAATCTTCAAAAAATGAAAAACGAGCATCCAAGCATCTAAAAAAATAGTTCGATACTCTAGATGTCGTGACTTAGCCGAAATTTTGTAAATTTTGTACTTTATGTATGATTGATGGCGAAGTTCATATAGAAGCAAAGTCAAAAATAAAACATAATCAATCTATATAAAAGTAGTTATCTTGATACCAAATTATAGAAGTCTAACTTACTTGTGAGGAATTTGGGCATAGGCACTATATTTATGGGTACTCTAATCAAGCGTATTGTACATATGAATTTTGACGTATATGAGAGAAAACATATCAACCAAGGGTCATTAGGGGGTTTCACCAGTCTTTTTTCGATACTTATTATTATTGGCTGGTGCTTAAACTACCGCTATATCCAACAGTCAACATCCAAAGCTGGTGAAACCCCCTATTTTTATTAACCTAGTCAAAAGATATTGGACTTATAGTCAGCTATCTAGATAAACATACAAGGCCTTTATACCACCAAGTTTATACTTCTATATATTATCATGTTTGATTTACAAACCATGACTGTGCTTGTGTCAAAGAGTTTCGTTTCGTTTGATTTTATTTTATTTTAATTATTTGCATTAAGCTTCTAAAATTCAATGGTGTAACCCGAATGGTTTGTGTCAAGAGAGGTTTTTTCTGAGTGAAACTATTAAGCCCAAATCAAAAGTAATTAATCGGGTACTGAGAGCTGATTGATCATATATTTTGCTTTCACTCATCAATGGATAAAGACTCGAGAACAGAAACAAAATAAGAAAAAGGTTAGGCATAAGACATCATTACCAGCATCATTACCAAAGAGCAACAACGGGTTTTAAAGCTACCGATGTCCAATGTGGCGCTACCAAGAGAAACAGAGAACATATGCTTGTTTTATCTTCCCTGCTACCATTGCTCTCATTCACAGAAATCTAGTTCTTGATGGATTCCCTTCTCCTTCTTTTGTCCAAAATCTCCACTTTTCCCCGCCAACACGAATAATCTGTGTAATTCTGAAAACTGTATCTATTATAATCGATTTTGTCTCGTATTATTATATATTCTGGATCTATTAATGGACATCCCGAGTTTCTCAAGGGAAGAATCCCTCTGTGGAGCTCATGTCCCTATTAAAATCCATTCCCAGTCCTGATACTGTCAGTGCCTAGTTTCTTATTCTCGATTATTTCATGTTATTATTTCTCTATATACTTATTTTTCATGTATCATTATCCGCTGCATGTATCCATTTTAGCTCAATACTATTTCTCAAAAGTCGTTTTCCCCTAATGTGAGTTTTTTTTTTCATGCCTTTTACATTTCTCACTGACAATTCTCTGTCATGCAATGTCAAGATCTCTTTTTTGTGTATATATTTTTGTGCCTTCTTTAGATTTATGGTACTTCTTTTTATTTCGTATCAATTATTCCTCCTCAGATCTCATTGGGCTGCCTAAATGTCAAAATGCATAAAAGTTTAAAACACGTACAATTTAATCTTTTGATCTGTATAAGATTCAATGCTTCTTTGATCATGACGTAGAAATTGATGACGTAGAGATATAATAGCAATTTTCAGACTGTGATTTCGAGTTTTTTTTTTGGTGTGAAGCCCAAGGCGCGTTTTTTTTTGGGCTGGAAAGTTTAGTGGGAAAAGAAAAAAAAAGGAAAAGAGCTAGTCTTTCTATCTTTACACACCATGTTCTGCGCAAGTAAGTTTCTTACGCATCATCCATCATTAAATTTTATATTTAAACATCTGGAGAGGTTTTTATACATGTATAATTAACTTTCGTGTTTATAGTTTCTGGAGAGTCACCTGAACATCCAGTGGTGTCTGTTAAATCAGGCAACCTTTTTGAAAAAAGACTGATCGTCAAATACATTGGTGATCATGGCAAAGATCCTGTCACAGGAGAAGATCTCACAGTCGATGATTTGATTGAACTCAAGACAAGTGCGTAAATTGTCTTTTATTATTATTATTATTTTTCAATTTTCTTTGTGGATGAACCAGAAAAAGAAGAAGAAGAAGAAAAGAAGAAGAAGAAAAGAAGAAGAAGGATGATGTTTTTTTCTTGTTTTATTTATTCAGTGATGCGATCGCATGGAAACAATAACTGAGCTCCAGCTAAAATATTATAATAATGCAACTATTACGCTACATACATACATACATATATATATATAATTAAACAATTTAATAACAGACCCAGAGACAATCAAGCCTCGCCCACCAAAGCTTTCATCCGTACCCTCTATCCTGTCCGCTTTGCAGAACGAGTGGGACAGTGTTATGCTCGAATCATTCACATTGAAACAACAATATCAACAAGTTCGCCAGGAACTTTCTCACGCCCTCTATCAAAACGATGCCGCTGCCCGTGTTATTGCACGTCTCAAGAAGGAACGCAACGCTGCTAGAGAGTAAGTAGAGAATTATCAAGAGATATGGTAGTAGAAACATAAGCGAAAGAGCGCAGACCCATTTAAAAGGATAGAAAATATAATGTAATATAATATGTAATGTAAAATAGAAAGAGAAAGAGAAAGAGAAAGAAAATTGAATGAATTAATGAGTATATATATATGTGTGTGTGTGTACATGTACCGTAATTTAATTTAATTTATTGACTTTGTTTAGAGCACTTGCCAATGTCCAGGCTCATTTGGGCACTACCTCTGCACCTGCACCTGTAGAAGAGAAGACCGAAACAATGGAAGTTGATGGTGCGCTCCCAGAAGAAGTTGTTGCAAAGATTAACGAGACAAGTGAAACGTAAGCTAAAAGGAAGGAAGAAAGAAATACGCTGAATATGATTCCAAAAAAAGCATGTTATTAATCAATATATAATATACAATGTATTTGTGGTTATGATTATGTACACGCACATATAGTTTGTCTCAGGGTCGACGCAAGAGAAAGCCTCCTACCGATTACACCTCCCTGGAAACCATCAAAACATTCACCCAAACCTCCACCATCCCATCCCTCCACTCCTCCCGCACACCCGGCATCACCGCTGTTGATGTTGATGTCACCGGTAAGCTTATCCTCACCGGTGGTAACGACAAAAAGGTCCAGGTCTACAACCGCGACGAAGAAAAGGTTGTTGTGGACTTACCAGGTCACACCAAGAAGGTCACCTCGGTTAAGTTCAGAGGACAGGATGTGGAAAAGGATGTGTTTGTCTCGGCTAGTGCCGACAAGCACGTGCGTGTCTGGACAGAAGGAGGAGCCAAGGGCTACCACACTGCCCACAACATTTCTGCACACACTGCAGATGTCACTGCTCTTGCTATTCACCCTAGCAAGGACTACTTTGTCAGTGCTGGTTTGGATAACAAGTGGGCCTTTTATGACTTTGAGAACGGCAAGTCCTTTATTGAAGCCATTGACACCGAGACCGAAGCTGGTGAGTTACATTATCTCTTTTGTTAAAGAAAGAGAGAGAGGGGGGGGGGGGGGGAATGTGTACAAGTTAAAGTCGAAAAAAATTAGTCTCTTTACTCCTTTCCTTCTACGAAAAAAAAAAACCCCCCCCCCGACCGAAAATATAGGAATATATAATACGTAGATATGCATGAATTTATTTTACTCATAATTTCTGCCATTATTATTGTTGTTTTGACCTGGGCTGCACTTAGGTTACACTGCACTTGACTTCCATCCTGATGGGATGATCCTTGGGGCTGGTACTGGGGACTCGGTTGTTCCCATTTGGGATGTCAAGTCTCAAACTGTTGCTGCAAGCTTCAGTGGCCACACTGGAAAGATTAGGGCTCTTGCTTTCTCTGAGAACGGGTAAAGAAACTATTCATATACCCTCCCACATATCTACATGCATAATATGTACAAGGGAAAAGATCGAGGGGGGGGGGGAAGAAGTTTTGA